ATTAAAAAAAAACGCGTGTTTTTATTTCCAGATAATTTGAATGTTGATAAGATAAACCTTGTATTAGTACGTTAGCCAAAGGGTAGACTTTAATATTTATTTTATCTGTTCCTTGACAATTTTAATTTAGGTACTGGGTGCGCTATCTTTTATGTTGGTAATGAAACATCGAATCACTTTGATATTCACCAACCGAGTGATTTGGTTATACGTGTTTCTGAAACGTCAATTTACTACAGTTTTAGTCATGATCGCTTTACACCGAAACAACGCTCAGAAATAGTCACAATGTACATTGAAAATCGTCGTTCAGTTGTGTTAACGCGACGTGCTTATCGTCGAACATATCGTGGCAACAGGCACCGTCTGACAACACTGTCCGTCGCTTCGTTTTGAATTTCTTGAGTACGGGACAGTGGGAGATCGTCAACATACCGTTCATCAACGACCAAGACGTTCCAATGACTTGGTTGAAGCGGTCAGAGACAGCGTTGACCAGAACCCAAAAGTGTCGTATCGTCACCGCGCTCAGCATTTTGGCATCAGTGGAACCCCGTTGCGGCGCATTTTGAAGGATGATTTGCATTTGTTTCCTTATAATGTGCAGTTAACACAAAACATATTGCCAACTGACCGTCCACGTCGCTCGCATGGTTGATGCTGAGTCTGATTTTTTGAAGCAAATTGTGGTGACCGACGAGGCCCATTTCTCGCTCTCTGGCGGCGTTAATAGGCAAAACTGCCGCATTTGTGGGACGGGAAATCCACATGAGGTCCACGAAATGCCGTTGCATGACCGGACAGTGACTGTTTGGGCCGGCGTTTGCGCCAAAATCATGATTGGGACATTTTCTTCAACGAAAACGAAACAATCGATGGAAATCGATATCGGTGGATGTTGGCTCATTATGTCTGCCCACAAATGCGTGATAAAGGTCTGATGGTTACTGGTTTCAACAAGACGGTGCGCCATGACACACTGCAAATGAAACAATCCAGTTTCTGCAACGAAAATTCCCTGGACGTCTGATGTCAAAAATAGGTGAAATTGACTGGCGACCCAGGTCTCCAGATTTGACCCCATCGGACTTCATCTTGTGGGGTTATTTGAAAAGTAAAGTGAACGTCAGCAAACCCCAGACCACTGAAGAACTCAAGGCAAACATTCGTACCGCAATCGCCGCTATACCACCAGAGATGCTCGAAAAAGTAATGGAAAACGCAGCAAAACGGGCATATTTTGTTTTGGCCAATATGGTGGCCACTTGATAGATGTTGTGTTCAAAAACTGGTCCCAATTTTCCGTTTTCATAGTTATTTCATGTTTACATACCGACATAAAAGATGGCGCACCCTTTATATGTTAATATTTGCTTACAAACTTTTGTCCGCTACTGTACATTATTGTCACCTCGGGCATCTATACAATCCATCAATTTAGATTTTGATGCATTGTCTATAATGGAAGTAATAATTCGTACAGGTCGGCGAATATATGATATTCCATATCAGAAGCAACTATTACATCGACAAATTCAGCTACCTGATCATCTCTAAAGGCATAGTTCTTTTAACCGGCGACCAAGACATGAACGATTTCGTGAGCACAATGGCGATAGTCTTGAGCGCCGAGATGGCTCCTGTGGCTACGATCGTTGTGTGGCATGTCGGCAAACACGGTGACGTCGAGGTTGACAGTTTGACCTTCCCTGTCAATGGTATCAGTCGCAACAAGGTAAGTACATAAACGTGTCAAAGTGTTAAATATTTTTTATTTCAGTTGGTAATTATAGGATACTTATTGAACACAGGAACGCCCGGAGTACTCGGCAACCAAGAGTTTGTCCGTAATACATTAGACATCAATATTAGGGATACAGCAAATTATCATAAATTTAAGTCACTATTAAAACTGAGACATTTTGGTAGCATTTAATATTTTATTTATTCTGTCGCGTATGCAGTAATAGGCATTTTTATAGTTTGTAACGCGGGGTCACTAACTGGCGAACTACCTGCCTCTCTAGTTCAGCAACTCCTCGGACGCCAGCCTCCTGTTTAGAGTGTGGAGACAAGACTATAGACTGAAACAGTCACCTGAGTAGCTTCAGTGAAGAAAATAATTCAGGGATTTGATGCTTCACGCTCAAAGGGTCGAGATACTTACTCTTTACTTTCTACTTCTACCTCTTCTCTACTACACTTCATGCACGGTCGGTATATCTCAAGTTATAAGTACAAATGAGGGAAATCCCTATCTGAATCTAGCCACCCTAGAGATAGAGCGGAGAAGGAGGACAATCGGTTAACTCTGGGTCAAACGGAATCAAAAGCGGTCAAAAAGCAACGATTAAAGCGGAAGCCGTATGCGGTCAAGCTAGCAAGCGGTAATGGTGCGATGCGATAAGCCCAAAGCGATGAACGGTCTTGAGCAATATGGTTATGTTTGGGTGAAAAATTAGACCAGGCGTTTCGTTAACCCGCGTCTACTTCAAGCTCTGCTTGTCTCGTTCTCGCTTGGATTTCAATCTGCACCCCAGGGAAGTAAGCACACTGCAGATAAAGATGTGCGTCCCTGACTTGCTTCTTGAACCCCAAAGCAATTATAAAACTCCTAAAATCAAGCCACTGGTCAGCTCTTATTTGCCACCAGAGAAATCCACTAGGGCCAACGTAGGCTTAGACCAAGTTCAAACGTACGTATCAAGATTTAATAAGAAATATCTCATTTACGCCGTTCCAGTTTTAAATTCCTATCCCTCAACTTGAATTCAAAACAATTCACTAAGGCTCAAATGTAAATTACGCTAAGGCTGGTAAACCCATTCATAAACGGTTTGTTCTAAAATATTCTCAAAATCTAACCCACAGTTTTTTTTTCCTTCAGCTACTAGCTAGTTCGGTCAATATTCAAAAATAAACGGAAAACAAGCAATTCTCTTCTCAAAATTCGTATGACAAAGATATACACTGAAAACGGTACACTACAATTTCTGTGACTAAAGAACGAGTCAATCAGAGAAAAATAAAATCACTTGGATTCTGGATTAGGCTCTATGCGGTAAGCAAAATTTCAAAAAAAAAATAAATCCAGTATTTCTATTCGATTCCTTATGGCGTGTCATATAAAATGACTGCCCACACCCCTAGGGCATCTCGTTCCCAAGGTTTAGATCATAACCTGCAGAGTTTCAAGTCCCAAAAGGGCCTATAGCCAGTTGTAGCGCCTTCCCGGCGACCGGCAGTGCATCAGCTTCGTGCAGGTTGCAATTCCCGCACGCTGACCACTCTGAAGTGCATTTAAACCAGGACTACAACCAAAAGGGACCTGAGTGCCTTTTTGTCCACTGTTAGGGACTTTACAGGGTCTACAACACCAAGAGGCTTGTGTGACAAGACCTCCAAGGCATTGGGATGTGGAACCAAGACTTCTCATTCGTCATAAGGGCACTACATGCCTATTTCAGCCAGTACCTCGATACGCCACTTTGGCCTGTTGTTTTTCCTCTGCAAATCCCTGAACCTATTAGTCCTGCCTCATAACGCATTCCTGACGTCCTGAATATCGTCTAGTGCTACCACAAGGCTTAAAAATTGATTTAAATCGTTTCATTCATTATAATAAATCCTAATACCGAAAACGATAAATATCAATTTCTGTCTATTTCTGTGTGTAACACATGGCAACAAAAACGAGTGTGGTATGTCATAAAAACATCAGGTTTGCTTGAGGATTCAAAACTCTTTATAGTAGACAAAATTTTAGAATACCGGAACTATAATTAATGGTTAATCTAAAATTTAACGTCTTCGAGAAAACGTGAATACGAGGGGAGGTCAGAAAGCACGCAATTCACGGCACCGGAAAAAAACTTCATTACAAGTTTATAGTAAAGGGTTGTCCAATAGGGACGCAGGAAAGTAAACGTCAATTTGACATAGACGCCATCTTTGTTTTCTGTCACCGATATGTCATTTTGTTAGTTGAATGTTTACCATTGATCGCTATGGAGTCGTATTCGATTGAAGATCGCATTAAAGTTATTCAAGAGCACTACAAAAATGGTGCAAAAATAAAAAACACGTTTCGCGCGCTTCGTGAACATTTCGGTCGCAACAACCGCCCAAACGAAACAACCATCGGTCGTCTGGTGCGTAAATTCGAGGCAACAGGTTCTGTGGCAAATCTGCCAGGCTCTGGCCGGCCAAGGAGCGTTCACACACCGGAAAATATTGCTGTTGTGAAGGAAAGAGTGAGAGACGATCCGAAACAATCAACAATGCGTCGATCCCAAGAATTGGGCATTTCGAGAACCAGTTTGCTCCGCATTCTCCACAAGGATTTGAATGTACACGCCTACAAGATCCAATTGACGCAAGAGCTGCGTCGGAACGACCATTTTTCGCGCCGAACGTTCTCAGATTGGCTCCTTGAACACCGCCAAATTGATGCCAATTTTTCATCAAAAATCATGTTCAGCGACGAAGCGCATTTCACTTTGAATTGGACGGTAAACAATCAAAACTGCCGCATCTGGGCGAACGAAAATCCCCGTGAGTATCAAGAGCAACCGATGCATCCTCAAAAAGTGACTGTGTGGTGTGCATTGTGGTCAAAAGGCATCATCGGACCTTACTTTTTCGGAAATGCGGCCGGGGACGCCGTTACCGTCAATTCTGAGCGATATCACGTGATGATAGAGGACTATTTTTTACCGTAACTTGAAGGAATGGATATGGACGATGTTTATTTCCATCAAGACGGTGCAACATGCCACACAACCATCGTCAATATCCATCGATTGCAGTCCTTCTTCGGTGATCGCGTGATTTCGCGCAGAGGAAATGTGCTATGGCCACCAAGATCGTACAATTTGACTCCCTTGGGCTTCTTTTAATGGGGATATTTGAAAAGCAAAGTCTACGTCAACAAACCAGCCACCCTCCAAGAACTCAAAAACAACATCATTGCCGAGATAAATGCCATAGAACCGACCATGTTGCAAAATGTCATTGAAAATTTCGACCATCGCGTGGACGTCTGTAAATCCAGTCGTGGTGAACATTTGAGCGATATTATTTTTGATACATAAATGGTATAAATGAACCTTCAAAATAAAGTACCCAACTTGATTTGAATATCAATCTTTCTTGTTTTAATATGCGTTTACTTTCCTGCGTCCGTTTTGGACAACCCTTTATATTATAAGGGATACAAAAAGTGATAACAATTTATAGAAATACAAATTTTCTTGAAATAAGAACACCACCACCCCAGTCGTTTTGTTTATACTTGCACTTACCATGTGAATAATTATTGGTTTCAACCTTAACTATTTTCCAAGCATCGCTACGCCTCAAATTCTATGTATCCATTCATATTTCATTTGAAGCTTCTATTTCAAAATGTAGAATAGTAAAGGTAGCGAAACTATCAGGTGAGCTGTCAACACCGCAGCACAGTTGAAAAGAACGACAGTTGCCAAGGTTTATGTATAGCCTGGGTACCGACGGAGCCATTTGGGACGTCATGGCGTTAATTTTGAAATTTTCAATTGCATTTTTTCAAATGTATTGCAACGATTTAGGAAAAAATTTCCGTACGGAAAGTTTTATAATGCATTGAAGAGTATACTTCAACGGTTGGCCGGGTTTGCTCCACTGGGACTAAGCCGGTTAATCGAATTTAAAAAACAGATTAGACAATTAACCGGTTATTTTTGGCCATCCGTAACTAAAATGTATATTCCGTGACAAAAGAAAAATATTGCAAATTGTACTTTTCCGCAGGTTTTAATTTTTCTGGCAGATTTACGACATATATACTCAGTGACATTAGACGTGTTAAAACAAAAAAAAAATAATTCCTCAAACTTTTTTTTTGGTAACGTAATGACTATATTTTAAGCAGGCTGTGGCAACAATGTCAACGTTTTATCTTTGTTTTTGTTCACCTTTGTTAAAATGTTATCTCTTAGTTTTTTGTGAAGAAAGCACTTTCTGAGAGCTGACTAATACAGATATTTTTAGTTATTGTCATTTAGTAGTGTTGAGCATGACAACATGGCTCGAGTTCGAAGACGTCCAAATTATCACCATGTGAGCGACTTTGTCCGGGATAGGATTATTGCCTATCGAGATGTTGGTTTGTCCTATCGCGAAATTGGCTGCCGTGTTCATTGTACTGCAATGACGGTAATGCGTGTGTGTCGTGAGTAGACAGAAGAAGGTAGAGGTACGCGAAGAAGGCCAACTGGTCCACAGAGCGTTAAGATAGGCGCTTTAGACAGCTAGTCCTACGAGACCGCTACTACGCAATAGATCGGAGAAGAAGGAAGACCTGCACCGTCTTGTTGGAAATAAACATCGTCCATATCCATTCCTTGAAGTTGCGGCAAAAAATAGTCCACTATCACCACGTGATATCGCTCAGAATTGACGGTAACGGCGTCCCCGGCCGCATTTTCGAAAAAGTAAGGTCCGATGATGCCTTTTGACCACAATGCACACCACACAGTCACTTTTTGAGGATGCATCGGCTGCTCTTGATACTCACGGGGATTTTTACCGTCCCATTCAAAGTGAAATGCGCTTCGTCGCTGAACATGATTTTTGATGAAAAATTGGCATCAATTTGGCGGTGTTCAAGGAGCCAATCTGAGAACGTTCGGCGCGAAAAATGGTCGGCCCGACGCAGCTCTTGCGTCAATTGGATCTTGTAGGCGTGTACATTCAGATCCTTGTGGAGGATGCGAAGCAAACTGGTTCTCGAAATGCCCAATTCTTGGGATCGACGCGTTGTTGATTGTTTCGGATCGTCTCTCACACTCTCCTTCACAACAGCAATATTTTCCGGTGTGCGAACGCTCCTTGGCCGGCCAGAGCCTGGCAGATTTTCCACAGAACCTGTTGCCTCGAATTTACGCACCAGACGACCGATGGTTGTTTCGTTTGGGCGGTTGTTGCGACCGAAATGTTCACGAAGCACGCGAAACATGTTTTTTATTTTTGCACCATTTTTGTAGTGCTCTTGAATAACTTTAATGCGGTCTTCAATCGAATACGACTCCATAGCGATCAATGGTAAACATTCAACTAACAAAATGACATGTCGGTGACAGAAAACAAAGATGGCGTCTATATCAAATTGACGTTTACTTTCCTGCGTCCCTATTGGACAACCCTTTACATTTTCATGTAGAATCTCAAGCACTACACGGATATGCTGACATTAATAGAGGTTGCTATTTGAATTTTCAAAATCAAACTCCAAATGACCTCTGAAATCATTATATGGGTTATGGGCTTATTGCTTGTTTGATATCTTGAATCTTTTGTTATTTACGTTAATTTTAACGGTTGGATATTTTAAAAATGGGTTGGTTACTGCTGGCTGATAAGGACATGTTTGTTCTCCTTCTCCTGTAACCATGACCAACCTCGGTCAGCGCTGTTTCGTGTTTATTAGCAGCGGTATAGGTCTATTGCTTGTCGCTAAACGTGTATGGACCTACTCCAAAAAACATTCCTGCACAATGTTGATTATATGTTAACTTCTTTTTAGTTCAAAGTGTTCGTCAACAACAAAAAAGCAAGGACTGGGCACAAAGTAGAAGTGGCAATATATGGAGAGCCAGGCTCGTATGTCGGTCTATCAGGAATCGATCGAGCTTTCTACACGATGCAAGCAGGAAATGAACTTACGTATGCGAAGGTTATATCGAAAATGTCGACGTTTGACGATGACACGAACGGAACCCATCATCTAACGTGGTTCTCGCATGAGGGCAATCCTGACGAGTTGGTTTACTTCCCTTCCAGCACATTTGGTAAGCATTTCTATTTACCTCACCGCGCTTTGGCTGACTAAGGGCCGATTTCATTAATATTATGGACCAATAGGAAAATACCTTATCGAAACGCAATTTGACGGAAGCTGTTAAAGGTCTCAGAATATCAGTGATTTCTATTAAAATGTTGAATAAAATCGTTAAAATTCGACTGTATTATACTAAGTGACATATAAATCCGAACACCCAGTTTAAATGGTTTTATTTTAATAAAAGTTGGTGAATGTATTTATCTTACTGTAAATAACAAGTGAAAACATTTTCAGCCTTAACAGTTGGACATTCCGGTTTTTATACTGCTTTTTTTTAATTCACTAACGCTCTAAAAATTTATATTTCAGCCGCAGTAAAAAATCAACGTTGGCGTATTTTGGTTCTTGACATCCTTTACGATCGGTTACGATGCCTAGAGTACGGAGACCTGTACGATTTCGTCAACTTAGTGAGTTTGATAGGGGCCGTATAGTGGGACTTCGGGAAGCTGGACTTTCTTTTCGGGCAATTTCAGTTAGAGTGCAAAGAAGTGTAGACACTGTGGTTAGGTGTTGTCAGGCATGGCTTCGAGAAGGCCGTACGCAAAGAGCAAGGGGCACTGGACGCCGCCGTAGAACAACAGACCGTGAAGATCGCCGCCTAAGATTATTGGCCTTAAGGGACCGCTTCTCCACTACCAGGTCCATTGCAAATGAATGGTTTGCAGAACACGGAAGACCTATTGGCATGCGAAGTGTTTACCGACAAATGAGAAGTTTTGGCTTGTTTTCATACCGGCCACACTGGGTCCTCCCTTTAACTCGAGAACACCGACGTAATCGCCTTGAGTGGTGCAGACAACGGTCACTCTGGGATCAGGAATGGAACAGTATTGTCTTTAGTGACGAGTCTCGATTTTGTTTAGGCATGCACGATAGTCGTGCCAGGGTTAGAAGGCGACGTGGTGAAAGGAGGAATCCACAGTTTTTTGTTGAAAGACATGTTCATCACACTGTTGGAGTTATGGTTTGGGGTGCTATAGCTTATGGTTCCAGGTCACCTTTAATCTTCATCAGAGGTAACATAAACGCGCAGCGTTATATCCACGAAGTTCTAGAACCCCATCTTTTACCCGATCTTGACACCCTGGCAGATCCAACTTTCCAACAAGATAATGCCCGACCACATGTTGCAAGAGTCACAATAGACTTCTTTCAACATAATGATGTCACATTGTTACCATGGCCACCAAGATCTCCCGACTTATCCCCAATTGAGCACGTGTGGGATATGATGGGTAGGAGATTGCTCAATTTACAACGTCTTCCTCAGACTCTAGAAGCACTTCGAGAGGAGTTGGTGGTTGCCTGCAATGAGATACCACAGGAGGACATTGACCACCTGATCAGAAGCATGCCTAGGCGCGTTGGAGAATGCGTAGCACATCAGGGTGCATCCACACATTATTAAAGGTCAAAGGGCTTTAAGACAGTGCAATCATTTTGAAATTTTTATCATTTACTTATTATACTTCATTAAGTACATATACAAAATTTTATTAAAATAAAACCATTTAAACTGGGTGTTCGGATTTATATGTCACTTAGTATATATTTGGGAATTCCTTAATCGCTGCGAATATAGTGTGGATGTTTGTTAAGTTCCTGAACAACGAAAAATATTCAACTTTATGGACGTATGCAGATTAAAAAACCAGAATGGTTTTGTGGGAATATCAATCTAAGGTGCCATAATGGTTCTGATGAACGGCAAGTAAATGAATGAATGTTTGGAAACGAGCAATATCTATGAACTTTTTGGTAGAGCCAGTCATCAAGTAGGTGCTTAATGGCTATCTGCAAGAGGTTTATAGGAAAAAACACCCAGTAGATGATCTTGAATCAGCAAAATCGCATATCAATTGAAGAAAATAATATAGACATGAATAAAAAATCAATAATAGTATTAAATCATGAATTTTATTCAAAAATCAAACATTTGTTTAAATTTTGACTGAATTATATTTTGTTTTCAACATTTCATAGCTATTGGTTGCTAAAATTTGTTGATTGGAACTTGAAGCTCATTCGTTGTATTTGACAGTCTTTTCCCCTATAGGTGAAGAATAACGGACTGTTGTTGGTGTAATTGGCCCTTAAACTCATTAAATTTAACGAAAAAATATTGTAGTTAAGGTTGCCTTTGACGAATAAACCCAAGGCTAGAACACGAGTTTACATGTCTTACTATCTATAAACTGTATAAAACTAATATTGAAAAAGTGCAGAAGAAATTTCTAAAATATCTATGCTATAGGAGTGATGGTGTCTATCCTCCAAGAGGATGTGACTACTCACAATTACCGAATAGATTTCGCATCCCTTCTTTGGAAAAGCGCAGAGAGCAGGCGTCCATCATATTTTTATACAAATTACTGCATGGTAACATCGACTGTCCTGTTTCGCTATCGCAAATTAATTTCCTGGTACCTAGATTGACATCTAAATATAAAGTTTCCTTTTATTGCAAGAGGGCGCAGACAAATCTTCTATCTAAAGCACCAATAAACTTTATGTGCAATAATGCGAATAGGATGTGGATTTCAGGAATTACGAAGTGCTATACGTTCACATCTTTGACTTTTTTTACGCCTTTCTCTAGGGGTTTTCATTTGTTGTATATGTATATATATGTATGTATTTATGTGTATACCTGTATATGTGTATACTCGTATATGTGTGAATGTGTATGTATGTGTATATGGATATTTGTGTATATACCAGTATATTCTGGTTTCCTAATATCTATTGATCATATTTATAGTTTCTTTTTTCTCTACTTAAAGCGCCTTCCTCTTTTCTGTGTTTTTTTTTATTTTTGTTTCACTTTATGACACACAGACTGTGTAAATTAAACCATTGTATTATGTATTGCTCTCTAAATGGTACCTGTACTGTTGGGCAATAAATGCTTTATTATTATTATTATTATTATTATTATTATTATTATTACCATTACACATACATATAAAAATCCAATCTACTTCTTTAAAATTCCTTGCCCAAAATGGTCGCTATCTCTCCAGCATCACTGTTGAAAATATATTCAATTTATGCTACTTATCACTTAAGAACAACTTTTAAAAATAGTTTGATCAAGACATGACGTTAGTGATTATTTGACAGGTATTGATGCGAATAGAACGTTTGAATATCTGGGCCTAGTGGTGTTTACTGACTTTTTGGTGCATCGAAGACCGTCATTCTGCAATGCTACGCAAGGATATGGAGAATGCTTAAACGGACGCTGCTACAATTTAAGAAAACGCTGTGATTACTTTAGAGACTGCGAAGATGGATCTGACGAGGCAGGATGTAAGTATTATCAATTTTATTTTATTACACAGTTAGAGAAGTTCAATATTTTGTACTACTTCAAATGCAGTGCTTATCGAAAGCAAACTTTGTTTTCTTAGTTACATAAACGCACAACTTTGTCCCCATTCAGTCAACGTAAGAAGGTACTTGATGTCATCTAACTACTAAGTTTTTTATTTTATTACTGTTCTAACGTACACTACTGTATGTATATTTTTGCTAATTAACGAGAAAAAATAGTGATTGTACCATAAATAGAACCACCCCGGGTGAGGGGGAATCAAAGAAACTACCGTTTCGCTTGTGTGGGGGTTAGCGACTTGTCGATTTTTTATATACAGGGTGTTTTCCAAGTTGAGTCATTTATTTTAATTGCTCGTAGGACTCGTCAAAAGAAGTTGATATACCAAAAATCACCTACCTATATAAAAGTTGCATAATTAAAGAAATAATGAAAAATTATAACCATCACAAAAATAAGAATGTTATTACACAGATTTTTTTGTAAACGTAACTTATATCAACGTATATCAACTTTTTTTGATGAGTTCTACAAGTTAGTGGTAGTAGTAGAAAGATTTATTTAGCACATTTGGCTACATAAACAGAATAATTGTAAACAACTTACAACTAGTAAATTCAAGCTATATGGTGTATGATGTAAATGCTGGGCAACCTATAATTGTAGATTCAACAAGTGATTTCTCAATTTTACTTTAAATTTTGTCAAAGTTTTCTGGTCTTTTATCTCCGAGTATAATTTTTAATATTCAATCAACCCTTGATGGAATACAGATTTGTAGCATATGTTATACTTTTTGGTCATTAAGTGGAAGTCATCTTTATTTCTGGTATTATGTAAATGATGGTCGACATTTGATGATGTTAAATTAGTTAGACTTGATGGAAATATATTATTTTTTACTTTATAAATGAATATCATTACAAGATATTTGATAAAATTTTTTACATTGAGCCATTTTAATTTGCTAAGCATTTGCCTAATTGGAGTATATTTATCTTTATTTAGTATTATTCTCATGCACTTATTTTGTAAAATTTGCAGTCTTTCAAAAATGGAATTATTTGCTAAATATAGAATAGTCGAAGAGTACAAGAAATTTGGAAGAAAGATGGTATTATAGATAATTTTTCTGCTATATGAACTCAGACATCCCAAAACTCTCGATAAATATCCCACTTTACTACTAATCTTATTTATAACTTTTTCATAATGAATATCAAAAATTAATCGAGAGTCAACAAAAACCCCCATGTATTTAAAATTTTCTACGAATTCAATATCTTCACCATCAATATTCAGTTGAACATTTGTACATTGTTTTTTTTCCGATTAACAAGGCTTTCGTTTTACTTGCATTTAATTTTAGTCTGTTAGATGCTAACCATTTTGAGACAAGCTTCAAGTCTTCATTTATATAAGAGATACCAGACTGGATATTTTTAGTACTTATATAAATCATAGTGTCATCGGCGAAAATCTGAATTTTGCATTTTTTGACTATGGGAGGTAAATCATTTATGTATAAAATAAAAAGAAGTGTTCCCAGGATACTGCCCTGTGGAACACCCAACGTATTTTCAATTTTTGATGAAATAGTGTCATTAACTTTTGTAACTTGCATCCTTTTAAACAAATAATTTCTACACCAATCTAAAATACTTCCTGTTATACCATATGCCTTTAATTTACCTAACAAAATATCTCTATCAATCGTTTCAAATGCCCTCTTCAAATCCAAAAATACTGCTATGACAACTTCTTCTGAGTCTATGGCTCTTTTCCAATTCTCAGTTACCAACTGGAAAGCTGTTTCTGTGGAATATTTTTTTCGAAAGCCTGCTTGCGCCCCCACTAAAATTTTGTTTTCTTCTATAAACTGCATTAATTGGTCATGCACTATGGACTCTAATAATTTTTCAATGTCTGGTAACACATTTACTGGTCTCATATCGCTGCATCTTTTAGAATGTTTTACTTTGGGAACTGGTGTTATTGTAGAGCATTTCAAATTTTCAGGAAAAGAACTGCTTCTCAGTGAACAATTGATCCAATTTAATACAGGATATCCCAAAATTTCGAAACAGTTGTTATTTGATTTTAAACTGTTTACTTTTTTTCTTAGATAATTCAATGAATCGCTGTGAAATTTTGAAAGTGTATGCAACATTTCCCCCTGGAAACTGATTTTCATATAGTCAGGTGCAGCATTGGCAGTACCCACAATATCAACAATACTTTCCACAAAATATCCATTTAGTTTGTTTGCAATCACCAAAGAATTTGTTTCGGTACCGTTTTCGAATTGAACTTGATTTACACAATCATGCGGCTTCGAATTGATCAGTCTTTTTAAAGTCTTCCACATCTTTACACTGTCGCACTTGTTATTATCGATTTGTTTATCGTAGAATTTCCTTTTTTCTTCTCTAATTACATATAGTATACACATTTATTCCTAAGGGTTTTATATACCTCCCAATCATCATTTGATTTTGTGAATATACATTTATTATATTGTTTGTCTCTCAAATTTTGAGCTGCCTTAATATTCTTGTTGGTAAAATAAATGACTCAACCTTGAAAACACCCTGTGTACTGTTGGTATTTTCGGTTGTTACCATTTGGTAATCGTGTGAAACGATTTTGCCACTCCTGGTTCATATGGAAAAGTGAAAACGATATTGATATTCCGTTGCCATTTTAGAAAATTGTTTTTTTACCCTATAATAAACTTTTTAGGCCATTACGAGAACATGACTGAACTAGCACTATTCAGGAAATTTAGGTTTAACAGGATACAAAGGCAATACGAGAACGTATGGTTATGGAAAGATGTGAATATTGGCCCGCATGGCCGTTATATTTTCAATATCCCTGTACCGTCAAGGCCCGTTCATTGGATGATCTCAGCATTTTCGATGAGCCCCTCGCTAGGCTTTGGAATGCTTAATAAGGCTATCGAGGTAAGCGCAGTCATTCTGATTCGTAAGTAGATTAGGTTAGGTTTCTTGTGAGTGCATCAATAACGATCCTCCACTGTGTCTCAGGTCTAAAGAAAAGTAGCATAGTTAAAATATCACAATAAATGTGAATATAATACGGAGTGAGATAAACGGCCTTTGTTAAAAACAAAACACTATTTAAACAAGTTTAAAATAAAAATATATTGCTTACTGATTCGGAAAATTTAAAAATTAATTCATAGACTTGTTTAAAATTTATTCAGCATGATTGTTACAATTACGTTCTTTTAAAAAACTACAACAATTACATAACACAGATATTTAGAAAGAGAAAATTTGCATCTCTAAGAATTTTCACTGACCATGAAATGTTTTGAAACATCTTCAAATTGCAAGTAGATTTTACATCATTATTTAGTTTATTAAAGTATAAGTAATCCTTTCTGAAACATTGATTTTCTAGTTATATTACTATTGCAATTTTGTAAATGAAAATCTATATTTCCTCTTGCATAATAATTGTATTAATGATTATTCAATTCTACGTAGTGTTCTAAATGTTGTGGCAAAATATGATTTATTATTGTATCTTTTTACTATCCTAAAAAAGCGATTACCTCAATTTTTTGCTATAATTCAAATTATCGAATTTTAAAAAATTTTACATTTATCTCTAAAAAGATACTTTTTTGGGGTTTCTGTTGAGAATGGGTATTTTTTATATTATTATAAACTCAAATAGCTTAACAACAATTGAAAATAGGTATAAACTTTATTATACAAACTTATTTTTGGATCACCCTTCATTTTACGGCTATAGATGAGAAATCAAAATTGACCTGACTGAGCGTTTTTCCCAAAATGTACTAGGAGAATCACAAGTCTCCCTTTTCGTTGGGCCACCCTGTATAAAGTTGACGTTATAATATACATATACTAAGTGACATATAAATCCGAACATCCAGATTAAATGGTTTTATTTTAATAAAAGTTGGTGAATGTATTTATCTTACTGTAAATAACAAGTGAAAAAATTTTCAGCCTTATCAGTTGGACATTCCTGTTTTTATACTGCTTTTTTTTAATTCATTAACGCTCTAAAAATGAATATCTCAGCCGCAGTAAAGAATCAACGTTGGCGGATTTTGGTTCTTGACATTCTTTACGATCGGTTACGATGCCTAGAGTACGGAGACCTGTACGATTTCGTCAACTTAGTGAGTTTGATAGGGGCCGTATAGTGGGACTTCGGGAAGCTGGACTTTCTTTTCGGGCAATTGCAGTTAGAGTGCAAAGAAGTGTAGACACTGTGGTTAGGTGTTGTCAGGCATGGCTTCGAGAAGGCCGTACGCAAAGAGCAAGGGGTACTGGACAGACCGTGAAGATCGCCGCCTAAGATTATTGGCCTTAAAGGACCGTTTCTCCACTACCAGGTCCATTGCAAATGAATGGTTTGCAGAACACGGAAGACCTATTGGCATGCGAAGTGTTTACCGACGAATGAGAAGTTTTGGCTTGTTTTCATACCGGCCACATTGGGTCCTCCCTTTAACTCGAGAACACCGACGTAATCGCCTTGAGTGGTGCAGACAACGGTCACTCTGGGATCAGGAATGGAACAGTATTGTCTTTAGTGACGAGTCTCGATTTTGTTTAGGCATGCACGATGGTCGTGTCAGGGTTAGAAGGCGACGTGGTGAAAGGAGGAATCCACAGTTTTTTGTTGAAAGACATGTTCATCACACTACTGGAGTTATGGTTTGGGGTGCTATAGCTTATCGTTCCAGGTCACCTTTAATCTTCATCAGAGGTAACATGAACGCGCAGCGTTATATCCACGAAGTTCTAGAACCCCATCTTTTACCCTATCTTGACACCCTGGCAGATCCAACTTTCCAACAAGATAATGCCCGTCCACATGTTGCAAGAGTCACCATAGATTTCTTTCAACATAATGATGTCACATTGTTACCATGGCCACCAAGATCTGCCGACTTATCCCCAATTGAGCACGGGATATGATGGGTAGGAGATTGCTCAATTTGCAACGTCCTCCTCAGACTCTAGAAGCACTTCGAGAGGAGTTGGTGGTTGTCTGGAATGAGATACCACAGGAGGACATTGACCACCTGATCAGAAGCATGCCTAGGCGCGTTGGAGAATCCGTAGCACATCAGGGTGCATCCACACATTATTAAAGGTCAAAGGGCTTTAAAGCAGTGCAATCATTTTGAAATTTTTATCATTTACTTATTATGCTTCATTAAATACTTATACAAAATTTTATTAAAATAAAACCATTTAAACTGGGTGTTCGGATTTATATGTCACTTAGTATAGTAAATACTTACAATAATACATTAATATAAAAAGTGCTCAATGAAAATTACTTGAACGCTATCGTAAAACTAAAAATGTGTTCCTAACAAGTGCGGAAAGTGATATTTTTCGGCACACGACGACAGTTGCACGAACGACGTGTCAATAGAATGAAATCGCATTAACAAAGACTTTTCAATAATTACAAGGAGCAAGGCCTTCCATGATCCAGCCCTTATTTCTTTACTATCTTTTATAACTTGTCGTACGGACAGATTGGTGTCTTATTAACGAAACGCACATTTTTTAGTATCTCGGAGTACTACCCTTTTTTATCAATGTGGAGATGCCTAATAGATGTATGCAAGGAGAACAAGTAGGCATAAGAGTGACAGTTTTTAACTATATGACGGAAAACATTGAGGCTACGGTTGTATTGAATGGATCTCCAGACTATAAATTCGTCCATGTCGAAGAGAATGGTATTGTAAGAGCATACAATCCCAGAACGTCATTTGGAGAACATCAATTTTTCATCTACATCAAGGTTTGTACTAATTCTGCTATAACAACTGCTGCTTTTTTGAATATTTGTTACCAAAGTGGAGTTATACTAAGAGAAGACGGACAAGGGCGATAAAATTATAGGAGCCCTATCACAAAATAGTTCGGACGTTATCTAATTTTGACTTGAAGTCTGTTTATTTCTTTAAGGTTACAAAATATTTTTTTCTTCAAGACATTGAAATACAGCAGACGCTCGATAATGTAAACTAATTTAATCCAAGTGTGGTTCACATTATCGAAATGTTTACATTAGCGAACGTGATTTATATAATATTTGATTTATTAAAAGAAACGTTTAATACATACTATTTATAACAAAATAAACAAATCTTCTAACAGCGATAAGTATTTTTTTAATTAGAAGAAAACTAATTAACAATTTTTGTCTGCGTAAATTTGCGCTTAGCATTGTCTTCCAATGCCTGCGCCCGTAATTTACGAACAACTAAAATATCCTTGTATGAAACTTGTTTTCTTTCAGCCCAATCTAAAGCTTGGTTAAAAACTTGTATAGCTTGCGCGTCAGTCACTAAACTTCTGACTTCAATGGTATCGTTCTCATCATCCTCACTGTCCATATCCTCCTCCTTATCAGCATCATTCGTCTGCTTATCTTCGTTCCATGAATTAATATCAGCAGGAGTACAAACAATGTTGGGATTCACTGTTTTCAATAAATCAACACCATCCAATGACACACTAATAACATTATCATTATTAGATCGCAGACGTTCTCTAATTACGCTTAAGGGGACATCGTCTTCTTCATCATCTTCATTATTGGTACAAAAGAGATTGTTCCAACATTTTTGAATAGTTTGCTGGTTAAGTTCATTCCAGGCCATATGTAAATCTAAAACAGCTTCCCGTAATGTTACTTTTTTTAAAGCCTCAGATAAGTTTTCAGGATTCTTTGATAAGACAGACGAAAGTAGAAACTTCCTATAGTATAGTTTGGTGAGTCTTATTATATTCTGGTCCATCGGTTGAATTAACGGTGTTACGTTCTACATGACGAAAATTGACCCATCCCTGCTCCTCAGTTGTTGCTCGGGAGGATGACTTAGTGCATTATCCAATAGTAACAACGCTTTTATTGGAAGCTTCTGTTGTTTTAGGAAACCTTTTACCTACAAATTGAAAACACATCTTCAAATTATGAATAGAGCATTTGCGATAATTGATTGTCATACCTGAGGGACAAAGCACCTGTGGAACCATTTCAGGAATATACTGCTAGTCATCCAAGCGGTTTTTGAACAGTCTTAATCAACAGAGATATTAACATTTCTAAATGAGCGCGGATTTTTTGCTTTCCCAATTACCAGTGGATTTATTTTGTGTGAACCATTAGCATTAGTGCAGGCTAGAAACGTTATTCGTTGTTTCTCCGGCTTTCTTCCCGGTGCAGATTTTTCAAATGATGCAGCATAGGTTTTCTCTGGTAACATTTTCCAATAAAGGCCACTTTCATCTGCGTTGTAAATTTGTTCCATTCTTAAATCTAGCTCGGTAATTGTTTTCATCAATTTTTCTTTGAATGGTTGCACTAATTGTGGTTGTGCTGATAACTTTTCACCAGATATAGACAGCAGTCGAATTCCATATCTGGTTTTGAATCGTTGTAGCCAGCCATCACTAGCTACGAAATTTGCAGTTTCTTTCAGTTTTTCATTTAACAGTCTCGCTCTCTGTTTAAGTACTTCGCCATTAACTGGGACATGATTTTCCCGTTGTTTTAAAAACCACTTATACAGGGAATTTTCCATTTAGATGCCATCGCATTTTTTTAAGTTTTTCTTTTTCCCGGACCTCCAAATGTATTGCACGTTCTTTGTAAAATTTGAGTTTTGATACGGTTAATTTTACAGATTGTTGCTTTCGATACTCCATATTTGTTTGCTAACTGTGTCACTCCCGCACCTAGTGCAACTTCGTCTATGATTTTCACTTTCTCACTCAACTTTAAACACTTTCTTTTATAGGATGTGGATGCCATAGTCGTAAAATATATTAACGCGTGCAATGTATTCGCTTAAGTTCAAAAATGAAATACATACGTACGTATAAACGTATCCTAAACGATGATACGACTGACCGAGTTTGTCGTATTTTATCGCAGAGGTGAATCCCCTACACTCTGCATCATAAATCGGGGACTACCCGACGCCCGATATGAATCATCGAGGCTTCAGCATTTTATCGTCGCGCTGTTTCCGTGCGCCGAGAGTTGTTTACGTTATCGAGCGTACACATTGTTTACGTTATCGCGCGTTCCGTTTGATCCCATAGAACGCAGTTTGTGTTTACATTAGCGCAAGTTTTTATTATCCCGTGTTTACGTTATCGAGCGTCTGCTGTATTTTGAAAACTTTTGTTCTACCAGTTTTCTTTCTTTTCTTTGTTGATCAGAAAACATATTCAACTTCAAATTAGTATACCACAAACTTTATGTAAATTTTAATCTCAAAGTTACAACTGACATTTTGGATAATCCTTCTTCTTGGTCAGTATGACATGGACATTCCCGGTTCTTTTCGTTTCGGACATAAACAAAAATGTCTTTTTGATGCCATCTTTTTACTTATTTTAAAGGGGAATTAAAGTATCATATACAAGGATTTGTTTCCAATGGAAAAATAAAAAAAAACACTGTGACATTCCCTATTCTTTGTCTGTACCATTCATATGCTTCCCGATATCACTAAACCTGACGGAAACTTTACTTTTCTCTTTAGGTAGTCTTTATGATACGCTTCGTTTTTTGTTTCTTATATCCTGTCATCGGTGGTCACCTAATCAAACATCAAATTTCGATTAATCGCTAAAAGTGATCTTTTTCCAGTCTTCGTAAATCCACATTGCCCGTTCTTTAGCACACGCTAATCGCCTTTTCTTTTGTTTGAACGCTAGTGGGATTTTTCGACACTCCGCTCATGAAGTGAAAATATTTATTAAAAACTAAAATAAATTTCTGAGAACATACGATATTTTTATTTAATATCAGCGTAATATACAAAATTTTTTGATAACAAAGAAAAAATATCTTACGAATTAAAAAAAACTGCAGATGGTGAATGATCACTTTTCTTATTTCGACAGAAACAGCTTTATCGCGAGCCATTTTTAATGGTTAACAATAACACCGATGCATTAAAAGTTGATTTAAACGTAAAAAATCAGCTTCTTAGCAACGTAAAATGCTATCATTTGTTTTAGAAAGCCCACCTTTATTTTATCGAAGCGAATAAACAGACCACTCAACTGGAGTTGTCTCCATCAAGTATTTTGCTATACACAAATCACAAGACAATTTCGAAATAAAAACGCTTTAAAAGTGGCCGCGTCGGTTTTGTTATATTTCCATAAACATTTAAAAAACAAAGAATATATTTAAAATAAAATCTTAATTAGCCCTCAAAATAATTCACAAATATCATGTTTTTAATATTCAGACAGTTTTTATGAAAATGTCTCATCCATCCTAATTGAATTGATTTTTTTGTAGGCTCAAGACGCATCAGTAGTATACATACCAATAGTAGCTACAAAACTGGGAGATATTGAGGTGACAATTCATGCCTCTACACTGATTGGAAAAGATCAAATCACAAAGAAATTACACGTCGAGGTACGTATTATTTTCGCTCCATTAAATACCATTCACGTCACACTGTATATTTGACTTTCTGGATTCGATTTACGTATATGAAAAAAGATACTTATTTTATCATTTTATTTGTATCTTTTTGTATAATCGCCAGTGATGGGAGCTTTCGCGTGGACTTTGTCTATATTTTGATGTAGACTATGTAGACAATAGCATACCTAAGTGAGGCTAAGTTTACTTGCAAATGTCAAATCATAAGTGAATAAGAAATGAATTAGCTTATATCCGTGGATTACATTTATCTTTACTATTATTTTTTACTTTATTCCACAAAAAATTAGTTTGGATGTCGCAGTAGCGACATGGACAAACTTCACTCATTTATTCTGAATAATAAAGTTATTTATTATCATTATTCTTTGTTATATAGTTACCACCAAAAAATATGTGACGAATTATCTATTAAAAAAAAAAGGTAGATCCGTTGATGATATCCGCAATGTTATCAAATCTATAGTTGTTCATAAACTGATAGCAACTTCTTTTTCTTATGGAATGCTTTATAATTTATTCTATATTTTTATTCTGCGAGAAATTTAAAGACTTTTTATTGAAGATACTCATACGTAGACCTCATAGTTTTCGAAATATTCGCGGCCAAACATTAATATTCATACAATAATTGGTATTATTTCCACCTAAGCAATGACCTTCAAAGAAAGTAATTCTGTCATTTCTGACATTCAAAAGTCCATTGAGTTGTGTTAGTAGAGTTTGTTATCCCACCAAAACAGGGTTAGCCGGTAGATATGTGACCCCAGGGTGAGATTCTTTGTACCTTTGTTTTTGGATGCAAAGCGGGTGCGGTTTGGGCGTCACCTAGTTTCAAAAACTAGTAAATGAATTAAAAAGTCTCTGGAGCTAAAGAGACACAAACTCACAAGGCATAAAGACATTTATTGAACAAAAATAAAAAAAAAATAAAGCGAAGCCCTGGAGGACAGGCTAAAGAAAATTAATTTGTATTACCCCCTAGCTAAATGGTTTCCAGTAAATATTAAAATAAAAAAAGAAAACGACCTATGCAGGTGTTTGACTATTACTGAGAGCAGGAAGTGCCAGATGTAACCTGACGATAGAACCCGAAGGTAGAACCCTAAGTCAGAATCCAAAGGTAGAAGCCTAAATAGAAAAATAACCCGAAATAACGATTTGACTAACGATCCCCCCTTCTAATTTGTTTCCAAGAATTAAACAGTTAACTTAAAATGAAACCATTTAGTCTTGGGTTACATCAATTCAAAAATTTAAAATTAAAACAAAATTCCTGTTCAATCACGGTGTACAAGGACAATCGTGATTGCACTATCCAAATTTTTAAATTAACCTGAACTAAATTAAAATAATCAGATAGCTGTAAGAAACATAAGGACCCGGAGGTAAAATATTTCACGTCCTCCCTCAGCTTATAAGTAAAACAATTAAAATGTTACTTGAAAACCACAGGAATATTTTACCTCGTGAGCATGGCTCGCTGAAATTTCAGTAAATATATAACTAATATCAGAATCTACCGCCATATACAAATAACACTATATTATTCTCAGAATTTCTCGCAGAATACGAATATATAAGAAAAACAAAAGTTGCTATCACTTTCTGAAAAACTGTAGATTTGGCAACATCGCGGATATCATCATCGGTTCCGTCGTGGTTTCGAACATAAACCTACCGATTTTTGAAAAAATTAGACGAGTCGTGCGTCAGATATTCGATTCGTTCCAAACTTTTGTTTCAGTCTGTGTATACAGGCAGTTCTATCCGTATCTATAGCGGGCGCCAAAAATTATTATTACATGACGCAGACAATTTCCCATCACTGATTACTTTATCAATAACATTATTGAAGTTGAATTTATTTTTCAGTCTGACGGAGTACCGCAGTATCGTCATCAATCTATGCTATTAGATCTGAGCAACCGTGCGTATGCTTTCCAGTACATGCACGTCAATGTGACCGAAACGCCCATAATTCCGTACGAGTACGATCGATACTACGTGTACGGCTCTAACAAGGCCAGATTGAGCGTCGTCGGAGACGTTGTTGGACCTGTCTTTCCTACCATGCCGGTGAACGCCACGTCTCTGCTCAACCTACCAATGGTAAGCAAATCTACCAGCAGTTCAGTCTTTGAATGCTCCATAGCCTATCAGACGAAAATACCCGTGGTTTGCGAAATAATTGTAAAGGTGTTATTGATGTAAGTTGTTCAAAACACGGACGCTTAAAATTTTTACACCAATTTTTGCGGGAGAACTTTTCATTCAACAACAAAGAATGAGAAAACGGGGTTTTTGAAATTAAATCGAGAGTTTCGACAGGAACGAAAAAAGTCTTCAAATAAGACGTTTAGGCATTTATGAGACCTACAGAATGAGACTACACGTAAAAAGATCTGACTAATAGTAAATAAGTTGTGACCGTCTGAACAATTAGGCAAAATGCTCGGTATTAGCCCCTGATACAATATTTAAAGGCCAAGAGACCAGAGGCCTCGTGGTGTAATGGGAAAGAGTAACGATTGCAGAACCGCAGGACGGAGGTTCAAATCCACAAATCTCCTTTTATTCTATTAATTTTTTGGTTCCTGCCAACACTTTCAACTGAATCCAAAAAACACGTTTCATTCTTCGTTGTCGGATAAAAAGTTTTCCCAAAATTTTATGCGGCCATGTTTTCAATACATCCTTGAATGAAACCAGACTTTATCACCCGCTGAAAATCCCCTACAGTGTTGCCACACAATGCCACTTAAGGCTCTTTTGATACTTTCAGCTTGTTTATGACTTCGGAATACTTCAATAGCTCATAGCTATCGATTAAAAAAATACAGCAGACGCTCGATAACGTAAACACGGGATAATGAAAACTTGCGCTAATGTAAACACAAACTTCGTTCTATAGGATCAAACGGAACGCGCGATAACGTAAACAATGTGTACGCTCGATAACGTAAACAACTCTCGGCGCACGGAAACAGCGCGACGGTAAAATGCTGAAGCCTCGATGATTTATGTCGGGCGTCGGGGAGTGCCCGATTTATGATGTAAAGTGTAGGGGATTCACCTCTGCGATAAAATACGACAAACTCGGTCAGTCGTATGATCGTTTAGGATACGTTTATACGTACGTATGTATTTCATTTTTGAACTTAAGTGAATACATTGCACGCGTTAATATATTTTACGACTATGGCATCCACATCATATAAAAGAAAGTGTTTACAGTTGAGTGAGAAAGTGAAAGTCATAGACGAAGTTGCACTAGGTGCGGGAGTGACACAGTTAGCAAAAAAATATCGAGTATCGAAAGCAACAATCTGTAAAATTAAGCGTATGAAAACTCAAATTTTACAAAGAACGTGCAATACATTTGGAGGTCCGGGAAAAAGAAAAACTTAAAAAAATGAGAAGGCACCTAAAATGGAAAATTCCCTGTATAAGTGGTTTTTAAAACAACGGGAAAATCATGTCCCAGTTAGTGGCGAAGTACTTAAACAGAGAGCGAGACTGTTAAATGAAAAACTGAAAGAAACTGAAAATTTCGTAGCTAGTGATGGCTGGCTACAACGATTCAAAACAAGATATGGAATTCGACTGAGGTTTATATCTGGTGAAAAATTATCAGCACAACCACAATTAGTGCAACCATTCAAAAAAAAATTGATGAAAACAATTACCGAGCTAGATTTAAGAATGGAACAAATTTACAACGCAGATGAAAGTGGCCTTTATTGGAAAATGTTACCAGAGAAAACCTATGCTGCATCATTTGAAAAATCTGCCCCGGGAAGAAAGCCGGAGAAACAACGAATAACGTTTCTAGCCTGCACTAATGCTAATGGTTCACACAAAATAAAGCCACTGGTAATTGGGAAAGCAAAAAATCCGCGCTCATTTAAAAATGTTAATATCCCTGTTGATTATGACTGTTCAAAAACCGCTTGGATGACTAGCAGTACATTCCTGTAATGGTTCCACAGGTGCTTTGTCCCTCAGGTATGACAATCAATTATCACAAATGCTCTATTCATAATTTGGAGATGTGTTTTCAATTTGTAGGTAAAAGGTTTCCTAAAACAACAGAAGCTTCCAATAAAAGCCTTGTTACTATTGGATAATGCACCAAGTCATTCTCCCGAGCAACAACTGAGGAGCAGGGATGGGTCAATTTTCGTCATGTACATGCCGCCCAACGTAACACCGTTAATTCAACCGATGGACCAGAATATAATAAGACTCACCAAACTATACTATAGGAAGTTTCTACTTTCGTCTGTCTTATCGAAGAATCCTGAAAACTTATCTGAGGCTTTAAAAAAAGTAACATTACGGGAAGCTGTTTTAGATTTACATATGGCCTGGAATGAACTTAACCAGCAAACTATTCAAAATTGTTGGAACAATCTCTTTTGTACCAATAATGAAGATGATGAAGAAGACGATGTCCCCTTAAGCGTAATTAGAGAACGTTTGCGATCCAATAATGATAATGTTATTAGTGTGTCATTGGATGTTGTTGATTTATTGAAAACAGTGAATCCCAACATTGTTTGTACTCCTGCTGATATTAATTTATGGAACGAAGATAAGCAGACGAATGATGCTGATAAGGAGGAGGATATAGACAGTGAGGATGATGAGAACGATACCATTGAAGTCAGAAGTGTAGTGACTGACGCGCAAGCTATACAAGTTTTTAACCAAGCTTTAGATTGGGCTGAAAGAAAAGAAGTTTCATACACGGATATTTTAGTTTTTCGTAAATTACGGGCGCAGGCATTGGAAGACAATGCTAAGCGCAAATTTACGCAGACAAAAATTGTTAATTATTTTTCTTCTAATTAAAAAAATACGTATCGCTGTTAGAATATTTGTTTATTTTGTTATAAATAGTATGTATTAAACGTTTCTTTTAATAAATCAAATATTATATAAATCACGTTCGCTAATGTAAACATTTCGATAATGTGAACCACACTTGGATTAAATTAGTTTACATTATCGAGCGTCTGCTGTATGTAATATTTTTATGACTGAACCGGCACTCACCATTGGAATCTCGGAAACAGTACGAGACACGAAGTTGCTTAAAAGGGGACAAAGTTGCGTATTTAGGATGCTAACAAAATAAAGTTTTCATATTGAAAGTATTTCCGAACAAAGACAGAAAAAACGTATTTTCCGAAAAGCGTTTAAATTATTTCCTGGCATTTTTTGTAGTGGGATTTCAAACTAATTTGCAGATGAACATTGCAACTGTTTCTCATTTACAAAATGAAATAATTAGAATTTTAATATGACGTTTCGTCTCTTGTCCTCCAGCGTCGACTTTATTTCTTCTTATAGACATCATATTGGATTTTTGCACAGGTGAAGGTCTGATTTCAAAAATGTATAATATGTCATGCGTTGATATTGGTAAACCTTAGATATTTAAAATTAAAAAACAGAATTTTCTAGGTAGCCCTTGAAATTATTAGATAATCATTTGTTTCATATACCAATTCTATCGTAAAAGCATTTTTTTTGCTTTACTTGATATAGGATTTCAAAGTAAATTACACATTGTCGTTGTCACTTTTTCTCCTATACAAGATGGCCTAGTCAAATTTTCAATTCAATTGTAATTTTACATTGTTATCTATAAAAATTAAAATGACGTCATTATGATAGTAGAAAGATTTATTTAGCACATTTGGCTACATAAACAGAATAATTGTAAACAACATAGAACTAGTAAATTCAAGCCATATGGTGTATGATGTAAATGCTGGGCAACCTGTAATTGTAGATTTAACAAGTGATTTCTCAATTTTACTTTAAATTTTGTCAAAGTTTTCTGGTCTTTTATCTCCGAGTATAATTTATTATATTCAATCAACCCTTGATGGAATACAGATTTGTAGCATATGTTATACCTTTTGGTCATTAAATGGAAGTCATCTTTATTTCTGGTATTATGTAAATGATGGTCGACATTTGATGATGTTAAATTAGTTAGACTTGATGGAAATATATTATTTTTTACTTTATAAATGAATATCATTACAAGATATTTGATAAAAATTTTTACAGTGAGCCATTTTAATTTGCTAAGCATTTGCCCAATTGGAGTATATTTATCTTTATTTAGTATTATTCTCATGCACTTATTTTGTAAAATTTGCAGTCTTTCAAAAATAGAATTATTTGCTAAATATAGAATAGTCGAACAGTACATGAAATGTGGAAGAATGATGGCATTACAGATATTTTTTCTGCTATATGAACTCAGACATCCAGAAACTCTCGATAAATATGCCACTTTACTACTAATCTTATTTATAACTTTTTCATAATGAATATCAAAAATTAATCGAGAGTCAACAAAAACCCCCAGGTATTTAAAATTTTCTACGAATTCAATATCTTCACCATCAATATTCAGTTGAACATTTGTACATTGTTTTTTTCCGATTAACAAGGCTTTCGTTTTACTTGCATTTAATTTTAGTCTGTTAGATGCTAACCATTTTGAGACAAGCTTCAAGTCTTCATTTATATAAGAGATACCAGACTGAATATCTTTAGTACTTATATAAATCATAGTGTCATCGGCGAAAATCTGAATTTTGCATTTTTTGACTATGGCAGGTAAATCATTTATGTATAAAATAAAAAGAAGTGGTCCCAGGATACTGCCCTGTGGAACACCCAACGTATTTTCAATTTTTGTTGAAATAGTGTCATTAACTTTTGTAACTTGCATCCTTCTAGACAAATAATTTCTAAACCAATCTAAAACACTTCCTGTTATACCATATGCCTTTAATTTACCTAACAAAATATCTCTATCAATCGTTTCAAATGCCCTCTTCAAATCCAAAAATACTGCTATGACAACTTCTTCTCTTCTCCAATTCTCAGTTACCAACTGGAAAGCTGTTTCTGTGGAATATTTTTTTCGAAAGCCTGCTTGCGCTTCCACTAAAATTTTGTTTTCTTCTATAAACTGCATTAATTGGTCATGCACTATGGACTCTAATAATTTTTCAATGTCTGGTAACACATTTACTGGTCTCATATCGCTGCATCTTTTAGAATTTTTTATTTTGGGAACTGGTGTTATTGTAGAGCATTTCAAATTTTCAGGGAAAGAACTGCTTCTCAGTGAACAGTTGATCCAATTTAATACAGGATATCCCAAAATTTCGAAACAGTTTTTCAGCACGTTTTTAGTAGTCATTTCGACTCAGCTGTTTACTTTTTTTCTTAGATAATTCAATGATACGCTGTGAAATTTTAAAAGTGAATGCAACATTTCCCCCGTGGAAACTGATTTTCATATAGTTAGGTGCAGCATTGGCAGTACCCACAATATCAACAATACTTTCCACAAAATATTCATTTAGTTTGTTTGCAATCGCCAAAGAATTTGTTTCGGTACCGTTTTCGAATTGAACTTGATTTACACAATCATGCGGCTTCGAATTGATCAGTCTTTTTAAAGTCTTCCACATCTTTACACTGTCGCACTTGTTATTATCGATTTGTTTATCGTAGAATTTCCTTTTTTCTTCTCTAATTACATATACACATTTATTCCTAAGAAATTTATATACCTCCCAATCATCATTTGATTTTGTGAATATACATTTATTGTATTGTTTGTCTCTCAAATTTTGAGCTGCCTTAATATTCTTGTTATACCAGGGTGTATTTTTTGTCGAGCAAATCACTTTTTTATCAGTTGCAAGATCTAAACAAGTTTTTATATTTCCTATTATGTTGTCATATATTTTTTCCATATTCTCACCAAAATTCCAATAGCAGCCAGCAAGTTCTCGTTCAAGTTTTTCGTACTTAATAGTATTTACGATTTTCTTAATTTTTGTATCAGAAAAATGCCGTACCAAGGGCAGCATTGTCCAACTGTGATCGCTATCTTTAGGTGTATGTACAGCTTTAATCCCTGCACATTCGAAATTTACAATAATAAGATCTAACAAAATCTCTGATAATGATGTTATTCTGGTACTCTCTTCAATTTTTTGCTTGAACCCATAGCTGTTTATGGTTTCTTTTAATTTTCTTGTTTTCATGCTTTTACCATAATAATTTAAATTAAAATCACCTAAAAGTATTATATTGTTTCTAAAATTCCACATTTCTTCGCATTTTTCTTCAAAAAACGTTAAAAATGTATCCGCATCACTGTTTGGTGAACGGTAAAAAGTACAAAGAGTGCTGCCAACATCACGTTGAAGTCGGAAACTAGTCAGACCACCAACCTACATAAGCGTCTGAACAATCGCATTCGAAGCTGGAGTTTCTTTTAACTGTCGGACGTATGAAAAACTATAAAACATGCTATTTTTCCAGGATTGTGGAGAACAGAATATATTTTCATTCGCCGTGAATATGTACACCCTTCTCTACATGAGATACACACAGATAAAGAATAGGACGATACAAAAGCAGGCTTTCCATCATATGAACATCGGATATCAGAGGCAGTTGTCGTTTATGCAACCTGATGGATCGTTCTCGACATTTAGGAGCGATTGGTAAGTATATGTTATCTACATAGACAGACCAAAGAGGACATTGCGCGGAATCTCTTTGAATTTTACTTGTCCCTCTACATTGGTTTGGCACTGCTGTACTGGTTGTCTATTTTACAACAAAAGCAAAAAACAACAAACACAGAACCGCCTGTGAGCGAATCGCCAAACCAGAAGGCCGAGGAAGCTCCAGTGCTGCCAAGATGCCAGAAAACAAACTGCAATATTTATAATCAGCTGAATGGAATATCAAATTTGTATTATAGTTGCACATTTCTCACATTAATTCGTCCAAAATATGTTGTACACTATAAATATGTTATTCTCAGATATGATATACAGTGTTTGGTACATGAACTAACAAATTTTTTTCGATATCTGTCAAAAATATCGAGATTTGAATTTGGGTAAAATTTTCCATGTTGCAAAGCAACTGTCCACCAGTTTATTTCTGCCTCAACTCTTCCATTATCTATCACCATTATTCCTAAATGGTTAAACTGTTCTTTAATGAATTATTTGTTGCTCTAATCGGATTTCCACGTTTGCTATCCTTTAGAAATCCTAATCCTCATTCCATACCTGAAGGTTTGTTGAAGATCTTTTTTTTAATTACCTAATAATAAAAAAATGTTCGTCTTCTGTAGGAATCAGTCAGCGTCATCGGTTTGGTTAACCGCCTACTGTGCAAGAATATTCCAAGAAGCCAGCTTCTACGAATGGGAAAACTACATATACATAGATCCAGCAGTGATAGCGAAGTCGGTGGAATGGGTGCTGAAACATCAGACGCAAGAAGGCGCTTTCTGGGAAGAAACTTGGGTGCCTGACAGAAAGTACAATCTAACGCTGAACATTGACAATGATCCGATCAAGTATAGGAATATCACGCTTACGGCCCACGTGCTTATTATGTTGGATACCGTGAAAGACTTGACAAGTGAGTATACATTCAAGTTAGTAGTAGTAGAAAGATTTATTTAGCACATTTGGCTACATAAACAGAATAATTGGAAACAACTTAGAACTAGTAAATTCAAGCCATATGGTGTATGATGTAAATGCTGGGCAACCTATAATTGTAGATTTAACAAGTGATTTCTCAATTTTACTTTAAATTTTGTCAAAGTTTTCTGGTCTTTTATCTCCGAGTATAATTTTTAATATTCAATCAACCCTTGATGGAATACAGATTTGTAGCATAATGTTATACTTTTTGGTCATTAAATGGAAGTCATCTTTATTTCTGGTATTATGTAAATGATGGTCGACATTTGATGATGTTAAATTAGTTAGACTTGATGGAAATATATTATTTTTTACTTTATAAATGAATATCATTACAAGATATTTGATAAAACTTTTTACATTGAGCCATTTTAATTTGCTAGGCATTTGCCTAATTGGAGTATATTTATCTTTATTTAGTATTATTCTCATGCACTGATTTTGTAAAATTTGCAGTCTTTCAAAAATGGAATTATAATTTGCTAAATATAGAATAGTCGAACAGTACAAGAAATTTGGAAGAATGATGTTATTATAGATAATTTTTCTGCTATATGAACTCAGACATCCAGAAACTCTCGATAAATATCCCACTTTACTACTAATCTTATTTATAACTTTTTCATAATGAATATCAAAAATTAATCGAGAGTCAACAAAAACCCCCAGGTATTTAAAATTTTCTACGAATTCAATATCTTCACCATCAATATTCAGTTGAACATTTGTACATTTTTTTTTTTCGATTAACAAGGCTTTCGTTTTACTTGCATTTAATTTTAGTCTGTTACATGCTAACCATTTTGAGACAAGCTTCAAGTTTTCATTTATATAAGAGATACCAGACTGAATATTTTTAGTACTTATATAAATCATAGTGTCATCGGCGAAAATCTGAATTTTACATTTTTTGACTGTGGCAGGTAAATCATTTATGTATAAAATAAAAAGAAGTGGTCCCAGGATACTGCCCTGTGGAACACCCAACGTATTTTCAATTTTTGGTGAAATAGTGTCATTAACTTTTGTAACTTGCATCCTTTTAGTCAAATAATTTCTAAACCAATCTAAAACACTTCCTGTTATACTTCAATTTACCTAACAAAATATCTCTTATCAATCGTTTCAAATACCCTCTTCAAATCCAAAAATACTGCTATGACAACTTCTTCTGAGTCTATGGCTCTTCTCCAATTCTCAGTTACCAACTGGAAAGCCGTTTCTGTGGAATATTTTTTCGAAAGCCTGCTTGCGCCTCCACTAAAATTTTGTTTTCTTCTATAAACTGCATTAATTGGTCATGCACTATGGACTCTAATAATTTTTTAAATGTCTGGTAACACATTTACTGGTCTCATATCGCTGCATCTTTTAGAATTTTTTATTTTGGGAACTGGTGTTATTGTAGAGCATTTCAAATTTTCAGGAAAAGAACTGCTTCTCAGTGAACAATTGATCCAATTTAATACAGGATATCCCAAAATTTCGAAACAGTTTTTCAGCACGTTTTTAGTAGTGATTTCGGCACAGTTGTTATTTGATTTTAAACTGTTTACTTTTTTTCTTAGATAATTCAATGATACGCTGTGAAATTTTGAAAGTGTATGCAACATTTCCCCCTGGAAACTGATTTGCTATAGTCAGATGCAGCATTGGCGGTACCCACAATATCAACAATACTTTCCACAAAATATTCATTTAGTTTGTTTGCAATCACCAAATAATTTGTGTCGGTACCGTTTTCGAATTGAACTTGATTTACACAATCATGCGGCTTCGAATTGATCAGTCTTTTTAAAGTCTTCCACATCGCACTTGTTATTATCGATTTGTTTATCGTAGAATTTCCTTTTTTCTTCTCTAATTACATATACACATTTATTCCTAAGAGTTTTATATACCTCCCAATCATCATTTGATTTTGTGAATATACATTTATTGTATTATTTGTCTCTCAAATTTTGAGCTGCCTTAACATTCTTGTTATACCAGGGTGTATTTTTTTTTCGAGCAAATCACTTTTTTATCAGTTGCAAGATCTAAACAAGTTACTCCGTTTCTTTGACAAGATATATAAAAACTTTTTACTAAAAAAGATCTTTTACAAATATTTAACAATAATAGTTTGGGAAATTGAACAAAAATGATAAAGCTTTCTACAGAAAATGAGGAGAATCGTATTGACACATGTTTTAAGTGAGAATTAAATTAGTTCTATAAGTTTAACATGGGCGATCAGGAAAGTCGATATTGCCCCTATTATTTTAACGAGATTTTCTCACTTATCATACCTGACAAACTGTAACCTATATGACAAATACAGGGTCATTCTAATGATATTTCGTAGAAAGTTTTATAACGTGACAAGGTAGTAAATTAGATCCACTATTATTTATTTTATAAACAGCTTGTAGAACTCGGCAAAAGAAGTTGATATACCAAAAATCACATGCATAAAGGTTGCATAATAAGAGAGTTACTTCACTGATACACTGATTGAACAAAAGACTCGTACTGAAAATCATAAAACAACACAAAAAGTTTGCCAAATTTAGATAAACAATAAGAGTAGTAAACAAAAAACGCTAACATTTCTCACTGCAGTGGTCGAAAATATCAAAAAATCTGCGTAATAACATTCCTATGTTTAACATTTTTAATATTTCACTATTTCTTTTATTATGCAACGTTTATATATAAGTGATTTTTTGTATATCAACTCCTTTTGACGAGTCCTACAAGCAGTTAAAATGCGTGACTTGCAGTGGTTGAATATAAAAAAATTGTATTTTACCGTTTCAGCTTAGTGTTTCTTCCTGAATCCAGCTGGAAATTTGATTAAAATTTCCCTCGATATATTCGTAAATAATTTCTTCAAAGACTTCTTCAACATCTGGCAGAACATTTTTATTGGTGTACAACTCAGAATTCTTAACTTTCTAAACGGGAGTTATGGTAGAACGCTTCAGTTTTGTCGGAAATTCGCCATATTTAAAACAGTAATTTATCATGGTTAATATTCTTGCTCCAATAATATAAAAACATTCATTAAGCACCCTTTTAGACAAAATGTCGTTTTTATTTTGATTTGATTTCAATTTTGAGACGATTAATGTTTATTGTTCTAAACTCACTGCATTATAATCTGATCTACGAGTAATGGGACGTTGCTTGGGATCCCCGTCAATAATTGATCTCACAATGTCGTTGACACTTTGCAAGACGTGGCTAAATCTGTAAGTGATGAATATAACTCAATATACCATTTAAACATACAAGGAGTCCTGAATAATATAGATGAAGTTCAACAGTTTTTAAGATGGAGAAAACCACTTGTATTATGTCTTACCGAAACACATGCTACAGAAGACATCACTGATGGTGAATTACAAATTACTAATTATAAAACCTACAGATCCAACTCCAACTCCAGACATACTGGAGGTGTAGTGATTTATGTTTACCACAAAATACAGATCACATTATTCGATTGTACCACTTTAGACTATGCATACTGGTATGCACATATACAGTTCAAATTATTTGGGAAACGTTATGATCTTTGTACTTTTTACCGTTCACCAAACAGTGATGCGGATACATTTTTAACGCTTTTTGAAGAAAAATGCGAAGAAATGTGGAATCTTAGAAACAATATAATACTTTTAGGTGATTTTAATTTAAATTATTATGGTAAAAGCATGAAAACAAGAAAATTGAAAGAAACCATAAACAATTATGGGTTCTAGCAAAAAATTGAAGAGAGTACCAGAATAACATCATTATCAGAGATTTTGTTAGATCTTATTATTGTAAATTTCGAATGTGCAGGGATTAAAGCTGTACATACACCTAAAGATAGCGATCACAGTTGGACAATGCTGCCCTTGGTAGGGCATTTTTCTGATACAAAAATTAAGAAAATCGTAAATACTATTAAGTACGAAAAACTTGAACGAGAACTTGCTGGCTGCTATTGGAATTTTGGTGAGAATATGGAAAAAATATATGACAACATAATAGGAAATATAAAAACTTGTTTAGATCTTGCAACTGATAAAACAGTGATTTGCTCGACAAAAAATACACCCTGGTATAACAAGAATATTAAGGCAGCTCAAAATTTGAGAGACAAACAATACAATAAATGTATATTCACAAAATCAAATGATGATTTGGAGGTATATAAAACTCTTAGGAATAAATGTGTATATGTAATTAGAGAAGAAAAAAGGAAATTCTACGATAAACAAATCGATAATAACAAGTGCGACAGTGTAAAGATGTGGAAGACTTTAAAAAGACTGATCAATTCGAAGCCGCATGATTGTGTAAATCAAGTTCAATTCGAAAACGGTACCGAAACAAATTCTTTGGTGATTGCAAACAAACTAAATTAATATTTTGTGGAAAGTATTGTTGATATTGTAGGTACTGCTAATGCTGCACCTGACTATATGAAAATCAGTTTCCAGGGGGAAATGTTGCATACACTTTCAAAATTTCACAGCGTATCATTGAATTATCTAAGAAAAAAAGTAAACAGTTTAAAATCAAATAACTGTGCCGAAATCACTACTAAAAACGTGCTGAAAAACTGTTTCGAAATTTTGGGATATCCTATATTAAATTGGATCAATTGTTCACTGAGAAGCAGTTCTTTCCCTGAAAATTTGAAATGCTCTACAATAACACCAGTTCCCATAATAAAAAATTCTAAAAGATGCAGCGATATGAGACCAGTAAATGTGTTACCAGACATTGAAAAATTATTAGAGTCCATAGTGCATGACCAATTAATGCAGTTTATAGAAGAAAACAAAATTTTAGTGGAGGCGCAAGCAGGCTTTCGAAAAAAATATTCCACAGAAACAGCTTTCCAGTTGGTAACTGAGAATTGGAGAAGAGCCATAGACTCAGAAGAAGTTGTCATAGTAGTATTTTTGGATTTGAAGAGGGCATTTGAAACGATTAATAGAGATATTTTGTTAGGTAAATTGAAGGCATATGGTATAACAGGAAGTGTTTTAGATTGGTGTAGAAATTATTTGTTTAAAAGGATGCAAGTTACAAAAGTTAATGACACTATTTCATCAAAAATTGAAAATACGTTGGGTGTTCCACAGGGCAGTATCCTGGGACCACTTCTTTTTATTTTATACATAAATGATTTACCTGCCATAGTCAAAAAATGCAAAATTCAAATTTTCGCCGATGACACTATGATTTATATAAGTACTAAAAATATTCAGTCTGGTATCTCTTATATAAATGAAGACTTGAAGCTTGTCTCAAAATGGTTAGCATCTAACAGACTAAAATTAAATGCAAGTAAAACGAAAGCCTTGTTAATCGGAAAAAAACAATGTACAAATGTTCAACTGAATATTGATGGTGAAGATATTGAATTCGTAGAAAATTTAAAATACCAGGGAGTTTTTGTTGACTCTCGATTAATTTTTGATATTCATTATGAAAAAGTTATAAATGAGATTAGTAGTAAAGTGGGATATTTATCGAGAGTTTCTGGATGTCTGAGTTCATATAGCAGAAAAATTATCTATAATACCATCATTCTTCCAAATTCCTTGTACTGTTCGACTATTCTATATTTAGCAAATAATTCCATTTTTGAAAGACTGCAAATTTTACAAAATAAGTGCATGAGAATAATACTAAATAAAGATAAATATACTCCAATTAGGCAAATGCTTAGCAAATTATAATAGCTCAATGTAAAATTTTTTATCAAATATCTTGTAATGATATTCATTTATAAAGTAAAAAATAATATATTTCCATCAAGTCTAACTAATTTAACATCATCAAATGTCGACCATCATTTACATAATACCAGAAATAAAGATGACTTCCATTTAATGACCAAAAAGTATAACATATGTTACAAATCTGTATTCCATCAAGGGTTGATTGAATATAATAAATTATACTCGGAGATAAAAGACCAGAAAACGGACAAAATTTAAAGTAAAATTGAGAAATCACTTGTTAAATCTACAATTATAGGTTGCCCAGCATTTACATCATACACCATATGGCTTGAATTTACTAGTTCTAAGTTGTTTACAATTGTTCTGTTTATGTAGCCAAATGTGCTAAATAAATCTTTCTACTACTACTACTACTTTCTATGAAATAGGTATTCATTACTGTTTCATTTGCCATTACCCCATCGTCCAACTTAATTCTAGATAATGCATTTCTTCTAATAGGAGAAATAATTTCAATGTTTCCCACATCTGTTTGCTATCACTTTTACTGTGATCAATTTTAGTATTGTAATATTTTTACTTTTCATCTCGTAGAACTGCTACACAGATTGATTTCTTAATCATGTGTACTATTCTAGCCAATCATTTTAACTCCGAGTAATCATAAACTTTTTCTAACTGCAGTCTCTTTTTCATTTAGAATCCTTGAACGTCTATGAGAACCAAGGTGTTGGATTTTTCGTTGTCTTGACTGTAGCTTCTTTCATGCAAACTTCAACCTTATCCAATATTCTTGCATAGTGGCTATCAAATCAACATCAACAAACATTTCAGTTATACTCGTATCTTGCGGTAAAAGAGTTTATCGTTATTTTACATAGTTATGCTCGTACATGTTCGTAGAATAACTTTTTTCTCAGAAGCGCTAACTTGTGTCAAACATAATCGTTTATGAACGGCTTTGCGCGCGAAATACAGATCCAACTCGCTCTACGCCATTTTTAATTCGTTTTGTAACCCAGGCGGGTTGAGTTCGCGAGTGGCGATAGCGGCGAAGCGGGCGATCTATTGGCTGGAACGCAACATGGACCTGCTGAAGGAGCGCGGCACACCGTTCGACGTCGCGATCGTGGCGTACGCTTTGATGAAGGCGAAGGCGCCTAACGCGGACGCCGCCTTCTTGGAGCTGTCCAAGAGGCAACGATTCGAAGGCGGTTTGCTTTATTGGGGACGACACGCTATACCGCAGCCGCCGTACAAGATCGAGAACCAGAAGCCGTTCTTGCTGCCCCGGCTGCCCTACGAATACGATTCGGAGAACATTGAAGCGACAGCGTACGCGTTGATGGTAAGAGTTTTTTATACGGATATTTATAACTAAGTTCAGTCGCCAGCTGCATTCCTAGGTGACTTTTTCGAGGTAATATCACAAGTTTATATAAGCACCTATGAAATATCATCAAGAGATTTAAAAACTAAATTAGTATGTTACTGAATACAGGGCGTAATTTAATTGATGGCTAAAAATACAGGATATCATTCCTTAGTTCATTTTAGGAAGAACTTGTTAATTTTTGAGCTACGGGTGTTGAAATTGTAAGACAAAAATCGTTTTCTTATCATAATTTTAATACTGTTTTCATGAAATTTGACATGCACCTACTCAGCATTAATAGGCATTTTTTAATATAGATTTTTTAATTTTTATACAGGGTGCGCCATCTTTTATGTCGGTATGTAAACATGAAAACGAAAAACTGATTTCTTTATATCGGGTATTTTTATTAAATATGATCCTTTACACTTTATTGGGACTAGTTTTTGAACACAACATCTATCAAGTGGCCACCTTTATTTACCAAAAAAAAATGTGCCCGTTTTGCTGCGTTTTCCATTAGTTCTTCGAGCATCTCTGTGGTCTGGGGCCACAAGAAGTCCGGTGGGGTTAAATCTGGAGACATGGGTGGCCAGTCAATGTCATCTCTTTTTGACATCAGACGTCCAGGGAATTTTTGTTGCAGAAACTGGATTGTTTCATGTGCATTGTGGCATGGCGCACCGTCTTGTTGAAACCAGTAACCATAAAGACCTTTTTCACGCATTTGTGGGCAGATATAATATGCCAACATCCACCGATATTGATTTCCATCGAGTGTTTCGTTTTCATTGAAGAAAAATGGCCCAATGATGGTTTTGACGCAAACTCCGGCCCAAACAGTTACTTCCCGGTCATGCAACGGCATTTCGTGTATCTCATGTGGATTTTCGCCAAATGAGGCAGTTTTGCTTATTAACGCCGCCAGAGAGCGTAACATGGGCCTCGTCGGTCAGCACAATTTGCTTCCAAAAATCATGTTCAGCATCAACCATGCGAGCGACTGTTTGGGCGTATTCCGTCCGACGCACCGTTCTCGTGTAAACAGTTACCATTTTGGCTATTGGCTTTACTTGAATAGTCGGTGTAGCATTTTCTATGACATTTAGTATAAATCAAATGATTTTTCGCTTGTTTAAGAGACATCTCAAGGAAGATCCACCAAATGCATTAGATACATTATTACAAAGACGCTTTGTCATTGGCCCAATTTGTCCTAGGCGCAGATTTTGATCTCCTTTGGTCAGTTGTAAAATCAGGCCTTAGTGTTCCTTCGAAAATAAAATATTAATACATATACTTTTCTCTGCGGATACTGATTACCCTATAAATTTAGAACATTGGTTTTTAGCAAATAAATTGACACTTAATGCTTCAGTCCGTGGTAATAAGTTTGTGTCACAATGACGTCAATACCATAGACACAGTAAAATTTTTGGGTGCCAGTATTTGTACTAAGTGACATATAAATCCGAACACCCAGTTTAAATGGTTTTATTTTAATAAAAGTTGGTGAATGTATTTATCTTACTGTAAATAACAAGTGAAAAAATGTTCAGCCTTATCACTTGGACATTCCGGTTTTTATACTGCTTTTTTTTAATTCACTAACGCTCTAAAAATGAATATTTCAGCCGCAGTAAAGAATCAACGTTGGCGGATTTTGGTTCTTGACATCCTTTACGATCGGTTACGATGCCTAGAGTACGGAGACCTGTACGACTTCGTCAACTTAGTGAGTTTGATAGGGGCCGTAAAGTGGGACTTCGGGAAGCTGGACTTTCTTTTCGGGCAATTGCAGTTAGAGTGCAAATAAGTGTAGACACTGTGGTTAGGTGTTGTCAGGCATGGCTTCGAGAAGGCCGTACGCAAAGAGCAAGGGGCACTGGACGCCGCCGTAGAACAACAGACCGTGAAGATCGCCGCCTAAGATTATTGGCCTTTAGGGACCGTTTCTCCACTACCAGGTCCATTGCAAATGAATGGTTTGCAGTACACGGAAGACCTATTGGCATGCGAAGTGTTTACCGACGAATGAGAAGTTTTGGCTTGTTTTCATACCGGCCACACTGGGTCCTCCCTTTAACTCGAGAACACCGACGTAATCGCCTTGAGTGGTGCAGACAACGGTCACTTTGGGATCAGGAATGGAACAGTATTGTCTTTAGTGACGAGTCTCGATTTTGTTTAGGCATGCACGATGGTCGTTAGGCCAGGGTTAGAAGGCGACGTGGTGAAAGGAGGAACCCACAGTTTTTTGATGAAAGACATGTTCATCACACTGTTGGAGTTATGGTTTGGGGTGCTATAGCTTATGGTTCCAGGTCACCTTTAATCTTCATCAGAGGTAACATGAACGCGCAGCGTTATATCCACGAAGTTCTAGAACCCCATCTTTTACCCTATCTTGACACCCTGGCAGATCCAACTTTCCAACAAGATAATGCCCGACCACATGTTACAAGAGTCACAATAGACTTCTTACAACATAATGATGTCACATTGTTACCATGGCCACCAAGATCTCCCGACTTATCCCCAATTGAGCACGTGTGGGATATGATGGGTAGGAGATACCACAGGAGGACATTGACCACCTGATCAGAAGCATGCCTAGACGCGTTGGAGAATGCGTAGCACATCAGGGTGCATCCACACATTATTAAAGGTCAAAGGGCTTTAAAGAGGTGCAATCATTATACAAAATTTTATTAAAATAAAACCATTTAAACTGGGTGTTCGGATTTATATGTCACTTAGTATATACACATGACTTGGGAGGAACGTGTAAACAGTGTCTTTAGGGAACTATGCAAGACCATTTATTTAATGTCCTCTTGAACTAGGGTCACTCTGTGTTCATTGCGTTCATCAATCTAAGGATCCTTACTCTTCCATCTCTATATATATTTGTCTGCTTATGTTATGTATACAACAATTTGGATCTATACAAAACGCATAATGATTTACATAGTTACAATACACGTAACATGCATAAGTTAGATATTTTCTAAACGTCGTTTATAAAAACTCGAAACGGTTCTAACTATGTGTAATCCACTTTTATAATGTTCTTCCTGGGGCACTCAGAATGTCTGGTCCCGGCTCATTTAAGTACAGAATTAAAGATTACCTTATCAAGAAAGCTTTTTGTACCATCCAAGAATTTTTAAGTAATAACTTTTCGGATCTCTTATAATGGTGTTGTAATGTGGTTGTTTACTTACTGTTAATTTGTTCGGATGTGATTGTTCTATAGTTTTGTATTTATTTAACGTTTTTTCCAACATATTGTATTGTTTCGTGAATTCACACTTTTGTATTTTAACTTCTGTTTTGACCTGTGTAAGCACGCAACTGTATTAAGCACCAGTAAAGAAATGAAATGAAATTTACAGGTATACGTGGCAAGACAAGAAATCTACGTGGATAACATAGTGCGATGGTTGAATACCCAACGATTGACTGATGGTGGTTGGGCGTCAACCTCGGATACTGCCAATGCTATGCGCGCATTGATTGAATATACATCTGCTCAGAGGATTCGAGATATTTCCAGCCTTTCCGTCATCGTCGAAGCGACCGCGTTGCCAGGAAAGACTCAGGTATTTATCGAGTTTTATGAATACGAGATTTGTCCGAAAAATACGTATAAAAGTAGAACAGTAACTTTATTTTACATTTTTTAAGGTATTTCAATATGGTCTCCTTACTCCCCCTGAGACAAGATGCACTTCTGCCAAGGCCGTTTCCACTGTTGATACGATCGCTGAAAGTCTTCAATTGTGGGGCTCTTCATTTGCCGTATCGTTTCTGCCTTGACGGCTTCCACATCTCTCAAGTGCCGCCCCCGATGCACCATTTTGCATTTTGGGAACAGGAAGAAGTCGCTAGGGGCTAAGTCGGGTGAATAAGGCGGGTGTTCTGTCATGGTGATTCAGCTTCCGGCCAAAAACTCACGCACAACGAGAGATGTGTGAGCAGATGCGTTGTCGTGATGAAGGATCCACCTACCTCCTTGTACCGAATCCTGTCGAACTTCAATGAGAAATTTCCGTTCACTGTCTGACCGGAGAAGGAACAAATTCCTAGTGAACTGTGCCCCGAGAATCAAAGAAAACAATCAACATTGCTTTCACACGGAACCTTGATTTTTTCGACTTTTTGTTGTCGGTTCCCCTGCTTGCTTCCACTCCATCCTTTGAGATTTAAGCTCCACATCGAATTCGTAGAGCGAAGACTCGTCCCCAGTGAAAGAGAAGTCCCCCCTTTTCCCGGCTTCCTATTAATTCTCACAGTAAGCAACCCTCATTGCTTTCTGTTCTGGAATCAAGAGCTCCGGAACGATTTTCGCGCACAATGTTTTCATTTCAAGTTTTTCTGTCACAATTTCGTGGACGATTGTTTTCTCGGCTATCGTTGTAACTGTCAATCGACGGTCTTTAAGAACACAGCCCCGAATTCGTTCAACATTCCCCTCAGAGCACGATGTGGACGGGCGTCCTGAGCGTTCGTCATCTTTCACATCTTCTCTGCCTTCCCAAAAGCTTTTAAACCACTTTCTTTCGGAGAATTGTGACTCCGTAAAGTTTTTCCAAACATTAAAAAATCTTGCCTAGCTTTACAAGAAACTTGATGTTGATGCACTGTTCCTCGGTCAGAGAGAGCTCCATGCCGACGGCGGGTAAAAAAGGGTTAATTTCAATAAGCACACGTAAATCCTACTTACTTGCAGAGCGCTCCGGCCTCCGACTCGAACTGAGCATAAAGGGGATTGCATAGAGATAGGGAACCACCGGGCCACCCCTCCACAACGCCCCGAATCTTTTATACGTATTTTCCGGACAAACCTCGTACAGGGTGTTTTCATATTTATTTTAACTGCTCTTAGGACTCGTCAAAAGGAGTTGATATACCAAAAATTAGTTATACAGGGTATTTCAGTTTATTGTTGCATAACTTTAAGATTCTATAGAACTTTTAAAATTAATGCATAAAGTCTATATAAACATGGGTCGAAAATGCGTGGCTTCCGAAATACAGGGTGTTTAAATTTACTTTCTAAAATAGTTTTTTTTAAATATTTCGAACAATATTTGATGTATAACTGTGAAAATTGGTCTACAAGGGTTTTTTGGTACGACAAAACGAACCATGGGCATAGTTTTACTGTAGCCGCTAGAGGGCGCTCTCTACTGTGCCTGTAGTGTATTAAAATGACCGAAAATTTTTTCTTAGTGCAATTTTTTGCTTTTTGAATAAAAAAACTGATTCTTCGCACTTTTCAACATAAAAAAGCTCTCTTGTGAATTTTCGTTATAGTTAGCCGTTTTTGAGATATTTCGATTTTTAAGTTTCGATGCATTTTTAACGTTATTTATGATAAAATAACGTTAAAAAGTCAGTATCTCGATAATTTTTAGAAGTAGGCTGTGTCTGCAAATATTTTTGAAATTGAAAGCAGAATAAGGTTAAACGTCAATTAGTTGACAGTTAGTTTTGTTGTCTGTTGAAAAATGAAACGTTTTTTTGCAATTGTAGTAGTAGTAGTAGAAAGATTTATTTAGCACATTTGGCTACATAAACAGAACAATTGTAAACAACTTAGAACTAGTAAATTCAAGCCATATGGTGTATGATGTGAATGCTGGGCAACCTATAATTGTAGATTTAACAAGTGATTTCTCAATTTTACTTTAAATTTTGTCAAAGTTTTCTGGTCTTTTATCTCCGAGTATAATTTATTATATTCAATCAACCCTTGATGGAATACAGATTTGTAGCATATGTTATACTTTTTGGTCATTAAATGGAAGTCATCTTTATTTCTGGTATTATGTAAATGATGGTCGACATTTGATGATGTTAAATTAGTTAGACTTGATGGAAATATATTATTTTTTACTTTATAAATGAATATCATTACAAGATATTTGATAAAATTTTTTACATTGAGCCATTTTAATTTGCTAAGCATTTGCCTAATTGGAGTATATTTATCTTTATTTAGTATTATTCTCATGCACTTATTTTGTAAAATTTGCAGTCTTTCAAAAATGGAATTATTTGCTAAATATAGAATAGTCGAACAGTACAAGAAATTTGGAAGAATGATGGTATTATAGATAATTTTTCTGCTATATGAACTCAGACATCCAGAAACTCTCGATAAATATCCCACTTTACTACTAATCTTATTTATAACTTTTTCATAATGAATATCAAAAATTAATCGAGAGTCAACAAAAACTCCCAGGTATTTAAAATTTTCTACGAATTCAATATCTTCACCATCAATATTCAGTTGAACATTTGTACATTGTTTTTTTCCGATTAACAAGGCTTTCGTTTTACTTGTATTTAATTTTAGTCTGTTAGATGCTAACCATTTTGAGACAAGTTTCAAGTCTTCATTTATATAAAAGATACCAGACTGAATATTTTTAGTACTTATATAAATCATAGTGTCATCGGCGAAAATTTGAATTTTGCATTTTTTGACTATGGCAGGTAAATCATTTATGTATAAAATAAAAAGAAGTGGTCCTAGGATACTGCCCTGTGGAACACCCAACGTATTTTCAATTTTTGATGAAATAGTGTCATTAACTTTTGTAACTTGCATCCTTTTAGACAAATAATTTCCAAACCAATCTAAAACACTTCCTGTTATACCATATGCCTTCAATTTACCTAACAAAATATTTCTATCAATCGTTTCAAATGCCCTCTTCAAATCCAAAAATACTGCTATGACAACTTCTTCTGAGTCTATGGCTCTTCTCCAATTCTCAGTTACCAACTGGAAAGCTGTTTCTGTGGAATATTTTTTTCGAAAGCCTGCTTGCGCCTCCACTAAAATTTTGTTTTCTTCTATAAACTGCATTAATTGGTCATGCACTATGGACTCTAATAATTTTTCAATGTCTGGTAACACATTTACTGGTCTCATATCGCTGCATCTTTTAGAATTTTTTATCTTGGGAACTGGTGTTATTGTAGAGCATTTCAAATTTTCAGGAAAAGAACTGCTTCTCAGTGAACAATTGATCCAATTTAATACAGGATATCCCAAAATTTCGAAACAGTTTTTCAGCACGTTTTTAGTAATCATTTCGGCACAGTTGTTATTTGATTTTAAACTGTTTACTTTTTTTCTTAGATAATTCAATGATACGCTGTGAAATTTTGAAAGTGTATGCAACATTTCCCCCTGGAAACTGATTTTCATATAGTCAGGTGCAGCATTGGCAGTACCTACAATATCAACAATACTTTCCACAAAATATTCATTTAGTTTGTTTGCAATCACCAAAGAATTTGTTTCGGTACCGTTTTCGAATTGAACTTGATTTACACAATCATGCGGCTTCGAATTGATCAGTCTTTTTAAAGTCTTCCACATCTTTACACTGTCGCACTTGTTATTATCGATTTGTTTATCGTAGAATTTTCTTTTTTCTTCTCTAATTACATATACACATTTATTCCTAAGAGTTTTATATACCTCCCAATCATCATTTGATTTTGTGAATATACATTTATTGTATTGTTTGTCTCTCAAATGAATGCACGAAATTTAGTTTCTTTTACCTGTTTTTTTTTTTTGTAAGTTTTATAAAAATGCCATTTTTATTCTCCAATCAAGAGTTAGCGGATATTCATTTTGTGTATGACTTTGTAAATGGAAACGCAGCAGAAGCAGCCAGAGAATACGCACGAAGATTTCCAAACAGACGACATCCAACTCGCTCACTATTTGTAAGAGTGCATCGCCAAATAATTGAAAATGGTTTTGGAAATATCCAAAGGGATCAAAACATAAATGTTCGCCAGCGCAGATTTACCCGTATGATTCTGCGTGGGTTTGATAGAGATCCGACCACAAGTGTTAGGAGAGTTTCTGGTGCCTTGGGAATTTCAGCAAGCCATGTTCACAGTGTTCTTAGAAATGACCATAGACGTCCTTACCATTTGCAACCTGTGCAAGGACTACAGCCAGGGGACGGAGAACGAAGATTCACATTTTGTCAGTGGATTCTTGATAGAACTGATAATAATAGGGAGTTTTTGAGTAACGTTTTATGCACCGATGAGTCATGCTTCACTAGACGTGGAGTGGTAAATTTCCATAATCAACATATTTGGTCGCATGAAAATCCGCATGCATTTTGGGAAAGAAATTTTCAGCATAAATTTAGTGTGAACGTGTGGATTGGTATCTACCGTAATCGACTATTTGGACCCTACCTTTTGCCTGCAAGGTTAAATGCTGCGACCTTCTTGGAATTTTTAAAAGCTGAACATGCAAATATGTGGGATGATGTTATGTTAGATTTAAGAAGATTGGCCTGGTTCCAGCTTGATGGTTGTCCAGCTCATTATTCGAGAATAGTTAGAAACTGGCTGGACGAAAATTATCCAGAAAGATGGAACGGCCGTGGAGGACCAGTCGCCTGACCTCCACGATCCCCTGACCTAAATCCATTAGATTTCTTTGTGTGGGGATTTCTAAAAGAAAAAGTGTACCAGACTCCCGTAACCACAAGAGATATGCTAATAGACAGAATCAGGAATGCATGTGATGAAATAAGGCCTTATTTGAATAATGCTATACCACGTTCGATCATTCGTAGATGTGAATTGTGTATGTAACTATCCAATAGCATTTTAGTTGTAAATAATTAATTTAATTTGTTAAAAATAATATTGGAAAATTAAACAAATTAATATTCTGTTTTATTGTGTTTATTTGGAGTTAGGAATTATTGCTGTGTTTAAAAACAATGCCCAAATCGAAAATGTAAAAAAAAATATTATTTTCCCATAAATAATTGAAAATGCATCAAACCTTAAAAATCGAAATATCTCAAAAACGGCTAACTATAACGAATATGCCCATGGTTCGCTTTGTCGTACCAAAAAACCCTTGCATACCAATTTTCACTGTTATACCCCAAATATTGTTCGAATAATTAAAAAAAAAACTATTTTAGAAAGTAAATTTAAACACCCTGTTTATATAGACTTTATGCATTAATTTTAAAAATTCTATCGAATCTTAAAGTTATGCAACAATAAACTGAAACACCCTGTATAAAAGTTGCATAATAAAAGAAATAGTAAAAGATTAAAAAAAATAAGTATGTTATTACATAGATTTTTTGATATTCTCTACCACGGTCATCAAATTGCAGTCTACTTGGTGCCGTTTTGTTATTTATATGTACTTGTAGGTGATTTATCTTATTTCTCTATGTGTATTTCAAATATTTTATTGTCAAAATTCTCAGTCAGTGCAATAATATAATAATATAATTTTAAAATAACATAATTTTTCATCGGTGTTTGAAACAGTACTGAATACGGTCCTGGGTTTCACAACATCCATGATGCAGAGATGATACTTGCTCATCAGCTTTTTTTGCCTTAGTAGAAGTTAAAACGTGAACTATCGTGAAAACATTACAGCTTTTCAAGTAGTTCCACACGTTTCAGCCACTGACCTGTCACCTATCAAGAAATATCAACTTTCATGTTGTTCTTCTTGCTTCCGATAGCTTTGTCCCGTGTACCATTTTGTTAGGCAACAAGATTTCTTACGATGTAATATCGAAAATTTCAACAATCAATCTTCCACGTTTCTAATCCGTTCTGATGTTTTTTTGATACATATTTTACAAATTCTAACGACTGTTACCATGGATCCAGCTTTCACCAGGCTCTGAATGTTCTCATTAACTTAGTTAATAATAACATTTAGCAACAATCTCACATACTAGTGTAAGAAGTTTAAAATCAATCTTGCACGTGTAGTTGCTATTTTTTCCTAATGTTAATGTAGCTCCTGATGATGACGACATATTTCATCGAAAGCTTGAGATAATAAAGTTGCTTTAATCTCGTCGAAGTACCCAACTAAAGGCTGAAGCTTTTCTCATCTGTTTGGTGTTTTAGACGACAATGACCATGGCTCAAAATTATATATATAGGAAAAGGAACCAAAAATAACTAGAATTCCCAAAAAGCTCTAATTTGACAATTTTTACAAGCTCCAACTTCTTCAAGGTTAAAAAATTGTTCAATTCATCGGATCATGTCAGTTAATTTATTATCGCGACTTTTAGATGACCAGGAACGATTCAAAATCAACTGCATACCACACTTTCTCAGACCTGATCAGAAGATTTACAACTTGAAAACATTGTAGGTTCTTTACGTTAACGACAAGAACAGAGTCAACTTGCAGTACATCGATATACCGAACGCGTGGGGCACAGTGAAGGTGCAAGCTAAAGGTACAGGTTACGCGATTCTCCAGATGTCCGTCCAGTACAACGTCGACGTAGAACGGTTTCAGACGAAGCCTCCAGTGCAGGCGTTCGATCTCGTCACAAAACAGTTCTTCAGCGGCAGAAATCAGTCGCACATCACATACGTCAGCTGTCAAAGGTAAGTGCTATCACTACTACTACGAGTTTAAATTTTACAATACTGTTACACTTTTCCTCTTTGCGTCACTTTAACATTTTGAACTGTAGTTAAGATCGATTTGGTCTCCAGTTAGCATTTTAACAGTTGGCATAGTAACTACCCTACAGCAAGGGTATTAAGTGTCTTGAAAAGTGACATTATGTCGTTTTTGACATTATGTAGGTTTTCCTACAAGATGTCAACTTAGCACTAGCTGTTGTACACTTGAGATGTACTCGTTCCGTAGCTGTACGTGTTGCATAAAGGTCATTATGATTCAGCTATAAATGTTTGGCTCTGATGTGATGTAACATCTGCTTCAGATATGGCATTATTGGAGGTCTAAGCTGTAAATTATACAGGGTGTTTTCAAAGTTTATTAATTTATTTTAACAGCTTGTAGAACTCGTCAGAAGAAGTTGATATACCAAAAATCACCTATATAAAACTTGCATAATAAGAGAGTTAGTTTACATTATTAAAAAAAAATCATCATCAAGCTAAATGGATACCGTTTTTACAAAAACTATTCAAAATTGTCCCCATTTGTTCGATTAACGCAAAATCTTGCTCGGCGAATCCAGAACTCTTTACAAGTTTCGAAAATAAAATCCTGGTGTCCACGGATTGAATCACAAGCATTTTCAGTGCGCTGTTGAGCTTCTTCCATCACGATAAACCAACTCTACCAAATAGCCCCACAGAAAAAAAGCAAGGCGTTAAATCTGGGGGGCGAGCAAGCCAAGAAATTGGTCCATTGCACACTAACCATCTTGTCGGTAACTCATTATTTAGATGTTCATGAACTTCTCATCTAAAATGTGGTGGAGCTCATCATATAGGACCCACATATACTAAGTGACATATAAATCCGAACACCCAGTTTAAATGTGTGGATGCACCCTGATGTGCTACGCATTCTCCAACGCGCCTAGGCATGCTTCTGATCAGGTGGTCAATGTCCTCCTGTGGTATCTCGCATTCCAGGCAACCACCAACTCCTCTCGAAGTGCTTCTAGAGTCTGAGGAGGACGTTGCAAATTGAGCAATCTCCTACCCATCATACCCACACGTGCTCAATTGGGGATAAGTCGGGAGGTCATGGTAACAATGTGACATCATTATATTGAAAGAAGTCTATTGTGACTCTTGCAACATGTGGTCGGGCATTATCTTGTTGGAAAGTTGGATCTGCCAGGGTGTCAAGATAAGGTAAAAGATGGGGTTCTAGAACTTCGTGGATATAACGCTGCGCGTTCATGTTGCCTCTGATGAAGATTAAAGGTGACCTGGAACCATAAGCTATAGCACCCCAAACCATAACTCCAACAGTGTGATGAACATGTCTTTCAACAAAAAACTGTGGATTCCTCCTTTCACCACGTCGCCTTCTTACCCTGGCACGACCATCGTGCATGCCTAAACAAAATCGAGACTCGTCACTAAAGACAATACTGTTCCATTCCTGATCCCAGAGTCACCGTTGTCTGCACCACTCAAGGCGATTACGTCGGTGTTCTCGAGTTAAAGGGAGGACCCAGTGTGGCCGGTATGAAAACAAACCAAAACTTCTCATTCGTCGGTAAACACTTCGCATGCCAATAGGTCTTCCGTGTTCTGCAAACCATTCATTTGCAATGGACCTGGTAGTGGAGAAACGGTCGCTTAAGGCCAATAATCTTAGGCGGCGATCTTCACGGTCTGTTGTTCTACGGCGGCGTCCAGTACCCCTTGCTCTTTGCGTACGGCCTTCTCGAAGCCATGCCTGACAACACCTAACCACAGTGTCTACACTTCTTTGCACTCTAACTGCAATTGCCCGAAAAGAAAGTCCAGCTTCCCGAAGTCTCACTATACGGCCCCTATCAAACTCACTAAGTTGACGAAATCGTACAGGTCTCCGTACTCTAGGCATCGTAACCGATCGTAAAGGATGTCAAGAACCAAAATCCGCCAACGTTGATTCTTTACTGCGGCTGAAATATTCATTTTTAGAGCGTTAGTGAATTAAAAAAAAAGCAGTATAAAAACCGGAATGTCCAACTGATAAGGCTGAAAATTTTTTCTCTTGTTATTTACAGTAAGATAAATACATTCACCAACTTTTATTAAAATAAAACCATTTAAACTGGGTGTTCGGATTTATATGTCACTTAGTATAGTCAATAAATCATAACTGTAATATAGGGAAAAATAACCAAGAATTGCTTCAAATTCAACATTCGAGATACATCATTAAAGAGGCTAAAAAAAAGCAAGCAAAAACTGTCTGTACAACATTGTGACTGGTGGCGAAACGTGTTGTTTTTATTACGATCCCGAAACCAAGCGTCAAACTGCCGAATGGAAGCACCCATGCGAGCGAAACCCGGAAAAAAACCGTTTAGAAAAATCCAAGGTGAAAACAATGTTGATTTGTTTCTACGATTCACAAAGAATTCGTTCTACCTGGCCAAACGGTTAATGCTATGTTTTATGTTGGTCTTATGAGGCGTTTACTGTCGCGTATTCGTCGTGTTCGGCCAGAATGTCGCGAAGAAGTAAGCTGGCGCTGTGTTTGTTTGTTTAAGATCTATTTAGCATGATTTCTACAATTACATTCTTCTAAAAAACTAAACAATTATATAACATACAGAAATTCATAAAAAAAATTGCGTCTCTAAGAATTTTCATTGTCCATGAAATATTCCTTTAATTTTCTTTTCAATATCTTTAAATTACAAGTAGGTAGTAGGTATCATTATTAAATTCTAGTAATCCTTTGTATATTGTAATATTGATTTGCTAATTATATTACTATTGGCATTTTGTAAATAAAAATCTATATTTCCACTTGTATAATAATAATTGTGGTAATGATTATCCAATTCTATGTAGTGTTCTAAATGTTCTGGCAAAAGATGATTTTTTATTTTAAATATAAAAATAAGAACCAAATATGATATGAAAATTTTAACATTAACATGCTCAATCTCATCGATCGACGCTTGTGTCCGATTTTTTTGACAAAAGATAGCATTTCAACCATCAACCACTGTACATGTTGTCCTGATATTTCACCGTGTGACTATTTTCTGTTCGGTAAACTATGGCGTTGTCCAAAACGGACGCAGGAAAGTAAACGCATATTAAAACAAGAAAGATTGATATTCAAATCAAGTTGGGTACTTTATTTTGAAGGTTCATTTATACCATTTATGTATAAAAAATAATATCGCTCAAATGTTCACCACGACTGGATTTACAGACTTCCACGCGATGGTCGAAATTTTCAATGACATTTTATGGCATTTATCTCGGCAATGATGTTGTTTTTGAGTTCTTGGAAGGTGGCTGATTTATTGGCGTAGACTTTGCTTTTTAAATATCCCTATAAAAAGAAGTCCAAGGGAGTCAAATCGTACGATCTTGGTGGCCATGGCACATTTCCTCTGCGCGAAATCACGCGATCACCGAAGAAGGACTGCAATCGATGGATATTGACGTTGGTTGTGTGGCATGTTGCACCGTCTTGTTGGAAATAAACATCGTCCATATCCATTCCTTCAAGTTGCGGCAAAAAATAGTCCTCTATCATCACGTGATATCGCTCAGAATTGACGGTAACGGCGTCCCCGGCCGCATTTTCGAAAAAGTAAGGTCCGATGATGCCTTTTGACCACAATGCACACCACACAGTCACTTTTTGAGGATGCATCGGCTGCTCTTGATACTCACGGGGATTTTCGTTCGCCCAGATGCGGCAGTTTTACTTGTTTACCGTCTTATTCAAAGTGAAATGCGCTTTGTCGCTGAACATGATTTTTGATGAAAAATTGGCATCAATTAGGCCTTGTTTAAGGAGCCAATATGAGAACGTTCGGCGCGAAAAATGGTCGGCCCGACGCAGCTCTTGCGTCAATTGGATCTTGTAGGCGTGTACATTCAAATCCTTGTGGAGAATGCGGAGCAAACTGGTTCTCAAAATGCCCAATTCTTGGGATCGACGCGTTGTTGATTGTTTCGGATCGTCTCTCACACTTTCCTTCACAACAGCAATATTTTCCGGTGTGCGAACGCTCCTTTGCCGGCCAGAGCCTGGCAGATTTGCCACAGAACCTGTTGCCTCGAATTTACGCACCAGACGACCGATGGTTGTTTCGTTTGGGCGTTTGTTGCGACCGAAATGTTCACGAAGCGCGCGAAACGTGTTTTTTATGTTTGCACCATTTTTGTAGTGCTCTTGAATAACTTTAATGCGGTCTTCAATCGAATACGACTCCATAGCGATCAATGGTAAACATTCAACTAACAAAATGACATGTCGGTGACAGAAAACAAAGATGTCGTCTATGTCAAATTGACGTTTACTTTCCTGCGTCCCTATTGGACAACCGTATACATTTGGCCATGAAGGGTCAGCGGTATGCCGACGTAGAAGCCATCCAAAAGGCGTCGACGACCATTGACCACCGGTCAATGAGCTGAAATCATAATTCGAAAATATTTTGGTCCATGTACGAGTAAATCGCTCTGAAGGAAACTAGTTTGAATAAAATAAATTTAATGTTCCGTTTGTTCATTTTATATATCAATATTTTTATTATATATCAATTTGTTTTTCAGCTGGAACCATCTGAACGAATCGGAAAGATCCGGAATGGCTATACTTGACGTTACCGTCCCTACCGGCTACATTATCCAACAACAAGACTTGGACGCGTACATTTTATCTAGAAGGGTCAGAAACTTGCAACGAGCAAAATACCTAGAAAGAAAAGTTTTGTTCTATTTCGATTATGTAAGTAGTTTTGATCGTTTTTCGATTACGAAATTTTCTCAGTTTGAATTCTCCTTAAAATATTAATGATGTGCCATTTCGTATTTCAGTTGGATAGCGAACAAATTTGCATAAATTTCACGGTGGAAAGATGGTATCCAGTAGCCAATATGTCCAGATACTTGCCTATTCGCGTTTACGATTACTACGCTCCAGGTACAGTATAATTACTCGGTTTATAGTTGCTGTTAGTCTAAGATCTGAATTAAAAACGACCTACACCCTTCTGTTTAATGGATGAATGGTATTTTATATCAAACTTAGTGTGTTAGAAAATGTGTTCCGTTGTTATAGATATAAAAATCTAACCTATCAATATTCCTAAAATCAGTGATCATTCATAGATTTGTTTTGAAGTTGAAAGTATACTTGATGCTAACAAAGTGAAAGAAATTGGTACTATCAAATATGTGAACTCTAGGCATGATAATGCAATGAAACAAATGGATCCAACACAGACAAATCACTGAATATTAAGAAAACATGTTCATATTATTCGGATCTTGTTATGACAAAAAAAACCTTTACAAAAAAGTACGGATCGGAATGCATTTAATATTTTATCAGCGTATACTTCCATGATAGCAAATATGTTTACAAGTTTTTATCAAAATTCAGCAAATAATTCTGTGTTGCATTTTATATCACTTAGAGCTGATTTAAATTTGACGGAGGCTACGACCAATAAGGAAGCAGCTTATCGAAATGCAATTTGACGGAAGCTGTCTCCTAATATCGCTAATTTATATTTAAATATTGAATAAAATCGTGAAAAAGCTGTTGCTTTATAATGGGTGATTTTTTTGCTAGTATCTTTTTGGCAACACTGTTTTTGACAGATGACGCGTGAATCGTGTCTTGTGTCATTGTCAAACTTGTTAAGTTTGGTCTATAATTTAACCATGAATCGACTTACGAACGAACAACGCTTGCCAATTATTGAATTTTACTATCAAAATTCATGCTCGGTTAAGAGAGTGCATCGAGCACTGCTTCCAATTTATGGGCAATTTGGTCGGCCTACTGAGGGAGCTATTCGGAAGCTTGTGACTAAATTTCGAACCCAGTTACATTATTGGACATTAAACCACCAACACGCAGACGTAGAGTGAGGACTGAAGAAAATATTGCGGCTGTATCCGCCAGTGTTAGTGATGACCGTGAAATGTCGATTCGCCGCCGTTCGCAGCAATTGGCCCTCTGTTACTCCACTACGTGGAAAATTTTGCGGCAGGATTTGGGTGTAAAACCTTATAAGATACAGCTGGTGCAAGAATTGAAGCCACACGACCTCCCACAACGTTTCCAATTTGGTGAATGGGCGCTGGCAAAGTTGGAGGAAGATCCACATTTTTATCGAAAAATTGTGTTCAGCGACGAAGCTCATTTCTGGTTGAATGGGTACGTTAACAAGCAAAATTGCCGCATCTGGAGTGAAGACCAGCCAGAAGCATTGCAAGAGCTACCAATGCATCCCGAAAAAATCACTGTTTGGTATGGATCATGGGCCGGTTGCATCATCGGGCCGTACTTCTTCAAAGACGACAATGGCCGGAACGTAACTGTGAATGGCGAATGGCTACCGTGCGATGATAACAAACTTTTTTTTGCCCAAAATGGAAGAGCTGGACTTGGCTGACATGTGGTTTCAACAAGACGGTGCCACATGCCACACCGCACACGAAACAATGGCCCTATTGAGAGGCGAGTTCGGTGAACAGTTTATCTCACGTTAGGGGCCCGTCAATTGGCCGCCTAGATCGTGCGATTTGACGCCGTTGGACTATTTCTTGTGGGGCCATGTTAAGGCTAATGTCTACAGGGATAAACCAGCAACGATTGACGCACTGGAAGCCAATATTGAAGCATTTATTCGTGAGATACCGGACGATATGTTGGAGAGAGTGTGCCAAAATTGCACCTTGCGCATGGGCCATCTAAAGCGGAGCCGCGGCCAACATTTACATGAAATAATCTTTAAACATTAAATTATATCGACCGTTCTATCGACTCGAATAAAGATTTAATCGTTTTTCCAAATTTTTTTTGTTTTTTTTGAAAATCAAATCCTGTATCTCTTAAAAAATCACCCGGTAAATAAGGGTTACACTGTAGAGGATACATTATGTCTTTGGGCTTTAAAATTAGGATAACTTTCATAGAATTTCGAGTGCCTATCATGTCACAAAAGACGGGCTCTTATTTAAATGGGTCAATAAAAATGCGAGAAATAATAGGTCGATTTTCTAGCAATTATATTTAATAGGACGTTTCCACTGTTTTTGACGACTGCCATGCATGGCAATCTAGTTTTGTCCTTGTACAGGGTGTTGTACATAATACGTACCTGTAGAAAAGTACAGATTTTTTTTTTATTTTGCATAAAAAAGGATATAAAACGTATTCCAACTGGTTCATCATCGTTGTTCCATCAAAAACAATTTAATTGCCAATTTATCCACACCAAATGTAAACAAGTTTTTATCAAAATTCAATAAACAATTCTGGGTGTCGCATTTTATGTCACTTGATATATTTTGACTAAAATGTGTTCTAGCAGAATCAAATTTAATACCGTTGGAAATGTGAAACTTTTGAAATTTTTCTCACTCAAAACCCTTAAGAATTAGATTAGAAACCAGATTCATATTCATCCTCTTTTTTGCAGAACGGTTCAACGAAACGATATTCGATGCTTTATCTACGTACGTGCTGGACATCTGTCAAGTGTGCGGCAGCAGTCAGTGTCCATACTGCCATATCTACAACATGGCTGCCAACGTGCCGGTACCGATTTACGTCATTTTATTCGCGAGTCTCACGTTAGTTGTACGACATTTACGTTTACAAGAAGTGATATCGTAAACGAATGTACTGAATATTTTTTATATACACACGGTCGGAACAACTGAATTTGTATTAAAATCTTTATAATCCAAAGAGAGTAGCCCAGTTGTTTTGGGATGTTTTCGGGTTACCATTTAGTCTCTAGCGACCCTAGTACAAAGTAGTTCCGAGTGCCTAACTGAAGATTTCAATACAAATTTGATAGATTTCCATATGGATATACATATGGACAATTTATACAGAAACGTTTTTTTACGTTGATGTTCAATATCGAACAATTCTATTTTTTCTTAATTAACTACGATTTGCGCATCGATAAGAAAATGTTTCATATAAAACTTATGATGCGTAAACAAATATATTTCATATACAACTTTCAGAATTAAACCGTTATTTTTACTGAAAGTATAAGGATTATAAAACCTGATTTATATTTTACCTATCCAACACTGAGCTACTTTATTAAAAAAATCATCTTGTGTTACTCATCACGTAAGATGTATCTTGTACGTGTTCTTCTTTCCAAGTAGTGGTCTTAGTCTATCCAAGGTGCTGTCTACTTAATTTCGTGTTCATCGCTTCATGAATCTCAAAACAATTTTTTAGTGTCTGCGGCAGCTGTATCGAATTGTGTCATATTTTTTTGATCAAAGTTTATTCATTTTCGATTTTTTTATATCTGAAGATGTAATTTGAAAATAATAATGCTATCGTCAATGTTAGTACAGTAATGATTCTAGCTGTTTATTTGAGTATTGCCAATGTTACAGATATAGGTAGAAGAATATAATTACAACTTTGTTAAACTGGAGTTTATTTGTTTTCTACTTTTTTAGCGATTCAGCAACAGTTCCCGTATATGATTCCCCTGAACATTTAAAATGTGGTTTATTCTTTTACACATTGGAATATTTGATACAGTTTAAGAATAGTGCTGTATTTGAACTAGATATAACCGATTAAAGTGGAACCATTTCTGATCTGCATAGCGTATGGAACCTCATCAATATTGGAGCTTATTGGTTATATGTTCACTTGCACCTAGCTATTTCTCATTAATCTGAAGGTTTTCGGACTTCCTAAAATGCACTTTTTTTTTGGCGATGGTTCTATTACAAGCTCGACCAAATGATAACCAACCGTATTCTTTTCATAACAATGACATTTAAATTTGTCTTCTGGTTCTGATTCTGATCTGTCACATATTTATGTCGTGCATTTAGTGCGAATTGCAATTATGGAGCAATAATCTGTAGTTTTACTGTTTTAGTTTCAGTCTAGTTAGACGTCATCTATCAGATTAGGGTGAGTCACATACCACGCAAAGTTAACTAGTACCAGCTAGGTACAACTGAACATAACCTCCCCCAAACGTACCTTAATTTTTGAATCAAGTTTATTTTTTGAATATTCTTCTACTGTTTCTAAGGTGTTCGGTTAGTTATACTCACAAAAGTATGCAGTTATTTTGTACATGACCAAATACGCTCGAGCCAATGTTGATTAGAATAGGAATTATACTGTGCATTTCAAAAAAAGGTATTTACTATTATTTGAACTGATTGGGCTGGCGGGCTGGAATTCGGGGTGATGAATTTGATTTACCATTTTTTTTTAATTTCAATACAATGTATCTTAAGAACGAAGAATTTGCGAAGCTATGTTTGTATGAACCTTCTGTCTTAAAATTACTCAAAGAATCTTCTGTTAAATTTATGACACAAACTTAATCAACATATATAATACTTTGAAAGTGACCATTGAAAATCTATTTTTCTGAACGAAATGGGGGGTCATGTGAGCCCATTTTGAAGATTCTTATCAGTACCTTATAACTCTAGAGTAGAAATAAAATATTTCAAACTGGCAATCTTCCACAATTGTGCATTCTTGTACATGGAATCGCCTATAACTCAACAACTAATCGTCAAAATGCTAAATTAATTATCATGTATCAATTTCAGCACCCCGAATTAGAACTCGCTAACTTGACACGGATGACTTTATTTGAAAAGCACTGTATAATTGTTGTTTTCACAGCTTCACTCTATTCATTATGAACAATCCAGTGTTAAATGAATTTTTTTTTGTATTGCAGCAGAAAACTTTTTGAGTACAGTACACTTTTTGGCACATATCGTAAGATGAATCTCAGATTTTGCTGATATTAGCAGGTAAAATGTATAAATATATTTTTGTAGTTGTCAAAAATTTCCGTTGATCAAAAATCATATCAAATACTCAGTAATGTGACCTTTACAATGTGGCTGATATCAGCTGTGAGCGTTGTGCTCGTTTAGTCTCAAAAACAAACCGTCCAATCGACACCGACTTAGTTGGTGTGCAGCTAGATATAGAGGAAAAGCTATTTAATATATTCTAGTAACTAGTATTCTAATATTCACCATATTTCATTATTTCACACTTTTATACTTGAAAATGTATATTCAGTTTTGCAATAAGAATAAAGATCAATTAGTTTGTGTAGGTTTTAACAGAACGTAGATATTATTTTAACATTTATCGATATCTTAGTGCTGTAAATATGATTGTTTTATTTAGGTTTATCGTAAAATGGATATTGATTTGCTGTATTATCTTAGAAGTATTGAAAGATGTTTGTACACATGTTGAAAGTTTAAATAAATTACCTTTTGATATTGCTCGTTTTGTCAGAACAAAAAAAAATCGCACCTTCGACCAGACTTTTCTCGTAAAATTGTTGGACCACGAGTTGCTATCAAGAACACAGAACCTCGAGGAAGTATGTGAACAGTACTCTGCTTATGCTATAATGTTGAATGTTGAAATTTTGATCTTTGGCATATACATACAAAAAAAATTTTATGTATGTGTTTTGAAAATTATAGGTCTTTGAAAAAGATATAGAAATTTCACACCCTACGGCAGTCTGTCAATTCCTGTTACTACAAATATTAACTTTTTTTGGATTTTATTTTTACAATGTAATGATGAATAATGCATCTTCAAACTGATGTCTCAACCTTACTGCCAACTTTTCTCGTTCAGGAAAAATTGCCACTTATTTCACAACCAAGTATTCCAAAGTAAAACTTTGCTCAACTTTAACTGGCTGTACTGGAAAAAATGTACTACGAGAGTTTGGCAAGTAACCTTAAAAGTTGGCGCATTTAATAACGATTCCAAAATGGTATAACACTTAGAAGATTACTCGTTAACTTATGCACAATTTTTATTTGAAAAAAAACTGATGAAAATTTTTCAAAATTTCCTAATTAAACAGCGATTATGAAAATGCACAAGGACCCTTAAGGATAACTGTTTGCACAACAGTGGGCGTCAAAATGCTGCTGATGATGATTTACCTTTACAGCAAATGCTCAAACTGTTTTCCTTCAGCCGCAATACACGCTCGACATCTTCTTAAAAAAGATCGGGTTATTAAACGAGCGAATCCACGGTTATTAACAAACTCAGCTGCTTCCAATAGTCTTTGCCGTAGCTCAGCTACATTTTGAATCGGCTTGAAATACACTTTTTCTTTTACAGTTCCCCAGTAAAAAAAATCTAACGGATTCAAATCTGGTGACCGGGCTGGCCACGGTATTGTACCAGACCGCCCTATCCATCTGCCTGGAAAGTTTTGATAGCATATTCTTGTACGGTGTACACGGACATAGCGGCACTGTACAGTCACACTATCAAAGATAGTCTAAGGAAAGCAAATGTTGTTTTGAAGAGCAATTAAACAGTCCAAATCCAAATCACAAGCGATCAACAGTCCAGTTCACGAATCCAAAATTAGTAACAGTACGAAATCAACAAGCACGAACATGTAAAGATGCGCAGTAAACGAAGGAGTACTGATCGGTACCAAAGTGTGCAATAGCAAGTAAGTGATGTGCTTCATCCATACCACATACAGCGTGTTCAACCTCTCCTGCCCCGGGATTATGAGCCCCGAGTTGCTTTTTGTCGCACAATGTTAGAAAGACACAGGAAAGATCCACAGTTCTTTGAAAAAACTTTATGGTCGGATGAGACCACATTTAAGAAAGATGGGTACATGAACCTGCATAACTTACACGAGTGGCACGTAGCAAACCCACATTTGATGAGAGAAGATAAATCTCAATATCGCTTCAAGGTAAACCATTGGACAGGAATTTTAAATGGTAAAATAATCGGTCCGTTTGAGTTTACAGAGACTTTGAAGTTTATTTGGATTTTTTTAAAAATCATGTACAAAATTTATTGGTGGACGTGCCAATGAGTATTTACAGGGACATGTGGTTTCAGCATGATGGCTGCCCAGCGCACTATGCACTCTCAGTGAGAGAGTATCTCGATTAAAACTTTCCAGGCAGATGGATAAGGCGGTCTGGTACAATACCGTGGCCAGCCCGATCACCTGATTTGAATCCTTTAGATTTTTTTACTGGGGAACTGTAAAAGAAAAAGTGTATTTCAAGCCGATTCAAAATGTAGCTGAGCTACGGCAAAGACTATTGGAAGTAGCTGAGTTTGTTAATAACCGTGGATTCGCTCGTTTAATAATCCGATCTTTTTTAAGAAGATGTCGAGCGTGTATTGCGGCTGAAGGAAAACAGTTTGAGCATTTGCTGTAAAGGTAAATCATCATCAGCAGCATTTTGACGCCCACTGTTGTGCAAACAGTTATCCTTAAGGGTACTTGTGCATTTTCATAATCGCTGTTTAATTAGGAAATTTTGAAAAAATTTCATCAGTTTTTTTCAAATAAAAATTGTGCATAAGTTAACGAGTAATCTTCTAAGTGTTATACCAGTTTGGAATCGTTATTAAATGCGCCAACTTTTAAGGTTACTTGCCAAACTCTCGTAGTACATTTTTTCCAGTACAGCCAGTTAAAGTTGAGCAAAATTTTACTTTGGAATACTTGGTTGGGAAATAAGTGGCAATTTTTCCTGAACGAGAAAAGTTGGCAGTAAGGTTGAGACACTAGTTTGAAGATGCATTATTCATCATTAAATTGTAGAAATAAAATCCAAAAAAAGTTAATATTTGTATAGAGTTGACAGACTGCCGTAGCGTGTGAAATTTCTATATCTTTTTCAAAGACCTATAATTTTCAAAACACATACATAAAATTTTTTAAATACTTTTCTGATAGCTGTTATGACTTTGCCTATCACCCGGTTTCGGCTTGACGTCGACTTCTGGGACACCCTGTATACTCCAAGTTGGTTCTACAGTCCACATACAGATCTGTACGTTTCTGAAAATCGCACTGTTGACCCAGTAGAAATTGGAAGATTGGAGATCTTTTATCAGGTTCACAGAAACTCCAGGAGATATGCAAATGGTACCTTGCCCTTGATATAAGTGCGAAATTCAAAACCATGGTATTGATGCCTCTTGCCGTTTCTGCGACACTGGCACAGATCATTAGGTTTCTTTCTGTAAACCAAAATTGGTGGACGACGAGTTGCTATCAGGATCACAGAACCGCGAGGAAGTATGTCAGTATGTGCTCTATCTATCATACGCTCGTCGTTTTTGTGATCCCGATAAGCTACTTTGCGCTGTCGACCAGACTTTCTTCGTAAAATTGGTATACTGGAAAATTGTTATCAGGTTTACAGAGACGCGAGGAGGTTTGCAAATACTTGCTCCTGCTATTAGATAAACACGAAATTTAAATCCATGGCATCGATACCTCTTGCAGTTTCTGCGATCTTGATACAGATCTATAGGTTCCTGAATATCGCACTGAAGATAAATTCTCATAATTCGAGGACTACGAGTTGCTATGAGGATCACAAAAACGGAAGGAGGTATGTGAATCATCAGCTTTTTCGCTTGGTAGATTAGACTTGCTATCAGCTTCACAGAAGCGCTATCTGCTCCTGCTATGAGATAAGCACGAAATTCAAATCCATGACATCGATACCTCTCGCCGTTTCTGCGATCCTGATCTTGATCTACAGGTTACTTGAAAATGCACTGTCGTCCAGCCGTTTCTCATACTCGCGCGAATTTGGATCCCTGGCATCTAGGCTCCTTGAAGTTTCTGCAATTCTCATACGGATCTATAAGTTTCTTAATATCGCCACAGTTTCATCGTGAAATTGATAGATTGGAGACTTGCTATCAGGTTCACAGAAATGCGAGGAGATAAAGAAGGACGAAATTCAAATCCATGTCAAGCAGACTTTGTTCGTAAAATTGATGGACGGTGAGCTGCTATCACAAAACCTTGAGGAAGTATGTGAATAGTACTATGCTGTATCAATGATATTCGCGTAAAACTTGGATCCTTGGCATTTATGCTCCTCGTAGATTGTGCGAACTTGATGCAGATCTATGAGTTTCTTGAAGTCGCACTGTCGATCAGTCTTTGCTTAGTAAAATTGGTATGGATATTTATTGTCTTTTTTTGCAATCCTGATAGGTTTATGAAAATTGTACCGTCGTCCAGACTTTTCTCGTCAAATTGGTAGACGACGAGTGGCTATCAGGATCACAGAAACGCCAGGAGGTATGTGAATGGTCCTCTGCTTAGGCTATGATGTTGGTGAGAAATTTTGATCTTTGTTCCATGTTCCTAGTCGTTTCTGCAATCGTAATACAGATCTGAATATCACACTGTCGACCACAGCTTCTTCTTTAAATTGGCAGATTGAAGACCTCTTATCAGGTGCACAGAAACGAGAGGAGGTATGCAAATGGTACTCTGCTTCTGCTATGAGATAAGCACTATATTCAAATCCTCTTGCCATTTCTGCGATACAGATTTCTGAAAATTGCACTGTCAACCAGACGTAAAGTTGAGGGATGGTGATTTGCTATCATATAATAAATACTATGCGCTATCTACGATACTCGTGCGAATTTGGATCCTTGGCATGTATGCTCCTTGAAGTTTTTGCAATTTTGATACAGATCTACAAGTTTATTAATATCGCCAAAGATTCATTGTAAAATTGATAGATTAGAGACTTGTTATCAGGTTCACAGAAATGCGAGGAGGTATGCAAATGGTACCCTGCTCCTCCTATAAGGAAGGACGAAATTCAAATCAATGGCATGGATACCTCTGACCGTTTCTGTGATCCTGATACAGATCTAGAGGTTTCTGGAAAATGCACTGTCGGCCAGAGCTTTTTCGTAAAATTCCTGGACGGTGAGCTGCTTTCACAAAACCTCGAGGAGGTATGTGAATAGTAGAGTGCTCTATCTACGATACTCGTGTGAATTTGGCTCCCTGCCATCTATGCTCCTCGTCGTTTCTGCAATCCTGATACAGATCTATAGGTTTCTTAAAGTCAGGAACATACGTTGTTCAGGTTCAAGAATCGTTTCGACATTATGACATTATTATCTTTGAAGTTTATAGCTTTTACTCAAATCCTCTATTATGGTAATAATAATAGTAATACCTTGAAGAAATATTATAGAATCCAGATTATCGGTAGTTTCTCTTTATTGCATCAATATACATATACATCTTACAAATCGCATACACGTAATTACTTGCCCTTCTTCACTTTCTTTTTTCTCTTCTCTTTGGTTTCAATCTCAACGTTGCTGGCCAATCGACGCAACCCAACCTTCTTTGGCCTATTGGAAACAGTCCCGGCTTCCTTATTGAAAGTATGCACCCGCACACCTCCTGGCCGCTTCCCTCCAGCCGACATCAACTCGCTAATCTTCTTGCCCCCGAACGGTGGTGCGGACAATACGCGCGTCTTGCGAGTATAGATCCGAGGTCGTTCTCTGGAAGTCGCGTTCCATGACACCACAAGACTGTCATCGTCAAAATCCGCGTTCTCGTAGGTAGCTACGACGGTTTTGCACCCTTCGTGGTTCTGCAAGATGTATCAATTTTATTAATGTTATTGTCACATTTTTTGATAATTCAGATAATGCTGTTAAAATCATTCGGAATATACAGGGTGTTTCAGTTTATTGTTGCATAACTTTAAGATTCGATAGAACGTGTATATAAACATGGGTCGAAAAATGCGTGGCTTCCGAAATACAGGGTGTTTAAATTTACCTTCTAAAATAGTTTTTCTTTAAATATTTCGAACAATATTTGATGTATAACAGTGAACATTGGTATACAAGGGTTTTTTGGTACGACAAAACGAACCATGGGCATAGTTTTACTTTAGCCGCTAGAGGGCGCTCTCTACTGTACCTGTAGTGTATTAAAATGACCGAAAAAATTTTCTTAGTGCAATTTTTTGCTTTTTGAATAAAAAAACTGATTCTTCGCACTTTTCAACATAAAAAAGCTCTCTTGTGAATTTTCGTTATAGTTAGCCGTTTTTGAGATATTTCGATTTTTAAGGTTCGATGCATTTTTAATTATTTATGATAAAATAACGTTAAAAAGTTAGTATCTCGATAATTTTCAGAAGTAGGCTGTGCCTGCAAATATTTTTGAAATTGAAAGCAGAATAAGGTTAAACGTCAATTAGTTGACAGTTAGTTTTGTTGTCTGTTGAAACCTGAAACGTTTTTTTGCAATTGTGAATGCACGAAATTTAGTTTCTTTTACCTGTTTTTTTTTTGTAAGTTTTATAAAAATGCCATTTTTATTCTCCAATCAAGAGTTAGCGGATATTCATTTTGTGTATGGCTTTGTAAATGGAAACGCAGCAGAAGCAGCCAGAGAATACGCATGAAGATTTCTAAACAGACGACATCCAACTCGCACAGTATTTGTAAGAGTGCATCGCCAAATAATTGAAAATGGTTTTGGAAATCTCCAAAGGGATCAAAACATAAATGTTCGTCAGCGCAGATTTACCCGTATGATTCTGCGTGAGTTTGATAGAGATCCGACCACAAGTGTTAGAAGAGTTTCTGGTGCCTTGGGAATTTCAGCAAGCCATGTTCACCGTGTTCTTAGAAATGACCATAGACGTCCTTACCATTTGCAACCTGTGCAAGGACTACAGCCAGGGGACGGAGAACGAAGAATCACATTTTGTCAGTGGATTCTTGATAAAACTGATAATAATAGGGAGTTTTTAAGTAACGTTTTATGGACCGATGAGTCATGCTTCATTAGACGTGGAGTGGTAAATTTTCATAATCAACATATTTGGTCGCATGAAAATCCGCATGCAGTTCGGGAAAGAAATTTTCAGCATGAATTTAGTGTGAACGTGTGGATTGGTATCTACCGTAATCGACTATTTGGACCCAACCTTTTGCCTGCAAGGTTAAATGCTGCGACCTTCTTGGAATTTTTAAAGGCTGAACATGCAAATATGTGGGATGATGTTATGTTAGATTTAAGAAGATTGGCCTGGTTCCAGCTTGATGGTTGTCCAACTCATTATTCGAGAATAGTTAGAAACTGGCTGGACGAAAATTATCCAGAAAGATGGATCGGCCGTGGAGGACCAGTCGCCTGGCCTCCACGATCCCCTGACCTGAATCCATTAGATTTCTTTGTGTGGGGATTTCTAAAAGAAAAAGTGTACCAGACTCCCGTAACCACAAGAGATATGATGCTGATAGACATAATCAGGAATGCATGTGATAAAATAAGGCCTTATTTGAATAATGCTTATACCACGTTCGATCATTCGTAGTTGTGAATTGTGTATTGAACAATTAGGGTTTACATTTCGAGCAACTACTTTCGATTTTGTATGTTTGTCCTAACTATCCAATAGCATTTTAGTTGTAAATAATTAATTTAATTTGTTAAAAATAATATTGGAAAATTAAACAAATTAATATTCTGTTTTTTGTGTGTATTTGGAGTTAGGAATTATTGCTGTGTTTAAAAACACAATCTAAACGATCATCTTAATTACTTGTAATGCCCAAATCGAAAATGTAAAAAAAATATTATTTTCCCATAAATATTGTTGTTTATCAGAGAGTCAAACGTGTCCCTAAAGTCTAGCCAATTTTCATAACTACCGGAGAATTTGGGCAATTTTATCTCAGGTAATTTGACATTAAACTGGTTAAAATGCGTATTTTCGAGAGATTTCATAGCTGGGGCTGAAGGGAATCTGCCAGAACCCGTGTCCGATACGCCTCTGTTTACGGTGTAATAATCGGAAATTATTTTCTTGCAACGTGATATAAACTGATTCAAAGTTTTCTCTCTCTTGTAACAGAGCATCGAAATCGTCTGAAGTAGATTCAATCTCAGATTGCACATGCTCAAAGTCTTGAAACATTTTCTCGTATGATGAAGTATGATAAGAAATTTGTCTAAAGTCTGCAAAGGAACGTCTTGTATCGCCTCCTCTAGTTGAGAAATATATTTTTTGAACAATGTAAGTTGTGCTTTGAATGCACCTCGTTTACGGATAAGCTGTCGAAGAGTTGAATCTTCCATGTTACGCTTGATAAATGTAAGTATAAAGCTTAAAGTAATCCACACAAGTTAGTGTAAATTGAGATATAAGTGATATGCACCGTTAACTGAGATATGAATTAATGAAATGAATGAACATGCATGAAAATAAGCAGCTAGGCCTTTGGTAAGTATGGAGTGTATGAAAGGAATGGGCTCAGTGCGTTATCTCGATGTAACTTGTAGCTTGTAAGTTACCTTGGAAGGGAACGCACAACTAACCTCACTTCTAAATTTGGCTGTTTCTCCAAGGTGTTTCGTTTTCTCAGGGAATTCGCGGCACTGTGGTGTAAAGCTATTTGAGTTTATAATAACATTCGACTAATAATGGAATGTACGGCAAAAAATAGTAATCATGGATACCAGCAAGAAGATTTAGCATCGTATGTCATAGAAAACCTTTGTCTTCCATTTCAACAATGCAAATCTGTTATTTAATATTTGTTTCTCGGATGAGTGTATGTTCTACTCGTATTTACATGTAAATACACGTGATTTTTAATATTGGAGCGACTCGAATCCACATTTGTTTCGAGAGGTACACTCGCAATATCCTAAAAAAAAAAATTTGTGGATCGGCATATTGTAGAACCTTTCTTTGTTCCTGGAAACTTGATGGGCGAGACTTACTTGGACATGTTAGAAAATACGATAGAGCTACGAATTACCGAAATAATAGAAAATGACGTTAATTATAATGAAAATTGCATTCATTTTCAACAAGATGTGGCTCCAGTACGAGAGTTTTCCCGAATCAGTGGATCGGCCGACGAGGTTCCATCGAGTGGCCGCCGAGATCTCTGGACCTAAGTCCTTTAGATGACTCCTTTGGGGGCATTTTAAAAGTAAATTTTTTAGTACGAAGCCAGATTCGATTCGAGATCTTCGTCAGCGGATTACGGCTAAATGTAAGACAAATAAGTCAAGAAAATGTGAGGAATAGATTCGAACAATATCTTTATTATTGCACGGAGGTAAATGGACACTACTTTTAGCACTTATTATCACTTTGACCTACCTCTGTATAGCAAATTAGAGAATCAGAAATAGACAAGGGTTACTTACTTTATAGAAGCGTATTTCGCGCAGCTGAACGTAGTCGTCGGTTGAAGGTTCTCTACCGGTTACATCATCTTCAACGTTACTGATCTTATTTGACTTGAATGTTGGCGAAACATCAGACTTCGACTTGGAATCCGTAGATGCCTTAAGACTCAAATCCCTCCGGTCCGAGTTTCTATGCATTGGTCTTTTGGTCAAATTTATACTTGACGTTGCTATTTTCTTTGGTATCCCAGATCCTTTTTCTTTAGCTGCCAGCTTCAGCGTGAGATCCTTGCGCGATTTCGCCTGTCAAAGCGAATAACAGTATCAGGGTATAGCTTTATGTTCGGATAACATTACAAATGTATTCGCCTTCGATTTTGGCGGTTATGCATCCATACAATACGAAATAAATACCGTCTTTTTCACGAGTATCCATTACGGTAGAATAACAGCTGGTAACGTAAGTTTGTTTACTTACTTTACTGTCAGTTTATTCTGAAGTTTTTGCTTTAAGGTGTCGTATAAATTAGGAACAAGAAAAAGTTGGTTGGACAGTTACCCAAAGCAAAATAGTAAGAATACGATATCGTTGGAATTGCGAAGGAATGGTCTTAAATATCGAAAGAGACTCAAGTGCCCCAGATTTTGCCGATGGAAACATCATAATTTTAGATGACGAAACGTATCTCACTTTATTAGTATATCTGAGATTTATTTCGTACGAGGTATGTCACTAGAACAGACGTGTTGTCCTGTCCAGTAGCCGTAATTCCGCATGTAAAAATAATATAGAAACCGTGTTTCTGGTTCATTGTCCGTTATCAGTGTAGTAAATTCAAATATGGCTGTTTCATTGTTCTAGAAAATCGTATGGTGTTTCAAACTCTAAAAAGTAGACATGTTCCCGGACGTAAACTCACTACACTCTCGGAATGTCCGGGTGGAGGGTGGGCTCGAGGGAACAACATCGAACGTAAAATTTGCTTTACGAACATCTGCAGGATTAACAGCAACATTGTGTTCATCACTACCTGCAATCAAATCGTCCCGCCATGCTTATCCGTCGTAATTGACGGGTTCTCCTCTTCACCCCACAACGTCAACATGTGTGTTCCTCACCCAACTAGCAAAGTAGTGGTATAAGCTTTTGGTAAAAGAACCGTTCAGCCATAAAAGCTCTCTATTGTTGCTGCCTGAACACCAAAATGCTGGCTTAATGTTGTGTGGAATGCAAATTTGCTTTCTGCAACATATTTGCTCTACAATAAGGTGTTTAAAATATTCTTATAGCATAGTTATACAGCACCTTGTAGGGCAAATTTTTAACTTCTGCATAAACGTTTATACAACTATTTTATACGGCATATTTGCAAATTAGTCAAAGTGGTTGTGTTGTGGCATCCATGGTAACGTTTATAAAACAAACCCGAGCCTTGTTGTTTTGCTGTGGAATTTACTACTTTAGCCAACAAATTGCTCCCAACGGAAGCACTTATACAACTGTTGTTTAGTAACTGTTAAAGGCTGTACATATTATGCTAAATATGTTGGTAAACAACTTCACCATAACCTAACTTTCTGCTATCATATTTTTGTTAAAATGCCATAACCAATGTTTTAAGACAAACAACGCATGCATATCGGTTCACAAGGTTTTATCAACTGTTCAAACAGAAGATATAGATCTGGTACAAATTCTTGGTAAATCATTCGACTCTGTCGGTATTTCATTTCAGACATTTGTCAAATTGTTGTATAACACCTGCAGGCAAGACCAAAATATTCTAATAACCTAAAGACAACATGGACGATGCCATGATTATACACAACCACCCGCCATATTGGCCAAACATTTATTCCTCTATTTAATATTAAATAGTTATGTTTCAGTTCGAAATTACAGATATAAAGTATTAACATCAGTGTAATTGTGTCTAAATATAGGATTTGTGGAAGATTTAACGCAGATAGGTTCAGTTTTCCATCTTAAAAATCTAGACATACTTTTGATCATTGTCAAAATATGAATCAAATACGAAGCCCGTAGAAATTGGGTAACTGATTTGCTCGATAATCACAATAAAATTTGCTGCGCAAGTAATTCATTAGCAATAGTGTAATTTTTCACTCCTATTAGAGTTGCAAGAATGATTATACTGTATTCCTTAAACATCATTGTATACTGTAAGAACATTGGCAAAACCCTCTTAGAACCGCTATACAAGCGGAATGGGCACACCTAATAGGACACTTCAGTCATTTAAGAGGTTAAATAAGGGCTGCAGGTAACAGTTATAAAACAAAAGTGTAAGCTTCTTGCAGCCGCTATAGGACATTTGCGTCAGTGCAAGATTCAGTTTTTGTCAACTATACAACTATTCTGTTACGTGATTCTACTTTATGGCAACCAAACTATTTCTTATGACGAAGTGAAGAATATATATAACTAACACATTACAGTCATCTTGTTTACATACATATCGGCCATTGTGAATTTCATACACAGGCATATGATAAACTTCTACACTATTGCTAATGAATTACTTGCGCAGCAAATTTTATTGTGATTATCGTGCAAATCAGTTACCCAATTTCTACGGGCTTTGTATTTGATTCATATTTTGACAATGATCAAAAGTATGTCTAGATTTTTAAGATGGAAAACTGAACTTATCTGCGTTAAATCTTCCACAAATCCTATATTTAGACACAATTACACTAATGTTTATCACTTTATATCTGTAATTTCGAACTGAAACATAATTATTTAATATTAAATAGAGGAATACATGTTTGGCCAATATGGCGGGTGGTTGTGTATAATCATGGCATCGTCCATGTTGTCTTTAGGTTATTAAAATATTTTGGTCTTGCCTGCAGGTGTTATACAACAATTTGACAAATGTCTGAAATGAAATACCAACAAAGTCGAATGATTTACCCAAAATTTGTACCAGATCTATATCTTCTGTTTGAACAGTTGGTAAAACCTTTTGAACTAATATGCATGCGTTGTTTGTCTTAAAACATTGATTATGGCATTTTAGCATTTTACAAAAATATGACAGCAAAAAGTTAGGTTATGGTGAAATTGTTTGCCAACATATTTAGCATATGTAAAGCCTTTAACAGTTACTAAACAACAGTTATATAAGTGCTTCCGTTGGGAGCAATTTGTTTTCTAAAGTAGTAAATTTGCACAGTAAAACAACAAGCCTCGAGTTTGTTTTATAAACGTTATCATGGATGCCACAACACAAACATTTTGACTAACGTGCAAATATGCCGTATAAAATAGTTGTATAAACGTTTATGCAACAGTTAAAAATTTGCCCTATAAGGTGTTGTATAACTATGCTATAAGAATATTTTGAACACTTCATTTTAGAGCAAATATGTTGCAGAAAGCAAATCTGCATTCCACACAACATTAAGCCAGCAATTTTGTGTTCAGGCAACAACAATAGAGAGCTTTTAAGGGTGAACGGTTCTTTTACCAAAAGCTTATACCATTACTTTGCTAGTTGGGTTTATACTAGGGAGGTCTTTAAGTTTTGCATATAGAAACTTAGTAGGCCGCGCGGATCGAACGTCGATAATGAATCTTAACCTCACTCTTTTGTAAAGTTAAATCCAAAGTTTCACAACGATACGTGCAGTGTTCTCACTACAGTGAATTTTTAAGTGTCACCGAGTCATTAGAAAAATGGAACTCAACCGAGAACATAATTTATTACAACTTTCAGAGACAATTATCGCAACAAGAATGCCTTCCTGAGTTACTGTCTGTTTTCGGCAAGGAAGCGCCACATCAGTCGACAACTTCCCATTTGTATGGAGAATTCAAACGTTGACGGGTGAGTCTTAGCGACGATCCCATGGTGGGTGCACAAAAAACGGCAGTCACCCAGGAAAACGTCGATGCTGTGCGCAAACTCATCATTGAAGATAGACATGTGACATATCGCCAGATTGAGGCGTCCTAGAAGATCTCAAAGACCTCAATTCAAACAATTTTACATGAAGAATTAGGAGTAAGAAAATTATTTTCTCGTTGGATACCCCACCTGTTGACTGAAGAGCAGAAAACAGCCAGGGTTAATTGGTGTCAAAAAACGCTTGACCGTTTCAATTCCGGAAACTCAAAAAATGTGTACAGCATTGTTAGTGGTGATGAATCGTGGATTTACTGTTATGAACCAGAAAATAAACGACAGACGGCTGTTTGGGTGTTCCAAGGTGAAGAAAAGCCAACAAAAGTCATCCGTTCTTGAAATGTTTCGAAAAAGGTGGTCGCGACATTTGTGTCTAAAGCGGGTCATATTGCAACAATTCCGCTTAATGAGCAAAGAACTGTTACTGCGGATTGGTATACCACCATTTGTTTGCCAAAAGTCATCACCGAGCTTCGAAAAATCAACCCCGAAAGAAGAATTATCCTCTACCAAGACAATGCAAGCTCGCACACAGCCCAAAAACGAAGGCAGTATTTAACGGAAGAAAACGTGGAATTATTGGACCATCCTCCATATAGTTCCGATCTAAGTCCTAACGATTTCTTTACTTTCCCGAAAATTAAAAACAGGCTGCATGGTCAAAGGTTACAGTCACCAGAAGAAGCAGTTGACGCATTCAAAAATGCCGTTTTGGATCTGCCAGCAAACGAGTGGAATAAGTGCTTCGAAAATTGGTTCGAGCGCATGCAGATGTGTATTAATCTTCGTACTTCGAAAGACAATAAAGTCATTTAAAACTACCTACCGGGTTGTTTTATTTCCATATGCAAAACTTAAAAAACATCACTCGTACAAGACACAGATCAGGCCTATGCTCGAGTATTGCTCACTCGTTTGGGGTGCTGCCGCCCCGACTACATTATTTATGCTCGATGCTGTCCAGAGTCGGGCGGTCCAACTGATCGACGACCCTTTTCTAACAGACAGTCTCGGCACCCTGTCCCACCGGCGGACCTTCGGGGATCTAGCTCTTTTCTACCGCTACACCAACGGGCTTTGCCCCTCAGGCCTCTCTTCCATGATGTGCCTGCCATACAGACCCGCCTGACTTTGACGTCCCATCCTAACCGTGTCGAACTTCGTACATCCAGAACTGGCCGATACGACCGCTCCTTTGTCCCGAGGGTGTCGAGATTGTGGAGCAACCTACAAGAGGAAGCTTTTCCCGGTTCTGCTAACCTTAGGCAGTTCGAAAAGCGTATTGACAAAACTTCTTCGGGATCATCATAGCAGCCGCGGTGCCTCGGCATTTAGGCTTCTGCTTGCGCGACTGCTTCGGTATAAAAAAAAGAATGATTAATAAAGTCAAAAACTGTTTATTTTATTCCTACCTGACTTGAATAATGTAGTCATGATCATTAGCAGCCATTCAGCTTGTAATAAAAGAGTGGTTAGCGTACAAAAAAGTGAACAAAATCCGGCTCTGAGTACCAGGCGTTGACGGATTCGACAGAATAGTGTGTCACTGAGCGATATAGAGAATTATGAAATATCACTAGATAATCAGCTGTATTCCACCGTGATCGATACTCGTGAAAAATGCTATATAAGTCGAATTTATGTGGAAAATGTGTTTACGCTCAGTTGATTATACTCGTCCAAACTAAAGCAAGAACCTAACTACTCAACATTATGCAAGGAGGAACTACAGGGTCCGGCACAAACGTCGGACGCTTTTTAAAAATCACGAAATCGGTCATTTTTACTCAAAAACAAATTTATTGCCGGATTCGGGTTCACAGTGAAATAGCGTTTGTCACAATTCAGTGCGGAAAATCATATTAGTCATATGGTGACCATTTTTTTACCTTTGCATTGCTGGAAGCATGCTTGAAAGTTCGCGTATACTTTCTGCAACATCGTTCTCTCAACTTGCGCCACTTCCACTTGAGGTGTCCCCATAGGAAAAAAAACGCAGTTGGATAAATCAGGGGATCGAGGAGGCCAATGAACATCACCAAACCTCGAAATAAGGCGACCACGGAAGAGAGGGCGAGTAACGTTCAATGTTGCTTTGGCTGTGTGTGCGGTCGCCCCATCGTGTTGGAACCACACACGTCGGAATGGAACAGGTCGTCGTAGTAATTCGATATAGCGCTCCGAGTTCACGGTATCATTATTGCCATTACCGTTTTCGAAGAAACAAGAGCCGATGATGCAAGTTTGCGATACAGCGCACTATACCGTCACTTTTGCCATTAAGATGAAAGTGAGCACTTTGACCCGAATTGGCGAAGAGTACTTAGTCATTTCAAAAATATCCGTCCTTTGTGCCGGACCCTAGAATAATATCGGTACCTTGAAACACTTATGCAGATCTCTGGGAACTGTTTTAGAACCGCTGGCTATGGGTTGCACAGTAAGATTCTCCTTCCGGTCCGGTGGGATCGCCGGACGTCTCTTGTGATGTCGTTTCGACGCGACGATTCCGGCCGTGGAAACTGCTACAACTGTACCGCAGGCCTTCGTACGCGACGATCGAGTCTGAGGTATATTTTTAATATAAATATATACACATCAAAACTGCATATTAGAGCTAAAACAGACAAGCTACTTTTAAACTGACACAACCATTTATTTTCTGTTTTATGTCATACGGAGCTTGTTCAATTGAAACCCATCTTTGGCCCAGAAAAAAATGTATCGGCAAATATATCTACAAATAATTAATATTACAGTTAAGTCACATATCCCATTGTTTCACAATCGATGTCCCTGCTTAAAGAATTCGTGTGGCTGCTGCTTGAAGAGTTCTTTTACGGCATTTTGTACTTCTTCGTCCGACTGACAATGCTTATACCTTTTAAAGCATTTTTCAGTGAAAAACGCAAGGCGATAAATTCATTTCTTTCGATGTAGATTTTATTTCACTACTCTGGCAAAACATCAGGCCGAGAATGACACCACGTGAGAGCTTCCCTGGACGGTTTCGTCTTATTGCTTGATGGAAATTGTTCAAAATTTCGTTATACAGGTTTGCGTTGATATGGACTCTAGGTTCTTTACACTCTAAAAGCAAGGATCCATCATGGTCGAAAAAAAAATGTAGAAGGTTGAACTTTAAACTTCTTTGATGGCGGAGAATTTGCGTGTTTCCATTGCGTCGATGACAGCTTACTGATGATTACTAACATTCGTCGCCAGAAATTATTGACGAACGCAAGTCATTACCGTTTTGTTTGTATTCCATGAGAGGTTGCAAAGATAAGCACAGTCGCAAGCTTTTTCGGTCCTCTGATAAAAGGCGAGGGAACCCAGTACGCACAAACTTTGCTGTAACCCAATTTGTGTACTGACATACCCTATACTCACGCCAACATTTTCTGAAATTAACCCAATTGAAATTAGACGATTTTCTCAATAAATGAATTTTTAAATTTTCAAAATCAGTAAGCATTATGTTTTTATTTTATATTTTTTATGTAGTGTTTTAGCAAGTAGCTATTTTCGTCTAGTTTTGTCCTTGACCTTGCTGAATGAACTTGTATTGTACTTTTTTATCTAGTTTATTGTGTGGTGTAACAAACTCCATAGACTCACATTTACTGTGATATTGATAGTACTTTTTGACATGCCATGTGAGCTTTAATTTGAAATTTGGCTAAATATACTACTACTACAACCCCGCAGCTGAGTACGAGCCCCTTCCCACTTCAGTTGGCCCAACTATTAGAAATCTTAGTTTTTTTCTTATCAAATACAAATAATAAAAATTTAGCAGGGTGTTATAGGTTTAAAATATTAACAATGAATATTTTGATAATATATAGTAGAAAACATCAACTTTATCACTCCCTAATCAAATTTGCAGCATAAAAATAACACATGTTGCAATTACAGCATATCAACATATTTTCATTTCAATGCAAAATCAGTCTATAACGCATAGGTGGCTGTGAAAAATAGAAGCTATGACAATTGTTTTTATTAATCACAGCTGTCATAATACGTTTAAAATAGTTTTGGGTAGTTAAGGTTTTCAAAATGGGTAGAGGAAAGGTTATTAGTGAGAAAATTCGGTTACTGATATATATATATATTTTAATTCTGGGAAATCAAACGCAGAAATTGCAGCTTTGTTAGACTTACCGCGGTACAGTGTGAGAAATATTGTTGGAAGATATAACGTAACTGGTCCAGTTAGTATTAAGCCACGATATGTGAAAAAAAGTAATATCACAAATGCCGACCGAAGAGCATTAAGAAGAATAATAAGCATTATTAACTGTCTGAAGAGAAAAGTGAAATTTCCAGCATCCATTATAGTCTGGGACAGTATGTCATCAAAAGGAGTAGGAAAACTTCATTTTATTAGTGGAAATGTGGATACAAACAAATATTTGGCAATTTTAGAAGAATCGCTTTTACCAGTGATAAAAGAATGTTTGACATCCGGCCAAGATTTTGTGTTTCAGCAAGATGGTGCAGCGTGCGATACCTCAAAAAAGGCTATAAAATGGATGGAAGAAAATAATGTACCACTTTTGAAATGGGTTTCTAGCAGTCCAGATCTGTCACCTATTAAAACTTTGTGGCACGAGATGAAAAAGGTTCTACGACAACATCCTGCTCGTACAATCACCGAACTGAGACAAAAGCTTCAAGAAATATGGGATTGTTTTGCACCAAATTTTTGCCAAAACTTTGTTAACACTATGCCCCAAAGAATTTCAGCCGTAATAAAAAATAAAGGTGATGTTACTCAATGGTAATCTTTCAATTGTTGCTTTGTTAACTTTTCGCATTTATTCGCACATTGTTTATTTGTTCAGATGTTCTATTAGTTATAGGTCTAGGTATAGTGATTTCAAATATGTATTTTTTACGACTAGAGTGTATCTAAAATGTTTTTGAGAAAATAAATTGTTTTAGAAGTAAATAGTTTCGTCATGTTTAGATTATAAAGGCATATTTTGGTACAAATCTTGAAGTGGGCCAACTGAAGTGCCACATTCCTGTCGGTTGATGCAGTACTCAATCCACCTGGTCGCGGCTTATCATTCGTCTCCACTCTTACATTCTTAAATTTTCGACACCATTACATGACAGCTACAACTCAAAACATGCGTATGAATTTGCAATGGTTGCAAACCTTCAGCACACAAAAATTGAATGACCGCACGCTGACGGATTTTTAACAACAAACGCCATTATTAGGTCACAATACTTAAAATCGCAGTCAAATACAAATGACAGGAACTGGTCAGTGCGAAGTTTACAAACACAACTAACATTGAAAAACTTCATTTAAGTGATTAGAATTGTTTCCAAGCCTAATCTGACAAAGATCGGTATCAATTGAACAAGTCTTGTATATGTAGCAATGCGCACAGTGAACCATTAAGTTGAGTGGATTTTAAAACATAGAAAAACCACTACAAAGCGAAGGGAAGATAATTTATATTGTAACAAGAATAAATAGTACCGCTGGCGCCAGACTCAACTACTCGCCAGCTGCTTGCAATTTTATTTTTTAAAAGTTAGTCTAACCATATCAGAAAATTTACCCGAAATAATCGTCAAGTCGACTTTTATTGATGCAAGTTATTCAAGGGGGTATTTAAAACATGGACGCATGAAATGGATACACCAATTTTTGTGGGAAAACTTTTTATTTGACAACAAAGAATCAGAAAACGTGTTTTTTGGGATTCAATCGAAAGTGTGGACAGGAAAGAAAAAACTTTTCATATAGGATTTTTAGGTATTTATGAAACCTACAAAATGAGACCACACGTAAAAAGATCCGACTAATAGCAAAAATGTTATGGCCGAAAAACGATACAAAATGTAGGTTTTGGCACTTAGGCCCGTATCGTCAGTCGTCCCTACAATTGTAGGACGCCTTTATGGCCTCCTTGATTGTCATAGTTTTCTGCTTCTCCGTGTCAGAACTCTATTTTGAGGTTATGATACAAACATCTATTTTCATCAAATTGTGCTTGCTTTTGAGTTATATCATGTTTTAGCAGCCTGAAATTTCCTACAATTTAAAAAGAAAACATATCTTCACAATAGGAGAGCGCTGACGCTGACACGGGACAAGTGTAATCTAGAAAGGAGAGAAAGGAGGATGACAATCAAGGAGGCCATAAACGCGCCCTACAATTGTAGGAACGACTGACGATACGGACCTTAGTTAGGCGACGATAATTTCACGTAACTACTTGAAATTCTTCAAATGAGTAGGATTCATAATTCTAAATAATAACAACAAAATTGGATTATATTGGTCAAGTAGTTTTTTGAGAATTTCTAATTGCTTATCCCAAAACACCTGTTTTCCTTCCATCATTACTAGTTTATTGAGCAATATATAGGGTGGGTTAGTTCAAAGGACATTTTATAGCAAAATACACTATACTATAACTATCTAAAACTGTAATGACTCATCGATGTTCACGTGAACATCACTTAACTACCAGTAGTCGGCTGTTCATAGGCGGGGTATGAATGTTTAACATGGGTGAACTAGATTTGTCACATGCTTAATAAAGAGTGGTTTGAAACATATTGTAAGTCAAAAATTTGGGAATTACCTTTATTCATCGTCGCTTCCACTTACATCTGACAGTAATAAACTGTCGCTATCGCTTTCCTCGATGAAATTGACTATAACTGGCTCTATGATGGTGTCGATGTTGTGGTCAAACTGCCAAATTTTTGTTTCTTCCTTCACAACATGACGGATAGCATTCTGCCAAGCTTCGGGCGTTACTAGCTGTATGGAAGTCTCAAGTAAAACCTTAACGTCTGGTAATTTGAAGGTTGTGTTATGGCCCGCAATATAACCCTTCACTTGAGCCCAGATGAGCTCTATTGGGTTCAGTTCACAGTGGTAGGGCGGTAACCGCAGCACAGTGACACCACATTGACGGGCCATCTCATCAGTCACGTAACTAACGTTCGCAGGTTTGTGCTGTTTAATTTTTTCATTCAATTCCGCTTTCACACATGAATCGTCAAATGGGATTCCTTTTTCGCGCAACCATTGCTGCATGTCACTTTTTCGAGATCCCATAGTCGGTACACGTTCGGCTCGACGACTATGGTAGGAAGCATTATCCATGACGATCACAGAGTTGGGCTCAACTCGCTGAAGCACCCCTTGAAACCAGCTCTCGAAGCAGCTGGCCTTCATTTCGTCATGGTAATCACCTCCTTTCTTAGAGACGAAAATCAAGTCACACTCTTCTAAAAAGCCACTATCGCTACCAATATGAGTTACGATCAATCTTTGACCTTTCCCTGACGGTCCACGAAGACCTGTTGACAAACCTTCAATGCTTGCTTGTCGGTTACTCACTACGTTTTTGTCTATCCAGGTTTTTTTAACTGTGTGACCTGCATTTACCCATGTCTCGTCCAAATAATAGATTTTTCTGCTTTGTCGCCTATATTCAATCATTTCGCGTAGGTATTTTCGACGCCAGGCGACTATTTCAGGTCTCTCTATCAATACTGACTTCCGATTACGCGTTTCGTAACGAAAATTAATTTCGTGCAGGGATTTCCTCATTATCTCGACGCTCATTTGGGGTATAATTTCATTTTCCTTGATCGCTGCATGTACAGCCTTGAGGGTTGGTATCTCATTCCTAAAGAAGAATGAATGTACGGTTCGCCTTAACGCCATTTTGCTATCGTCATCCAATTTAACGGCCTTTCGTCCCTTCAAATTAAACTTTGGATCAGTAGTAGCTCCAGTTTTCTTCTTTCCATGCACCACCCTGCGAATGGCCCACTCTGGAACGCCTGTCATAGTTCTGTTCAGATAATTGAACACGTTGAGCACGATTTCTTTCGCGTCCCTCTTCAGTGCTTTACGAAGCCGTCTACTTGTTCCCTGGCTTTCAGTACTTCCACTCGTGCCATTTGTACTCTCCATGGTTAAGTATAACCAAAACAGTAACCACAGAAACCACAACAATAACAATCATACAACAATTCTTATAAAAACACACAATATGCGATCGCTCAACGAAACACGTTCCAATGCGTTGCCGACGCCTATGAGTCTGCCGGTCGAGGCGCGTCTTTGAGTTCATTGGTTCTACCGGCGGAGAACAATCAGCCATTATTTCCATCTCTGTCTGTGCTGTTGACCACCGCAAAGCCACAGAAATGACATATGTCGTACGCTATACGGCTGTACTGGAAGGAAGCCGGGATCGAGCTCTGATCACGTGTTGATCACGCGTATGAGTCATTACAGTTTTAAATAGTTGTATAGTTTACCTTGCCGATATGAATCGCAAACCATTCCGAAAGATAAATGTTAATTTCATGCAGAAAAGGATGGGTTACGTTTTTTCTTCTAAACAAATTCAAACATTTCGTATTTGTGAGTAATTCGCAACAAAAGATGATAGACACATCCGCTTTGTTTTAAAATATGCATAGTAACGTATGTTTTTCAAATATCGTAGCGCAATTGTTCAGATTCGAATTCAGATCGAACGTCATAATGATATTCGAATACGCATTTCATTACTATTTTGTGTTACAATAAAAATTACAATAAATTATAACGATATACATGAAAATCAATGCAGATCAATGACATTAAAGCTAAAGTCCTAATACAATAAGATACCTCGCCGACAGACCCATTTAATTTTATACAACAACTCTGGTTAAAATGAATTAGTATCTGGGAATGTTGCACGTTATTTGTCACAGTTATCAATGAGTTTGAACCTATGAACGATCAGATTAAACTATTTTTATCATTTGAAATTTTCTTAGGATATTCTGTTTTTTCAAATATTCGGGTGATCAGTAAGTCTTCTAAATGTGTATTCGATCATTCTTATATGAAACGATAAACTAGTACACTTGAATACAGGAATTATCGATACAGGGTGTTTTCAAAGTTGAGTAATTTATTTTAACTGTAGGACTCGTCAAAAGGAGTTGATATATAAAAATGACCTATATAAAACTTGCATAAAAAAAGAAATAGTAAAACATTAAACATTTAAAAAAATTGGATTTTTGATATTCACGACCACTGCCGTGTAAAATATTGGCGCTTTTTCTTTACTACTCTTATCCTTTATCTAAACTTGGCAAAATTTTAGTTTTATTGTATGATTTTCAGTACGAGTCTTTGGTTAAATCAGTTGTATCAGTATTTTAATAGTACATATATTTTCATTTGTCTGATTATTTTGTACGAAAAAATGGTCCATGTTCACGAAAACAATGAACTAGTGGACATAATACTAACATATGGAGAGAACATCTGCCACATTTATTAGAATATGTTCCTCTAAATGAGAGACAGAATATGTGGTTCCTACATGATGGGGCTCCACCACGTTTTAGACGACAAGTTCATGATCATCTAAATAAAGAGTTTCCGAATAGATGGTTAGGGTGCATGGACCCATTTCTCGGCCTGCTCGCTCCCCAGATTTAACGGCTTGCGATTTTTTTCTGTGGGGCTATTTGAAAGAGATGGTGTATCACGATGGAGCAGTAAATACTCTGGAAAAACTTTAACACCAGGATTTTATTTCCAAAGCTTGTAAAGAGTCATCGATTCGCCGATCAAGATTTTGCGTTAATCGAACAAATGCGGACAATTTTGAACAGTTTTTGTAAAAACCGTGAGCATTAAACTTGATAATGATTTTTTTAAAATAATTTCTAATAATGTAAACTAACTCTCTTATTATGCAACTTTTATATACGTGATTTTTGGTATATCAACTTCTTTTTACCACAAACACAAAACCAACTCAGTATCATATTCGAAATAAAGAACTGTTTTTGTAACGAAGTTTTCTAAATATGGTGCCAAGTATTTCTCTCCACCCGCTGGTTTGGTTCGGGTCCAGTTCTTTATTTGCTTCAGAAACTTGGGTATCCCGATTTCCTTTTTAGTCTTGTTTTGATTTCTCGAAGGACCATCCCGTAGAAGTCACCGATGTAAGAATTTGATAATATATACTTTATACTCTGAGGACAACTTAAATGCTTAGGAAAAATAGCAATCAACATTTTCTTAAGGCGTGCTCCAACTAGTGTAGGAATTGAAACCGCGGGACCCTATCTACGCCGTGCGTTTGCCAAAACAACGTTGGAGCGTTTTCCAAGTTTGAACAACATTCTCTTTTCTGATGAAGCTCATTTTCATTCGAGTCGATTTGTAACAAGCAAAATTACCGGTATTGGGCCGCAGAGAATCCTAAATCAAAACATCAACGACCTTTGCATTCGCGTTATGTTACAGCTTGGGCGGTCATGTCGGCTGAAGGAATCATCGGACCCTATTTCTTCGAAAACGAGCAAGGTCAGACTGTAGTACTAAATTCTAATCGCTTTACAGCAATGCTACGTAACTTTTCCTTTCCACAACTGCATGCTTTTGAAGTCTACCATATAAGGACCTGATTTCAACAATATGGCGCGACATCTCATACTGCCATCGAGTCTTTAGCTGTTGTAAACGAAATGTTTAGCGGAAAACTGATATCGCGACGAGGGGAAATTCCGTGCCCTCCCCGGAGCCAAGATAGAGATACCTCACGAGCCACGTTTACGACAATAAACCGACGACTATTGCCCAGCTCAAGTACAATATTTCCGAGGAGATGTTCGCTATCCCACGAGCGATGTGCCAGCGAGTTTGAAGTCGAGATTCGAGCAGTGCGTACGTCTCGATGGCTCTCATCTCAACGAAGTTATTTTTAAAATAAATATCCCACGTGTCTACTTTATTAAAAATATAAATTAGCTTCCCTATGCTTAGTAGTTTTTTTCTATTTTTGTTTAAATCAGCTCATCTTAATCGCCAACCTTGTATAATACAAAAGCCTTAAGACTAATCACCCGCCCAGGAGCGAGATGTCATTGTTCGTACATCGTGAGATCGAACTAACGAACATGATTTACATACAACAACCACATATTTCTTTCATGCTTGTAACAAATTAAGATAGCAAGTTTCGGTGTGAATACTGTGTTTATGCATCGATTAACATATCCTTCATGGCGATGAATCACCCACTTGTGAATATTTGCGAACGTATCCTCCCAGACCCATCTCTAGTATTAGTTTTCCATCTCTACTCTTGACAGTTGATACATTTGTAGTGCTGCCACGCTAATCGCAATAAACATGAATAATGGGTAATAACAAACCAATGTTTGTTATTTTAACGCATAGTCGTTGAACCTAACTACATTTATTTTTCAATTCAATTAAAAGATTCGAAATCGAGTGAAATACGACCAATCTGACGTTTATTTTGTGGATCTATCGCGATTTCAGCTTAACGAATTTTGTTGAACAATTTGATGTAGAAGCACTGATGGACTGGATAAACCAAGCTAAAGAGAGATATAATACTGATTTTCCTGTGTTCTTTCTTTTCCCAAGAAACATACACACGTTATATGCATACTCAAATATATTTCCATTCAAACCATTCTACATCTAACAGATCATGCAAGTCTTGATTTCATCTTCGTTCTGTCCTACCTGTAATGGGACGGATGCGCCGGCTGTACTAGGCCTGAGTCGTGCCCCTTTAGGATAACATCTCCTCCGGAAAGCACCGTCCACGTTGCTTGCGGTCTGTAAGTTACGCAGCCAGTCGCGTAAGCCGCTCAGAGTATGAAACTCGCTGTTAGGAAGCCGGGAGAATGGATTGTGACCGGTCAAGTCGAGGATCGACGAACCCAGCGATCTGCCAACCTGGAAACATTCAGTCACTTTTCAACTCCGGTAGTATCAGACCGAAAATTTTACCGAATCTCGATATTTTCGGAACGGAAATAGATATCGAGTTGCGGTATTCGGGAGGTTCTTCACCAACTGTTTAAGAACACGTACACGCATATTTCTTTTATTTATCCATTTATACAGGGTGAGCAAGTGAATTAAGGTTTTTTAGCTATGTCAGATTCTCAATTTTTCATCTTGGAATTTTTTTATGCATATTTTTGATCTTTGGATTATCCTAGAAGAAACTAAATTTTTCGAAAGTTGACTCAAATTATCGAATTTTAATAAAGTGTTACATTTATCCCTAAAAAATGAGTTTTTTGAGGTTTCTTCTGAGACGAGGTATTTCTTCTCATACTGTAGCATAAAGTGGAATTTCCTGTGCTCGAGAAACGATTGAAGCACTCATTGAACGTTATGGCCTCCAGTGGCATGAAATAAAAATTTGCCATTTTGACATTATATAATTTATACCGAATTTATAAATTTTACTATGCAATTAAACACCTTAGTCGACAAATCCAATATACTACCCTTAATAGGGGGTGTCTTCCGGCTGCGTAACACCAAATGCATTTTTTTTGGTAAAAAGTGCTAATAACTTGAAAAAAATATTTTTTAAAATGCTATATTGCTGACCAACATTGATATTAATCTTTTATCTGGATTTTTTATCTTTCTTATTCCGCATTAGCATACGGGTCTTCATTGGAGATGTTTTCCAATAGGTAATAGACTCTGTTAAATTTTTTAACAACATCAAGAATGTATTCATTAACATTAACCATATGTAACCTTTCAGAAAACAAAAAGGACCAGACAAGAAAAATAAAAACAGTACCTCTGTATGATTATAACAATATCGTTAATATGATTATGATAATAAGTATACTAAGTGACATATAAATCCGAACACCCAGTTTAAATGGTTTTATTTTAATAAAAGTTGGTGAATGTATTTATCTTACTGTAAATAACAAGTGAAAAAATTTTCTGCCTTATCAGTTGGACATTCCGGTTTTTATACTGCTTTTTTTTAATTCACTAACGCTCTAAAAATGAATATTTCAGCCGCAGTAAAGAATCAACGTTGGCGGATTTTGGTTCTTGACATCCTTTACGATGGGTTACGATGCCTAGAGTACGGAGACCTGTACGATTTCGTCAACTTAGTGAGTTTGATAGGGACCGTATAGTGGGACTTCTGGAAGCTGGACTTTCTTTTCGGGCAATTGCAGTTAGAGTGCAACGAAGTGTAGACACTGTGGTTAGGTGTTGTCAGGCATGGCTTCGAGAAGGACGACCGCAAAGAGCAAGGGGCACTGGACGCCGCCGTAGAACAACAGACCGTGAAGATCGCCGCCTAAGATTATTGGCCTTAAGGGATCGTTTCTCCACTACCAGGTCCATTGCAAATGAATGGTTTGCAGAACAGGGAACACCTATTGGCATGCGAAGTGTTTACCGACGAATGAGAAGTTTTGGCTTGTTTTCATACCGGCCACACTGGGTCCTCCCTTTAACTCGAGAACACCGACGTAATCGCCTTGAGTGGTGCAGACAACGGTCACTCTGGGATGAGGAATGGTCGTGCCAGGGTTAGAAGGCGACGTGGTGAAAGGAGGAATCCAGTTTTTTGTTGAAAGACATGTTCATCACACTGTTGGAGTTATGGTTTGGGGTGCTATAGCTTATGGTTCCAGGTCACCTTTAATCTTCATCAGAGGTAACATGAACGCGCAGCGTTATATCCACGAAGTTCTAGAACTCCATCTTTTACCCTATCTTGACACCCTGGCAGATCCAACTTTCCAACAAGATAATGCCCGACCACATGTTGCAAGAGTCACAATAGACTTCTTTCAACATAATGATGTCACGTTGTTACCATGGACACCAAGATCTCCCGACTTATCCCCAATTGAGCACGTGTGGGATATGATGGGTAGGAGATACCAGAGGAGGACATTGACCACCTGATCAGAAGCATGCCTAGGCGCGTTGGAGAATGCGTAGCACATCAGGGTGCATCCACACATTATTAAAGGTCAAAGGGCTTTAAAGCAGTGCAATCATTTTGAAATTTTTATCATTTACTTATTATGCTTCATTAAGTACTTATATAAAATTTTATTAAAATAAAACCATTTAAACTGGGTGTTCGGATTTATATGTCACTTAGTATATGTATGTAGAGAAATAAACTTTATTTTTTTAGGTGAAAACCGTGCATTCAACTAAAAAATGATAAGTGTATTTTGTTGCTAAGAAACACCTGGGGATTTCAATATTTTTACTTTTAAAGAAATCCATGCCTGGTGGTAATTAAAAAACGGTATATTAAAACTGTCTCTTGATGCATAATACATGTATGCCAAATTTTATTAAAATATCTAAAGATGACAGATATTAAAAATTATTTATTATTGAAAGTTTATCACTCCATCTCTGAAAAGCTAAGATGTTTAGGACATACGTTCGTATGAGGTTTTCTCCTTGAAACGGGCGCGAAAATCGCTTCCTTAAATATTGTCATTCAATTATGGAAGAAACCCTGAATTATAATACGCTATGTTGTCTTTCCAATGAAACCACATATATTTGATATTCTTCTTTAATGTAGTATACGTTTCGGTCACAATAGTGAGGCAATAATGTAACATTATTTTCTGCCAAAAAGTTTATAACCGTACGAGCTCTGGGCGGCCTGGCGTTATCATCGATGAAGCCAAAATCCTCCCCAAAATCTTGTGCAAAAGGTACAACAATATTGTTTAAGATGTTGTCCCAGCATTGACTGTTTGAAACAATAAGTTCGGTTTTACCATTGCGTGTAACCCCAGTCGAAACAGTAATGCCACCTCCACCAAACGCCTCTTGTGGCCATGTTTTCTCCATCATGTCGTTTCTCAGCTTGCATCCAAACAAGGTCCCTACCATCAGAGTGGTATAGGTTAAAGCTTATTTCATCTCAAAACATGCAATTCTGCCTCTGGTGAGGCCAATTTACCGGCTCCCCTTGCTCTCGAAGAAATGCTTAACAAATCAGAATTTAAAGTTCGAATGGATGCTATTATTTCTCTGTGCTGCCGTAAGTTTTAAGTCAAGGTTGAAAGGGTCCTCTCCTTCGCCTTAGTTCCTGCAATAAATGTCTTTCAGCACGACCTCGTATTTTTTTATTACCTCCTCCATGCAAGAAGGGCGTTTCTCCGGTATCCTGATATCTACGTCTTAAACGGTATATTGAGGACCGATCAACATTATAAATTCAAGCTACATCATTCACTAAACCACCTTCTCCCAATAATCTTATATAACTCTCTCGTTCTTTTTAAAGAAGACGAGGCATTTTTGAGAACATACAGTGATAGTGTCAACTCTACAGTGAATATTATTGTGACTTAGCAATCGCATGTTTGGGGTGTAGGTAGATAAATAAAAAAAAATATACCGATCGAACCCTATACGTGTTCTCAAAAAACTGGTCAAGAATCTCCCGAATACTGCAACTCGATATTTTTTCCCGTTCCGAAAATATCGGGATTTGAATTTTGGAAAAATTTTCCATGTTGCAAAGCAACTGTCCACCAATTTAGTTATCAATGCCGATGCACTGCTTTCTCTTTGATCTCCCTTCTTTCTTCCTATCTTTCTTCTTCCCTTCATTCTCCCTGACTTATGTGGTATGGTAACTGGGCAACCAGACCGGACAGACCTAATGATTTAACTGTAACCTAGAGCAAAGGTTCTACAGTCCGCTCTGACATACAATGACGATTAGAACACGTTTCGAAATAACGGCAAAACACTTTTGTTCAACATTCAGAATTTCAAGTAGTAAGAGTATGAAAAGGCATGTTGCTGAAATAGAAATATGGCGGCTTAGTTAGGATCGTTTTTTTCGAATGGCGCCGGCTGAGATGGTTCCAAAAGTATTTGAGAGATTATTATCTGTAGCGTATTAATGATGTAGGAATCTAACCTGAAAACGACAACTTACTTCTTCAAATACGTGCGGTGTATATTTTGGCGGAACATTTATGGAATGCATCCTTCCGCACGGTTCTTTTGTGGTAGGAGGTAATACGTTCACTAATCTTCCCGTGTTGTAGTTGCATTCGAGAGTGTAGCTTTTTATTATTCCGGTTAAAGATAGCACCGCCACTCGCCCAGATCCGGCTCTGCTCCTGCCATCTGTCTTATCCCTGGAAGTAACTATTATTATACACCGATTTTTAAAATAGCTGTTTAACTTTCAAGTTTGGTAACTAAAATATATCAGAAAGAATGAACAATTATTTTATAGACGGAATCCATCACATGGTGAAGACGATTGATGACGGTGATTCCAACTTATGTTTACCTACAAGTATATCATAATTCCTCAATGAATCAATTTGAAAAAGATTCTAGATGATTGTTTCAATATAATTTGAGAGAAATTATTATTATTGGTGAATCACTGTAAATTAAAGTGTTCCACCATCACTCCGGTGCCAAAAGTTCAACATTCTGAGCTGTATACAAATATGTGGCCGATTAATGTCTCGCCAAAAGCTGTTCGTAGGGATAACATACGAACAAATCATTGAATTCATTGAAGAAAACAAAATTTTGACAAAACATCCAGCTAGATTCAGAAAAAAAAATATTCTACAGAAACAGCAATCCAAATGGTGGTGGAAGACTAGAGAATAAGTATAGGTGAGAAAGAATGTATTATTGTAACAGTATTTTTAGACTTGAAAAGGGCATTTGAGAATTTAAACAGGGAAAAATTGTTAATGAAATCGCAGTGGTTTTAATGGATCACTATTAAAGATTTTACAAAATTATTTAGTAAATAGAAATCAAAAAGGTAAAGTTAGAAATATTATCTGAAGCGTTCTAAATATATCAGTAGTGATGCCACAGAGGAGTAAATTAGGACTCCTTATTATACAGGGTGTCCCAGAAGTCGACGTCAAGCCGAAACCAGCTGCTTCCAATAGTCTTTGCCGTAGCTCAGCTACATTTTGAATCGGCTTGAAATACACTTTTTCTCTTACAGTTCCCCAGTAAAAAAATCTAAAGGATTCAAATCAGGTGATCGGGCTGGCCACGATATTGACCAGACCGCCTTATCCATCTGCCTGGAAAGTTTTGATCGAGATACTCTCTCACTGAGAGTGCATAGTGCGCTGGGCAGCCATCATGCTGAAACCACATGTCCCTGTAAATACTCAGTGGCACGTCCACCAATAAATTTTGTACATGATTTTTCAAAAAATCCAAATAAACTTCAGCAGTCAAAGTCTCTGGGAACTCAAACGGACCGATTATTTTACCATTTAAAATTCCTGTCCAATGGTTTATCTTGAAGCGATATTGAGATTTATCTTCTCTCATCAAATGTGGGTTTGGTACGTGCCACTCGTGTAAGTTATGCAGGTTCATGTACCCATCTTTCTTAAATGTGGTCTCATCCGAACATAAAATTTTTTCAAAGAACTGTGGATCTTTCCTGTGTCTTTCTCACATTGTGCGACAAAAAGCAACTCGGGGCTCATAATCCCGGGGCAGGAGGGGTTGAACACGCTGTATGTGGTATGGATGAAGCACATCAGTTACTTGCTATTGCACACTTTGATACCGATCAGTACTCCTTCGTTTACTGCGCATCTTTACATGTTCGTGCTTGTTGATTTCGTACTGTTACTAATTTTGGATTCGTGAACTGGACTGTTGATCGCTTGTGATTTGGATTTGGACTGTTTAATTGCTCTTCAAAACAACATTTGCTTTCCTTAGACTATCTTTGATAGTGTGATTGTGCAGTGCCGCTATGTCCGTGTACACCGTACAAGAATATGCTAACATGCACCTCATTTATGGGGAATGCAGATGCAACGCTAGTGCTGCAGCGAGACTTTACTGTGAGAGGTACCCGAATGCAGCTCGTCATGCAGATCATCGAGTGTTCACAAGTGTGCACCGCTTACTGTTCTCAGAGGGCCAGCTACCAAACCAATCACACGGTGAGGGAAGATCTTTCCTTCCTTACGAAGACGTGGTGCTAGGAGCTGTCGAAGAAGACCCGAGTACTTCAGTGCGTGCAATAGAACTAAAAACAGGTGTGCCCAAAAGTACAGCCCATAGAATCTTGCAAAAAAACGTGCTCCATCCATACCACGTACAGCGTGTTCAAGCTCTTCTGCCCCGGGATTATGAGCCCCGAGTTGCTTTTTGTCGCACAATGTTAGAAAGACACAGGGAAGATCCACGGTTCTTTGAAAAAATTTTATGGTCAGATCAGACCACATTTAAGAAAGATGGGTACATGAACCTGCATAACTTACACGAGTGGCACGTAGCAAACCCACATTTGATGAGAGAAGATAAATCTCAATATCGCTTCAAGATAAACCATTGGACAGGAATTTTAAATGGTAAAATAATCGGTCCGTTTGAGTTCCCAGAGACTTTGACTGCTGAGGTTTATTTAGGTTTTTTGCAAAAGCATTTAGAAAATTTATTGGAGGACGTGCCACTGAGTATTTACAGGGACATGTGGTTTCAGCATGATGGCTGCCCAGCGCACTATGCACTCTCAGTGAGAGAGTATCTCGATCAAAACTTTCCAGGCAGATGGATAGGGCGGTCTGGTACAATACCGTGGCCAGCCTGGTCACCAGATTTGAATCCGTTAGATTTTTTTTACTGGGGAACTGTAAAAGAAAAAGTGTATTTCAAGCCGATTCAAAATGTAGCTGAGCTACGGCAAAGACTATTGGAAGCAGCTGAGTTTGTTAATAACCGTGGATTCGCTCGTTTAATAACCCGATCTTTTTTAAGATGTCGAGCGTGTATTGCGGCTGAAGGAAAACAGTTTGAGCATTTGCTGTAAAGGTAAATCATCATCAGCAGCATTTTGACGCTCACTGTTGTGGAAACAGTTATCCTTAAGGGTCCTTGTGCGTTTTCATAATCGCTGTTTTTCTTCAAATAAAAATTGTGCATAAGTTAACGAGTAATCTTCTAAGTGTTATACCATTTTGGAATCGTTATTAAATGCGCCAACTTTTAAGGTTACTTGCCAAACTCTCGTAGTACATTTTTTTCCAGTACAGCCAGTTAAAGTTGAGCAAAGTTTTACTTTGGAATACTTGGTTGGGAAATAAGTGGCAATTTTTCCTGAACGAGAAAAGTTGGCAGTAAGGTTGAGACACCAGTTTGAAGATGCATCATTCATCATTACATTGTAAAAATAAAATCCAAAAAAAGTTAATATTTGTAGTAACAGGAGTTGGCAGACTGCCGTAGGGTGTGAAATTTCAATATTTTTTTCAAAGACCTATAATTTTCAAAACACATACATAAAATTTTTTTAAATATTTTTCTGATAGCTGTTATGACTTTGCCTATCACCCGGTTTCGGCTTGACGTCGACTTCTGGGACACCCTGTATATATAATTGATATCTCTGACATTTTAGAACACTGCAAAATTCAAATATTTGCTGACGGTACAGTGGTATATACATTGCATAATATAATAAATAGTAAAACAATAAAAATTCAAACAAAAATAAGTACCATCTTTTATGACGGTATTGAAACATTGAATGACTTTGATATTTACCAACCGAGTGATTTGGTTATACGTGTTTCTGAAACGTCAATATACTACAATTTTAGTCATGAATCGCTTTACACCGAAACAACGCGCCGAAATAGCCACAATGCACATTGAAAATCGTCGTTCAGTTGAGGTGACATTGACTGGCCACCCAGATTTCCAGATTTGACCCCACCGGACTTCTTCTTGTGGGGTTATTTGAAAAGTCAAGTATACGCCAGCAAGCCCCAGACCACTGAAGAACTCAAGGCAAACATTCGTACCGCAATCCCCGCTATACCACCAGAGATGCTCGAAAAAGTAATGGAAAACGCAGCAAAATGGGCACATTTTGTTTTGGCCAATAACGGTGGCCACTTGATAGATGTTGTGTTCCAAATATAGTCCCAATAAATTGTAAAGGACCATATTTAATAAAAATACCCGATATATAGAAATCAGTTTTTCGTTTTCAAAGTTATTTCATGTTTACATGCCGACATAAATGATGGCGCACCCTGTATGTTATTACACAGAAATTTCTAAATAATGAATTTCCGAATAGATGGAAAGGGTGCATTGGACCCATTTCTTGGTCTGCTCGCTTGCCGGATTTAACGACTCGCGAATTTTTTTATTTGAATGATGTTGCAGCAGTAAATACTCTGGAAGAACTTCAACAACGCACTGGAAATGCTTGTAAAGAGTAGTGGATTGGCCGAGCAAGATAATGCATTCATCGAAAAAATGGGGACAATTTTAAATAGTTTTTGTAAAACGGTATCCATTTATCTTGATAATTTTTAATAATTCAAAGTAACTCTCTTATTATTAAACTTTTATATAGATAATTTTTGGTATATCAACTTCTTTTCACAGGTCCTACAAACTGTTAAAATAAATGACTCAACTTTGAAAACACTCTGTATATTTTTCGAATCAGAATTAAAAACTCTATTCGTCTGTGCAAAAATGCAATATGCCGTCCATTAGAAAATATTCAGTTGATGGTAGACGACAAGAGACGAAACGTCTCATTGAAACTCTATAAAATCTTGCAGAGGAGGAAAAGGTTCAATTCATTTTGTTAATTCCCACTACAAATAAAACCGGGAAAAGATATTGGGAAAATTCGTTATTTCCGTCAATTATGTAATCGGAACTTCAAACTCCGTTTTTAAAAATCTTCATTTGCTTCCAACAATAATGGTTCGAACCAGAATTACAGTGTGTGTGTTCGCTGTGACTGAGATTGAATGACTGACTCGAAAAATGAGATAAAATCGTTGATATTAAACCAAAAGTGATGAGATATTAAAAGGAATACAATGCAATTATTATATTAATTAATAAAGTGTAGCATAACTAGACTCTCTTTAGGAGTACTTTCTTAGTTACCTAAATGAGCAATTTTGTCCGCATTTAACCGACTCCGTATCTCTCTACTCTCTCCCCCAATGGTGAGAGTCAAGGATTCGAAACACCCTTACTAACCTAAGATACATGTTTCTCTCGGTGAAGTTGCACGCGTTAAAATGAAAATTGTGGTTGTTGATACTCATCAACTTTGGCAGCAGCATACATTCTACGTTTCGCTCCGCGTCGTCAAAGTGGTTGCCGTACATGAAGACGCCCTTCTTGGAGGCATGTCCGTGTAGATCGACGTACATAAAGAGACCGGACTCGTTTGAGTTCACGTCACCGTGGCTGCCCACGACCGCTTTCTCGAACGTCACCTCCTCTTTGCTATCTGTATGTTTTAACGGACAGCCGCACATTCGACAGAAGTTGTGCCCTGTAGAAAAGAAAAATATATACATGTACTCAGTGACATTTGAAGTTTTCGTTCGAATAACAAAGATGAACCGGCTTGTAACCAAATGCTCGATCGAGGGTATGACGTCAAAGCGAACCTAAAACAGTACTATGGGACACGTTCAGCAACTGGTTAAGCAAACAGCTGATCTTTAGTTGGGTCTTCTGCTAAGTTCTAAATTTCGACATATCCATTGGTCACACGTGTTCAGTGTCATCAAACATAAAGTCTTTGGTCAACATTAATAGCTGCATTTTTTACTATTAAATCCCATACTAAATTGGTGGACAGTTACAAATCTCGATATTTTCGGAACGGGAAAGAGATATCTGCGAGGGTGGTCCCAGAAGTACCCGGCCTGACCTAGAGATGGCGATAGTTGTTTGAAAAATATCATTGTATTAGAAAGTATGCGACCTATAAAGCATATGTGTCAAGTTTGAAGATGCCACGTTGTTTAGTATTTGTTGGGCAGCCATCAATTCTGAACGTTTTCAGAGAATTTGTGAAAATGGAGTAAATTGGTCATCGTTATGTGGTACAATACTTTTATTTCAAAGGCCTCAGCCCAACCAATATAAATCTTAACTGGATTCTACTCTGGGTGAGCCTTCGTTTACAACAGTAAAATAGTAGTAGCAGAGTTTAAACGAGACCGTATGAGCTGCCAAGATGAGCATCGCAGTGGTCGACCAAATGAGTTGACGACTCCAGAAATGGTGAGGAAAATTCACAAAGCGGTACTGAAAGATCCTCGACTGAAAGTGCGCGAGCTAGCAGACATAGTAAGCATTTCAAAAAGTGCGGTTCATCGCATATTATCTGAAAATTTGGACATGAGAAAGCTGCAAGATTGGTGCCGCGATTGCTCACAATCGAGCAAAAACAGTGTCGTGAGATGTTTCAATTGAGCGTTTAGCGAAGTTTCAGAGTATCAAAGCAGAATTTTTGCGTAGTTTCATAACCATGGATGAAACAATGGACTCAAAAGGGACAACCAGCTCCAAAGAAGGCGAAGACCGTTTCATCTGAATGTAAGGTTATGACGTCGCTTTTTTGGGATGCGCGTGGGATAATTTTCATTGACTATCTTGAAAACGGCATAACTATGAACGCCGAGTATTATGCGAACTTATTGCAACATTTGAGCGATGAAAATAAGCAAAAACGGCCGCATTTTGTTAAGAAGAATGTGTGGTTTCATCAAGACAATGCATCAAATCACAAATCCGTAATTGCAATGGCCAAAATTAACGAATTAAAGTTTGAATTGCTACTTCATGCACCCTATTCACCAGATTTAGCCCCTTCGGATTATTTTTGGTTTCCAAATTTGAAAAAATGGCTCAGTGGTCAAAGATTTTCCAACGATGAAGAAGTGATGTCGGCAGTTAATGGCTATTTTGAGGAGCAAGACAGTTCTTATTATAAAAAGGGTATCGAACTTATTGAACATCGCTGGGAAAAGTGTATAGAGCTCAAAGGAGATTATGTTGAAAAATAAATACATTTTTTTGCAAAAATTTTGTTTTCTTCGTTGGGTCTTCTGGGGCCACCCTCGTACTTATTATATATTCTGAAGGTTCTTGACCAATTCTTTAAAAACACGTACCAGGTTCGATCTGTATATTTCTTTTATATATCCACTTATACAGGGTAAGCAAATGAAGATAGTTTTTGTATCAAAGTTTGGGGATATGTCAGTTTCTCAATTTTTTATCTTGGAATTTCTTTCTATTTTGATTTGAATTCTGTTTTATTCTGTTTAATTGCATAGTAAAATTCATAAATTTGGTTTAAATTACATCATGTCAAAGTAGCAAATTTTTACTGCACGCTACTGGAGACAATACAGTTCATTGAGAACTTCTGTCTTTTCTCGGGCACAAGAAATTCCACTTTATGCAACAATATGAGAAAATACCCATTCTCAAGAGAAATCATAAAGAAAATCCTTTTTACGGATAAAACGAACTATCGAAAAATTTGAGAAATTACTTTTTTTCTCTTTCCGTTCCGAATATATCGGTATTTGAATTTGAACTTTTTGTTATTTAACTTCAATACAGTCCATTTATAAACTCAAATTTACTGCTTATACCTCCTAACATAGTCAGCTTTTCAAAAGGATATTTAACACAGGTATGGATGAGATATTTTTTCACACGCCTTGGTCAATAGGAACTGTCAATTGTTTTTGTATACTGAGTGTTGATTTGAACAAAATACGAAAACCCTGAAGAAATCTCGTCTGTCTTTGGATTTTCAGGTATCCAGCTGAACCGATTGAATAATGCTATAGGTATACTAAGTGACATATAAATCCGAACACCCACTTTAAATGGTTCTATTTTAATAAAAGTTGGTGAATGTATTTATATTACTGTAAATAACAAGTGAAAAAATTTTCAGCCTTATCAGTTGGACATTCCGGTTTTTATACTGCTTTTTTTTAATTCACTAACGCTCTAAAAATGAATATTTCAGCCGCAGTAAAGAATCAACGTTGGCGGATTTTGGTTCTTGACATCCTTTACGATCGGTTTCGATACCTAGAGTACGGAGACATGTACGATTTCGTCAACTTAGTGAGTTTGATAGGTTCCGTATAGTGGGACTTCGGGAAGCTGGACTTTCTTTTCGGGCAATTGCAGTGAGAGTGCAAAGAAGTGTAGACACTGTGGTTAGGTGTTGTCAGGCATGGCTTCGAGAAGGCCGTACGCAAAGAGCAAGGGGCACTGGACGCCGCCGTAGAACAACAGAAGATCGCCGCCTAAGATTATTGGCCTTAAGGGACCGTTTCTCCACTACCAGGTCCATTGCAAATGAATGGTTTGCAGAACACGGAAGACCTATTGGCATGCGAAGTGTTTACCGACGAATGAGAAGTTTTGGCTTGTTTTCATACCGGCCACACTGGGTCCTCCCTTTATCTCGATAACACCGACGTAATCGCCTTGAGTGGTGCAGACAACGGTCACTCTGGGATCAAGAATGGAACAGTATTGTCTTTAGTGACGAGTCTCGATTTTATTTAGGCATGCACGATGGTCGTGCCAGGGTTAGAAGGCGACGTGGTGAAAGGAGGAATCCACAGTTTTTTGTTGAAAGACATGTTCATCACACTGTTGGAGTTATGGTTTGGGGTGCTATAGCTTATGGTTCCAGGTCACCTTTAATCTTCATCAGAGGCAACATGAACGCGCAGCGTTATATCCACGAAGTTCTAGAACCCCATCTTTTACCCTATCTTGACACCCTGACAGATCCAACTTTCCAACAAGATAATGCCCGACCACATGTTGCAAGAGTCACAATAGACTTCTTTCAACATAATGATGTCACATTGTTACCATGGCCACCAAGATCTCCCGACTTATCCCCAATTGAGCACGTGTGGGATATGATGGGTAGGAGATTGCTCAATTTGCAACGTCCTCCTCAGACTCTAGAAGCACTTCGAGAGGAGTTGGTGGTTGCCTGGAATGAGATACCACAGGAGGACATTGACCACCTGATCAGAAGCATCCACACATTAAAGGTCAAAGGGCTTTAAAGCAGTGCAATCACTTTGAAATTTTTATCATTTACTTATTATGCTTCCTTAAGTACTTATATAAAATTTTATTAAAATAAAACCATTTAAACTCGGTGTTCGGATTTATATGTCACTTAGTATATTTCATACTAAAGGTTTGCGTTGTTCTGATAAATTACCTAACGAAAATAAATAGCAGTCTCATCAGTATCTTACATTTTTTTATCAGTAAGACCCGCCCAAGAATTACAAAAAATGTACATGTACATATATGTAGGATGGTTAGGGTAGGGATATGGCGAATTACCGGTATTTTCATCAGAAATACAGGATGTTATCAAAGTTGAATCGTTTATTTTAACTGTTTGTAGTGCTCGTCAGTAGGAGTTGATATACCAAAAATCACCTATTTAAAAGTTGCATAATAAAAGAAATAGTGAAACATTAAAAAATGTAAAAAATAAGAATGTTACAATGCAGATTTTTTGATATTCTCGATCACTGCCGTGTAAAATCTTGGCGTTTTTTCTTTACTACTCTTATCGTTTATCTAAATTTCTCAAACAAACATTTTGGGTTATTTTATGGTTTTCAGTACGAGTGTTTGGTTCGATCAGTTGTATCAGTCTTTTCATAGTGCGTACAATTTCATTTGTCTGACTATTTTTTGTTTATGAAAACAATGAATTTGTGGACAAAATACTAACATACGGAGAGTGACAATAAAATTCAGCCGCAGCTTGCAGATTGTATGCTCCACGGATGTTTGTAAATTTATTTATTAGACTTCGTGACAAATGGTATTTAAAAGAACGAGGAGCTCACGCTGAAGGACCTGCTCAACCTGAAATGTTAAAAATTGAGGAAGACATTTTAGAAATGGTCGAAGACGTCCCAACAATGAGTACTAGAGCCATAGCAACACAAGTTGAAGTTTCTCATAGTAAAGCGTGGAAGACAATCCGACAAAAACATTACTATCCTGAAAATCATCCTAGAAGAGTTGCATTTTACCAGTGGCTTTTAGAACAGTTCGACAGAAATGAAGATTTTACGAAATTAATTTTGTGTACAGACGAGGCCACATTTACACGAAGTGTAGTGCGCAATTTCCACAACAATCATGTGTGGGCAGTAGAAAATCTTCATGCTGTAAAAATATCTCATTTTTAATATAGATTTCCATTAAATGTTTGGGCTGACGTGGTAAGTGGCATGCTGACTGGACCCTATTTTTTCCACTGACCGGTGAAATTTATTTAGATTTTCTTCAACATAATCTGCCACAGTTATTAGAATATATTCCTCTAAATGTGAGACAGAATACGTGGTTCCTACAGGATGGGGCTCCATCACATTTTAGACCAGAAGTTCATGAACATCTAAATAATGAGTTTCCGAATAGATGGATAGGGCGCAATGGACCCATTTCTTGCCTGCTCGCTCTCCGGATTTTACGCCTTGTAATTCTTTTCTGTGGAGCTATTTGAAAGAGTTGGTGCATCATGCAACAAATGGTGACCATTTTGAACAGTTTTTGTAAAAACGGTATCCATTTAACTTGATAATGATTTTTTTAAAGTAATTTTTAATAATGTAAGCTAACTCTCTTATTAAGCAACTAGTACATAGGTGATTTTTGGTATATCATCTCCTTTTGATGAGTTGTACAAGCTGTTAAAATAAGTGACTCAAACCTGTATATTGAGAAATGATGGTTTTCAGATATGAAATCGGCTTGGTCCATACTACCTCCTATATCCATCAGCCTACGAAATATCGTTTATTTCAACTTTATATTCTGCTACATCTATTTTAGTGTTGCTCTTTAAATAATGAAATTTAAGCAGTTGATTCGCTACGCTTCGGTATTGAATTAAATCAAGTGAACAAAATCATTCAAACGTATCAACATGAATAAACATACTTACACCTAGTGCACCACGGCTTCGAAGAAGCGTCTCCTTCATCGAACAATACGTGTGAAGCTCTTTTGTCAATTGCAGTTTCACTTGATGGTTTCGCTTCGACTACATAGCTGCCGTCTGTCTGATTTCTTTGTAGATTTTTACATTCATCACATTTCGGAATTATATCTTCTTTCTCGATACCAAAATGGTGATATCTACAAATAAGTATTACATGCTAATTTAATTCGTAATGTCCAACCGAATTATCTAAAAAAAAGTAAACAGTTTAAAATCAAATAACAACTGTGCCGAAATCACTACTAAAAACGTGCTGAAAAACTGTTTCGAAATTTTGGGATATCCTGTATTAAATTGGATCAATTGTTCACTGAGAAGCAGTTCTTTTCCTGAAAATTTGAAATGCTCTACAATAACACCAGTTCCCAAAATAAAAAATTCTAAAAGATGCAGCGATATGAGACCAGTAAATGTGTTACCAGACATTGAAAAATTATTAGAGTCCATAGTGCATGACCAATTAATGCAGTTTAAAGAAGAAAACAAAATTTTAGTGGAGGCGCAAGCAGGCTTTCGAAAAAAATATTCCACAGAAACAGCTTTCCAGTTGGTAACTGAAAATTGGTGAAGAGCCATAGACTCAGAAGAAGTTGTCATAGCAGTATTTTTGGATTTGAAGAGGGCATTTGAAACGATTGATAGAGATATTTTGTTAGGTAAATTGAAGGCATATGGTATAACAGGAAGTGTTTTAGATTGGTTTAGAAATTATTTGTCTAAAAGCATGCAAGTTACAAAAGTTAATGACACTATTTCATCAAAAATTGAAAATACGTTGTGTGTTCCACAGGGCAGTATCCTGGGACCACTTCTTTTTATTTTATACATAAATGATTTACCTGCCATAGTCAAAAAATGCAAAATTCAGATTTTCGCCGATGACTCTATGATTTATATGTACTAAAAATATTCAGTCTGGTATCTCATATAAATGAAGACTTGAAGCTTGTCTCAAAATGGTTAGCATCTAACAGACTAAAATTAAATGCAAGAAAAACGAAAGCCTTGTTAATCGGATAAAACAATGTACAAATGTTCAACTGTATATTGATGGTGAAGATATTGAATTCGTAGAAAATTTTAAATACCTGGGGGTTTTTGTTGACTCTCGATTAATTTTTGATATTCATTATGAAAAAGTTATAAATAAGATTAGTAGTAAAGTGGGATATTTATCGAGAGTTTCTGGATGTCTGAGTTCATATAGCAGAAAAATTATCAATAATACCATCATTCTTCCAAATTTCTTGTACTGTTCGACTATTCTATATTTAGCAAATAATTCCATTTTTGAAAGACTGCAAATTTTACAAAATAAGTGCATGAGAATAATACTGAATAAAGATAAATATACTCCAATTAGGCAAATGCTTAGCAAATTAAAATGGCTCAATGTAAAATTTTTTATCAAATATCTTGTAATGATATTCATTTATAAAGTAAAAAATAGTATATTTCCATCAAGTCTAACTAATTTAACATCATCAAATGTCGACCATCATTTACATAATACCAGAAATAACGATGACTTCCATTTAATGACCAAAAAGTATAACATATGCTACAAATCTGTATTCCATCAAGGGTTGATTGAATATAATAAATTATACTCTGAGATAAAAGACCAGAAAACTTTGACAAAATTTAAAGTAAAATTGAGAAATCACTTGTTAAATTTACAATTATAGGTTGCCCAGCATTTACATCATACACCATATGGCTTGAATTTACTAGTTCTAAGTTGTTTACAATTATTCTGTTTATGTAGCCAAATGTGCTGAATAAATCTTTCTACTACTACTACTACTACTAGTTTTGTAACCGAAACCGAAACTTTTCGAGGAATCTGATCGCTACAAATAAAAAATAGATTTCTGTATAATTTCACGAACAAAAATTTAATTCGGATAGAAGATAAAAAAATTGTAGAAGGAAAAACGTAAATTAAAAGTAAAAAAGTTCGTTTAACCCTAAAAGCTCAACCATTGTTTTTTCACGCCGAAGCAGCAAAGCAGGCAGAAGCCTAACTTCCAGGGCACCGCGGCGTTGTTATGAGGCTTCCAAAGAAATTTTGTTAAACCGATTTTTGACCTGACTAAGGTTAGTCGAGCTGGGAAAAGCTTCCTCTTGTAGATTGTTCCACAATCTCGACACCCTCGGTACAAAGCAGCGGTCGTACCCGTCTGTGCAGGATGTACGAAGTTCGACACGATTAGGGTGGGAGGTCTGTCTGGCAGGCACATCGCACGGCAGCATCATGGAAGAGAACTCTGAGGAGCAAAGCCCGTTGGTGTAGCGGTAGAAGAGACCACCAGTCTTCTTTTATTATGCAAGGTGATTATGATATAGGTGATTTTTGGTATATCAACTCCTTTTGACCAGTCCTATACGCAGTTAAAATTAATGACTCAACTTTGAAAACACCCTGTATAGGTTTCTTAAGTAATAACCCTGCCGGACCCTGCACAGAACGTAGTGTTACGTGAAGGGGAATCAATGTAGTGACTTTGTAATGTGTAAATACGAATACGAATCTACCATTAATGAAGCGTTTTCAGTAATAAATGATTGTTTAGAAAAAACTAAAAAAACACGCTTTTAACCGAACTAAAAACTAGAAAATAATTTTTAATTTCAAATAGTTTATATTACAGTAGTTGATGGTCGAAGAATCAAGCATAATCGATGACTTCAAAATAAAATTATAATAAAATTTAAGTTATTATCGGAATAATTCCAATCAAAGTAGAAAGCGTATGTTAATACCTTAAATTCCATTATAATTTTTTTGTCATTAATTATGATTGATTGATCGACCATCTACAAACTGTAATACAAACTCTTTGTAATTAATAAACATTATTTTCTACTTTTTAGTTTGGTTAGCTACAAGAGCGTGTTTTTTTAGTTTTTTAACTATTATTTATTTTTCATTTTTTAGTTCGTTTTATGAATAATTAGATTTTTGTGGGCATGTGGTATTGAAATGTACTACGAATCATTTCATGATCTAATCATTTCATTTAAAGCTTCACTGTTGCATGGGTTTTTTACTGTTAACTTAGATCAATTAAGTTCTTCAATCCGAATACCATCCAAATGTCTTACACGACTAAGTGCTATACAGGGTGTTTCAGTTTATTGTTGCATAACTTTAAGATTCGACAGAACTAGAACTAAAATTAAAGCATAAAGTCTATATAAACATGGGTCGAAAAATGCGTGGCTTCCGAAATACAGGGTGTTTCAATTTACTTTCTAAAATAGTTTTTTTTTAAATATTTCGAACAATATTTGATGTATTTATAACAGTGAAAATTGGTATACAAGGGTTTTTTGGTACGACATAACGAACCATGGGCATAGTTTTACTGTAGCCGCTAGAGGGCGCTCTCTACTGTACCTGTAGTGTATTAAAATGACCGAACATTTTTTCTTAGTGCAATTTTTTGCTTTTTGAATAACAAAACTGATTCTTCGCACTTTTCTGCATAAAAAAGCTCTCCTATGAGTTTTCGTTATAGTTAGCCGTTTTTGAGATATTTCGATTTTCAAGGTTCGATGCATTTTTAATTATTTATGGAAAAATAATATTTTTTTACATTTTTACGCACAAGTAATTAAGATGACCGTTTAGATTGTGCTTTTAAACACAGCAATAATTCCTAACTCCAAATAAACACAACAAAAAAGAATATTAATTTGTTTAATTTTCCAATATTATTTTTAACAAATTAAATAAATATTGGATGATATTGGATAGTTAGGAGAAACATACAAAATCTAAAGTAGTTGCTCGAAATGTAAACCCAATTGTTCAATACACAATTCACATCTACGAATGATCGAACGTGGTATAGCATTATTCAAATAAGGCCTTATTTCATCACATGCATTCCTGATTCTGTCTATTAGCATATCTCTTGTGGTTACGGGAGTCTGGTACACCTTTTCTTTTAGAAATCCCCACACCAAGAAATCTAATGGATTTAGGTCAGGGGATCGTGGAGGCCAGGCGACTGGTCCTCCATGGCCGATCCATTTTTCTGGATAATTTTCGTCCAGCCAGTTTCTAACTATTCTCGAATAATGAGCTGGACAACCATCAAGCTGGAACCAGGCCAATCATCCCACATATTTGCATGTTCAGCCTTTAAAAATTCCAAGAAGGTCGCAGCATTTAACCTTGCAGGCAAAAGGTAGGGTCCAAATAGTCGATTACGGTAGATACCAATCCACACGTGCACACTAAATTCATGCTGAACATTTCTTTCCCGAACTGCATGCGGAGTTTCATGCGACCAAATATGTTGATTATGAAAATTTACCACTCCACGTCTAGTGAAGCCTGACTCATCGGTCCATAAAACGTTACTTAAAAACTCCTTAGTATTATCAGTTCTATCAAGAATCCACTGACAAAATGTGATTCTTCGTTCTCCGTCCCCTGGCTGTAGTCCTTGCACGGGTTGCAAATGGTAAGGACGTCTATGGTCATTTCTAAGAACACGGTGAACATGGCTTGCTGAAATTCCCAAGGCACCAGAAACTCTCCTAACACCTGTGGTCGGATCTCTATCAAACTCACGCAGAATCATACGGGTAAATCTGCGCTGACGAACATTTATGTTTTGATCCCTTTGGAGATTTCCAAAACCATTTTCAATTATTTGGCGATGCACTCTTACAAATACTGAGCGAGTTGGATGTCGTCTGTTTGGAAATCTTCGTGCGTATTCTCTGGCTGCTTCTGCTGCGTTTCCATTTACAAAGCCATACACAAAATGAATATCCGCTAACTCTTGATTAGAGAATAAAAATGGCATTTTTATAAAACTTACAAAAAAAAGGTAAAAGAAACTAAATTTCGTTTAAAATATATATCATCATTTGAATTCAAAAGCAATACAAAATCAAGCCTTTTGGCGCTTGCGCATACAAGCCAAACATGCGCACAAGAAGACGAAGCATCCAGTAGTCAACTCGATAAGATCGAAAAATCAGCGTTCGTATTTTAAAAACTCTACCAATCATCTCAATTAAACCCATTAATTCGGTACAGAACTCATATAATCGCTAAGACCTAAGAAGAAGCTTGTTCTAGATTGTCTTTGTGTGGCTCGGCTGTCGATTACTTGATTACTTTTAATTATATCCGGACCAGAACCCGTTTACAGTAGCGCGGCTCTCCGCAATTCAAAACAGGAACAGTACCTGATCAGAGACCTAGCTGCGTAAATGCTTGGATGTTCAGCGAGGTTGGGATTAAGGTAGACCCTGTTGAGGTTGACGCCCCTGCTGTCGGTCCGGTAGTGTCCCTTCGCTACTCCGTCCGGATTTAAAAACGGGATCATTTTGAAAACGTAAAGTCTGCGCAACGACTGGCCGGTCAGATCATCCCTATTCAGCAGCAGGTTGAGTAGGCCGTTGAACACAAAACTGGAAGGCGTCTCGCCAGGATGAACCCTCGCCGATACGAAGATAACCTGCGTATCGAAACAAAATACTAGATTAATAAAAAATACTTCTCGACGAAAAGGTCGCATCCACATTTGTGACTCTCCTTGTGTATTTTGGAAATTTCTTTATGGGTATAGTACCCATTCAGTTTTTACTGAATTAGAAACATGAAAAATCTAGTATGTTGAAAAGGAGGGTCCCGAGACATCGCCATCGGATGATTCTAGATCATTTTCTTCACTGTTTTTGGATGGTAAGTTTTCTAGATGTTTCGCTATTTTTTCTGATTTTCGTAATTTTTATTTTTGTGCTCCTGTCCTTTAAATGTGAGTATAGTTCATCCAAAAATTGGTTCATATTCGGTATACTATTTGTGTAGTTTCTAAACGTTGCTATTATATACTAAGTGACATATAAATCCGAACACCCAGTTTAAATGGTTTTATTTTAATAAAATTTTGTATAAGTACTTAATGAAGCATAATAAGTAAATGATAAAAATTTCAAAATGATTGCACTGCTTTAAAGCCCTTTGACCTTTAATAATGTGTGGATGCACCCTGATGTGCTACGCATTCTCCAACGCGCCTAGGCATGCTTCTGATCAGGTGGTCAATGTCCTCCTGTGGTATCTCATTCCAGGCAACCACCAACTCCTCTCGAAGTGCTTCTACAGTCTGAGGAGGACGTTGCAAATTGAGCAATCTCCTACCCATCATATCCCACACGTGCTCAATTGGGGATAAGTCGGGAGATCTTGGTGGCCATGGTAACAATGTAACATCATTATGTTGAAAGAAGTCTATTGTGACTCTTGCAACATGTGGTCGGGCATTATCTTGTTGGAAAGTTGGATCTTCCAGGGTGTCAAGATAGGGTAAAAGATGGGGTTCTAGAACTTCGTGGATATAACGCTGCGCGTTCATGTTACCTCTGATGAAGATTAAAGGTGACCTGGAACCGTAAGCTATAGCACCCCAAACCATAACTCCAACAGTGTGATGAACATGTCTTTCAACAAAAAACTGTGGATTCCTCCTTTCACCACGTCGCCTTCTAACCCTGTCACGACCATCGTGCATGCCTAAACAAAATCGAGACTCGTCACTAAAGACAATACTGTTCCATTCCTGATCCCAGAGTGACCGTTGTCTGCACCACTCAAGGCGATTACGTCGGTGTTCTCGAGTTAAAGGGAGGACCCAGTGTGGCCGGTATGAAAACAAGCCAAAACTTCTCATTCGTCGGTAAACACTTCGCATGCCAATAGGTCTTCCGTGTTCTGCAAACCATTCATTTGCAATGGACCTTGTAGTGGAGAAACGGTCCCTTAAGGCCAATAATCTTAGGCGGCGATCTTCACGGTCTGTTGTTCTACGGCGGCGTCCAGTGCCCCTTGCACTTTGCGTACGGCCTTCTCGAAGTCATGCCTGACAACACCTAACCACAGTGTCTACACTTCTTTGCACTCTAACTGCAATTGCCCGAAAAGAAAGTCCAGCTTCCCGAAGTCCCACTATACGGCCCCTATCAAACTCACTAAGTTGACGAAATCTTACAGGTCTCCGTACTCTAGGCATCGTAACCGATCGTAAAGAATGTCAAGAACCAAAATCCGCCAACGTTGATTCTTTACTGCGGCTGAAATATTCATTTTTAGAGTGTTAGTGAATTAAAAAAAGCAGTATAAAAACCGGAATGTCCAACTGATAAGGCTGAAAATTTTTTCACTTGTTATTTACAGTAAGATAAAGACATTCACCAACTTTTATTAAAATAAAACCTTTTAAACTGGGTGTTCGGATTTATATGTCACTTTGTATAACTGTGGGTGTTGAATTTCATACGACACTTAGTATATATTATTACCTTTTTTCCGATAAACTTGAATGGCCTAGGTGTATCTCCTGCGAATATATTTTTTAGGCGCGGCTCTCGCTCCGCAGTGATTCCGTGATACGAAGATATAGTGATCAGATCCACATTTCTTCCTTCGATAGAACGAATTATCGTCTCTCGTACATAGTAAATATCATCCTCGCATAAAGGCTTCACGTGAAGGTACCTGTTGTCCAAATTCACCATCATCTTCTCTAATTCCAAATAAGCGAACGGATACGTGAAAGCGAAATACATAATGCTGTCTATACTTTCGGGAGTTCGAAATTTGAAGCTCAAAGTGAAAATGTCTTCGTTCAACTGAAAAAAACAAATTCCAAATGATTATGAATAAAGCCTCGATATTATCAAGACAATAATGACCACTAATAAAAGCCGCAAGCTATACAGCGCGTTCCAATACCACGTACAGTCGGTGACATTAGAAGTGTTAAGCAGAAAAACAATAATTTTGCCTGCCGCATCTTTCACACGTCCTGTTTCAGCAAGAGAACGCAAGATTTAAATCCCATCGAACATGTGTGGGATATGATGGGGAAGAGAGTATCCACTTTGCACCATCTGCCACAGCTAATCCACAAAGTTCGAGTTGCTTGGAATGATGTGCCACAGCCAGACATCGAGTAGATGTATACAAGAGTGTACGAGCCCCCTCCCACTTCAGTTGGCCCATTTCAAGATTTGTACCAAAATATGCCTTTAAAACTAAACATGACGAAACAATTTACTTCTAAAACAATTTATTTTCTCAAAAACATTTTAGATACATTCTAGTCGTAAAAAATACATATTTGAAATCACTTAGACCTATAACTAATAGAACATCTGAACAAATAAACAATGTGCGAATAAATGCGCGAAGTTAACAAAGCAACAATTGAAAGATTACCATTGGGTAACATCACCTTTATTTTTTATTACGGCTGAAATTCTTTGGGGCATAGTGTTAACCAAGTTTTGGCAAAAATTTGGTGCAAAACAATCCCATATTTCTTGAAGCCTTTGTCTCAGTTCGGTGATTGTACGAGCAGGATGTTGTCGTAGAACCTTTTTCATCTCGTACCACAAAGTTTCAATAGGTGACAGATCTGGACTGCTAGAAACCCATTTCAAAAGTGGTACATTATTTTCTTCCATCCATTTTATAGCCTTTTTTGAGGTATGGCACGCTGCACCATCTTGCTGAAACACAAAATCTTGGCCGGATGCCAAACATTCTTTCATCACTGGTAAAGGCGATTCTTCTAAAATTGCCAAATATTTGTTTGTATCCACATTTCCATCAATAAAATGAAGTTTTCTTACTCCTTTTGATGTCATACTGCCCCAGACCATAATGGATGCTGGAAATTTCACTTTTCTCTTCAGACAGCCAACATCGAATGCTTCATTTTTTTGGTGAATAACTCTACTGCGACTGTTACCAAGACAAACTTCGAATCGGACCTCATCACTCCATTGTATTGCACACCATTGTTGAGGTGTCCATTGTCTATGTTCTTTAACCTATCTAAGCCGATTTTTCTTTTGCAGTGGAGTTAATAGTGGCTTTTCTTTGGCCTATAAACAAGTTGTGCAACTTTAGGGTTTTTACTTCACTTTTTTTTTATAAGAAAACTTACCTTGCAAGTGCTAAATCCCAGTTTGTGGGCCTCTCTATGAATTGTGGACCTCGAAAGTCTCCTTCCAACAGTGTCACTCCATAGAGCAGTTAACTGTAAATAATTGGCACGCCTGTTTTTCACGATTATTCTTCTTAATGCTCTTCGGTCGGCATTTGTGATATTACTTTTTTTCACATATCGTGGCTTAATATTAACTGAACCAGTTACGTTATATCTTCCAACAATATTTCTCACACTGTACCGCGATAAGTCTAACAAAGTTGCAATTTCTGCGTTTGATTTCCCAGAATTAAAAAATATATATATCAGTAACCGAATTTTCTCACTAATAACCTTTCCTCTACCCATTTTGAAAACCTTAACTACCCAAAACTATTTTAAACGTATCCTGACAGCTGTGATTAATAAAAACAATTGTCATGGCTTTTATTTTTCACAGCCACCTATGCGAATAGACTTATTTTGCATTGAAATGAAAATAGGTTGATATGCTATAATTGCAACATGTGTTATTTTTATGTTGCAAATTTGATTAGGGAGTGATAAAGTTGGTGTTTTCTACTATATATTATCAAAATATTCATTGTTAATATTTTAAACCTATAACACACTGCTACAGTTTTATTATTTGTGTTTGATAAGAAAAAAACTAAGATTTCAATAGTTGGGCCAACTGAAGTGGGAAGGGGCTCGTACTCAGCTGGGGGGTTGTAGTAGTAGTATATTTAGCCAAATTTCAAACTAAAGCTCACATGGCATGTCAAAAAGTAGTATCAATATCACAGTAAATGTGAGTCTACAGAGTTTGTTACACCACACAATAAACTAGATAAAAAAGTACAATACAAGTTAATTCAGCAAGGTCAAAACTAGACGAAAATAGCTACTTGCTGAAACACTACATAAGAAATATAAAATAAAAACCTAATGCTTACTGATTTTGAAAATTTAAAAATTCATTTATTGAGTAAAAACATTTCTTACTTAAAAACCTTATTTTTAAATTTGATGTAGCTCTCTATATCTCGAGGTAGAGTATTGTGTGTTGCCTAACACATTAGTAATTTTTTTCTCATTACTTGTGCATAAAATTTCATGAGAATGTTGTCGTTTCATTCTTCATTGCCAAAAAATCAAGTTGAAGAAATTATTTTTTCTGGGTGTAACACTTCTAATGTCACTGAGTATATACGGTAAAAGCCTTGGAACATGCTAGCATTTCATTATGTACAGTTTCTAATGGAATATCCTATACATCATAACTTGAGACATCAATATATCATATACTTACACTATATACAGGTTTGTCTTGGATGCGATCCCATCGTGGCCTACCAGGTAACACTCTATACACGGGAGCCATACCTTGACTATACATTTTGGCCTGCTTGTTGAGATCGACCAGATTGAGACATACGCACATACATGATTTTGGTGCTTGCAAGCCGAAATAGAACCACGTACGGTTTCCGTTTTCAAATGGGGTACCAGCACAGTCTGGTTTCGTCCACACATTGAATTCAGCATCACAGGTGTCATGGATCGCTGACTTACTGTTTCTGGCGGGAGCTAAAAAATACACAGACGCTCGATAACGTAAACACGGGATAATGAAACTTGCGCTAATGTAAACACAAACTTCGTTCTATAGGATCAAAGGGAACGCGCGATAACGTAAACAACTCTCGGCGCACGGAAACAGCGCGACGGGGAGTCCCCGATTTATGATGTAGAGTGTAGGGGATTCACCTCTGCGATAAAATACGACAAACTCGGTCAGTCGTATGATCGTTTAGGATACGTTTATACGTACGTATGTATTTCATTTTTGAACTTAAGTGAATACATTGCACGCGTTAATATATTTTACGACTATGGCATGCACATCCTATAAAAGAAAGTGTTTAAAGTTGAGTGAGAAAGTGAAAATCATTGACGAAGTTGCACTACGTGCGGGAGTGACACAGTTAGCAAAAAAATATGGAGTATCGAAAGCAACAATCTGTAAAATTAAGCGTATGAAAACTCCAATTTTACAAAGAACGTGCAATACATTTGGAGGTCCGGGAAAAAGAAAAACTTTAAAAAATGCGAAGGCACCTAAAATGGAAAATTCCCTGTATAAGTGGTTTTTAAAACAACGGGAAAATCATGTCCCAGTTAGTGGCGAAGTACTTAAACAGAGAGCGAGACTGTTAAATGAAAAACTGAAATAAACTGAAAATTTCGTAGCTAGTGATGGCTGGCTACAACGATTCAAAACAAGATATGGAATTCGACTGCTGTCTATATCTGGTGAAAAATTATCAGCACAACCACAATTAGTGCAACCATTCAAAGAAATATTGATGAAAACAACTACCGAGCTAGATTTAAGAATGGAACAAATTTACAACGCAGATGAAAGTGGCCTTTATTGGAAAATGTTACCAGAGAAAACCTATGCTGCATCATTTGAAAAATCTGCCCCGGGAAGAAAGCCGGAGAAACAACGAATAACGTTTCTAGCCTGCACTAATGCTAATGGTTCACACAAAATAATGCCACTGATAATTGGGAAAGCAAAAAAACCGCGCTCATTTAAAAATGTTAATATGCCTGTTGATTATGACTGTTCAAAAACCGCTTGGATGACTAGCAGTATATTCCTGAAATGGTTCCACAGGTGCTTTGTCCCTCAGATATGACAATCAATTATCACAAACGCTCTATTCATAATTTGAAGATGTGTTTTAAATTTGTAGGTAAAAGGTTTCCTAAAACAACAGAAGCTTCCAATAAAAGCGTTGTTACTATTGGATAATGCACCAAGTCATCCTCCCGAGCAACAACTGAGGAGCAGGGATAGGTCAATTTTCGTCATGTACATGCCCCGCCCAACGTAACACCGTTAATTCAACCGATGGACCAGAATATAATAAGACTCACCAAACTATACTATAGGAAGTTTCTACTTTCGTCTGTCTTATCAAAGAATCCTGAAAACTTATCTGAGGCTTTAAAAAAAGTAACATTACGAGAAGATGTTTTAGATTTACATATGGCCTGGAATGAACTTAACCAGCAAACTATTAAAAAATGTTGGAACAATCTCTTTTGTACAAATAATGAAGATGATGAAGAAGACGATGTCCCCTTAAGCGTAATTAGAGAACGTTTGCGATCCAATAGTGATAATGTTATTAGTGTGTCATTGGATGATGTTGATTTATTAAAAACAGTGAATCCCAACATTGTTTGTACTCCTGCTGATATTAATTTATGGAACGAAGATAAGCAGACGAATGATGCTGATAAGGAGGAGGATATGGACAGTGAGGATGATGATGAGAACGATCCCATTGAAGTCAGAAGTGTAGTGACTGACGCGCAAGCTATACAAGTTTTTAACCAAGCTTTAGATTGGGCTGAAAGAAAAGAAGTTTCATACACGGATATTTTAGTTCTTCGTAAATTACGGGCGCAGGCATTGGAAGACAATGCTAAGCGCAAATTTACGCAGACAAAAATTGTTAATTATTTTTCTTCTAATTTATCGCTGTTAGAATATTTGTTTATTTTGTTATAAATAGTATGTATTAAACGTTTCTTTTAATAAATCAAATATTATATAAATCACGTTCGCTAATGTGAAGATCTCGATAATGTGAACCACACTTGGATTAAATTAGTTTACATTATCGAGCGTCTGCTGTATACATACTCAATGAAAATAAGCAGCCAACCAAAATGAATTCATAAGAGATATTTTACGAGCTTGTTTTAAAAAATATATTGAAATTAAAAAAAAAAAGAAAAAAAAACAATCTTGACAACAAAGTGGAAAAAAGGAAAAAAGCATTGATAGAAAAAATAACATGTATAAAAAAACAGCAATATAATATTGTGCGCATACTATATGTAACTATAATCGTGTAACAAGAATGAATGGTACTACTAGCGACATCTGTTGAGAACCTCGCCACGGACTCTCCTTCTGCATCGAAGCGAGGTACGAGTGCGATTCTGGAATCACCGCCATGTGGCGTACAGGAATTTTCTAGAATTAACGAGTACCTGCGACGCGGAATATACATATAAGCCGACGGCTGTAGCGGAGTTGAGTGAATACTAATTCGTAAGTAAGTAGTCAGGCATAAATACTGGTGTACATAAATGTTCTATCTATACTATAACTATCTAAAACTGTAATGACTCATCGATGTTCACGTGAACATCACTTAACTACCAGTAGTCGGCTGTTCATAGGCGGGGTATGAATCTTTAACATGGGTGAACTAGATTTGTCACATGCTTTATAAAGAGTGGTTTGAAACATATTGTAAGTCAAAAATTTGGGAATTACCTTTATTCATCGGCGCTTCCACTTACATCTGACAGTAATAAACTGCCGCTATCGCTTTCCTCGTTGAAATTGACTATTACTGGCTCTATGATGGTGTCGATGTGGTGGTCAAGCTGCCACATTTTTGTTTCTTCCTTCACAACATGACGGATAGCATTCTGCCAAGCTTCGGGCGTTACTAGCTGTATGGAAGTCTCAAGTAAAACCTTAACGTCTGGTAATTTGAAGGTTGTGTTATGGCGCGCAATATAACCCTTCACTTGAGCCCAGATGAGCTCTATTGGGTTCAGTTCACAGTGGTAGGGCGGTAACCGCAGCACAGTGACACCACATTGACGGGCCATCTCATCAGTCACGTAACTAATGTTCGCAGGTTTGTGCTGTTTAATTTTTTCATACAATTCCGCTTTCACACATGAATCGTCAAACGGGATTCCTTTTTCGCGCAACCATTGCTGCATGTCACTTGTTCGAGATCCCATAGTCGGTACACGTTCGGCTCCACGTCTATGGTAGGAAGCATTATCCATGACGATCACAGAGTTGGGCTCAACTCGCTGAAGCACCCCTTGAAACCAGCTCTCGAAGCAGCTGGCATTCATTTCGTCATGGTAATCACCTCCTTTCTTAGAGACGAAAATCAAGTCACACTCTTCTAAAAAGCCACTATCGCTACCAATATGACGGTCCACGAAGACCTGTTGACAAACCTTCAATGCTTGCTTGTCTGTTACTCACTACGTTTTTGTCTATCCAGGTTTTTTTAACTGTGTGACCTGCATTTACCCTTGATCGCTGCATGTACAGCCTTGAGGGTTGGTATCTCATTCCTAAAGAAGAATGAATGTACGGTTCACCTTAACGCCATTTTGCTATCGACATCCAATTTAACGGCCTTTCGTCCCTTCAAATTACACTTTGGATCAGTAGTAGCTCCAGTTTTCTTCTTTTCATGCACCACCCTGCGAATGGTCCACTCTCGGACGCCTGTCATACTTTCACAACGCGCGAGTGCATCTCCCTGCGACATAGTTCTGTTCAGATAATTGAACACGTTGAGCACGATTTCTTTCGCGTCCCTCTTCAGTGCTTTACGAAGCCGTCTACTTGTTCCCTGGCTTTCAGTACTTCCACTCGTGCCATTTGTACTCTCCATGGTTAAGTATAACCAAAACAGTAAACACAGAAACCACAACAATAACAATCACACAACAATTCTTATAAAAACACACAATATGCGATCGCTCAACGAAACACGTTCCAATGCGTTGCCGACGCCTATGAGTCTGCCGGTCGAGGCGCGTCTTTGATTTCATTGGTTCTACCGGCGGAGAACAATCAGCCATTATTTCCATCTCTGTCTGTGCTGTTGACCACCGCAAAGCCACAGAAACGACATATGTCGTACGCTATACGGCTGTACTGGAAGGAAGCCGGGATCGAGCTCTGATCACGTGTTGATCACGCGTATGAGTCATTACAGTTTTAAATAGTTGTAGTATAGTAGTATTCAACTTTTGTGCAACTAGATTAACTGGTGGACAGTTGCTTTGCAACATGGACAATTTTACCCAAATTCAAATCTCGATATTTTCGGAACGGAAATAGATGTCGATTTGCAGTATTCGGGAGGTTCTTGACCAACTATTTCAGAACACGTACGGGGTTCGATCGGTATATTTCTTTTATTTATCCACTTATACTGGTATACGGGATGAGCAAATCAAGTCAGTTTTTTAGCAAAGTTTGGGGCTATGTCAGATCCTCAATTTTTGATCTTGGAAAATTTTCTATGCATCTTTTTGGTTTTTGAAGTAACCTAAAAAAAGGGAGATCTCAAATTTGTTGGCTATAACTCAAATTATCGCAATAAATGTCTTTCGGTTCACTAGGCTGTGATTGATATGCGGAGTGGCCCTACAAGGTACTAGCAATATTGTTTACAATAACTGTTGCTGTTTTGTAAAAAGTTCGTTTTTGTCATAACTAAATGATTTAGGTATTTAACTGGTTATCAAACTTTTGTTTTCTAAAATGTTACATATTGTTAATGTTGATCAATAAATTGTTAGATGTTGTTTAAAAATTTTATGGAGTCTATTGCGTATTGTAAAACATCTGCAATATAGAAAAAAAAAATAAAATAAATCCAGATAAAAGATGAATAGCAGTGTTGGCCAGGATCACAGCATTTTGAAAAATAAAAATGTTTAAGATATTAGCACTTCTTACCACACCAAAAAATGCTTTTAGTGTTATGCCATTAGAATACATTCCTACATTAAGAGTAGTAAGTTTTTTCTTGGATGCAAGAAATTCCTCCTTATGCAACAGTATCAGAAAAAATCAAGAGACACCAAAAAAGTCCCGTTTTTAGGTATAAAGATAAAAACCTTTTTAAAATTCGATAATTTGAATTATAGCCAACTTTCGAAAAATCTGAGAAATTACTGTTTTTAGGATAGTCCAAAGATGAAAAAAATGCATAGAAAAATTTCCAAGATCAAAAATTGACAACCTGACATAGCCCCAAACTTTGCTAAAAAACATCACTTCCTTTGCTCACCCTGTATATGTGGATAAATAAAAGAAATGTACTGATTAAACCCTGCATGTGTTCTCAAAAAGTTGGGCAACAACCTCCCAAATACACTAACTCAATATCTCTTTCTGTTCCGAAAGTAGCGAAATTTGGATAACATTTTCCATGCTGCAAAGCAACTGTCCATCAGTTTATGTAGTTGCACAGAATACTGTATGAAGATATAAATACGAAAAGCTCCATTTGGAAATATTTTGACAAAATTAACAATCAAAAGATTCATATTGTCAGTAATGCAATTAGTAGTAGTAGTAGTGGTGGGGAGGCAAAGCCTGGCAGCTAGGCCACCTTTGACCCTTTTTGTCAGCCCCCTACTACCAACACTGTACAAGCCATCAACTGGTAACTTATACAATAAACCAGCTCTAGCTGCGAGATAGACCTATTAATATTGAACAGCGCGCGCATACAAACAACACAACATACATGGCATGGAATTAACTTCAGATACAGAACTGCAACCCCTGGATTGCTAGCCAGACATGCTGAACACCTAGGCTCCCAGTAATGCAATTAATAAATGCATATTTAGGTAATTAAGATAATACTGCTTAGAAAGGATCAGTTGATTCCTAACAGCCATTATAGAATGGGTCATTTATATTTCTATAATATGATACAAATCTTTTTGGCTGATTTACAAAAAAAGACAAACATAAATATAACCTGGTAGCTTATTCAGAAAGTAATAGCTGGTCACCCTATTTAAGATGCAACTAATCCTCAGTTTTCCCATAGAAAAAATATGCTCTATAAATACTTACCGCTATCATCCTGAGGGATATACTCCACTTTGGCAAGGTTAGCAGAATCAAAGTTATTGTAAAATTTGAACTGGGCACACGATATTCCTTTGCCAATTTCCATCATGAAGTTCCTTAAGCAAATATCGCTACAATTTTTGACTGCCCTGTCATATTCTGCTTGACCTAGAATATATATTTGTAAATTCTGGTGAAACTGTGAAAATTCTGCAATAGTCTGATTGAGACTATTTACTAACAAATACAAAGGTAAATAAATGGAAATGGATCGAACATTTTAGTCAACTGGTCTCAGTTCAACATTGAAAATGAAAATCAATGGACACATTTAGCAACACTAATTGCACACCATATACTTACAGTTACACAAATCCAGCACAGCTGAATTTGATTCTGGTTTCTTCAAATTTAAACTATTTAAATTTGGAGGAAAATACTATATAAACAAATTACTGTTATCATTTTGTGGGCCGCACACGTCATGAAATTTTTGACACTGACATTTCCTCCCTTGGCAGCGTTGCCGCTTATGGTTTATGGAATCATCCAGCGACAATGGAAAAACTAGACTGTTCATAGACACAAATCAAATTCAAGCGGATAACCAAATCAAAATGGTATTTACCATTTTGGGTTGGTATTTACCGATCCGTTCAAGCGAGTGTGGTCATCAGTTTGGTTACAAGATCCGTGACGTCATGAATCAGCTGTTATATGTCACAGTTATCACCGCAAAAAAACTCAGGAGTAGTTTTATATTTCTGGTTATTATTTGAAATGTGACAAGTTAGAATTTTGCCGGGTATCGGACATTGTTATTGTACTTCAGCTTCATTTTTTGGGAAACTTGATACAGGCTGACTTCAGCGTTAGCATAAAGTGGAGCACCTTATTAATTATACTCATTGCTGTTGTTGGGAACACTTTCAATCTAATTCCTATGTTTAACAAAGTATCCTGTGTAGCCATATACCACAAGAATATTCAAATATGGATATTTAACACACTGGATGATGTCCACCTGTATACGGTTTTGCTAATATGTTTTTTCATCATTTCTGCTAAATAAATAAATGTTTTCTTTGACATGCGGAAAACTTTAAAGAATTGAAAGTTATCATAGCTACAAAACCATGGTTCTATCAATAAAAAGAATTTTCTGGAAAAAAACATTTCTCCCATGAATATTATGAAAGGTTTCTTATTTAAACTTTCCATACACCGTTGTAGACAAAAGAACACCGATTATTAAGTGATAATAAAATAATCAGAGATTATATACGCACTTTTCTAAAATAAACAACTTGCAACAAAACCGCGGTTAAAACCAACGCGTTCAAGCGATTTGTGTAACTGACGTCATCAACCCGTGTGTCATCTTGAACCATATTATAACCGCGGTACATAACACAGAAGTTTTGGTTATTCGCTTGGATTTGATTCTTGAAAGTCCATTCTGGTTCTGAAATGTCCTCTGAAAGTTGTCAAGATAAACAACAACAAAAAATTCACACTGTGATATAAAATAGGGGTTATTTGTCAAGCACCATAGGCGTATCATTACCGGGGTCCCGGGAGTGTGGTTTGATATGGATATAGTTCAGGTCACCGTTCTTGGCGGGTCAAAGCAAGACCAGCAGTATCCCTTTATACAGGGTGCGGCAGAGAGGACGGACGTTTTTGGGATGGGTAGTACTCTCCGCTTCCGTCTTCAAGAGAGGTGGGGAGGGTGTCGTTTGACTCGTGAGATCCTAGCATTATTTTACCAGTTGTCGTTATGAATCCTTGGACGGTGGAGCACCGCGTTTTCGCCTATGATTGTTTCGTCCGAAATAATGAGTCAGTCATCGTCGTACAGCGTGAGTTTCGTCGCCACTTCAACATTCATCGGAATAGAGCTGTTCCCTCTCGAAACACCACCCTTCGTTCGGTTGAATCAATTCGCAGGCCTGGTAAACTGATCAACAGAAGACCAAGAGGAGCGCCGCGAACAGTTCGAACTCCTGAAAATGTTGAACGCGTTCGACAGGTCTTTCTTCGCAGTCCGACTCGATCTGCCCGGAAACATGCTGCTGCACTTCGCCTTAGTGATCGGTCGGTAAGGCGAATTTTGCATATGGATCTCCGCTTTCACCCCTACAAATTGGCCATTGTGCAACAGTTACAGCCCGGAGATTTGCACAACGAATGAACTTCGCACGTGAGATGGAAGCACTGATCGATCAAAATGAGAATCTCATTTTGTTTATGAGTGACGAAGCGCACTTTCACCTAAACAGCATGGTTAACCAGCAGAATTGTCGTTATCGGGCTAATGAAAATCCGCAACAGTTACACGAATGACCGCTGCACAGCCCAAAAGTAACGGTTTGGTGCGCTGTATCGCAAACTTGCATCAATGGCACTTATTTCTTCGAAGACGGTAATGGTCGTGATGTTACCGTGAACTCAGAGCGCTACGTCGACATGATCACCAACTTCTTTCTCGCTGAATTACGACGGCGACGTGTTCCAATCCGACGTGTGTGGTTCCAGCAGGATGGGGCGACCGTCCACACAGCCCGAGCATCCATGGACGTTATTCGCCCTCTCTTCCCTGGTTTGGCGATGTTCATTGGCCTCCTCGGTCCCCAGATTTATCCATATGCGATTTTTTCTTATGGGGACACCTCAAGGCTAGAGTATACGCGAACAAGCCCCGAACTCTGGACGAATTGAAGGACGAAATTCGCGTGGAAGTCGCCCAAGCTGAGAGAGCGTTGTTGAAGAGAGTCTTCGCGAACTTCCAAGAACGCCTCCAGCACTGCATCAACGATTTCGGCCACCACATGCCTGATGTGATTTTCCACACTTGACTGTCTCAAATGCTATTTCCTTGTGAACCTGATTCCATCAATAAATTTGTTTTCGAGTAAAAATGAACTATTTTATGATTTTTTTAAAACCGTCCATCCTCTCTGCCGCACCCTGTATATCTGCATCTCCCACATACATACACATGCAACCTGCGCCTCTGTGTGAACGTTTGTTCGGTAAGCTCAAAAACATACGTTTCTTAGTAGTATCTTCGTCTCGAAAACTTTGTCGTTACCTAGAATGCCCTTCAATCATATTTGTCAGAGTGACAACTTACTTGATAACGGCGTGCAATTTAAGTTGTCCTGTTATCAATCTTCAATAATTATAAAATTGTACAATGCCCGGAAATACGATCAATGGAGAAGGTCGACAGCTCGTGCTAAATTTATTAGAGTATATCCAGGAAGAGAATAAAAACAGCGGCCTCCTGTTACCCACTTCATGCGTACTAGAGAGAGAAGCAGATGCGCTGAAGCTTAACATCCGCGCGCCCATGGTACGGAGACTATGGCATTGATGACTGATGACGTAACTGCCAAGAACGGTCACTACATCTATATTTGTGTAGGTCAAACAGTCACAAACAGTTTTACTAGATTTATACCCGATTCATTATCGCCATAGTTGCAGAGTAATGCAAAAATGTCACTTGTAGATCAGCTGTTCACCTCGGTAAACGTCAAAGCGTGATGAATACTCGTGAAATAGGGTATAGGTTCAGCCACTTAGAGCGGAACTCAAAGTATATAAGATTTTTGCTTTTTCAGGTCAATACAAACAGATACTTCGGTCATGATTTGTTAATTCTATTCATAGAGGACTGCCTAGTTTAGCAGGGTGATCGAAATTTGTAACGCGCTGATAAAAGTGATTTGTAGATGTGCAAGTTTTCAAACGATTAGAATCTAAAGGTACATGAAGAAGATCCGCCCTTCCGTCTCTAACCTATGGACCCATATAGTTCCCGTGCGCAGGGCTTCGGCTTGATAGGCAGACGCCAAGTGTCCAAAAATCAAACGATAAATTTTAAAAAGCAGTTTGAGAGGTCCCGACACAGTTTAAGCCATCCCCAAATTCGCCTAACAGACGTGAAAAATCGTTAACTTATCATTATACGCGATCTGTTTTTTAACGTCAATTCCGTGCCGCCTATGACTTTCAAACGAATCAGTCGTTTACCTGTCTTCTAATCTTTTTCTTTCGTTAAAGAGAAAACGTAAGACAATTTTAGTATGTTCTAAAATACTGCTTAGTGTGTGTTGATTTAGCCATGGTAATTGTTTATTACAATTTGAAAGACTGTTTAATCATTGGTGTATCCAGAAATAATTTTGGGGGAGGCTCTGGCGATTGAAAATTGAAGTGGTGGGGGGCAGGTGAATCATGATTCGCCCAGAAGGGGTTACATTTCACAAAAGGTATGGCATGTTGTAATAGATAAGGAGAAACATCCAAGCCGTAGCGTATCCTGTTCACAGAAACTGGAGGAGGTATCCAAATGGTACTCTGCGCCTGCGATTCTGATAGAGATCTGTATGTTTGTAGAAAATGCCCTGTCGACCAGATTTCCCTCGTAAAATTGATGGACAGTGACTTGCTATCAAGAAAATGTATCTGAATAGTACTGTATCTACGATACGCTTACGATTTGGATATATGCTCCTCGTCGTTCCTGCAATCCTGATACAGATCTGAAAATCGGAATGTCTATCAGGCTTCCTTCTTAAAATTGATGCGCTGGACACTACTTACTATCAGGTTAACAGAAACGCGAGGAGGTATTCAAATGGTACTCTGTTCCTGCGATGAAATTCAAATACATGGCATCGACGCCTCTTGTCGATCCTGGTACAGGTCTATAAGTTTCTGAAAGTCGCACTGTCGACCAGACTTTTCTCGTAAAATTCGCAAGTGAATAGTACAGTGCTCTATCTATATCACTAGCATGAAACTTGGATCCTTGGCATCTATGCTCCTCGTAGTTTCTGCGATTTAATGCAAATCCATGTTTCTTAAAGTCGCATTGACGATCAGGCTTTCTTCGAAAAATTAGAAGGTTGGACGCTTGTTATCAGGTTCACAGAAATGCGAGTTATGCCTGCTATAACGAAATTCAAATCCATAGAATCGATGCCTCTTGCAGTTTCTGCGATCCTGATACATATCTATAGGTTTCTGAAAATCGTACTGTCAGCCAGACTCTCCTCGTAAAGTTGAGGGACGGTGATTTGCTATCATATACACTATGCGCTATCTACGATACTCGTGCGAATTTGGATGATTGGCATCTATGCTCCTTGAAGTTTTTGCAATTTTGATACAGATCTACAAGTTTATTAATATCGCCAAAGCTTCATCGTAAAATTGATAGATTAGAGACTTGTTATCAGGTTTACAGAAATGCGAGAAGGTATGCAAATGGTAACCTGCTCCTGCTATGAGATAAGAACGAAATTCAAATCCATGGCATCGATATCTCTTGCCGTTTCTGCGATCCTGATATAGATCTATAGGTTTCTGAAAATTACTCTGTCGTGCAGTGCAGACTTTTCTCGTAAATTGGTGGACGACGGGTTGCTATCAGGATCACAGAAACAGGTGTGTGAATTGTACCGTAAACTTGGATGCTTGCCATCTACGCTCCTCGTCCTTTCTGTGATCCTGATCTACCAGTTTCTCAAAGTCGCACTGTCGACCAGGCTTTCTTCGTAAAATTGGTAGACTGGAAAATTGTTATCAGGTTTACAGAAACGCGGGGAGGTATACAAATGCCACTCTGTTTCTGCAATGAGATAAGCATGGCCTCTTGCGGATTCTGCGATCCTGATACAGATCTATAGGTTTCTGAGAATTGTATTGTCGACCAGGCTCTTCTTGTAAAATTGATGGACGACGAGTTTATATCAGGATCACAGAAACGTGAGGAGGTATGTGAATTGTACTCTGCTTATGTTATAATATTGGCGCGAAAATTTGGCATCTATGCTCCGCTTGTGCAATCCTGATACTAATCTATGTTTCTGAATATCGCACTGTCGACCTCAGATCCTTCGTAAAATTAGTCTATTGGTGACGCTACCGGAATCACAGAAAAGCGAGGAGCTTTGCAAATGATACTCACAGCTTTCCCCTATAAAAAAAACATCTCGAGCGGGTGTGGTCGATGTCATCAGATATATTGAAGAAAATAGTCCAGCCAAATCAACTTTGAAAATGTATTTGTCAAACACCTCGGAAGGGTTTTAATCTGCTCGACGACGCTGAGTACCCATGTATGAGGTGTGCCTAAGAAATTTGCGAAGTTAATTTCACCAGGCCATTTTCATTAATCCCACGACAGCAACGACGTATTGAGTTTGCCTAATTGCACATTTAGAAATTCGCACTGTTGATTTCTTTAGGGGCACATCTGTTTATAACCCAGGTAGCTCATGTTTTTGTTGCGGTTTTTATACTCCAGATTAAAGAACACGAAATCTGGTATTAAAACAGTTTATTTTATATTAAAATTAAAATACAAAAAAGCACCAGAATTAGTTCAATATTAAAAATATATACACAGAACTATACTTACATATATACTGTGAACAGTTATTAAAAATATAAGCTATGTTACAGCACATTTTAAGGCAACCAATATCTTGAGAAGGCACTCATAATAAATAACTATAATAAATACAATGAAAGCATTTCTTCGGGTAGGTTTTGTATAGTATTAGTTTCTTTTGGTAAAACCCAACAGATCAAAATGTAATACATTAAATACCCTCACATGCACCAATAAAAAGTACGTTATCGTATCCCCTAAGGATTAGGATACAATTTTATATAGCAGTTGGGTGGCGCTCGTACTACCTGCACGTTGGTAGCTACTAGCTATATCTTAAGACGTTGAGGACTAGAACGCACCACACCAGCGCACCCACGTCAAAGCTCCTCAAAGGGCAGGTCATTAGAACGTGACCTGAAAGTCGCGCCGGGCGTCCCAACCCTGTGAGCGGAGCATTGCCACGGGAAAACGCAACAATGCAATGGATAAGTGCTGTACGGGATTACCACCTGACCAAAAAACTGCCGTTCGGAATTAGGTTCACTGCTCCTCATCATTCCCGGCCAAAGTTGGCCTATCGATGCATGAGCGACATGCACACCCGGCAATCAGAAACAGAAGCGGCTAGCAGACGCAGCCGCTCCCAGGAAGACGAATGCTGGAGTCAGGTCAAAGATTTGGTTAGAGGAATAGGAGCAGAAACTACGCCAATTAAATCAAGTGCATGCGGGACAAAGATTCATTAACAAACTCTTGATGTCGCACTTCTCGGGAAAAACACAAAATCAGATCAGCGACAAACGTCGTCTGCTCGGCTGGATTGAACCGGCGAACGGACCAGCGTCTCGAACGAGTGACAGAGCAGTACTCCCCTCACCTGGGAATCAGACAATAAAACTGCTCGAAGAATCAACCATAAACAAGATCATGAAGCCTCAGGCTAAGTGCAAAAACCGTACCGACGACGAAGAGAAGAGATGGAAGCAGTGTATGATAGCTTCGGCGATCAGAACACTTGCCAAACAACATGACGAAGTGGCTAAGGACTTCAAAATGCAACCTTTAGCGGTCAGGCTGAACGCAATTGCGGGAAGTCTTCCTCTTCGTCCACTATTACGGAACGCAGTCGTCGACCCAGTGTTGACATATTTTGAGCAGCGGGAAGAAAAGGGAATTGTATCTGATACTTATCAGCAAATCTGAAGATGACGCCTTAGAGGACATCGAATTTGAGGCTGAACATTCCAGCGCCCTAGGCATGAACCTCTCGATAGCCAAGTTTAGCGGATTCACTATTAAACCGCTACATAACGTGGACCCCAAGATCAAATATCAAGAAGTCGAATCCAAGACAAAAATACTTTATGATGAATATATAATTCATAACAAATGATGCAGCACAAGTTTATCCGTACACATATTGCAAATCGTAATGAGATAAATCGAGTTTCTATTACATGTATGGACTATTTTAGATCTAAAATTTCAATGTCAAATATTAAGAACCCACCCATATGAACACTTAAGGAGAGGCAAGTCGAACAAATATAGATGAAATATTCTCAACGTGTCATTTTTTCGAGGATGGGCAGTATCATATCGAACGTAGGCCTTTTACCAGGGTCCTCGTTCATACAGATATTGATCAGCTTGGTCATGTGATGCGAGATGCCTGGTTTTATGCTTATCCTCAACCCTTCGAGCGCTATCCTCATCCCCACCTGCAAAAAATACGTATAAACATAACTGAGTGAGCAACATATCGAACCAAAAAAGTGTAACGTTATACAGGGTGTTTTCAAAGTTGAGTCATTTAGTTTAACAGCTTGTCTCGTCGAAGAAGTTGATATGCCAAAAATTACCTATATACAAGTTACATAATAAAAGATCCTTGAACTGATTAAATATTAACTGTCAAAAATAGAAGTTAGCCCTACATTTTTAAAGCTAGATAGCACTTTGTCAGACAGGAATTCCATAATTTTTGAAGAATGCTTTATGATGTTTAGTCACAAACTCAGAAGACTAAAATATGCAAATCGTTAAAGTAAAGCTCATTTTCCGACGTACCTCCATAGGACTCTGGTCCGCAAATGGCACCTCCCTAGTAGCCAATTCCCATAACAAAATGGCATAACTCCACATATCGGATGCTTCCCAATTTCTGTCTGTGATTTTCTTTTGCAGAGCTTCTGGTGACATCCAAGCCGGGTAGTAAATTCTACCCTTCTCCTAAAAACGTAATATTGAAAATTTGCGAATGTCGGTTCACGTTCGTGCGCTTTGCCTTTCCGTATCGCAACGTTGGTTTGATTTTTGCTAGCAATCTTCACGAAGAAGGTGGTAGAAATCTCCGTTAAACGTGAAGGAATGATGACCATTGACCATGTAACATGCCTAATTGCAATCTGTGATAGCTCTCATTGCCTTTCTAAAAAAGGAATGTTTATTCCAAACTCTTTTGTGAATTAATTTTAAAATGGTGAACATTGAAGAATATTGTTTCTCCAAATAGAATTATCTGAAATGCCTTTCGAGGATGTGGACAAAAAAATAATTATAGCAGAAAGAGGGTATAAATCAAATAGTCAAGCGATTGATGAAGGTGATCTCGACTTATGTTTATTAGAAGTATATCATAATTCATCAATGGATCAATTTAGGATAATAATCATCAACAATCTGAGAAAAGCTATCTCTTAAGTGAAATCTGATAAAAATTCAAGTGAGAATCTCTCAAAAAAGATTCTAAATGATTGTTTCAATATAATTGGAGAGAAATTATTATTATTATTATTGATGAATCATTTGTTCAGTACATGATGAATTTCATCAAAATTGAAGTATGTTTTTTTCACGTTTCATTCAATATTTCAATAGAAACTCTGATATTCGGATATCTTTGACAGCTTCCGTCAAATTACATTTCGATGTATTTTTCCATTGGTTCAAATATTGTTAAACATAATGTTGGTGAAATCCACTCTTAATGCCTGAAAAGCCCAAAAAGGGATGCTTAAAAACTCGGTTGAAAATTACAATTTCTGAGGTCGCAAAGTATCTAAATTAAAGTTTAAATCATGCTTTACAAGACCCCGATGGGTATTTTGAAAATTCCTTATTTTAAAGCATATTTAAGCTTGTCTGTTAAACCAAAATTAACAGACTTTCAATTTTCGCAGATTGATCATCCATAACCAATATTCTTTGACGAAAAACGTATTATTTTATCAACGTTCAAGTTATCATTACCTGGAAGGAAAACTTAGCATCACCCATGTTGATCCTGGCAGTTAAATCTTCATCGATCATAACATGTCTACTATTGAGGAAATATTCTGGCGTGGTTCGCTCCAAGGAATGCAAAAAGGCCATCCCGCGAGCGATGTCGATCGCAAAGTGTAGCGCTTGCGTTGTGTCCACGACGATTCCTCCGCTACCTAAAATAAAAATCGAAGACTACACTTACAGATACGTTTTTGTAAACGCGGATGCAAGCAAAGCAATTTTCACTACAGACCGGAAGGACATTCTGTGGCTTCGCCTCAACTCCAAAACATCACCCAAATTTATTTACCGCCTTTATCGCTCTCCCTCGGACCATAACTGGGATGATCTACTCGAATACCTCGCCGTCCAGATCGACTTCCTGGACATCAATCATCCCGCTTCTAGTTCTTCTCGGTGATTTTAATGCCCATAATAAGCTTTGGTTGGGCTCAAACAAGCCCGACGCAGCAGGTCGTGCAGTCGAAGCGTTCGCTCTTACTCAAGGGCTGACTCAGCTGGTGACGAGCCCTACTTTATTCCCCCGCGACTAGTCACACGCCAGTAGCCTGCTGGATCTTTTTCTGACCACGCATCCTGTCTCTTACATCAGTGCTGTCCTGTCCCCCCCTGGGTAACTCAGACCACGGTGTTGTGAAGGTTAGGTTTAGGTCAGAAGCCGCTGTGGCAGCAGAAACTCGTACAGGCCGCAAAACTTGGCATTACGGACATGCCGACTGGGAGGGGCTCAGAGACTTCTTCTGTAGCTTTCCTTGGAAAGATGTCTGTTTCACTGACGCGGATGCGTCGGCTGTCTGTTCTTCGATAACCGAAATTATCCACGTCGGAATACATCCCTCACACAGTGAAAGTACCTAGACCAGGGTCCAACGGCTGGTTTAACAAATCGTGTGACGCTGCTCGCCAGCAGAAGATCAAGGCACACAGAACCTTCTTACAATACCCCACTGTAGAGAACAAACAAGCCGACGTCGAGTCCAGAAACAAATATAAAGCAGCGGTTCGCAATGCCAAAAACCAGCATGATATAAAAGTTAGGCACAGGGTAATGTCGCAGCGAAATGGCAGTCGGTCTTTCTGGACGCTGGCCAAGCAGATTGAAAAGAACTTCACACACAGTACCTTTCCACCACTTACGTGTCAGGATGGAACTATTGTATTCGACTCAAAGGCCAAGGCGGAAGTGCTAGCCAAGATATTTGCTGCCAACTCCACCATGGACGTCAACCCCAACGCCCAAGTGCCGTCAATGCAAAGGGTTCCCTACACTATGCAGGAGGCGACATTTAAGAATAAGACCGTAAGACGAGAGTTCTTGTCGCTCGACGTCAACAAAGCTTCTGGTCCGGACTTGATTCCTGCCATTGTACTGAAGAGGTGTGCAGCGAAGCTTGCTCCAGTTCTTTCGCGTCTCTTCCAGATATCTTATGAATCCGGCATCTTCCCAGAAAACTGGAAATTTGCTCATGTCCAACCTATCCCAAAAAAGGGATCTAAGACCGACCCTTACAAGTACAGGCTTATAGCTCTGCTTTTTGTTTTAAGTAAGGTGATGGAGAGGTACATAAATCGCGAGCTTTTGAACTACCTCGAACGTCACACCTTGATTAGCGACAGGCAGTACGGTTTCCGGCACCAACGATCCACAGGGGACCTCCTAGCTTACGTCACTCAATTGTGGGGTAAACTCATCCTGTCTTATGGTGATGCTCATGCCGTTGCTCTTGACATTATGAAAGCGTTCGATCAGCTGTGGCACGCTGCCCTCTTAAGCAAACTTCCATCCTACGGCCTCCCAGAAAAGCTTTGCAGATGGGTGGGTGACTTTATCTCTGGCCGCAAGTTATCCGTCGTAATTGATGGGTTCTCCTCTTCATCCCACAACTTCTTCTTGGCTCCGCCCCTGTTCCTCTTACATATCAACGACCTCCTTTCATGCACGATCAACCCAATTCACAGCTTCGCTGATGACAGCACTTTACACGCAGGAATTCAGAGTGACAAGCCGATCTCTGCCGCTGAGTTGGAAAAAAGAAGACTAGCGATGACTTCCTCTCTGACAAGAGACAAATTTTCTTTGAGATCATCATAGCAGCCGCGGTGTTCCAGCATTTAGGCTTCTGCTTCGATATAAAAAAAGCACACACACAATTCACAGAAAATATATGATTAACGTTTGTCCTAAAAGTTTTTACACAAAATTCATTGGCTTTAATTTTAACAAACATAAAATATGTAATATCAAGTTGCCTTAGGAAACAGAGGTTTGTTTATTTACTTTATTATCCAGTTGACATTTATTTATTGTGAAGTTTTCGCTTTAAGACGTATAAATTAGAAATAAGAAAAAGTATCTACAAGTTGGTTGGGCGGGTACCCAAAGCTGAAATCTGTCAAATATTCCAGATTGAAAACATTTATCGAACAATAGCGCGAGCAGGGAATACCATTTCTGAATCTCGCAAAAAGTGGAAGACCACGTGAATTTACTGTACAGAGGACAGAGAGACTGGTGACAGCAACAAAAAATCAGGTTGGAATGTCAACAAGGAGACGGGCTCGTCAATACAGATCTAAGAGTACGATATCGTTACAATTGAGGAGGAATGGTCTTAAATATATATAAAGAGACTTAGGTGCTCCAAATATTCTCAAGAGCAACTCCTTCATATACCAATATGCTGTCGTCAACTCAGGCGGGTACACTTGGACATTGGAATCATTATTTTAGAAGACGAAAAGTATGACAATGTTAGATACAAACATAAAGCGAAATTTGCAGATAAAATCCTTGTCGGGTGCGCAATTTCTAAGAGGGGTGTATCCCAACATTTTGTGGGTGAAGCTTTGAATAGTCAGAACTATATTGATAACTGCCTCTCCAAATTGCTTCAGTTTGTCCACCATATCATGTTTTGGCCAGACCTACTCAAGAGATACCCAAAAATGACTACGACAACACAAAAACGATAATCCTCCAAAATTGCCACTGGCTCGCCCAATAGAAGTTTGGCTATACTGTCTAGAAAGGTTTATCATGGAGACTGGGAAGGTCAAGATGAAGAACAATTAAGACGAAGAATTTACGAAAAACTAAGAGTAATTGATCTGAATTCCATCCAGGATCTCATGAAAGTCATTCGAAGAAAGTTGCATCTGGTAGAGCAGAATGGGCCACTCCACATAATTCGATAGTATAGTTAGTTAAGTATTAAGTTATACTGTATGATAACTAGTTAGTGTTTGAATAAATTTCTTTAAAAAATCAGATAAATATTCTGTGCCAAAACTTTTAGGACATATGTTATTATAAAAATGTGACAAAACGTTGACTGAAATTGAAAATCCAAATTATTTACTAATTGTTCTATCAAGATACAGTGCAGATGTGTGAACGATATTATTTTTAACACTCTTATAACGCAACTTAACGACAAAGCCAAAATATTTCATATCAATGTCATCCAAGTGACAGTACAGGGTAGCCAACTAAGAATGTGAGGTACTACTGTATCTAGGAAATTACTAAACAGGCAAGAGAAAAACCTGGAAGATATTTTCCAGTTTCTGAAATGGCCTCTAGAAGACGACTGCAATGTTGAATCGAAATAAGTGATGTTTCTGTGAATTCCGCTATACTAGCCTAACAAAAAATACATGTTCTTTAAATTCGAGTTTAATCTCAACCTTTTTTGTTTGAACATTTTTGCCGTATCTCTAAAAATAGAATGGTGGGGGTATTCAAATGTTTCCGTAAAGAACACCCTGTATATTCGAAACGCTTGAGCCGATTTCAACAAACTTGGGCTAGTTGGAAAGAGCTATTCTTGTGCTACAAATGTTATAATATTTCAAGTTTCGTTAGTTTCACATGTGCTCGCTAGAGGGCTTTTTTCGTCATTCCGACAGAAATGGTTCATTTTCTCCGTTTTGAACTGACCAATGTTGGTAGAACTGGGAAAAACCTCCTTATGTAGACTGTTCCACAATCTCGATACCCTAGGGACAGAGTAACGGTCATAACGACCAGTTCTAGATGTACAAAGTTTGACATGGTAAAGTCTGTTTGGTGTAGCTGTAGAAGAGAGCCAACGGCCCGCCGGTGCGAAAGGGTCCCGAGACGTCTATTAGAGAAGAGTCATCCATCGATCAGTGGGACAGCCCTCTTCTAAGCAGCATCGAGCATGGATAATGTAGTCGGGGCGGCAGCACCCCAAACATGTGATCAGTACTCGGAGCTTGGCCTTATCTGGGCCTTGTAAAGAGTGAGGTCATGTGGAGAAAAGTAGTTCTTAGCCCAAATAGATTATCTTTTTCCCAGCTGCTGCCACTATGTACAAGATAACGTCATAGCCACTCAATGATTCCAATATTTTACGCGATAAGTATTGATAGGTGAGAAAATACTATTCGGAAATTGACTAAATTTTAACAGGTCACTACTTTGCTTGTGGAACAGAAAAGCTTAGAGAGTACTCGAGTGATTATGGAGTGAGTATCGAAAAATTCTCATATACTTGCTGTTCGCAATTTGGTAAAAGCTATCCCAGTACGCGGTTAATATTCTTTGCCGTTGAAACGTAGGCCGAAAACTACCATTGGCTCGTAAGTTCGCCTCTAATCGGGGAAAAACTCCCATATCGCAAAGACGCCGATTTTGATATAGATTCGCGTAAACTCTTTTTGCTACTGCGGCATTCTGAAGACTTTCAAAATACACTGCAAGCATACCAACAGCTCCTTCAGCCCTTTGTTATTAACATTACTTAGTTACCTTTTAGCGATATTTTGTAATACAGCAGACGCTCGATAACGTAAACACGGGATAATGAAAACTTGCGGTAATGTAAACACAAACTTCGTTCTATAGGATCAAACGGAACGCGCGATAACGTAAACAATGTGTACGCTCGATAACGTAAACAACTCTCGGCGCACGGAAACAGCGCGACGGTAAAATGCTAAAGCCTCGATGATTTATGTCGGGCGTCGGGGAGGCCCCGATTTATGATGTACAGTGTAGGGGATTCACCTCTGCGATAAAATACGACAAACTCGGTCAGTCGTATCATCGTTTAGGATACGTTTATATGTATGTATGTATTTCATTTTTGAACTTAAGTGAATACATTGCACGCGTTAATATATTTTACGACTATGGCATCCACATCCTATAAAAGAAAGTGTTTAAAGTTGAGTGAGAAAGTGAAAATCATAGACGAAGTTGCACTAGGTGCGGGAGTGACACAGTTAGCAAAAAAATATGGAGTATCGAAAGCAACAATCTGTAAAATTAAGCGTATGAAAACTCAAATATAACAAAGAACGTGCAATACATTTGGAGGTCCGGGAAAAAAAACTTAAAAAAATGCGAAGGCACCTAAAATAAAAAATTCCCTGTACAAGTGGTTTTTAAAACAACGGGAAAATCATGTCCCAGTTAGTGGCGAAGTACTTAAACAGAGAGCGAGACTGTTAAATGAAAAACTGAAAGAAACTGAAAATTTCGTAGCTAGTGATGGCTGGCTACAACGGTTCAAAACAATATATGGAATTCGACTGCTGTCTATATCTGGTGAAAAATTATCAGCACAACCACAATTAGTGCAACCATTCAAAGAAATATTGATGAAAACAACTACCGAGTTAGATTTAAGAATGGAACAAATTTACAACGCAGATGAAAGTGGCCTTTATTGGAAAATGTTACCAGAGAAAACCTATGCTGCATCATTTGAAAAATCTGCCCCGGGAAGAAAGCCGGAGAAACAACGAATAACGTTTCTAGCCTGCACTAATGCTAATGGTTCACACAAAATAATGCCACTGATAATTGGGAAAGCAAAAAAACAGCGCTCATTTAAAAATGTTAATATCCCTGTTGATTATGACTGTTCAAAAACCGCTTGGATGACTAGCAGTACATTCCTATAATGGTTCCACAGGTGCTTTGTCCCTCAGGTATGACAATCAATTATCACAAATGCTCTATTCATAATTTGAATATGTGTTTTCAATTTGTAGGTAAAAGGTTTCCTAAAACAACAGAAGCTTCCAATAAAAGCGTTGTTACTATTGGATAATGCACCAAGTCATCCTCCCGAGCAACAACTGAGGAGCAGGGATGGGTCAATTTTCGTCATGTACATGCCGCCCAACGTAACTCCGTTAATTCAACCGATGGACCAGAATATAATAAGACTCACCAAACTATACTATAGGAAGTTTCTACTTTCGTCTGTCTTATCAAAGAATCCTGAAAACTTATCTGAGGCTTTAAAAAAAGTAACATTACGAGAAGCTGTTTTAGATTTACATATGGCCTGGAATGAACTTAACCAGCAAACTATTCAAAAATGTTGGAACAATCTCTTTTGTACCAATAATGAAGATGATCAAGAAGATGATGTCCCCTTAAGCGTAATTAGAGAACGATTGCGATCCAATAATGATAATGTTATTAGTGTGTCATTGGATGTTGTTGATTTATTGAAAACAGTGAATCTCAACATTGTTTGTACTCCTGCTGATATTAATTCATGGAAGGAAGATAAGCAGACGAATGATGCTGATAAGGAGGAGGATATGGACAGTGAGGATGATGAGAACGATCCCATTGAAGTCAGAAGTGTAGTGACTGACGCGCAAGCTATACAAGTTTTTAACCAAGCTTTAGATTGGGCTGAAAGAAAAGAAGTTTCATACACGGATATTTTAGTTCTTCATAAATTACGGGCGCAGGCATTGGAAGACAATGCTAAGCGCAAATTTACGCAGACAAAAATTGTTAATTATTTTTCTTCTAATTAAAAAAATACTTATCGCTGTTAGAATATTTGTTAATTTTGTTATAAATAGTATTATTAAACGTTTCTTTTAATAATTTTATATAAATCACGTTCGCTAATGTAAACATTTCGATAATGTGAACCACACTTGGATTAAATTAGTTTACATTATCGAGCGTCTGCTGTATTTTCAAGGGTGATTAAATAAAAATTTAAGGGATATAAATATAAAATTTTCTAAATTTTACTTTAGCAACAATATATCGAGATGTGGTTTTGCGAGCTTGTTTAGACATCAATTATCTACTTTTTCATAAAAAAAAGTCATTCCAATGCATTTGAGTTTTTTTTTGAGAAAATTAAACATTTCTGTCAGAATGTCGAAAAAAGTTCTCTAGCGGCCACACGTGACACTAACAAAACTTCAAATATTTGTAGGCCAAGAATATCTCTTTTCAACTAGCGCAGGTTTGTTAAAATCGGCTCAGCCGTTTCGAAGGTACAGAGTGTTTTTTACGGAAACGTTCGAATACCACCCACCACTTTATTTTCAGATACAGCAAAAATTGTCAAACAAAAACGTCCACATTATCCTCGACTTTCAAGCTCAGGTATTTTTTTTGTTGGATTTGTTTTTTCCACTTTATACAGTGCGCTGTAAAATCCCATTACATCCATTTATACTAGAAACGTACCTTCATGCAGAACATTGTAGAGAGATCCCAACGGTAAATATTGACTGATGACGATGAGATTGTTCGGCGCGTTGCAGCAACCGATTACGGGCAATACGTTCGGATGAGAGAATATCCTCAACTTCGGAAACTCTTCGTTGAAGTCCCTCGAGATTCTCGGCGTCATGTTGCGGATCTTCAAGATTTTCGCGACAATGTCATTATTCTGCCATCTGCCGACATACGTTATACCGCTGTGTGTATCGGCAATCTTCTTCTTCAGATCCAACTCTTTATAGTTTATGCCTTTGTGTCTTGATAGTGTTGCGTCTCTTGATCTAAATTAATCGTATCAAACATTATCGGAGATTATGGCTACAATTGTTTAAAGTAAAACTTTACATATGTATATATGTGGTAAGATTTATGTATGCCACCACTTAGCTTACAGGAAAACACTGATACTGGCAATGTTTTCCAGTCACTGATAGTGACGTTGTAATAGAGAATAACATTAAAATAGAACATTTGTATTATCACATCCTCTCTATATGGCATTATAACACCTGTGTCCAGAGAAAAACAATAGCAAGACAACGCGATATTGCCAAATCTTTAGCTTCATGTCCAACTTTAGGAATTTACATTCAAACGAAAAATTCCATCTGTACATAGTCACATTGGTTCAAGAGCTGTCAGATGATGATTTTGACAGGCGTTTACAATTCCGTGAGACCATGATGGACATGACTAATAGAAATGAACATGTTTTGTAAGAAATAGTGTTTTCGGATGAGTCAAGTTTTTCTTTGAACGGAACTCTTAATCGTCATAACTGCCGCTACTGGGCCAGGGAAAATCCTCACTTGGTTCGGGAACATCATCCACAAAAAATTATTGTTCGGGTGAAAAGATAATCGGCCCGTTTTTCATGGAAGGAAATTTAATCGCTGAAAGGTATTTGCATCTTTTGAGGAATCACGTTGTCCCAGCTTTGGCGGAAATATTTCCAAATCCTTGTAACTTTCATTACCACAAACAATAGAGAATATCAATATTGTTTTCTTTTAGTAAATAATAGAGTGCCCAACGATAATATACAAAACCAAACCATTTGATTTGGAGGAACTAAAACACCGCATAGAAAACGAATGCAAAAGAATCAAGGAAAGCGGATGTCTTCAAAATTTCTTAACGCATTTCCGCAATATCTAGCTCATTGCCAAGAAGTATATGGCGGCAATTTAAATATTTAATATGATTTTTGTCTTGTTTTAAAAAATACATTCGGCTTTTTCCATTTGTGTATTCTTCTATAAGGTTATACTAATTGAGATTGTAATATCAATCGCAGGTGGTGTGCCAATGTGTTGCTCCACCAAATATTTCTTTGTTACGCTGAAAAAAACTGAGTGACGCGCTCAGTACGCGAGCAACCGTGTCAAAGTATGTTACTAATACAGTCTATGCCTCAATATATAATGCCTAAAGGGTAATTACCTCGTTTTCATTCCTAGCCAACTCTGATCCTTGAACGTGATCTTCTTCAAATCCTGTCCCTGTTCCACGGCCATTTCGTGGAAATGCTTCGCCAAACTGCCGCTGCATTTGTCGAGCGCCGTCTCCCCGTACTTATTTGCAATCGCCACTTTCGCGCCGTGATTCACCAGATCTTCGGCTATTTCCGCATATCCCCAGAAACAAGCATAATGCAACGCCGAATTTCCATGCTCGTTCGTGAAGTTAACGTCCGCACGTTGACGCAGAAGCTGTACAAAATTTTCGTTCATTACCATTGTTTTTTAGCAGTTTATCGTGCTACGGGTAGCAAACTTTCGTATGACAATTTTATTCGCATGATCACGTTTAAGAGGGAACGGTCTCTCGCACGACGTTTTACTTATACAGGGTGTTTCAGTTTATTGTTGCATAACTTTCGATAGAACTTTTAAAACTAATGCTATATAAACATAGGTCGAAAAATGCGTGGCTTCCGTAATACAGGGTGTTTAAATTTACCTTCTAAAATAGTTTTTTTTTAAATGTTTCGAACAATATTTGATGTATAACAGTGAAAATTGGTAGCCAAGGGTTTTTTTTTCGACAAAACGAACCATGGGCATAGTTTTTCGGTAGCCGCTAGAAGGCGCTCTCTACTGTACCTGTAGTGTATTAAAAAGACCGAAAATTTTTTCTTAGTGCAATTTTTTGCTTTTTGAATAAAAAACTGATTCTTCGCACTTTTCAACATAAAACAGCTCTCCTGAGAGTTTTCATTATAGTTAGCCGTTTTTGAGATATTTCGATTTTTAAGGTTAGATGCATTTTTAATTATTTATGATAAAATAACATTACAAAGTCAGTATCCGGATAATTTTTAGAAGTAGGCTGTGCCTGCAAATATTTTTGAAATTGAAAGCAGAATAAGATTAAACGTCAATTAGTTGACAGTTAGTTTTATTGTCTGTTGAAACCTGAAACGTTTTTTTTGCAATTGTGAATGCACGAAATTTAGTTTCTTTTACCAGTTTTTTTTTTGTAAGTTTTATAAAAATGCCATTTTTATTCTCCAATCAAGAGTTAGCGGATATTCATTTTGTGTATGGCTTTGTAAATGGAAACGCAGCAGAAGCAGCCAGAGAATACGCACGAAGATTTCCAAACAGACGACATCCAACTCGCTCAGTATTTGTAAGAGTGCATCGCCAAATAATTGAAAATGGTTTTGGAAATCTCCGAAGGGATCAAAACATAAATGTTCGTCAGCGCAGATTTACCCGTATGATTCTGCGTGAGTTTGATAGAGATCCGACCACAAGTGTTAGGAGAGTTTCTGGTGCCTTGGGAATTTCAGCAAGCCATGTTCACCGTGTTCTTAGAAATGACCATAGACGTCCTTACCATTTGCAACCTATGCAAGGACTACAGCCAGGGGACGGAGAACGAAGAATCACATTTTGTCAGTGGATTCTTGATAAAACTGATAATAATAGGGAGTTTTTAAGTAACGTTTTATGGACCGATGAGTCATGCTTCACTAGACGTGGAGTGGTAAATTTTCATAATCAACATATTTGGTCGCATGAAAATCCGCATGCAGTTCGGGAAAGAAATTTTCAGCATGAATTTAGTGTGAACGTGTGGATTGGTATCTACCGTAATCGACTATTTGGACCCTACCTTTTGCCTGCAAGGTTAAATGCTGCGACATTCTTGGAATTTGTAAAGGCTGAACATGCAAATATGTGGGATGATGTTATATTAGATTTAAGAAGATTGGCCTGGTTCCAGCTTGATGGTTGTCCAGCTCATTATTCGAGAATAGTTAGAAACTGGCTGGACGAACAGAAAGATGGATCGGCCGTGGAGGACCAGTCGCCTGGCCTCCACGATCCCCTGACCTAAATCCATTAGATTTCTTTGTGTGGGGATTTCTAAAAGAAAAAGTGTACCAGACTCCCGTAACCACAAGAGATATGCTAATAGACAGAATCAGGAATGCATGTGATGAAATAAGGCCTTATTTGAATAATGCTATACCACGTTCGATCATTCGTAGATGTGAATTGTGTATTGAACAATTGGGTTTACATTTCGAGCAACTACTTTAGATTTTGTATGTTTGTCCTAACTATCCAATAGCATTTTAGTTGTAAATAATTAATTTAATTTGTTAAAAATAATATTGGAAAATTAAACAAATTAAATTCTGTTTTTTGTGTTTATTTGGAGTTAGGAATTATTGCTGTGTTTAAAAATACAATCTAAACGATCATCTTAATTACTTGTAATGCCCAAATCGAATATGTAAAAAAAATATTATTTTCCCATAAATAATTAAAAATGCATCGAACCTTAAAAATCGAAATATCTCAAAAACGTCTAACTATAACGAAAACTCACAGGAGAGCTTTTTTATGTTGAAAAGTGCGAAGAATCAGTTTTTTTATTCAAAAAGCAAAACATTGCATTAAAAAAAATTTTTCGGTCATTTTAATACACTCCAGGTACAGTCGAGAGCGCCCTCTAGCGGCTACAGCAAAACTATGCCCATGGTTCGTTTTGTCGTACCAAAAAACCCTTGTATACCGATTTTCACTATTATACGTCAAATATTGTTCGAAATATTTAAAAAAAACTATTTTAGAAAGTAAATTTAAACACCCTGTATTTCGGAAGCCACGCATTTTTCGACCCATGTTTATATAGACTTTATGCATTAATTTTAAAAGTTCTATCGAATCTTAAAGTTATGCAACAATAAACTGAAACATCCTGTATAGACAAATACAAGGTTTGTCGCAGAGTAAAGTAAAAAAACTTTTGAAAGATATCCGATAAAAATAGTGCCATTATCGCAGACTAGCGTTGACGACCATTTTGACGGGCATCCATACCAGTCAACGAGCTAAAATCATCATTCGAAAATCTTTTGGTCCGTGCAAATAAAAAATGTCATTTTTTTCTTTTTTATCCTGTTTGCTTGTAAAGCGCCAAAATAAAAAGGAAAATCATGGCTTTTAAACATTTTTCACATTATCAACATTCATTGAACAGTTGAAAAACATGTGGAAATGGCTGGTATCTGCCAGCCTATCCATCTATATCTATCCAGTCTATGTAACCGACATACTTTTTGGTAACAGAACCATAATACTAAAATACTAATAAATCATAAAAAATGAAATTACCATGTTAAGAATCTCCCTATGCCCGTGTGCGGCTGCTAGATGTAAGGGAGTATCATCTCCTCTATTAGTAGCATTGACTCTAGCCCCTCTCAAAAGTAGCATCTCTACAATTTTATTATGACCCTTCATTGCTGCCCAGTGTAGTGGACTGAAGCCATGATCATCTCTGAAAATGAACAATATGAATAAAACTAGAAGGAAAACTCATCTCACCTTCCATCGAACAGGAAAGAATAAAGTGGATGAAATCTCTATTTAACGTTAATTTTGATCAATAAACGAGAGATTTAATATGGGGATTAGAGGCCCATGTTACACAAATTGTGTGATTTCTGGCTAGTGTTAGAGATATTTTAGGAGAAATTGATTATATTCATTTTATCCATTAATACAAAAAGGCCTTCTGATTTGCTCCCTAAGGGTATATTTTGATCATCTCAGTTCAATAGCAAAATCAGGCCTCAAGGGGGGGGGGGGGGTCATACTAAGCATGACATCCTGAAAGCAACAGAAACAACTGCCACAAGAGTATCAATCGCAAAAAAATAAAACCATGGATAAGCAATGGAATTATTGTTTCTGTGAAAAAAAGGGATACAATGAAAAAGAGACTTCTAGCAAATTATAAAGGATGCAACATACGATAAGAGTAACGAAGGTCAATCTTATATTTCTATAAATGATAATCATGGTAACCAGTTTGCTGATTCTATTGAAATGGTGAAATTTTTGTAATGAATATTTTATCGATGTGGGTGTTAAGATGGCACGGACAATTCCCACTCCTCAATCTGAGTGTAAGTTAGTGCACCCCATCCAGAATTCAAATTTTTTTAAGTCTCTTTACAAGGAATGAACTGATAAAACATATTACATCTTTGAAAAGTAATCGTGCCGCTGGCAATGATGGCATACAGGTTAAAACTATAAACCAAACATATTTACAATTTAATTTTAGAAACTGGAATTGTCAGAAAGACTTTGAAACGTCAATAGTTACCCTGATACATAAATCAAGGGATACTACTTGTATTGTAAGTTACAGGCCTATAAGTTTAATAAGAAATTTTGCAAAGTTGTTTGAAAATATCTTAAAACTCGATTAATGGATTTTTTTAAAACTAATAATATACAGTGCAGTGGATGGGATGCAGAAATTAATAACTGAGATTGTCAAATAATGGCAACAAGAGTATTGCAGTTTTTTGGATCTTGCTAAAGCACATTCTTCACAGCAATGGTGTTAGGGGTAGTGGCTTATAATTTACTGAGGGATTATCTTTCAAACAGAACACTACTGCTAAAACTAAATAACATAATGAGCAATGAAAAAATAATAAAGATTGGTGCCCTCAGGGTACTGTTTTGGGACCGCTAAACTAACATTGAAATTATCTAATTGTGATTTCATTGATCAATAAAAACAGGCCAACTTACAACACTATTATGTTTGATGATAATTATTCTATTAAGGTAGTGTTTCAAACTGAATATCTTGGAGTCATTATTGACCAACATTTAAAGTGACAACCACATGTTGATTATGCATCAAGTAGAGTTAGAAAATCAATCCATAAATTTTATCTACTGCAAGAGTTGCTCGATTAAAAAAATTTAATAACAGTTAATAATTATTATAAGCTATAATTAGATTTAGGCAAGTAGTATGAGGGAGATTGTATAATAATGCTCTACATAAACTCATTATTATTCAGAAATACATTAATATTATTTTTAAGAAAGATAAAAGATTCCCCACTAATAAACTTTTTACAAAGGATGTGGGTAATATTAGAACCTTGTATGTGATGACAGTATCTACTTTTATTTATAGAAATGACAAATTAGAGAAACAAGTAAGTCATAACTACGGTACTTGTGCAAATGTGGGCACACAAATGGGACCAAAGATATATAACATTCTGCCAGAACACATGAAAAAGCTGAAAAATATTAAGACATTTAACACCAGCTGCACAGAATATATTTTTTAGAATGCTGAAGGTGTTTCTGATGATATTTTTGTATCACGGTGTGATTGATGTATTGTTTGGGATATTGGGGTTGATTGTTTCTTTATTGGTCTTTATAACCTAATAGTTTTTTTTTCATTTGTAAGCCCGGATGATGAAAGCACATACAGATGGTTTGAACCATCTAGGTTCAACTTTCTGTCATCGGGATGTCCTTGATGAGGAATTATATTGTTGTAGTTTTATTATTAATTAATAAATATTTCTTTCAAGTTATTATGGTAAATATTAATAATAATAAACAAATAATATGTGGCCAGACAATGAAGTCCTATGGACAATATTTTAGTGGCATTCCTTCTGCAAATCCCCACTATCCACTATTGCACCAAATATCAACACAGTTGCCCAAATAAGGCAAGGTTCAGAATAAGGAATTTTTACCCTAGATTCATATCGTGTTCGGGTTCATCGAGCCAGACCCGTACTTGTAGGGCATTCCCTTCTTTGCACCACTGGAAAATATCTTCCATTATCAATACTATTGTAGTAGTATCTAAATTCTAAATATAAACACACGAAAAGGGCGTTTTTCACTGAGCTTCCGATTTGACACACAAATTTGACAGTCAGGCACGAAACATATATACTAAAGAAGAGAAGAAGGTACAGTCCATAGGCATCAAGGTTGGCTAATGTCAGTGTCAAGCCGCCATTTTTTATGCAACATGGTTGCCAGAGTATGCACGAACGCCACACGCGGCGTTGCCAGCTCTTTGCATAAATCTGAGGTTGTATAATTTGTATTGGTATTTTTTGCTGTTTTGAAAAAAAGTACTCACTCAACAGCGTTTTTCACATCGTGAACAATCTTATTACCCACAGTGTGAAAAATCAAAAAATTAACAAATAACCAAGAAGTTTTTAAGCCCATTGTGCTGTTTTTTTACTCTTGGCTATGTGGATTTAATAAATTTCAACTACTGCTACCATGGATTCAGTTTTCATCAGGTTACTAAGTATTCTCATTAACTTAGTTAATACTATTTAGCGACAATCTCGCCTACTTTTAAGTGAGTATTTAAGATCAATTATTTACATGTAGTTGTCATTTTTCACATGTCTTGTAGCTCGTGATGATTATAAAGTTCATCGAAAGCTTGAGAGTAAAGTTACAAGAGTACACTTTGCACTAATTTGTCGAAGTACCTAAGTGGTTGTTGAGACGACAATAACTACACCTCACGTTATAATCATATAATAGTTTATTGATGTTAATGCACGTGATGTGCAAAACTTTAAACGTCCATAGGAGATATTTCTTTTAGGTGAAAAAGTTTTCGAACTTCTGGAACACTATAATCAAATTCAAGCGGATAATCAAATGGAAATGGTATTTAACATTTTGGGTTGGTATTTACCGATCCGTTCAAGCGAGTGTAGTTATCAGTTTGGTTATAAGATCCGTGACGTCACGAATCAGCTGTTATACGTCATAGTTATCACCGCAAAATTGTGGTATTTACCCAACTCAAGAGTAGTTTTATATTTCTGGTTATTATTTGAAATGTGACAAGTTAGAATTTTGCCGGGTATTGGATATTGTTATTGTACTTCAGCTTCATTTTTGAGAAAATTGATAGAGGCTGACTTCAGTTTTACCATAAAGTGGAGCTCCTTATTAGTTATACTCATTACGGTTGTTGGGGACACTTTAAATGTAGTTCCTATGCTTTACAAAGTATCCTGTGTAGCCATATACCACAAGAATATTAAAATATGGCCATATAAACTCACTAGATGATATCCACCTGTATACGGTTCTGCTAATTTCTTTTTTCATCATTTCTGCTGAATCAATAAATGTTTTCTTTGACATGCGGAAAAATTTAGAGATTTGAAAGTTATCATAGCTACAAAGCCATGGTTCCATCATTAAAAAAAAATCTGAAAAAACATTTCTCCCATGAATATTATGAAAGGTTTCTTATTTAAACTTTCCATACACAGCTGTAGACGAAAAAGCATCGATTATTACGTGATAATAAAAATAATCAGAAATATATAGGTACGTATTTTTCTATAATAACAACTTGCAACAAAACCGCGGTTAAAACCAACGCGTTCAAGCGATTCAACTAACTGACGTCATCAACTCATGTGTCATCTTAAAGCACATTAACTTTGAGCCATGGTAAATAACACAGCAATTTTGGTTATTCGCTTGGATTTGATTTATGTCTCTCTTTCTCAGCATTAAAAACAGGTGAATTAAATATGGTAATACCTTCATTTCCTATTTAATGCAACCTGAATTATCTGATATTTTTTGCTCACTTCTGAAGCATCAAATAATTTTCGAATCGCTGAAACCACGACCTCCAGTTTTCTGCTATGTTGAAGCAAAATACATCGGAGCGATTCCTCGGTAATCACTCATTTTTATTGAGCTGCCAGTAAATGCGTCTGTTTCGTTTTAGATGCGCCACCCTGTATATATGTATATTGATAGTAAACTAAAGTTTGAGGATCACCGTGAATACATTATTTCAAAAATTGCCAAGTAAACAAATTACTTTTATAGGACTTCTCATAGTCTTGGTACCTATTCCAAGAAATTAGTTTATAATACAATTATTCTACCGCATTTACTATATTGTTCAACTATTTTGTTCACTGCCAATGAAGCTGTGTTCTCAAAATTAATAAAAATAAGTACACCAAAATGAAATCTATGTTACAAGAATTGCAGTGGTTGAATATAAAAAATAGAAGTCAAAATACTAAAGTTGGAAATATTATGTCAAGCGTTCAAAATATATCGGTAGGGGTGCCTCAGGGGAGTAAATTCGTGCCGTTACTATTTATTATTTATATAAATAATATCTCTGACATTTTAAAAGACTTCATAATTTAAATATTTGCGCACGATACATACATGGCACACACATAAGCATTTGGACACTGCTTTAGAACTATTAAATACTGATATGAAAAAATATGAATTGGTTAAATGTCAATAAACATAAATTAAACACTAATAAAACAAAATTTATGTCAATAGGGAAACATTTAGGCGACAATACAATTAGGCTCATGATTAATGATGGAAAAATTGGAGTAGTCGAATCATGCTAATATCTTGGTATATATGTGGATAGTAAGCTACTGTTTCACGAGGATTATGAATCCATTATTTCAAAAATATAAAAAAAATAAATTACTTATATAGAGTTTAATCTTAGTATGTATTCCAAAAAATGTGTATACAAATTTTTAATATTGTTCAACCATCTTGTTTACAGCAAATGAAAACATATTTTCAAAATTACAAATTCTACAAAATAAAGCTATGAGAATCATTTTAAATAAAAACAAATATGCTAGGATTAAGTGTATGTTAGAAGAACTACAGTGGTTGAATGTGAATAATTTCATATATTATTTAGTTCTCGTTTTCATATTCAAATTAAAAAAAATGATTTATTACCACCATATTTAGAAGATTTCACAAAATTAGATAGTCATTATCATAAGTACGAAACTAGGGGCAGTATAGATTTTCAGCTGTAAAATTGTAATAGTAGCAAATATCTATATTTCAAAAGGGGATATTTTAATTTAATAAATTGAATAATGATATTAAACAGTGTCTCATAAACAAAATGAGGTTTTCATTTTGATCGATCAGTGCTTCCATTTCACGTGCCAAGTTCATTCGTTGTGCATAATCTCCGGGCTGTAACTGTTGCACACTGGCCAATTTGTAGGGGTGAAAGCGGAGATCCATATGCAAAATTCGCCTTACCGAACGATCACTAAGGCGAAGTGCAGCAGCATGTTTCCGGGAGATCGAGTCGGACTGTCGAACGCGTTCAACATTTTCAGGAGTTCGAAGTGTTCGCGGCGCTCCTCTTGGTCTTCTGTTGATCAGTTCACCAGGCCTGCGAAGCGATTCAACCCAACGAAGGATGGTGTTTCGAGAGGGAACAGCTCTATTCCGATGAATGTTGAAGTGGCGACAAAACTCACGCTGTACGACGATGACTGACTCATTATCTCGGACGAAACAATCATAGGCGAAAACGCGGTGCTCCACCGTCCAAGGCTCCATAACGACAACTGGTAAAATAATGCTAGGATCTCACGATTCAAACGGCACCCTCCCCACCTCTCTCGTAGACGGAGGCGGAGAGTACTACCCATCCCAAAAACGTCCGTCCTCTCTGCCGCACCCTGTACAAAATTGACATTGTAGCCTTAATATAAATCTTCAACAAACAAGCAAACACTGAGAAAAGGCACGTATACCGACTAAATCTCTATCTGTGTTAAGAAACTAGTTGCCTTATACCAAGTTTGAGGAGATTTGCAAAAAATGCAAGCAAAACAAGAGAAGTGTTTAAGCAACGTCGATAAAAGTTTGCTACGATTTTGGACAATCTGTTTGATCTTGCGCATACCTATGCTGAAAAGCTGTCATGTCTGAATATTTCAGAAACTGAGTAGCTGCTAGAATTTTATCGACATGAATTGACCAAAGAAGTTGTTAAAGGCGATTATCGAGAATTAATAGAACTTTCAATAATATCCCTTGCGGAGGCACAGAGAAAAAAATTTAAGATTCAACCGCCAGGCGCCATTCATCATGCTCGATGGATAATCAGAGCAATTTACTCATTAAAAATAGCGTTACTCAGTTCCCAGCTCAAAGGGGTCAAGATACGTGAAACCGTGGTTGCAATGTACTTTAGCGGTAAAAACACCTAACCACGATTTATGCTTTTTAAAGGCAATGAAGGCTTATGAAAGAATTGACAAAACCATTTTAAAAGCAACTTTACAAAAGTTCTGTCAACATTTTTTCTATTTGACGGATGAGATCTTTTATGTCTATTTGATGACGACGTAGATGAGGAAACTGGAGTGAACATTGTTGTTAATTTAGCCAAAGAAAGTTCATCAGCCCACTGTAGAGAACTTTCTTATGGTAAGACTAACGAATAAATTTTCCTTAAACTTTCCATAAACTGCGATTCTGGCAATAGATGACACCTTGTACTGTCTTGTTTCGATAGATCTTATATCTCAGATAGAGTGTAGTTACTATGCTTTCGTTTGTTGTCCTGACCTGGGGCCAAGCCTAGATGATGCTGTTGCCAATAAGCAGTATGGTAGCTATTCTTGATTTTTTTCATTTCAAAGAAAAATATCGATGACTTTGTTTCAACCAAAAGCAAGTCCTTGTTCAGTCGACTCACAGAGCAGTCAACGATATAGCAGAAAGAGCCGAGTCAAGTTAATGCAAGACTTCCACGGCTTAATCACTGCTGATGAGGAACAAAAACAATTTTTATTACGTTGGGTATCAGAACACAGGCAGGTATCTCCTGACTAAAAAAAGAAAACTTTGAAAAGAAAATTTAGTAAATAATGTTTTTTTAATGATGAATATAAGATACAAATGAAGCAGGGTTTTATTTGCCGATTAAGAATTAGGTTTTGAAATCCATACATGGTTTCCCTATTAAGTTTTACGTTACGTATTGAAACAACGAGTGCGAGAGGAACGACTGTTTATTTTATGGACTGAATGGAATGTTGGTTTGTACAAAAACTACATGTTTTTTATGAATACACGAAATTCGGCTGAACTAATAAATGGTGGTGACCACGATTTTGTAAGCTTTTTTAGTAATCAACTAGTTCACCATGTAAATGGAGCCCTCTCTCTAAGAATCCTGACACCGCACTTTTTCCATTCATCTTGGTTGATCCAAAGCTCGTGAGCCGTCTCTAAGCAGGACATAATGCAGGCGCCCTTCCACGCCACCATTGCGGAGTCCATGTCTCTGGGATTCGTTATAATATCCAATTGCTCTGCTCTGTACAAGTACGGTATCTGCAGTGAGATCCTGTTTTGAAGCCACGTGGCTATTCCGGAGAACTTCATGCCACCACCCACAACTGAAAATAGAGTAGAAAATAAATTACAAGGCCTTTCCAAGCATTCGCTTTTTTGCTCTGTATTATAAAAAAATTCTAGTACAGCAAGTGTCTATTCTGATTTGGTTTTAGTAATTATATTCAAAGAGGATCCCTTTTAATGAATCCACATCTTGCCAAAACCAAAGCCGCGTTAAAACGTTGTAACTATTTCTTTCAAAATAAAGAGAATTGTCCGTTTGAATTTCAGTTTTTTTTCTCGACAACAATATATCTCGCGATGCCTCCTTCTCCCCTTAAATGACGATCTCCGCAAATGAAGGCTATTCTGACTGATAATTGTGAATACTCTTATGGAGAGCGGCATATTTTGCAAGAAAGGAGCGTACCTACAGTTGCCTACAACATTTGTAGATAATCTTTATGATATATTCTATATTAATGAGCACACTCAAAATTCATCCTGTATATGTCATAACTCATATTTTCGTTTTTGTGTGGATTAAGAAGTACCCACCTAAGATACATCCATACATTTTTCTTTTCAAATCCTCACTTGGACATCTGTCGATGCTTTGCAGTACTGCTTGGTCCAAACCAAATATTTGCTGAAATCAACAGAAGGAACAAGTGTATTTCTTCCTCGCATTATACTTCTGTTGGACACGTTCAAATAAACGAACTATCCCAGGCGTTTATAGATACGCTTTGGACGACATGGCAGGGGTATTACGTATCTTGAAAAGTAACATTATGTCGGTGTTTTTTACATTGTAACGTGCCAAAATCATAACTTATTTTCTACTATTTTGATTAGTTTACCAGTAAATTGAATTTCTCTATATTAATGATAGATTACCGATTGCTAGGCCAAACCCTTTTCAATGATTTTATTTTGGCAGGTATTGACTTTAAAACTACATAATCCTGAAATTATAATTTCACACATATTATATATTTTTTTCTTAGCGACTCAATGTTGTTAAGAATCTTAAACGGATTTTTCCAACACAAAGACATACACAAATATACTTGGACTCAAAAAACAAAAAACTTGAAATCAATTATTGACTATGTCGTGATTAAGCAGGACACTTCCATAATACCCTATGATGTAAAAGTTTGGAGAGGAGCTGAGTGCGGTTCAGATCACCTGCTAGTAAAAGCACCCATTGAAATTACTTACATAGACAGCTTAAGGGATGAATCCACCAGTTTCCTTTACAAACTACGTTTAGCACAAAAACTGGACGAAGATATTAACGGCAAGGCAGAAGAAATGTATGAAACTTTGAAACACAAAATTCACGAAGCAGCACTAGAAGCCCTTGGTGTTAAAGATAGAACGGAACACAAAAATTCTTGGTGGACGGACGATTTAACCCAACTGGTAGAAGAAAAGAAAAACTTATATCTTAAATGGTTAACTACAAAAGACGATGAAGATCGAAAAAGCTATAATCGTTTTAAATATATAGTAAAAAAAGAAATTAAAAAAATAAAAAACAAAACATGGGAAAGCAAATATGCTGAAATTAGCTCAATGATAGGAGGATCTAGGTCTAGAGAAGCTTGGCGAACTATAAATGGTCTTAAAACAAACACGAATGAAAGAAGAAAAATAAATCCCATAAAAATAGAACAGTGGAAAGACTACTACAATAATCTACTGGCAGAACAACGTGGAGAGTATTTAGACACGCAACTAGATATAGATCAAACGGAAGTTAACAGAGTAGATACCATTCAATTAGAAGAAATAAAAACAGCATTACAAAAAATGAAAAATAATAAAGCTCCGGGACCGGGGGATTTGCCTATCGAGTTAATTAAACACGCCACCACAAGAACGCACGAGCTACTTTGTGTAATTTTTAACAAGTGCCTGGAAGGGGAAACGATTCCCAGAGATTGGAGGAGCTCTTACATAAATTCCATTTATAAAAAGGGAAACAGGAGTGACTGTAGTAATTATCGGGGTATTAGTATTACATCGTCCATCGGAAAGCTGTACGAAAGAGTCCTAACAGCCCGAATAGAAGACGAAGCCACGGAAATTGAAGAACAAAGTGGATTTCGACCTGGGCGATCCTGTGTCGACAACATATTTACAATAAAACAACTGACAGAAAAGAGATTAGCAAGAGGAATGGAGCTACACGCTACTTTTATAGATCTCCGCAAGGCATTCGACTCCGTCCCTTTGCAGAAATTATGGATCGCAATGAAAGAAGCAGGCATAAATAGCAAATACATAAACGCCGTAAAAGCAATGTATAGAGAAAATCAAGTGGTCGTTAAAGTCGGAAACCAAATTTCTGAGGCTTTCCCACAAACAAAAGGTGTTAAGCAGGGCTCCTGCCTCTCTCCAACCCTGTTTAAAATTTATCTCTGCAGCGCTTTAAAACAGTGGATAAGAAAGTGCAGCCCCATGGGGATATGGTTAGAGGACTTTCACTTGTATACAATCCTCTTTGCAGATGATCAGGTAGTCTTTGCAGAAGACCAGCAAGACATGACTTACATGATAAACAAACTTATAGAAGAATTCACTAAATGGGGTTTGGAGATAAATATACAAAAGACACAATACATGACTATAGGAGGCACAGGACAAGACATCGAAACAAAAAGCGGGAAAATAGAAAACGTCGGACAGTACTAGTACCTAGGAGTTACAAATAGATGAAAGCGGAAAGGATAATAAAGACATACTAAGGAAAATAGGAAAAGGAAAAAATATGATTAAAGCACTACATCCGATCTTGTGGAGTAAGAACCTAACAAAGAAAACAAAAAAAATTATATATCTGGCTATGATTCAGCCAGTACTGACGTATGGGTCAGAAGCGTGGGTTGTAGATAAAAATATGTCACAAAAGCTTCTCTCAACCGAAATGATGTACTGGAGAAGATGTTCCGGTTTAACTTTACTTGACCATGTTAGAAATGAGACCATCAGAGAAAGAATGGAAGTCGAAAATACAATAATGGACGATATAACAGAGAGGCAGTTAAAATGGTATGGACACCTGCAACGAATGAACGAAGAAAGGATGCCATTAAGGGTTTGGAAATGGACACCAGCACAAAGAAATAAACGAGGAAGACCACGAAGGAAATGGATTTCAAACATCCATACCGCAATGGAAAGTAGAGGACTACATGAAGGAGACTGGAACGATAGGATACGATGGCGTATGGGCTGCGAGAAGCGACCTTAGGTTGCAGAAACTCGCCATATATATTGACCTTGAAACTACCTAATCCTGAAATTATAATTTCACACATATTATATATTTTTTTCTTAGCGACTCAATGTTGTGTTGAAGTCTTTTGGGACACTGTTAGTGATATTTGGGTTGGCTTTATTTTATGGCCAGTATGAGTTGTCGCGTGCCTACACCGCGCGCGTGCGCTGCTAGGACAATAAAAAGAAGAGAGATACTAGCTCACAGTAAGACCACACGTATACGCCGCAACCGCGTACAGTGTCTACGCAGCAACCGCATAGAGTCAGAACCGCTCCCACACCCGCAATCTTCACGCTCCTGCATCACCGCTACGCCAGGAATACGAACCAGAATTAGACAGAATACCGGATCAAAGGTAGGCGACATCCACATTTCATTCTTAAACCAGCCGCTAATATAATATTTTATTAATGACTTACTCAGAAATTTCCGCATAAAACGTACGTTCTTCGTAAACTGATTTCTTTTACCTGCAACGGTGTTTATGACCATTACATGGCCTCGCAGATAAAACACCATGCAATTGCCGTTGTTTGTGCTAATTATTTTAGTAGATTGATAGATTCAATAACAACCTTTAATTATTGTTGCCTACCCATAGGCAACCAGTGAGTTTCTGAACGCATTTGTTAGTTTTTTTGGATTGTTTTGTTTTCCTTGGGCGAAACTTTGTTTCGTTATGTGTAGATAGAATATTAGACAGTTTGGTTTGGGAATAGGAATTTTTCATTTGTTATTATTTTCGGTACACATTTTGGTTTCAATATATGGGGTTGTCCAAAACGGACGCAGGAAAGTAAACGCATATCAAAACAAGAAAGATTGATATTCAAATCAAGTTGGGTACTTTATTTTGAAGGTTCATTTATACCATTTACGTATGAAAAATAATATCGCTCAAATCTTCACCACGACTGGATTTACAGACGTCCACGCGATGCTCGAAATTTTCAATGACATTTTGCAACACGGTCGGTTCTATGGCATTTATCTCGGCAATGATGTTGTTTTTGAGTTCTTGGAGGGTGGCTGGTTTGTTGACGTAGACTTTGCTTTTCAAATATCCCCATAAAAAGAAGTCCAAGGGAGTCAAATCGCACGATCTTGCTGGCCATGGCACATTTCCTCTGCGCGAAATCACGCGATCACCGAAGAAGGACTGCAATCGATGGATATTGACGTTGGTTGTGTGGCATGTTGCACCGTCTTGTTGGAAATAAACATCGTCCATATCCATTCCTTCAAGTTGCGGCAAAAAATAGTCCTCTATCATCACGTGATATCGCTCAGAATTGACGGTAACGGCGTCCCCGGCCGCATTTTCGAAAAAGTAAGGTCCGATGATGCCTTTTGACCACAATGCACACCACACAGTCACTTTTTGAGGATGCATCGGCTGCTCTTGATACTCACGGGGATTTTCGTTCGCCCAGATGCGGCAGTTTTGCTTGTTTACCGTCCCATTCAAAGTGAAATGCGCTTCGTCGCTGAACATGATTTTTGATGAAAAATTGGCATCAATTTGGCGGTGTTCAAGGAGCCAATCTGAGAACGTTCGGCGCGAAAAATGGTCGGCCCGACGCAGCTCTTGCGTCAATTGGATCTTGTAGGCGTGTACATTCAAATCCGTGTGGTGAATGCGGAGCAAACTGGTTCTCGAAATGCCCAATTCTTGGGATCGACGCGTTGTTGATTGTTTCGGATCGTCTCTCACACTCTCCTTCACAACAGCAATACTTTCCGGTGTGCGAACGCTCGTTGGCCGGCCAGAGCCTGGCAGATTTGCCACAGAACCTGTTGCCTCGAATTTACGCACCAGACGACCGATGGTTGTTTCGTTTGGGTGGTTGTTGCGACCGAAATGTTCACGAAGCGCGCGAAACGTGTTTTTTATTTTTGCACCATTTCTGTAGTGCTCTTGAATAACTTTAATGCGGTCTTCAATCGCATACGACTCCATAGCGATCAATGGTAAACATTCAACTAACAAAATGACATGTCGGTGACAGAAAACAAAGATGGCGTCTATGTCAAATTGACGTTTACTTTCCTGCGTCCCTATTGGACAACCCTTTAGTTTTAGTATCGAATCTGTGAGGTGTCTAGTGTTGGTACGCTCTCCTACTTTTCACATTGGTTGACAGTCAACTGACTGAATGAACGGAAGACCGAAAAATCGTATCGGTGATTTACTGCTGAAGCCTTGGTTGAGAAGGTGTATCGGCTCTTCATTTGTTTCCAAATCACCAGTTTATGGAGTAGTCTCTTTTTTCGTATCTACCTTACCTTTAGTAGTTTCTTTTATTTTTATGGGATTTTAACCTCTTCAGCGGTAAGTTCTTTTTTTATACCATCTGACCACTTGCATTAATGCATGACCGAAAGAAGTTGGCTCAGTTGGGCGTCAAGTTTCTTTACAATATCTGCTTCCTTCTAGTGGGAAGGCATTGAGGAAAACTACCATCCGTACTCCTCCAGATTTGTAGCTGTTTTGTAGGCGATATTGCTCTCTCTCTTTCTTGGAAAAAAAGGGTTTGCCCTAGGAATCGGCACTCTATCATTAATAAATAAGTTTTTGTAGCTGAACCATGTGACTTATGAAGCATTTTTGTTTTATATGGGAATTACACAAATTGAATAATTTTTCGGTAGTTTGAGGAACATAAAAGAAATCGACCACATTCATTAGATCCATTACTTCGCCACTATGATTGAAAAATTACCTGTCCTGGATTTGTCACAAACTCCCTTACAGAAGCAGACGGGATCGGTTCCATGTTATCAACAACAATATCGTCGTCTGCCGGATTGTTCTGTTGGCTTTCAAGATATCCTTCACTCAGTAAATCTGATGCCGATGGCTCGAGATTTTCTTTTCCCGCCATTCCTAAAGATCAAATGAATACCTTGTCTGAAACTGAGTATTTAATGAGCCGTACTCTATACTTTTTTGCTCTATCTCATTTTACAGTATATGTCCAGTGGTATTTATGAAATATTATTTATATACGATTATGATTTTATTTACAAATTATATTCTTTTATCGTGCCATAAATCATTATCAGCGAGGAAACAGAGTTTCTGTTTCTTTCACAGGTAAGAAAATTATTTTGAATATCGCATGACACGGTTACCCTACATACAAGTCGATGTTGTGGACTAATAAAAATAATAATAGTTTATTGTCCTTTCCGACACATTCAATGAATAGAACTCGACAAAATGAATGTAACATTTAAAATATAAAAAACAAACAAACATAAACAAATAATCTACAAACTATTGAAACCTTATAAAACACGATACTTCGAGTCGGCGTAATAACTTTTTTTATGAGAAACTGCTTTTATTTTAAAAAAATCGTATCTTTGGCATTTCTTATGTCCGCTGGCAAACTGTTTGGCCCTAAATACCCTGAAGACTTTCTGGATACATTGTATTTCACAAAAGGTAGATATAATTGGTTACATTGTCTTATATTTAGTCCATGAACATCTTTATTTTTTAAATAGTTTTATAAATTCGCAAGTTAACACAGCTAATTCATATATACTTTGAAGTTGAGTCATTAATTTTCAGATAATGATTGTAGAAGGAAGATAAACCAAATTATGTGTGTAAAAATAGAAAAAAAATTTACCTTGTTTTATAAAGTATCCTCCCGACAAGTATTTCAGTGCGGACCTGTATTTGATCGTGCAGTCTTGGAGCACCGGCATGCCCTCCTCTGTGAGGTCTTAAGTCATCTGATTCACGAGCCCTTTGTACTACATTAACAAAAGCACGAGGGGTTGGTTGCACTCGATTAGGAAACCGATCCGCATAAACATGTGCCATTTTTTATTTCGTTTGAGCCACGCAACAGACACCACTATTCACTCACGCGTTACCGACTGACACTGACTGTATACAACTGAATAAAATAATTGTAAAAACATCGTTCCAAATTCTTTCGCTTTTTTGTTTCCGATGCGATGAACCGATAAGGCGGATTATATCCGTTGTCGCCAAACACGAGCACATAATATTATTATTGGGACAGGGCGGTACTCAAACTTCCAAAGGGCTATAACTTTGTTACTTTAATTTTACCAGAAAAATGGTAAAGGAAAAAACATTTCTTTTGATCAGATCTACTCACTGTTAAAATAAATGACTCAACTTCAAAGTCACCCTGTATATATATATATATATATATATATAGACCAGGCAAAGTAAGTATTCTATATATAACAGTTCCCTACAACTATGCATACTATTTACTTTAGTAATGCTTGTAATCAGTCTGTTCTAGCATATAAATTGTACGTCTATCGCCGCACTTGATGTACTCCAGAAGCAAAGGCTGTACTTCAGCCTGGATTCAACCTGTGCATGGTATAGACTGATAAGTTGATCTTCATTTAGAACTGTTCGTACATTTTTATAAATGTATGAATGTGAATTTAGAACTCATATCATATACTTGCAATGGGGTTTAAAATTTAAATATTCACCTAAATATACTCCCAAAAAATATAGTGTCGACATGGAACCTGATCTGTTTGTCACTTAACCTGATATTCATGTCATCTAACTTCTTCTGAACATTGTGAAATAAAATATAAAGATAATTGATTTTGTACAAACCAAGTTTCAAGATACTTCAAAATGTTATTAAATTTAGTGATCAATACATTATCGGGAGGATCTGAAATTATAATTGAGGCAACGCCTGCATACAATGTAAAATTTACTTGGCCATTGGACACTTCACTCAGCTCAATTATATACAGTATAAATAGAAGAGGCCCTAATATAGATCCTTGGGGAAGTCTCATATCAGTACCAACGCATAAAGACCAGACTTGCTTTATTTCTGTACCGTAACTGTGTAATAAAGAAACATATTGTGACCTGTTTTCCAAAAAAGATTTGATCTGTATTAGGTATAAAAACTAAGAATTAACTTGGGCAAGTGCTCCATAAAGGAACTGAAGGGTTGGTTGGTAACCCGAGCGACTTACGTTTCTGAATAGACGCGCATCGAAAACACCGAAGTGAAAACATATGACCATCATATCTGGATCCGGGTGTGTCCTGAAGGAAAACAAGGATGGAAAGGGAAATACAACTAGGAGCCATTAACAAGAGCCAGCAGGCACATTAGTGCCTTCGGTCAAAACACCTCGTATTCACGGTGCACATCCATTTGGGCCTGATGAAGCCAATAAGCAGAAACGTACGTCGCTCGGGTTACCAATCCTTCTATTTCTGCTCCTGTTCCATGCCCACGATTGTCTTTTATTTTTCATCCAAGCTTCCGCATGACCACTTGACTTTGTCAGGTATTGCATCTTGAGGAAAAGTTGCGATTGGTGTCGCGCGAACATGTCTATCAAAAATGTTTGACAATCAATCTTAGTATTTGGCAACATCATAGAGCTACGTATTAAATTTGTTTGCCGTTTTCATGTTGCAGTTTTAGTGGAAAAATAAATTTTAAAGTTGTGTACATGACGATGTGGTTCTACAGCTTCTGAGTGAAAAAAGTACTATGCTGGTTTTTCGCTCTTTATCGATATTAAACATATCATGATGAGATGATAAGGCTGATAAGAGTAAATTCGTGTGAGGCGTTGTAAAGTTGTTGAGGTATTAATTGCTTTCAAGAATGAGCTCAGGATTTATCGAACGAGTTTCGTGATTTGGAGTTTCAGACATTTTTAATATAAATTGCTGTATTCTTGTGGAAGGAACACAATGGAGTGTGATTTATGTAAGGTGAAGAAAACTAGTGCCACTAAATTTGTTCAGTGTGATGGTTGTGATTCAAACATATGCGCGAAGTTCAGCAGCCTTACTGCTTCAGAAGTTAAAGTTATGGAACTTCGAAATAGTAGAATTATGCGATTTTTTTATGTAAGAAATGTACAAAATTTGACACAACCAAACTATTGAAGATTATTGACAACAAGGATGAAATTATAAAATTACTTAAAATCAGAATGAAGGATTTGGAGCTGTTAGTGTGGTAAGTAGATACCTTGCAGTATCTAGAAAAAGAGACGGTTCAGAATGTCATATCACACAAATAAAGTGTTTTACTAAGAGCGTGAAATTCCAAGGTCGAATCTATTACACAGTCTAGTTTTATTCGCCTTGTCTTTTTTTAAATGCTTCCAATTTGTATATAGTTTTTTCGACATACCTTTCGGAGTTCCCGATCTCTTTAGAACATACTTAAAAGGATTTATTGGGTTCACGTTTAACATTGAATCAGTAAATCCCTCATGTTTTAATACCGCCGTGAACAATTTGGAAAAATTTGCATCAATAATACCTGAGCGAAGCGACACGAAGAGAACTGGAGCGATTTTTATTTATTGATGACTGTAAGGACTTTCCGCAAACGTCGCGACGCTTCGTATCTTTGACTCTCATTTGATTATAATGTAAAAAACATCGAAGAATTTCACCTCTATTCTCTTAAGTTCGACTCGCTTGAGTGGACGTACAAGAACATTACAATTAATTCGGGAAAATTTGATAATATTTTAAAACTTGATGACCAGTTCAAAGTAGCTTCGCTCGACTAAACTTCTGTTTATCAAGGTTTAGATCATAAACATTTTCTATAATCATACTAACCTTTCTTTCTGATATCTCTCAAGTACAGTTCGTCGTGTGGATCTTCTGGATCACCCGTGGATATCTTTTGGGTGTGCAGTTGTTTTGGTCCGGTAATTCCAAACAGTTCCGGATTAAATAGACTCAGTGGTGCAATGATACATTCATCCCCCACTTGTATGGTATACTAAAAAAAAATATAGCATCGATTGACACTGCACTTCCCGTACAATTTTGTCATTCGATTTCCAAAATCGATGCAATATGAACAAATTGGCCAAACTAATTGCATAAAAAGGTTAGATCGAATCACTTTGATCAGATTTTCAACAGACTAAATACCATATTTTTTATTTTGTTTACATAACGTGAAGCAATATGTTGTAATAAGGTCTGCGAAAAAGAAAGTGGGCCAAATTAAACGATCTAATGTAGAATTTGCCCGTCTTCCTTAACTGAGCTTAATCGATGGTGGACCTTATTTCACAAATTTCTGTTGGACCGCTTTAATTTCTAACTTTACGACTGGATTTCACCAACATTAATATTTGACGGTCACTTGAACCAATAGGAAAAGACCTTATCTAAATGGTATTTGACGGAAGCTGTCAAAGCTCTCTGAATATCAGTGATGTCTATTGAAATATTGAATAAAAGAAATGCAAGTTTTGTTTCCAACATAATGCTTTTGTACAGAAAAAACAGGACAACTTGCATGTATTTTGCTATTTCTTATCAATTCACAAAAGATGGATCATCTTATCAATCCACCAATGAAAATGCAAGAAATGATAGGTCGTTTTGCTAGCTATTATATTCAATATGATGTTTTAACTATTTTTGACGACTGTCAATGCATGGCAATGTAGTTTTCTCTCTATACCACATAAAGGGTGTTATAGGAAGAAATATACGGTAGGTGATTTAGTAAATTCGCATGTCAATTGCAGAAAATGATATAAATTTGAATAAATAAGTAACAATAGTAAAAAACATGAAGTTTAATCAAAAATCATTTTTTTTTTAATTTTTACTAGATTATATGTAATTTGTTATTTGGTGGATTTTGGGATAGTTGGGCCGTCAAAAAATATTTTTACTTGACGTTTCAGTAGCTCACAGAACTCCGAACTGTGAACATCTTCTGACTCGTGTTGGCGAAACGTCAAGTAAAAATATCTTACGACGGCCTAACTACCCAAAAACCAACCAAAGAACATTGGATGATGGCCGCGAAAGCCTTTCGCATTTCATATACATATACAGGGTGGCGCATCGAAAACGAAACAGACGCATTTACTGGCAGCTCAGTTTTTTTTAAAAAACGCTCTGACCCGTCGATTTTGTTTTCGAGGACACAAGTTTGGCAAAAAATCACGTTAGCACGTGCAGCCCCCTAAGCGGGGGTGACACCACCCCCAAAATCTTAAATGGAAAGGGGGGTCGAGTGATAAATTTCTTCTGAAAATACTACAAACTAATCTGATGTACCTATTAAAGTCTACTTTAAGCTTTAAATCAATAAATCTTCAAAACTACTGAACCGAAGTTCATGTATTTTACAACATTATAAAGGGAATTGAAAGACCTTTAAAATAAGGTATCACTCGACACCCCTTTCCATTTAAGATTTTAGGGTTGGTGTCACCAGCGCCCAGAGGGCTGCACGTGTTAACGTGATTTTTTGCCAAACTTGTGTCTCTCTCGAAAACTGAGCTGCCAGTAAAAGCATCTGTTTCGTTTTCGATGCGCCACCTTGTATATACATATATATATATATATATATAATTTATTAATATTTAATATGCTGAAGATGTTTCAATGACAAGTGCCTTCTCATACTTCGACAATATTTTGTTTTGAATATTTCGCAGCTATTGGTTGCTAAAATTTTTCGAATGGATCTGAAAGCCCATTCGCTATACAGGGTGTCCGCAAAGTTGGGATTTTCCTTTACACGACGTATAGATCTTGAAAACATAAGCAATTTTTCTTAGTACCATATACACCAATGTCTTAAGGGAACCGAGATAAAGGGCTCTGCAACATCAAAAATATCTGAATACCGTCCTGTAGCCGCGACATCACCGACTGGTTCAAGGTCACTGGCTCAACCCGACGACAGAACTGGGTCGGGGTCAGTGTGTCAGGTCAGTATGCAACCTTCAACCGACGGTTACGATCACGCATGTAGAGGCAATCGCGTAGACGAGAATCCCTCAACAAGCACTAGAGACGTGGCTAGAGAAGTGCAAGTATCAAAAACTAAAGTGTGGCAAACGCTGCGTGAAGAGGGGCTGTATCCGTTTCACGTCCAAGCCCTTCAACCTGACGATTTTCCAGCAAGAGTGCGGTTTTGTGAGTGGTTGTTGCATCAACATGACAATAATCCGGACTTTTTGAAGTGCATATTGGTGACAGACGAATCTACGTTCACGCGTAATGGGGTGAATAACTTTCGCAACACTCATGTTTGGTCAGTAGAAAATCCGCACGCTGTCCGTCGGGCACATTTTCAATAAACATTTACGGTGAATGTTTGGGCTGGTATGGTGAACGGTGATCATTGGACCATTTATTCTCCCAAATCGATTGGACGGGATGCAATACCTAGACCCTAGACTTTTTACGCAACATTTTGCCTTCCTTGTTTGCCTGCGTCTGCTCGGTAGCGCATCAGCTGATTTCATTTTCTGTTGGAGCGGTATGATTTCGGGCAGAGACGTACTTAGCCCTTCTCGTCAACTGGAGAGTGAGTACTTTTTCCTTTATTTTTTTTACGTGGTCGCCCTCGTTTCACTACACATTACCTTTGTTATTTCAAGGGTAGTTGTTTCTGAAAAGGAAAACCCCAACTTTGCGGACACCCTGTATATAACGGACTGTTTTTTTCTCTTTGAGAAAAGTCATTCAATTTGCCTTCTTATTGGTCTATTATGATCCGGATTAAGCATTTTTTCTCCTGTTAGTAAAAACGGACAAATGCAATCCTACCCACGCTACCGTTCCTCTGTTCTTTCAAGCTGCATTTCACTCATCACAACACATCAGTAATGATATGCGAAACTGCCTCCGTTCAAGCGAATCTAAAAAAAACTTACCTGCATCGGCACTTTGCCAGGTTGTTTCAACATGAAAGATTTTTCTTGCGAACCGCACACGTCCAGATTTACATGACAAAAGTCTTCTTTCAGTTTCCTCAGGAGCATTGTATCCAATTTGTTCGTGTCGGCGCATTCTTTATACGGAAAAGCACATTTTTGCAGAAGCCAAAAAAATATTTGCGTTATGTCTCCACCTCCATACTCTAATCTGAAAGTTGATGATAATAATCATCTTGATTATATCGCTTGATCATGGATGACGAAGATATGATTATACTGACGCTGTGGCCGTCAAATGCTCCTTTTTAATTAGCAAATTGAAAACTATGTACTATGAATTCTAATCAAGTAATATTTCACCGTCGATTTTCATCATCCAAATGCCCTACGGAAACGTTACAACACAGTTGAAATCCAGTTACATGCACGATTTTGTAGCCACGATTTCTATGATATACTAAGTGACATATAAAATGCATCACTCAGAATAATTTATTGAATTTTGATAAAACTTGTAAGCATATTTGCTACCATGGAACTATACGCTGATAAAATGTTGAAGGCATACCAAGCCATGCTTTTTTGTAAAGGCTTTTTTGTCATATCAGGATCCGAGCAATATGAATATGTTTACTTAATATTCAGTAGTTTTTCTGTATTGGTTCCATTCGTTTCATTGTTGTTTCATTGCATTATCATCCCTAGAGTTCGCTAATTTCACTCAACCTTTTTTTTTTTAGAGAAATCGCTAATCGGGTGAATCGAAACGAAGCTATTGTAATATGTTGTCGAGCGTCGTTTCAAGAAGGCCGTAATCGACGAGTTAGAAGTTCTGGACGTCAAAGACAGACTACAGAGCGACAAGATTGTTATTTGATTCAACTAGCACTTAAAGATCGAATTTCCACAACAAGGGCGGTTGCGAACCAGTGGTTTGACGATGTCGAAACCATAAAAATAATGAGGACGGTTTATCGCCGTATAAGGTCTTTTGGACTGTTCCATACCGTCCCCATCTTGTACTACCTCAGACCCCAAAGCATCGTCGGCAATAATTGGTATGGAGTAGGGAGAGACTTGAATGGAATATGGAATGGAGCACATTTGTGTTCAGCGTTCCAGATTCTGTTTGGGCACACCTGTTGGCCGTGCAAGAGTAAGGAGAAGACGTGAAGAAAGAACGTCCAATATTCCCAAAATTTACTAGGTGTCATGATTATAAGCATCTTTGGTAGATTGTTCGATCCGGAATGGGAAAGATCTCCTATTTATGAAAATATTTTTGGTATCATCTAACCGTTGCAATCAGTGCACAAACACTGTGACATATGATTTATAGCATAACCCGCTGCCCTATCAATACAAATTTAACATACAGGCCGCCTAGCCGTGGGGATGCAGTGGTCGGGATGAACATCACGGCAGCAACAGATGATTTGGGCATGTCTGGTAAGAACGTATGAAGTGAAACTTCACAAATTTGAAGATTTTGTACAATTTCTTTGAAAATGATGAAATATATGTCTGATTTGGCAGGGTAATGTCGCAGCCAAATGGCAGTCACTCTTTCTGACACAGTCCGGATCGAAAGATGACGATACTCGTGAAATGTATTGATACTTCTAAATATAGGATCCTATTGAACATCCCTACTGTCAAGATATATAACCCAAGGTACCGACGGAGCTATTTTGCGGCGTCATGGAAATGATTTTAAATTTTCATTTGCATTTTTTGTGTTGTGCAATGATTTTGGGAAAAATGTCACGAATAGTCTTATAAAGCATAGTAGAGTATATTTCAACAGTTGGCGGAACTTACTCCACTGGGACCAGGAGGGTGAAACGGGATATTAATGCACCATCTGGCAACCCTGTCGCACCCTCACAAAATGGCCGCTGACAACCACACAAGTCACCGTGTTGTGATTGAATAGCATGGAATTAAACCTTCAGAGTATATGTTTTGTGACTGGTACCAAGAGTTGACACATCCCACACATGTGTCACTCCTTGAAATGCAATAATCAGCTGTATTCAAATAATGTCTAATATAAATATAACCTAGAATGTGTACTCGTGAAAAAAGAAAAATATGGCAAATTTGTAGTTTTTTTGCAGGATTTAGGTTTACTGGTAGCTTTAATGCATACATTTGGGAATTTCTTAATCGCTGTGAATATAGTGTGGATGTTTGTTCAGTTCCTGAACAACGAAAAATATTCAACTTTATGGATGTATGAATATCAAAAAACCTGAATGGTTTTGTGGGAATATCAATCTAAGGTGCCATAATGGTTGTAATGAATGGCAAGTGAATGAATGAATTTTTGGAAACGAGCAATATCTTTTTGTAGAGCCTGTCATCAAGTAGGTACTTAATGGCTATCTGCAAGAGGTTTATAGGAAAAACACCCAGTATCACATATCAATTGAAGAAAATAATATAAACATGAATAAAAAATCAACAATAGTAATTAAAACATGAATTTAATTCAAAAATCAAACATTTCTTAAAATTTTGACTAAATTATATGTAATTTCTTAATATTCAATATGTTCAAAATGTTTCAATGACAAGTTGTCATCTCATACTTTGACAGTATTTTGTTTTCAACATTTCATAGCTATTAGTTGCTAAAATTTGTTGATTGGAACTTGAAGCTCATTCGCTGTATCTGACGGTCTGTTACCCTATAGGTGGAGAATAACGGACTGTTGTTGGTGAAATTGGGCCTTGTATACATTAATTTGAATACCTACCTAACTCTTGTATTCGGATGACATATGCCATCTTCCACGCACGATACAGACGTCTTCTGATCACCAACATCTACCACACAAGCATAGCTCAGCCCGGATCCGAATGTGGCTGCTACGTGGTCCTGAACCAAAAAACAACTGCCAAATCCCATTTTGCATAACAACAGATACATTAATTCCCTTAAGTACATTCTGTTGTACACATCTGGTATTACAAGTACAACTTTATAGTTTTTCAAATCGAGTTTGCTTATTTGGAAGTTGTTTTCGAGAACGTACGTCCAAATGGATTCCAGATCTGCCAAAACGGCAGTCATAGATCCCCCAGGACCGCTGTGTATATTAAAATCGCCTCGTTTATAAGGAAAATGGATGTTGAAGTTTTCTAACGGATCCAAACGCAGAATGTCGTTTCCAATTACTAAATCTCCTTCTGGTTTAATCCATTCTCCTCCGCTGGCTTCTAATGGTTCTGGCTGGACTCTGTAAATAGATTAGAGCGATTCTGAACCGATTGCCGTTTTGTCATGTTCAACCAACTGCTCAATAAAATAAGCATTTCGCGATTTTTAGGACATTTTTGGCAATACCACATGACTAACTTAAATACGGTTTCCACAGAAATGTAAACCACACCTTCCGATAAATCATGATAAATTGTTTTTTTTTGACAGGGGAAAGCTTTTATAGCCATTCACAGCAGTCAGCAAATCAATTGGCGGAATTCCAGCCACCACCAGCAGTGCATCGGTCGACACCATTCTATAAGGACATACTAGGCGCAGCTCTACTTTTCGCTGGCTTTTCAATGCTAGGTGTCTATATTTCTTTCCTCGAGACCTTATACAGGGTGGCGCATCGAAAACGAAACAGACGCATTTACTGGCAGCTGTTTTTTTTTTGGAAAAACGCTCAGACCCATCGATTTTGTTTTCGAGGGGGACACAAGTTTGGTAAAAAATCACGTTAACACGTGCAGCCCCCTGGGCGAGGGTGACACCAACCCTAAAATCTTAAATGGAAAGGGGGGTCGAGTGATACCTTATTTTAAAGGTATTTCAATTCCCGTTATAATGATGTAAAATGCATGAGCTTCAGTTCAGTAGTTTTGAAGATTTATTGATTTAAAGCTTAAATAAAACTAATACATCATCATTAGTGGAGATCAATACATTTGGCAGCAAAGTAATTTAAACACTTGTTTTAAACATTTTGATTAAAACATAACAACCCTGAAAAAAATCCCTACTTTTTGCTCCTTTTTTTACTGTTATTGCTATGAAAAGCTTCTAACTTATGATTTTTTACCTGGGCTGCCATTAATAGTTGGTTGAGAGAACAGAGTATCAATTCCATTGAAAACTAGCACGGTATGCAAAAAAAAACTAAATCATTCCATTTGGTTTAAATGCGAGAACCTTTACTAAAGTTTGATTAATTACTGTTAAAAAAAAAGTACCACACTGAATCAGCAAATGACTTTAAAAACTAGCTACTTAATATTCTTTTAAAAATAGTATAACATTTTTTTATTGAATACTGAATAATTCCAAGTTTGGCCATTGAAGTAATGCTTGCGAAATACTACAAATAAAAATAATATTTTTAAAAGAGCATTAAATGGGCTACTTTTTAAGATCATTCGCTGATTCAGTTTGGTTAATTTTTGTCTCAGTAATTAGTCAAACTTTAGTAGACGTTTTCACATTGAAACAAAATGTAATATTTTTTTAGCATACTGTGCTAGCTTTCAATGTAATGAATACTCGGTTGTCTCAACCTAAATCCCACTGTAGAGAACAGACAAACCGACGTCGAGTCCAGAAACAAATATAACGAACCAGTTCGCAATGCCAAAAACCAGCAATATATAAAAGTTGGGCACAGGGTAATGTTGCAGCGCAACGGCAGCCGGTTTTTCTGGACGCTGGCCAAGCAGATTAAAAAGAACTTCTCACACAGTAGCCTTCCACCAATTACGTGTCAAGATGGAACGATTGTTTTCGAGTCAAAGGCCAAGGCGGAAGTGCTAGTCAAGATCCAGCATGGACGTCCCCTCCAACGTCCAAGTGCCGTCAATTCAAAGGGTTCCCTACACTATGCGGATGGTAGCATTCAGGCATAAGACCGTAAGACGGGTGCTCTTGTCGCTCGACATCAACAAAGCTTCTGGTCCGGACTTGATTCCTGCCTTTGTACTGAAAAGGTGTGCAGCAGACCTTGCTGCAGTTCTTTCGCGTTTCTTCCAGATATCTTATGAATCCGGCACCTTCCCAGAAAACTGGAAATTTTCTCATGTCCAACCCATACCAAAAAAAGGATCTGAGACCGACCGCCTATAGCTCTGCTTTCTGTTATAAGTAAGGTGATGGAGAGGCATAAGGCTTCTGAACTACCTCAAACGTCGTTTCCGGCACCAGCGATCATCAAGGCACCTCCTAACTTACATCACGCAATTGTGGAGTAAACTCATCTAGTCTTATGGTGAGGCTCATATCGTTGCTCTTGATATCACGAAAGCGTTCGATCAGCAGATCATTCCACAACGTCAACGCGGGTGTTCCCCAGGGATCGGTGTTGGCTCCGACACTGTTCCTCTTACATATCAACGACCTCCTTTCTTGGACGATCAACCCAATCCACAGCTTCGCTGTTGACAGCACTCTACATGCAGGAACCTGGAGGTTATCATTACTTGGGGACGCAACAATATTGTACAGTTTAATGCTTGTAAAAATCAGTACTGTACCTTGACGAACAAAAAGCATCCTAGCGCTCATCCGGTTCTGCCAAAGAACCGCTCATTTCGGCTGGTCGGAGTCCAGATCACCAACGACTTGATCTGGCACGAACACATCTCGTCAATAGCGGCAGATGTTGGAAAAACGCTAGGCTATTTGTTTAGGGCTAAAAAGTACTTTTCTCCACATGACCTGCTCACTCTATACAAAGTACTCACTCTCCAGTTGACGAGAAGGGCTAAGTACGTCTCTGCCCGAAATCATACCGCTCCAACAGAAAATAAAATCAGCTGATGCACTACCGAGCCGACGCACCATGCCAGCCCAAACATTCACCGAAAATGTTTGTTGAAAATGTGCCCGACGGACAGCGTGCGGATTTTCTACTGACCAAACATGAGTGTTGCGAAAGTTATTCACCCCATTACGCGTGAACGTAGATTCGTCTGTCACCAATATGCACTTCAAAAAGTCCGGATTATTGTCATGTTGATGCAACAACCACTCACAAAACCGCACTCTTGCTGGAAAATCGTCAGGTTGAAGGGCTTGTACACGTTGGACGTGAAACGGATACAGCCCCTTTTCACGCAGCGTTTGCCACACTTTAGTTTTTGATACTTGCACTTCTCTAGCCACGTCTCTAGTGCTGCTTGAGGAATTCTCGTCTACGCGATTACCTCTACACGCGTGACCGTAACCGTCGGTTTAAGGTTGCATACTGACCTGACACACTGACCCCGACCCAGTTCTGTCGTCGGGTTGAGCTAGAGTCCTAGTACCAGTCGGAGATGTCGCGGGTCGCGCCTACAGGACGGTAGTCAGATATTTTTGATGTTGCAGAGCTCTTTATCTCGGTTCGCTTAAGACTTTGGTGTATATGGTACTAAGAAAAATTGCTTATGTTTTCAAGATCTACACGTCGTGTAAAGTAAAACCACAACTTTGCGGACACCCTGTATATATATATATATATATATCATATAACAAATAGGAAAAAAAAATGTACAAAACACATCTGTACCAGAGAGGTAAACAATCTTAAATCCAAAAAATAAAGTTTAAAAATATCAACATCAAAAAGGCAGTGTTTAAAAAAACAGTATATTTTAATTTTGAGCCAATGCTACTAGAATACCTCAAAATTGAGGCAAAATGGACTTATGGATGCTTACCTCTGCGCTACTGACATAAAGAAGGGAAGTAGGTTTGAGCAGAAAAAAAGATATAATATCTGAGAAATAGATATTCCTGCTAGATGGCATCCTCACACCCGCCCATACATCCGGAAATGGGTGTAACCTGAGAAAACAAAGGCAGCAGCCAACCTACACATTGTGGTATAATGGCCATAAGACCTTGAGTATTCAAGGCGACATCTAACCACAACCATGTGGCCACTTATAGCCTCTTGCCACTGTACTCCAAGCCCAAAGTACTTCAAATCCACTCTCCTTCTTTTTAAGTAAATAAATATGCTCAGAGTGCATATCAAAGTATGTAATTTAGATCTTTTATGATGTATAGGAATTAAAGTATTACCTGCGATTGAATGCCGCGATTTGCTGGGGTGGAGTAGCATATCTCCTACGACCATCACTCTGTAAGCACGATTGCAAGGTGTGCGATACAGCTAATCTGGTCTCTTCAAATTCATTCGATTGACTCAGTTCTACACGTTCTGGCAAAAATGGATCGTTATATTCATGACCATTGGGCAGTCGTCGTCTCGCTATAGCATGAAGTATTGTCAAGGGGTTCAAATCTGATGCACGACCTATTCTCAGATTTAACGATCCAGGATGAATGACAATAATACTTTTTGAATGAATTTGCTCCGGAGGAGTATCACTATTAGTTGATAGCGTCATTTTAAACTTTATTATTTATTCTCACATACATCTCACCTACATTCCAAACAAACATATAACAAAAATAAACATAACCAAAAAACACCGGCGACGCGACATCGCAGTCCAATGACAACGATGCCAAAGTCAGCTGGATAATGTCTAGCACAAAATATACACTGAAAGAATACTAACTCAGTGTAATTCAACCAGCAGCACGAATGTAGCCATGTTTTCGTAGTGATAGAACAAATGAAACACAGAAAGAACGCCTGCCTACTCAGAACAATTCCACGAATGACATATGCCACCATGTTTCTTACGGCGGTACTATCATGATTGCCTACCTTCTCACCACATCTGTCACTCATTGTCATCTTTATTTGGTTGTTTTGAATGGTTTTCCTTATAACAAAAATTAATTTGGCCTTAGGAAAAACAATTCAAACACCTCACGTGTATTTGTGATTGGGTTGGTTCAAGAGTGATAAATAAAACAATATAATTAGGAAAATAACTTTATTCTGGTAGATAACGTAATGTGGTGCATTTGCAATATAATGCAATGAAAACCTCCCATGGGGGACTCAGTTTACTTTTAATACTTGACAGCTTTGAGAGACGATTGAATTTTATTGAATTTGGCATTAGTAGCCTCAGTTCCAATGCAAGGCCACCAAACCAAGGAGCCGTACAAGAGAGGTGGACGCACTATTGTCGTATAGAGCCAGTGAACCACTTTTGTTTAAGCCCCCACCTAACACCAACAACGCGTCTACAAGCCTACAATGAATTGCGAGCCTTGTTAACCTTAAATTCAACGTGCTCTCTAGAACTAATCTAGTCCCAAAGAAGGTCGGCAACACAAGCCCGTCAAGCCTTCTTCCCGCAGTCAATAGGATCAGCTCGGTCTTTTCAGCGTTGACAGAAAGATCCACTTCCATACACCATGATTCCACAGCGCGCAAAGCGCCCTGCATAAACTCAGAGACTGTTCCACAAAAACGACGTCTAATCACTATGCTTACGTCATCAGCATATGCCTGCACGTAGACACCCGCACTGCTGAGCCTATCGAGGAGTTCATTCTACCACGAGGCGCCACAGTAAGGGTGACAGAACTCCGCCCTGTTGGTAGCCTCGAGCTACGTTGACGCTGCAGCTTACCTCATTCAGCATAGCTGTTGCTACCCGACCCTCCAGAATGGATAGGACCCAATTTACTAGAATTGATCCAACCCCGTGCCTAACCAAGGCATGTCTAATGGAGTCGGTTGTAGTGCAATTAAATGCACCTTCAATATCCAGAAAGGCCACAAGTGCCACTTCTCGCTGATCTAGAGTCTTCTCCAGCCTGCCGACCAGATTGTCTAAGGCCAAATCAGTCGATTTTCCAGCTTGGTATGCAAACTGATTGGAATGAATGCCACACTTCAACAGCGGGCCATCCCTCAAAAATGTGTCAACTATCCTTTCCAAAGTCTTAAGAACAACAGATGAAAGGGTAATCGGACGAAAATCCTTCGCGTCAGTGTATCTAGCTCAACCCCGTTTGGGAATAAATACCACTTTAGCCTGCCGCCAGCCTCTAGGTGAGAAGCCCGTGGTCAAACATGCTCGAAACACCTTCAACAGATAAAGAACAACCGAATCCCCCCCATGCCGTAACATGGCCGGAAATACCTCGTCCAGACCCGAGCTTTTGTATGGAGCAAACGAATCGATCGCCCATACCATCTTTTCGAAGGTAACAATTTCCCTTGCAGTGCGCCAGTCCTCCCTTGAGGGCCTGCGCAACTGCATGCACTCTGTGATTGACAGCGCTATTGTGGAGCCTGGAAAGTGCGTATCCATCAGAAGTCTCAGAGTACCATTCTCAGGAGTAGTACTACCTCCCGAGGGATCAGACAGAGATCCTAATCTTGCTCTATTGTCTTTGCATAGGATTCTGCGTATTCTAGCTGTAGCAGGAATGTCCTTTATGGACTGACAGAAGTTCCTCCAGGATTCCCTGGTAGCTCTTCTAATCTCCTTTTTGTATTCCTGCAACGCCTTCTTGTAGTCTTCCTATTGGGGAGACCTTCTCCTGTGCTTAACTCTTCCAAGAAGTTTGTGCACAGCTCGTTTCCTGTCCTCTGACTCCTTGGACAAGAAGGTTGCCTTGCCCCTACCTTGAACTTTGCTTAACGGGCAGTTTTCCTCATACGAAGCAGTCAAGTCCCTGCTCAGAGACTCTACGGCTGTTTCTATATCAGGACCCCTACAAAGGCTGTATGGGACCAGTCTAAGCTTACTGTCAAGGTCTGCCCTAAAGAACGTCCAGTTAGTATGCCTAGTATTTATCTGGAATCTCTCCATCAGTCTTAAACAGTATATATCTGCGATCCGATAGAGAGGGTGTTAGAGACACTTTCCAGTCCCTAATCTCCTGAGCTAAATTGAACGTACTCAGTGTTACATCGATACCTCTTCTCTGACATTGTTACTGAAAGTAGGCGTGTTACCGACATTCAGAACCTGAAGGTTCGATGACCCTAGGAACTCCATGAGGTGTTCGCCCCGTCTGTTGGTGTTCGAGCTGCCCCACATGCCGCAGTGAGCATTGCTGTCGTATCAAATCACGAGGTCGAGTCCAGAATCCCTGCAATATGTGATAAGGTCCACCAGTTCCTTAGACGGAGGAGGTTCCCTTGAATCGTAAGGAATTATGCCGAACATATGACCAGGTCTTTGTCACCTCCTTGTTTCTTATATCTAATTCTAACTGCAACTAAGTCTCTGGAGGTAAAGTCTTTGTTGCCAAGTATTAATGCTAGTCATTACGCAAGCTCTGGGGTTAGTGTTCGGAGTATCACTCTACAAAGCGTATATCCCGGTAAACTGAGCCCGTTTACTGAACCGTTTCTCAGCCAGGGTTCCTGGATGAGAGCCACGTCATGGCGGCCTCGAGAGATCTCCTGAGTGAGGGCCCTCGAAGCCGCTATGAAGTGCTGTAAGTTAATCTGAATAAAATTGAGACTCACCATGGATGTTGAGAGACACCTCCTACATCCTCCCGGATACCGGTGTAGATGCCCTATTCGAGCGTACGGCCGTCGCCGCCACAGTCTTCACTGTCGCAGCCGCCCTCGTCTCCGCTTCCACGGTGGAGTTCTCGAACTCGATTGGAGATTCCTTCCTCATCCGAATCGCTGTCATCGCCCTCTGAGGCGCGTTCAATCGCCGGGCTCGTCACGATGTTTCCTGCGGCTACTCCGCTAGGGCCCGCCGTAGCCTCCGGAGGATCCAGCGGGAGCTGCCCCGGCTGACCCGTCCCCTGTGGAGGAGCCTGGTCTACCGCCACAGCTCCCGTCGGTCCGGGTTGGTCCGACCCCTGGTTAGGAGCCAGGCCTGTTCCGGCAGGTGTCGCCTCGGTAACTGGCTTTTTCTTTTTGCTCAGGAGTGTGAGAGAGCTTCCTCCGCAACACAGCCGATTGTTGTTACCGTCAACAACCTTCCAGCTAATGGAATCCACTGAGAGAACAAGGGTTCCTCCTTCCTCTCCAGTAGCCTCCACGTGCTGGAAAAGGTTCCAGGATTTTGTCTCCCGAGTCTTCTCGTGATGACGACATTTTCCAGGTTGGGACCTGGGAACCAGGCCATCACGCGGTGGTAAACAGGAAGGTCGCTAAAGCTCATCGTAATGAGCCTTGCACCTTCCCACGGCCGCAGATCACCCAAGTGAGCCTCCAACCATGCCCTAGAGGACTCGTCCTCGCAGACAAAGATGGCTACTCCTCCAGAGTGGTAGCAGTCAATGAACTTAGGAAGGGCGCCCTCATCTGACAGTCCATCTATCAGCACACTGACCGCCTCCTGCACCTGTGCCTTAGTGAATTGAGCCCCAGGATAACCATCGAACACGATAGCCACCCTGAAACCAGCTTTGGATGCACGCGCATTGCAAATGTGCGCATGCGTCGCAGTACAGAGTCTCTTCCGCGAATATGCACCCTCCGGTGTCCCACTGGCAGACCTCTGCCGCTTCCCGTCGCCAGGCCGCTTTAGGGCCTCCGCTGACACACCGGATTGCCCAGATGGCAGTTGGGTCTGTCCGGCCGGAGCCCCAGAAGTGGTGCCCCGACCTTCCGAGCCCTCTGTCATCCGCGCCTCTCTCCGCTTCCGAGACCTCTTCCTCACGGAACCTGGCCGAGACTTCTTTTTCATTTTTAGAAAGCCCACCCTTTCAGCGAGCTCTCTAGCTAAGTTTCTGACAGATTCTTCTGTCAGAGTACGATCGGGGTCCCCTGGTGAGGGGCCACCCGGATGTTTGGGGTCCCCCGTAGGGGGAACCCCGGGGTTTTTATTATTCTTTTCGGGTTCCATATTGTTCCTACGAATAAGGAGGAAGTGGTTGCCGACGTCCGCGGTGCCCCTACACTGACGCAAGGCTAGATACTTTGGGAGGTCGCCCGGTGTCCCAGAGGTTCAGTTTAAGGCGGTGCATCCCTACCGCCACGCACCCCTCGGCACGGGATCGCTTTACACCTTGGGTTGGGTGAAGTAACTTTGCCCACAATGACTGTTGAGCTGCAGGCGTCCCAGATATACCTCCGAGACACATGTGGCCCAACGAATCATTCGATTAGCCGGTCGAGGCGGTCCACCGCAAAACTGACACCCTGTTGCCGCCCCGCGGATCGAACTCGAGGACGTACGGGTACATTAGTGTTCTGTGTATTGTTTCAGAATAATCAAGAGTCAATGCAATGAAGTGAGGCACGTGTGTTTTGCAACACTCAACAGGAATTTGTAATAAATCTATCTATATTTTCATGTAATACAATTTTTATACCATTATCAACAGCGTATGATTATTTTTGAAACTAAATATATCTTGTGCTTCAAAAGTAGTGTTGGATTTTATCATTCTGAATCTTGTTCTCAGAAAACTGCTGAAAGAGATATTACCCTTATTGGTTATATTTTATGAATATATGTTCGTGAAATATACCTTCAATATCGGAAACGTCATTTTCAGCAGATTTCAAATTATGAACAAACGAAATCTCCGGCACATTCCTAGCTTTCCTTATTCCAGGCGCATTCTCAGCATTCTCCACTTCTCCAGATCTCAAGGACTCCAGGCAAGTAGTCGGTGCAACCATCTGATAAACGTCAACGGTGTTGCCATCGTTTAACGTGCAGCTCCCAGCTCCCACCTCTTATGTGTTTTGTGGGTTGGTGTTGTCAGTTCTACTGAATTTTCAGTAGATCTACTGATTTGTATATTGATCTACTGATCTACTAAAACATTTTTGTAATCTATTGAAAAAATTAGGATGCCTAATTAATGTTATTATTATTGTTAATTTTTAATTCATAACCTACACCTTGCGTAATATTGTCGAAGAATCAGTTTAAATACGGTCATCAATGATGACCCTAAATAAATTCGAAAGCGTCTTAGCGTTTGATATTATGTTGGTAATACTTTACAGCCCAGACTACTGATGTTAATATTCGGAATATTTTGCTAACCGGTTAGACAGAAACGGATGAATAGAATATTCGGATGAATCTTCCATGGATGAATCATGCGTAATAATAATACGAATCATGGCATCATCCATAACAGCAGTGGTTTTATGCGACTTGACAACACGGACCATATTCTTACATCACTGGACCAGACCACGGCCACGGGGAATCAACGGTTATTAATGCGTAAACGTTGTTGAATACTTTATTTTTTTATCCTTTCGTATAAGCGCACGTACAAAAATGAGGTAGGTTCACTTTTATTAGTTAATATTGAATTCTAAAGATGTAATGTATTATGTTTTTAGTTCAAGTGAGTACCATAACTCTGAAAATGAAGAGGCTGATCCCTTAAAGAAAAAAAAATTAAATATAATCAAGTATTTAAGAAAAGCTGGACCGAAGAGGAGCAATTTAAGTGGATCAAGCTGGGAAAAGATGAATACTTTGCTATGTGCCGCGTGTGCAATAAAGATATTTCTATTAAAAATACTGGCAGATTAGCACTAGTTCGGCATCAGGATAGTGCGATGCACATTAAACTATGCAAATCTCAGAAAAAGCAGGGAACATTAACAGATATGGTGGTTTTTAAGGGAGGCCCAAATCAGGAAACCGGCTATCCAAGATTTATACTGTGTATAAATCTTTTTTAGAATGTTTTATAAAAAGGGAAGTACTCATACAGTCCCCACTTTATCAAATTGATTTCAAACATCCTAATAATTTTCTTCCCTTAGAAAAATTGTATTTAGGAGCCAAACTTCGAGTCTCAATTGAGTCATTGGGTGACTCCGACAAATCTACTTTTAGGAAAAGATGCCTAGAGTTTTATGTAGAGACCGCAAACCAAATAAATCAAAGGTTTGACTTCAATGACCCCATTTTAATTAATATGGATTTAATAGGCGTAAAAAATATTTTGGACAAGAAAGCTGACAGTATCATGCCACTTATGAAACATTTTCCAAACTTAGTTTCGGAGAATGAATTTCAACTGGTAGATAATGAATGGCGATTACTTCGAAATACGGATTTAAATTTCAGTTGTGATGTAGAGACATTCTGGTCAAAAATTGAAAGTATGCGCTACAGCGACGGAACTTCCATGTTTCCTGTTTTAAGTAGATTTGTTTTCAATTGGTTAATTTTACCACATTCATCGGCAAATGTAGAAAGAGTTTTTTCTGCGGTCAATCTAATGAAAACTAATCAAAGAAATAAACTTTCAACTACGAGTATTGTGGGACATCTACACACAAACAATTATTTAAAGTCTAGAAAAGTAAATTGTACAAACGTTACATTTACAAAAGAAGTAATAAATTTACATAATAATGATATGTATAAACCAAAAAAGTACAATACTTTATCAGATTTCGAATAAATTCTATTTTTTATATAAGTACCTCTAGTTTCTTACGTTTAATTTTTTTACTTGTTTTGTATTTTTGGAGTTGTTTGTTATTTTTACTATTTACTGCTTTTTTTTATGTACTCGTATCTGATGAGTATATCCTAAGTAACTTTATTTTGTGATAAGTTTTTTTTTTGAATTAAGAATAAGGTATAAGTTAAAATTTTTGTTTTGTGTACATATTCCTATATTTTGTTAAGCACACAAATTTTCTTTATTTATAAAAAATACATATGTTTTCGAGTTCATATGTCTTTTTTATTGCCCTTTCCTAAAATTTGCATAAAATATATATCTACTGAATTTTTGGCAACCCATTTACTGATGAAATAAATATCGAACTGGCAACACTGGTTGGACTATCCTAACTTTGTGAACCTAACCTCACTCCTCAGTGTACGGTGTTTTCATATTTGCTTGTTGACTATTAACTGGTCTACTTGAAAAGCTTTTAAACAGAATGTTACAACGTGCGCTTAAAGTTTTTTTAGAAGTCAAAAACATAGTAAGTGAATATACATTTTGGCCTTTCAGCAACGTGAATGTCATGCTTTTAGGGGAGATATTCAATAAATGCTTTGGATAGTATTGAATTCAAAACAAACCTTACGGTTGAGGAACAGTCCAAAGTTTTAAACATTTTGAACGTATCTGGTAAACCTGAGCTGTCCAGGTAATTTTATTTATGTTGTAGAAATGGTGTAACTTAATAGTAACACGTAGATAGGAGAAAACAAATTCTACGACCATGGCAGGCTCAATATTTTTCCTTGGGTGGATCTCCAGATTGAACTGGGGGACCCAGGAAATTTTACAAAAAACCCAATCTGAGCCAAGCCCTGGAATTAGTTTTGACCCTTATGTATCTTAGGTACAGCATTCCACAAAATCGTATCAAGGACATTGTAAAGTGGAAGAATAAAAATGGACCTTTTAAATCGCTAGCAGAAGTACTTGAGGTTGATGGACTTAGTCAACACATCCTGGAGCAGATGTGTGATAATATAATAAACAATGATTGTAGTAGTGAAGTTGAGATAAGCAATTCCAGAAGTGCCAGGACGTTCAAACGACTTATCACACCACCAATCCCAATTAAATTATTGAATGTGAGTGTCCTCTTAAATTGACAATGTTTCAAAAGTACTGCTTTAAATCTCAAGTTTTATGCATGCTCTTGCGATGTAATATGAAACTGTATTGAAAAAAGTTGTACAAGCAATAGCATCCAAGAGGTGCATGTAAAGCTAGCTCGAAAGGTTCCTATAAGTAACAAAGTGGAGAAAATATGTTCAAGCAAGGCTAGAACCTAGTTGGAGTTTACCGGTCTGCTGTTTCAGCAACCCAATTTTTTGGTTTGAAAACTGGTTTCATATGCTAGAGACAGTACACAGGATTTTGGTGGTGAAGTTTCTGACATATGCAGATCGCAAAAGACCTTGTTTTGATTTCGGGTTATAGTTTTTGAATTCCGTTGCGAGTTTGTGTCTTTCTTAGTTTCATTTCAATTTTGAATAGTTTGTACAAATTGAAATGATTGATGCCAGATGACTGTTTTTCTAATAATTGGCATGTACTAGTTTTATATAGTGTATACTTGTTTGTATTGCCACAGAAATGCCAGATTCTTATAGTTCAAGTTCAGAATCAGACTTGATCTCAGACATTGATTAAAGTAATGATGGAAACATCCTGCATGCTGCTTCATAATTGAAAAAACAAAAAAAAGGGCATTATATAGATGTAATTGTACCTCTTTACTATGGAAGTGAATTCAAGGAATGAAAATATGTGTGTTCTAGGATTTAGGCACTGCCCTTGGTGTATATTTCAGTCCGGTGGGCATGAGTTGGGCTAAAATAAGTAAGGAAGACAATTATCTATTGAACTGGGGTTTCTACAGCTTTTGCTCACTACCTAAAACGATGTTGTCAAATGATATTTTCAATTTGGTGAGTATGAAATATTAGTATTGTATAATTAAGCGATAGCCGTTATTATGAAATATAATTTATCCTTGTCAGAAGTTTCAAATGCCCTTTTGAAGTCACTGTATGTTTCCTATTGTCCATACATCTGCTTCAGTCATCTAAAATCTTGTATTGCCTTTTAAGTTGAATGTTTCTTTCTAAATTCAGCTTGAAATTTGGTTAACATTGTGTTTCCCTCGATGAATTCGATGAACTGTTTGTAAATGATTTCTTCAGCATCTGGTAGAACATTTATTGGTCGCATATTGTTGTCCAATCCAGAAAGGGAGTTATTATAAAACACTTGAATTTTTTTGGAAATTCACTATATTTTAAAGTTATATTAATTATAATTTGCTTATAAGCAGCAAATACACTAAAATGTTAATTGAAAAAGAATAAATTAATAAAGTTAAACAAGCAATTTATCCTTAACACCAACAACTTAGATAATTACCTTGAAGGAAGAAACACATGGTAGGTGATGTTAAATAAGTATAATCACATATGGATTACAAAAATTCCTTCAGCTAAACTGAAAAAATTGGATTTTACTCATACATCAGGCAATTTTTTTAATGTTGGCTCAATTTTATATATACTAAGTGACATATAATTATTATTATTATTTTAATAAAAGTTGGTGAATGTATTTATCTTACTGTAAATAACAAGTGAAAAAATTTTCAATTTTTATACTGCTTTTTTTTTAATTCACTAACGATCTAAAAATGAATATTTCAGCCGCAGTAAAGAATCAATGTTGGCGGATTTTGGTTCTTGACATCCTTTACGATCGGTTACGATGCCTAGAGTATGGAGACCTGTACGATTTCGTCAAAGTGAGTTTGATAGGGGCCGTATAGTTGTGACTTCGGGAAGCTGGACTTTCTTTTTGGGCAATTGCAGTTAGAGTGCAAAGAAGTGTAGACACTGTGGTTAGGTGTTGTCAGGCATGGCTTCGAGAAGGCCGTATGCAAAGAACAAGGGGCACTGGACGCCGCCGTAGAACAACAGACCGTGAAGATCGCCGTCTAAGATTATTGGCCTTAAGGGACCGTTTCTCCACTACCAGGTCCATTGCAAATGAATGGTTTGCAGAACACGGAAGACCTATTGGCATGCGAAGTGTTTACCGACAAATGAGAAGTTTTGGCTTTTTTCATTTTGGCCACACTGGGTCCTCCCTTTAACTCGAGAACACCGACGTAATCGCCTTGAGTGGTGCAGACAACGGTCACTCTGGGATCAGGAATGGAACAGTATTGTCTTTAGTGACGAGTCTCGATTTTGTTTAGGCATGCAAGATGGTCGTGCCAGGGTTAGAAGGCGACGTAGTGAAAGGAGGAATCCACAGTTTTTTGTTGAAAGACATGTTCATCACACTGTTGGAGTTATGGTTTGGGATGCTATAGCTTATGGTTCCAGGTCACCTTTAATTGCTCAATTTGCAACGTCCTCCTCAGACTCTAGAAGCACTTCGAGAGGAGTTGGTGGTTGCCTGGAATGATATACCACAGGAGGACATTGACCACCTGATCAGAAGCATGCCTAGGCGCGTTGGAGAATGCGCAGCACATCAGGGTGCATCCACACATTATTGAAGGTCAAAGGGCTTTAAAGCAGTGCAATCATTTTGAAATTTTTATCATTTACTTATTATGCTTCACTAAGTACTTATACAAAATTTTATTAAAATAAAACCATTTAAACTGGGTGTTCGGATTTATATGTCACTTAGTATAATTCCATAATATTTAATAAACTAATGACATTTCAATGACAAGCTATCATCTCACATTTTTACAGTGTTTTACTTCGAACACTTCAACACTATTTGTTGCCAAAAATCTGACGGAGAGATCTTAAGGTCCAGTGGTTATATTTGACAATCTCTTTCGTACTGCCACCCTATTGGTGGAAATGACACTTTGTTAGATTGACGATCTTGGTGGAATACACCGTTAGTATTTTACAGCAGTGTAAACATTCGATCTGATGTAGGATTTCAAGCTTTACACGAATCTACTGTGAAAATGGCGGTTCCTATTCGAATATACCAACTTGAATTTCAGATGAAAGAACTTAAGGTTATTATCTAGGTCGCATTAGAGGTCATAAAATAAATTGGTTTTTTATCGACTAAAAAATTTTATCTCAAAAAGAAGCTTGGTAGCGACGTTTTCTGTTTGTACCTTACAGACGTTACGGTAGGTAATTCTGATTGAAATTATTGTTCAACCTCATATATAACACGAGAAGTCCTGTGCAAGTTGTATGTTAGAAAGAGGACGCCGATGGCAAGCCGCAGCTGCGTCCGTGACCTCGACACACGGGTTGCTAGGCAACGTGATGCTTCTATCTCTTTCAAACACAGGCGCTTATATCTCATATACATTACGACGTCACTGTATATTTATGAAAGTGTACTTTGATGTAAAATGTTGAGCCGTACTTGCATCTGCCATCGAAAATGATGGTTGCTATGTGAATTTACAAACCTGACCAGCAAGTGACCTCTGAGGTTAAAATATCTAGGTTATATTTAAGGTTAAAGAAAATTGATTTTTTATATCCTTGAAGCATTCTTAGCACCTTGTGCGTGATTGCCAAATTTTCTTGTGTTCGTGTACTTTTCAGAAGCGACAATACTGATCACCATATAGATTGATGACCGCTGAATCTCATGTATAAAAATGCCATCTGATGAAAAATATCAGGCTCCACGCGATTCTGCTGTCAAAAATATCATTTGTCTTTATTGAAATCTTGCGTGGTTGCCGAGCATTCGGAGGGTGCCGATATTTTATATCTTGTATATTTCGATTCCATCGGTATATTTTTTTAGGCTGTGTCTGCTCTTCAAAAACTGCCATCTGCTGACATGTATGTACTTGAATCTATGTCAAATGGAAGACCTACAAAAATGAAGCTGGCAACCATCGCATCCGATGGCCAAGTTGAACTAGCATCTATGTTAATTGCATTACTAAACACTAGTATGAAGCACAATACATCTCTAACATCTACAGATAAAGCAGTTGCTTCCAAAGAGATAATTGAAAATAGAGTATTCTTTCTAAAATCAAACGTTCCTGCAAGGTAGGTCTGGCTGACTCAATTCACCTGGACATGTTTATTTTTCAAATAAAAAAATAGATTACATTAGGTTGAATCTGCAGTTCCCACCCAGTTCATGAAAGATCATTTTCACAAGTTAGCCTTAATGGTAGGTAGTGGTGGTGGTGGTAGTCGGGAGGCTAAGTCTGACAACCAGACCTTATGGTACTTTACCAGAGATAATTGAAAATTTGTTGATGCCCAGGCCGTTCCAAAAAAGGATCTAAGATCATTACAGAGGGTACTATAAAAGTTTTGCAATATGAAGCTGCATGTCTGTTGATTTAGTTGTTCATTCGTATTGACAGTGTAAAGTGCGGACTATGACATCGTGGTCACTGAGTGAGATAAGGGCACTTTTACGGTATAACTTTACGCGTGGTTTAAGCATAGACCAGTGCATTAAATAATAATTGTCCTCATCGTATAACTATATTTAGGTGTTACCGATAATTCCAAATGAGAGGAAAGGAAGGCCGCGAACGTCAGTGACAGAGGAAAACATTACTGCTGCGAGGAAAATGATTGACGAAGACCGGAGAGTAACATACCAACAGCTAGAGGAGACCTTACACCTTCATGCACCAGCAATTCATTCAATTCTGCATGACCATTTACACGTAAGGAAACTTGGTTCTCTCTGGGTAACGCATAGTCCAGGCCTCCCCAGCTCAGGTGCTACCGGTGCAACGCCGAGCACCGCTCGCAGCACAGTGCTGCGAGCGGTGGGGTGGGGGAGGGATTAGGCAGCGGCATACGCATCGCGAGGAAGGTCTTGTGCTAACCGTAGAACCCTGCGAACAGAAATTACACGGGAGCCGGTAGCATTGAGTATACCTTCATCGCCGATTCGACTAAAATTAGTAATAATATGTAGTTTTCAAGTAAATGAACAAGAAGAGCATCCCGCCAGAAGTACATGTCATACCGATTTATAGATACAGCGTGACAAGAGAATTTCGCCGTCATCACCGAAACCAATGAAGCCTACAAGGTTTGATGGGAATTGTAGGCTCATTTGGAAAAACATGGTATGACAAACTGATTTCCGCCAGAAGTTTCTGTCGTACCGACTGAAAGCAGGCAATGCAAATAGATAAAAATAATACATCCTGTTTGTATGCTTCATGCTTGCATTTAAAAGCTCATTTGAGTTTGTCAGTTTGACACCAGGCTACTAGATGTTTGAAAGTATATGTAAAATGAATATGAAACGTCATGACCGTTGATATACGTATAGGTTAAGGTAAAATCCTACCGTCACGTTGTATCTTCAAGTCGGTATGACAGGTACTTTCATCGGCATACCAAGCCCTTTCTGTTAATTTACTTAAAAACTACATATTATTACTAAGTTTAGTCGAATCCGCGATAAGGTTCAATTTCGCCGGCTCCCAGCGCCAACGGAAAATGAGTGGATTGACATTTGAATGGGTCTGATCGAGTCAACGCGCGGGTGATAAAATAATGTTCATAATTTCGACGTAAACACATTTATTTTTAAGATGATCTTTGACAGCGTTTCGATTCAACAAGTTTTCTAATATTTGGTACAGTGGCTTGAGCAGTGGAAATTCTGAGCATCGCCACTAAGGACACATCAGACAAAGACCTGTTGTTAGTTTTGTTCAAATTCATTAAAGAAAACATCTTCTCGCAGAAGTACGTTCTACCGAACGTGGAGCAAGTTTACAAGGCTGCTTAACACCTTCATAAAAAGAAATTAAATTACTATTGTAGTGTATCTATCCTTAAGGATCGTATCGCATTGAAGCTTAATCACCTCCATTTGGAACTGCCGCGGTTCTGTTTCGAAAAGCACTGAAGATGGCGTCGTAAAAATCTCATTTGCATAAACATCTCAACGTCGTCAATGATTTAAAAAAAAAATCTTTAGCACTTTTGCGCAGCTTAACCAGCGCGTAACACAATAAAAGGGTATGTCACCGTATCTTGCTTCCAGATCTTTGAAAAATACTTCCAACTGCCGTGGTTGAGACCTTGCGTTCTGCAGAAATTGACACATGTTATTACTACATCCATAATAGATTTGATATTGCGGAAGGTTTTAGCACATAGTTGTTCCTGATGTAATATGCAGTGTACCGATGATATCGGAGGTCGCCCAGCGTCGCGTACTTTTAATTTCATTCGCCCAGTAAAACCTTGTGCTTCCGATAACATTGCTGGCGCTCCATCAACTTTTGAGTAGTATACCCGTGTCATTCATTGTGTATTCTACAGCATCAAAAATATCTTCTCCGGCCATTGTATCTTTGAGCGGGATAACGTCTAGTAGTTCATCGGTGTTAGTAAAGACTATTTCGACACATCTAACAGCTAGTTATGCTGTGTCAAAAATGTCTTTACTTTCATAGAGAGATATAGAATGCTGCACAAAATGGGCACATTTTCCCGCAGTTGTTCATTTAAATCTGCACCAAGTTCAAGTAACCGACGAGAAATTGTTTGCTCGGACATACTAATTGTCTCAAAGTTACTTACAGGAGATGGGCACAATATTTCTGCACACTCCACTAAGCATTCTTTAACAAGTGCACCGTCAGGCAAACGGTCTCCCAGTTTTTGCGATTTTCAAAGCAAGAATATAACTTGCATTACGACACTATTAATAATAATCAATTACGACCAGATTAATAATTACCTCTTCAGAACTTAGAAGGGCTTGCCTCAATACCGTGTAACAAATTAAACATTTTGCTTTTCCATCAGTATTTACAAGAAATAGGCTTCTTCCATGCTGGATTGAATGACATCGTTTAAAAAAAAATGCACGTTAAGACGCTAAAAAACCTATCCACTTTGTCTTGTCCTATTGAGAAATGGCCCGCGCCCGAGAGACAGTTGGCTAATATGATTCTCTCTGTCGCGACGGCTGTGCGGTCGAGGTGGAGGGGGAATGGCACCGGTACCGCTGGGTTCAGCACCGGAGCGCACCAGCACCAAGAGCTCGAGTTGGAGAGGCCTGGCATAGTCTGACGACTTGGTACCGAAAGATGCTGAAAATGTTTGATAAGGTGCAATCTCGGTATGTGAACAGCATCGTGACAGGTGACGAGATTTGGCTATATTATTACGATGTACCGACCAAAGTTTGGTTCTTTGATAATGAGGAAACACCCGTAGCTGTCAGAAAATCCTGATCTGTTAAGAAAAAAATGATAGCTATATTTTTCAAATCGAGCGGGATTGTGAAGCGTGTCGTTTTGGACACACAGAAGACAGTCACCACTAAGTGGTACACGGAACAGTGCCTGCCTAAAGTCATAGAGTCTATGAAACATCTGCGGCCAAAGTCAAGAATGGACACTTGGTACCTTCACCCTGTCAACGCTCCAGCTCACCGCGCCAAAGACTGCATCGAGTATTTGACCATTACTGGACTGAAACTTATTGAGCACCCGCCTTACAGTCCAGATCTTGCTCCCTGCGACTTTGCACTGAAAATGAAGCTAAAAGGAAAAACGGTTTTCTAGCGATGAGGCACTTCTGAGAGCTTGAAACAACGAGTGTGCCGCACTCCCGGGTAAAACTTGGCAGAGCTGGTTTAAGAACTTTTGTAGTACCCTTTGTATATCCTGGCTTATGACGGTTGTATAGCTCTGCTTTTTATTATGAGCAAGGTGATGGAAAATTGCTCTGGAATCTGAAAAATCACGGCAGTGATCCACAGGGGACCTCCTTGCTTACGTCACGCAACTGTGGACTAAACTCATCCTGTCTTATGGTGAGGCTCATATCGTTGCTCTTGATATCAGGAAAGCATTTGATCAGCTATTATATGCTGCCCTCTTGTGCTTCATTCCATTCTATGGCATGTCAGGAAAGCTTTGCAAATGAGAAGGTGACTTTCAGTGTTCAAAAAATCACCAAAATATGCCTGCACCAAGGTATTTAATAAGCAATGCTAAACTATATCAGATGCCCAAATAGGTTCAAGACAGAGCCGAGGAATCTGCTAATTGAATAAGAGCCCGTGTTTAGAGGGTGTAATTTAATCGATGACTAAAAATAGTACGCCGTTTCTTTTTCCGAAAATAAAAATCATTTTTGAAATCCTCATTAATTTATTTTGCAATAAATTTCACCTCTTGACTACTTTTTTCCATCCGATTAACCGCTTTCGCGTAAAAAATAAAAAAAATTTTAGCTATTTTAATCAATTCACTTGAATAAAAATTAAACAAAAACAGATCTTACCTACAAAGTACCATATGAGATTTTAGCGGTTTTTCAATGCACGAAAATTAAAAAACAAGTTTGCAACAAGTTTTGACAGTTTCTATGGATCAAATAAACTAATACTATGTAATTAAATTATCACAATTGTTGAAAATATCCTCCTTTTGCTAGAATACATGCTTCAATTCTGTTTCTCATGCATTGGCGAACCGTTTCAAAAATTTCAGGAGTATTTCTTATGGTTTGGCAAGAAAGTAAAATTTTCTGCCTTAGTTCCTCTACAGTTTGAACCGGTAGAGTATAAACTAAAGTCTTGAAGTGACTCCAAAAAAAAGAGTCCAAACTATTTAAATCGAGGGATCTGGGAGGCCAAGATTGAGTTCGCCCTCGTCCTATCCAGCGATTCGTAAACGATTCATTCCCTAGCATGCATGCTAAAATCTGCAGGAGCACCATCATGCATGTATCACATTTCTTCTCTTGATAAAAGAGGTACATCCTCGAGCAAAATTGGTCAAATCGTTTTAAAAAAAGTGACGATAGTATAGTCCATCCAGTCGTCCTGGAAGAAAGTACGGTCCTATGAGGAAATTCCAACTATTCCAGTCCACGCATTTACGGAAAACTGCTCCAGTAATTGCGTATGGATTTTCTTCGAAGAGTTTTCAGCAAGTTTTTCTAAAAATCACCGGCAAAATTTTAAACGCGATGGAAGATCGCACGGTAGTAGTGCTTGAACCCTTTGAATATGACAGGGAAATAGTAAATTATCAACAAGTATTTTCCAAATAAGAAAATGAGAAACATTACCGCATTAAAACAGTTTTCCTAGAACTTGTTTATGGATGTTCCTCAATTGAGTCTTCTCACCGTACGATGAGCCCCTTTGGAACTATTGTCAATGCTGAGACTCCCAGTTCCATTTAGTCTTCTATGTATTCTAGAAAACATTCTGGGAATCTCCGTCTAACCATAAGCGCATTCCCGTTAGCATGTTCGTAGATAAAAAGCATATCTACTACTAATTCAAAATAATTTCGTTATATCACGAATGCATGAAAATGGTTTTTCTTTTGTTGACGCGAAAACGGTGTATCGGACGGAAAAAAGCCCGGATGTCAAATTTGTTGCAATATAAATGAGGATTTCAAAAGTATTTTTTTTAAATGCAAGGGCTAACCATATTTTTTTTAATCTCTAGTATACATGCCGTACGGGCGCCACTGGTAGAATTATTAAAAAATATTGTATATCAAAAAATTAATATTGGTGCTTAGTAGATTCATGTCAAATGTCATCAAAATATCTAGAACAGTATTAGAATTATAAGAAAACGATTTTTTTCTTCAAATTTTAACTCGCTATAGCTCAAAAATTAAGAGGTTTAGGACATATTCATATAAACATTTCTTCCTAAAATCCTGTATTATTAGCCATCAATTAAATTACACCGTGTAGCGTTTTGCTACTTATTTCTGCATACCTTTTTTTTGTTATACTTCTTAATGTTTATGCGCCTTGTTCCATTGTTTAGTGTATGATGTGTGCGCGCAAGCTTACTGTCTCTTTTTCCACAAATTGTTATTCTATTTTAACCGCCACTTTTTTGACAAATTTATGTATTTATATTTAAAAATATTTTTAAATTCGTGTAATCATGTACTTATATAGGTATACAGGGTGTCCGCAAAGTTGGGGTTTTCCTTTTCAGAAACAACTACCCTTGAAATAACAAAGGTAATTTGTAGTGAAACGAGGGCGATCAAGTAAAAAAAATAAAGGAAAAACACTCTACAGTTGACGAGAAGGGCTAAGTACGTTTCTGCCCGAAATCATACCGCTCCAACAGAAAATGAAATCAGCTGATGCGCTACCGAGCAGACGCAGAAACCACATTGATTGTCTCACACTTAATGGCACATCTTCTAACAAGGAAGGCAAAATGTTGCGTGAAAAGTCTAGGTATTGCATCCCGTCCAATCGATTTGGGAGAATAAATGGTCCAATGAGCATACCGTTCACCATGCCCAAACATTCACCGAAAATGTTTGTTGAAAATGACCAAACATGAGTGTTGCGAAAGTTATTCACCCCATTACGCGTGAACGTAGATTCGTCTGTCACCAATATGCACTTTAAAAAGTCCAGATTATTGTCATGTTGATGCAACAACCACTCACAAAACCGCACCCTTGCTGGAAAATCGTCAGGTTGAAGGGCTTGTACACGTTGGACGTGAAACGGATACAGCCCCTCTTCACGCAGCGTTTGCCACACTTTAGTTTTTGATACTTGCACTTCTCTAGCCACGTCTCTAGTGCTTGTTGAGGGATTCTCGTCTACGCGATTACCTCTAGACGCGTGACCGTAACCGTCGGTTGAAGGTTGCATACTGACCTAACACAGTGACCCCGACCCAGTTCTGTCGTCGGGTTGAGCCAGTGACCTTGTACCAGTCGGTGATGTCGCGGCTACAGGACGGTATTCAGATATTTTTGATGTTGCCGAGCCCTTTATCTCGGTTCCCTTAAGACATTGGTGTATATGGTACTAAGAAAAATTGCTTGTTTTCAAGATCTACACGTCGTGTAAAGGAAAACCCCAACTTTGCGGACACCCTGTATAATATCTTTGATCCGAACTATATTCTTTCCAGACTTTTCAAAATCCTAGTTGGCAATGAAAAAGTATCCGCCATCACAAAAGTGACAAGACTGATTGAAAATGATGGTACCTTCGAGGTGGAGGTGCCTTGTTCTCCAATTTCAGTCAATTCGCACCTAAAACAAGCGTTCATGGCGGAGAATTCGGAAAACAAGGAATTGCTTAGCCAGGCGTTAATGCTGGTCGTCACTTTCATGGATGTGTGTGTTCGCAAAAACCCAGCTACCCTTGCGAGCATTTCTTCACCGCAGAGTGCGGCAAAAGGATGAAATGTACATGAATTGTTGCAGTTGATGTGTACTGTAATATATGTATATTTGTTTCATTTTCTTAATATTGCATTATTTCGTTTATTTGTAGGTGTATCAACGAATTCGGGCTAGGGAAGGAGCAATACCATGCAGTATGTCTTGATCCACGATATTCTAGTCGATATATGAGTACTACAAGTCGCTTAGCCTTAAATCGCCAGTTTGTCAGCTGCCGCTGACACTTCGCATTAAATTCGTATTTTTCTGCGAAACCACATGAACGAGTATCGGTTTCCAACAGTTTTAATGCTCCAGAAAATTTTCGAGAATATCGAAGGTTTTGGTGGATTACAAAAGGCAATGTACTGAAATACTGAAAAGGCCAACTGGAACTTTAACTTAGGGTCCTATTTACTTTCATTTGGAATCTAAAAGATGTTTGTAATGGCATTTGCATCACGTTTTAAACAGTAACAGTGACATTAGAAGTGTTACACCCAGAAAAAAATATTTTATTCAACTTTTTTCGGCAATATAATGACTATACTTAAAACATGCTGTGCCAACAATGTCAACGTTTTATCTTTATTGTTAAAATGTTATCTCTTAGTTTTTACGAAGAAAGCAGTTTCTGGGAGCCGAATAGTACAGATATTTTTAGTTGTCGCCCTTTCATTTACTAGTTTTAAACAACAAAATGCATCGAGTGCGAACACGTCCAAATTATCATCATGTTAGGGACTTTAACAGGGGTAGAATTATTGCCTATCGAGGTGTTGGTTTGTCCTATCGCGAAATTTGCCACCGTGTTAATTGTACTGCAATGACGGTAATGAGAGTGTGTCGTGTGTGGATAGAAGAAGGTGGAGCAACACGAAAAAGGCCAACTGGTCCACTGAGGCGTACCACGGAGCGACAAGGTAGGCGCTTCAGACAACTAGCTCTACATACCGTTTTGCTACTACGCGTCAGATTGCTGACGAATCGTTTGGAGAAGAAGGTAGACCTTTTACTATTCGTAGACTCTATCGCCGCATTCGAGCATTTGGACTTTTTTCATATCGTCCACGGTTGGTGCTTCCTCTGGTTGCGGACCGCTGTCGTCAACGTTCGAACTGGAGCAGGGAACGGCAACATTGGCAGGCAGATTGCGATTCTGTCCAGGTACGCACGGTGGTAGTAGAAGGGTAAGACGCCGCCGCGGAGAACGGCGTGACATTAGATTTGCTGTTGAGAGGCATGTAGACAGGACTGTTGGAATAATGGTTTGTGGGCTATTACCTATGGTAGCCGATCGCGCCTTCTCTTTGTTCAAGGCAATATGACTGATGCGCGTTATGTTGATGATTTCCTACAAACCGCTTTAATGTGGTATCTAAAGGGCCGTCCACACGTCCTTTTTCAGCAAGACAACGCACGTCCTCATACTAGGGACTTTCTTCAAGAAGCAGGCGTTAGAGTTTTGCTGCGGCCACCCCGTTCACAGGATTTCAATTCCATCGAACATGTGTGGGATATGATGGGGAGGAGACTATCCACTTTGCACCATCCGCCACAGACTGTGCCACAGATAATCACGAAGTTCAAGTTGCTTGAAATGAGGTGCCACATCGATCATCTCATTTTGTCGATGCCTAGACGTATACCGGGTGTATTCAGCTGCGGGGTCGCCCAACACATTTTTAATTTTTTTTCTTATTTGTCAATAAAATATCGTGAGAATATTTTTGACACTACTATGAATCATAGATAAATTTCGGATGGATCTCCTTCGTCAATTACACCTCGACCTGAGCTCCTGTATGAAAAAACGGATTCCAAATATGCTCGAATAACAATAATAATATTTATTCACTCAATGAACAAAGAGAACAACCTGAGTAAATAAACACAGAATGAAAAGAAATTTTGGAAGTTTATAGCAAATAGTAAAGATTCAGATACCATCATCCCCAGGAAATAACGTACAACCAAAAAGTGTTAATGAGCCAATCGAAATCTGTAATTTGTTTGCCGAGTACTTAGTAGCGTCTTTTCTACAAATAGTGTTTCCGACAGTCCTATGGACGAAGGTATACCCAAAGGTTTAAAACAATCCGTGAAAAGCAAGTACTTGAAATTATTGACACTTTAGATACCAACAAGTCTGCTCGAATTGACAATATACTACCATATTCATAAAAAAATGTAAAATGAATTTATATAAACCTCTTACTTTAATTTACAACACCTCTTTAGAACTTAACACGTTCCCCGATGCTTAGAAGAAATCCTCCGTTACATCTATTTTTAAAAGTGGAGACAGGTACATGGCAGACAATTACAGGGCTATCAGCAAGCTGTGCATATTCTCGAAGATGTTCGAAAAGCTGATTTATAACGAAATACTTTTTGATGTAAAAAATGTAATCATTCAGCAACAGCATGGATTTTTACCGAGTACATGCCATTGTACCAATTTGCTTTGTTTTTCCGACTTTCCGTTTCCGATGCTTTGGACAGAAATTTCCAAGTCGATGCTATTTATACCGACTTCAGCAAGACTTGATCGATTTAATCATAATTTGCTATTGACAAAACTTGCTGAGGTTGGTGTTCGTAGTACTCTTGTGATGTGGGTTTCATCTTATTTGCGCGATAGAGAATTCTTCGTGTGTATAAACGGGTATAAATCCAGAGTCGTTATTCAATTATCGGGAGTTCCTCAGGGTAGCCACTTAGGTCCATTACTCTTCTTAATTTATGTATATAAATGATATCGCACAATGCTTCAGCCATTGCCAGTTTCTTCTTTACGCAGATGACTTATGGTGGGTTCATGCAAGACTTAACGTAACTTAAGAAAATGAGCATTTAAAGCGCATGCGCGGCCAGGATTGCCAATGTAGCAATGACGACAGTATCAACATTAAACACACTAATAAAATCATATGTTTAACGTCAAGGTAGCAGATGTGGCTTTTGTGTTACGTGGACTTGCGGACCAGCCTTGACATTGACAAGTGACCCCTCCCCACACGCTTGCGCCAACGCACTGGTAATCAGTCACAGAACTCGGATAATAGTCCAGATAATATCGGAACATCGACACCTTTACACTTTTTTTATGGGGCTATTTGAAGCAAAAGGTGTACGAAACTTATTTATTTTATTAAAGGTTCAGTCATTAATATAAAAACTTAGAACTATTTAATACACTTGATTCATCTACCAACGTCATAACCCGGAAATAGCATCTTCAAAGCCTGCCCTAATGTTTCGTTCACCGCTAGGCGATATTTTTCGCCAAAATCGTACCGACAAAACGGGCAACTATAGATTTGACACCGGAAGGATCTCTGGAAGCAACCCTGAAAATGAAATATTTTCATTCCAACTAATAAAACCGAGTCTACTCTTTAAACGAAAGCTTATCGTGAATCTATATCAAGCATTTCCGTTTCACTCAAAAGCATCGTTAACGACAATTAAGTAATTCTAAAATATATCATGTGTTAAGGAATTATACAGGGTATTCCAACGAAAATGGAAATCAGTTTTATGCGCAAATGAAAAGATATTAATAATCTGTTTACGATTTTATTGCATATTTGGATAGAGCTTCTAAAAACAAGAAGTTTGATATTATACAGGGTGTTAGGGAAACAATATTCGTAACTTTAAGAAATGATTCCTTGCGTTATTCTAAGCAAAAAAAGTTCAATATAACTTTCCGAAAATCCATCGTTTTCGAGGAAAGTGAGTCGTAAATAATTAACAACTACTCGACTAGCGTGTGCTGGAGCACCATCGTGCAAGTACCACATATTCATTTTTGTTTGCAATGACACTTCTTCCAACCAAACGGGCAAATTGTCTCTTAGAAATGGTCCTATTAATTGGTCACCGATTATTCTGCAAATTTTTCTGTGCAATTGCATGGGGATTTTCGTCCGCCCAATTGTGAAAATTCCAGATTCCACTTCTTGTAAAACAAGACTCATCTGTTGCCAACACGTACGCTACTAAATTGTGATTTATTTGGTATTTACCCAAAAACTAATTAAAAAAATTTGACCTTCGTGGAAAATCTTCAGGCGAAAGAGCTTGAACCCTCTGGACATACAATAACTGTTCTTTAAGGGTCCGATGAAACAATACTTCTCGTATGTCGAATCTTCAATTAAATTCAAAGGTTGTTCTTCGGTTTCCACTTCACGATGTCTTCCGCGATTGTTAAAATTAGGCACTACGCTCCCTGTGACCAGAAGTCTTTGAGATACTTCTACGAATGTTCTTCTAGCTGGTAGCCTTCGATCAGGAATACGTTCTTCGTGAATGCGCCTAGCCTCTTCAGAATTGTAATGAGCCTCTCCGTGAATAATAAGCATATCGTGATACTCGCGTACCGAAAACAAATATTTTTTTTCCCGATGTAGGTATTTATTCTATGCCGACCGACACGATGTCGGTCGTGGGCGACACGCGACATACAGTGCAGGCGACGTTGCGAATCGTGTGGAGAATTTTGTTTGACTGTTTTTCTTCGGTAAATTGAATTTAATAAGCAAGAAAATTATTTTATCAGAGACAGTTAATTAATAAACGAAGTATTGATACATTTTACGCTATTAGGAATATGAATTTAAATGCTAAAATATCTTTCCTTTTCTCATAAATTTCAAATGGAACACCCTGTATATTTCTACATCATTAAATAGATTTGCTAGGGATTTTTTTTTTTTTGATATAAAGTTTATACCACTTATTTCAAACAGTTTTCGAGTTATTGCTATTCATTCAAGAAAAAAATATATTCCATATTTAGACTTAAATCAGATCTTAGATGAAAACAATGAAATTCATCTTGACAAAACAAATGTTTGATATCTTTTCCAGTTTGCTTATGAAATTACTTTATATTTTCGTTGGGACGCCCGGTACAAACATATTTCCTGAGATATTCGTTCATGAAGGAGCTTTTCAGAACGTATGGGCATATCTTTTAAAGCAACGGAGCAATCCTACACTAAAAATTCAGTGTGTAGTATGTCTTAAAAATGTGACTCACCTTACAGATATTGTGCTTACATTCTGTAGTCACAGGCAAATGGACTACCTCTTGACAACATACGCACATAAACGTTTCTTCAACCTTTTGCAGAAACGCTTGCTTTCCTTTCTTCGCAAATTCTTTACATTCCTTCCACAACTTGGAATTATCCTCATCGCTAGAAATTATTTGTTCGATATCTACCGGAATTTTATATTCGGCGATCTTAGCCTTTTTTGGGGAAGGACCGCTGAGGAAGGAATCAAGAGTATTTGTCTTCCTTTTGGTGTCTTGCTTAGCTTTCTTTGGAGACGTCATTTTCCCCTGTGACGGTTTATTCTTGTTGTGCTTACTATTTTTGGTAGAAGCATTGTTTTCCTTCACTTCTTGTTCCAATGCTAGGGCTTCATGGTAGTTTGGCGGATACTGAAAATGACACCAATATTGTTATTGTGCCTGGATTTAGCGCTCACTTATACGCGCGAGTTAAATTATCGCAATCGCAAAATTACCGTGTTACTATACAGATTATTTCAAATTGGATTCTCAACATTGGGATCTCGGAAACTGTAACAGATACGAAGTCGCTCAAATGGTGGGCAAAGTAGCGTATTTAGGTAACTAACAAAATGGTACCTAGGGGGTTTTGCAATTTAAAGTATTTATGGAGAGAAAAAAATCGTTTCTATTTTTCCATGGACTTCTTTGAGGTAGGATTTCAACATAAAATGCACATGAATAGTGTCACTTTTCTCTACAAGGTGGCATCATTAGAACTTCAATATGACGAAAAAACAAGTCTATATAAACATGGGTCGAAAAATGCGTGGCTTCCGAAATACAGGGTGTTTAAATTTACTTTCTCAAATAGATTATTTTTTAAATATTTCGAACAATATTTGATGTATAACAGTGAAAATTGGTAAACAAGGATTTTTTGGTACGACAAAACGAACCATGGGCATAGTTTTACTGTAGCCGCTAGAGGGCACTCTCTACTGTACCTGTAGTGTATTAAAATGACCGAAAAAATTTTCTTAGTACAATTTTTTGCTTTTTGAATAAAAAAACTGATTCTTCGCACTTTTCAACATAAAAAAGCTCTCCTGTGAGTTTTCGTTATAGTTAGTCGTTTTTCAGATATTTCGATTTTTAAGGTTCGATGCATTTTTAATTATTTATGGGAAAATAATATTTTTTTTACATTTTCGATTTGGGCATTACGAGTAATTAAGATGACCGTTTAGATTGTGTTTTTAAACACAGCAATAATTCCTAACTCCAAATAAACACAAAAACAGAATATTAATTTGTTTAAATTTTCCAATATTATTTTTAACAAATTAAATTAATTATTTACAACTAAAATGCTATTGGATAGTTAGGACAAACATACAAAATCTAAAGTGGTTGCTCGAAATGTAAACCCAATTGTTCAATACACAATTCACATCTACGAATGATCAAACGTGGTATAGCATTATTCAAATAAGGCCTTATTTCATCACATGCATTCCTGATTCTGTCTATTAGCATATCTCTTGTGGTTACGGGAGTCTGGTACACTTTTTATTTTAGAAATCCCCACACAAAGAAATCTTATGGATTTAGGTCAGAGGATCGTGGAGGCCAGGCGACTGGTCCTATCTTTGTGGATAATTTTCGTCCAGCCAGTTTCTAACTATTCTCCAATAATGAACTGGACAACCATCAAGCTGGAACCACGCCAATCTTCTTAAATCTAACATAACATCATCCCACATATTTGCATGTTCAGCCTTTAAACATTCCAAGTAGGTCGCAGCATTTAACCTTGCAGGCAAAAGGTAGGGTCCAAATAGTCGATTACGGTAAATACCAATCCACACGTTCACACTAAATTCATGCTGAAATTTTCTTTCCCGAACTGCATGCGGATTTTCATGCGACCAAATGTTGATTATGAAAATTTACCACTCCACGTCTAGTGAAACCTGACTCATCGGTCCATAAAACGTTACTTAAAAACTCCCTATTATTATCAGTTCTATCAAGAATCCACTGACAAAATGTGATTCTTCGTTCTCCGTCCCTGGCTTTAGTCCTTGCACAGGTTGCAAATGGTAAGAACGTATATGGTCATTTCTAAGAACACGGTGAACATGGCTTGCTGAAATTCTCAAGGCACCAGAAACTCTCCTAACACTTGTGGTCGGATCTCCATCAAACTCACGCAGAATCAGATTTCCAAAACCATTTTCAATTATTTGGCGATGCACTCTTACAAATACTGAGCGAGTTGGATGTCGTCTGTTTGGAAATTTTCGTGCGTATTCTCTGGCTGCTTCTGCTGCGTTTCCATTTACAAAGCCATACACAAAATGAATATCCGCTGACTCTTGATTGGAGAATAAAAGTGGCATTTTTATAAAACTTACAGAAAAAAACAGGTAAAAGAAACTAAATTTCGTGCATTCACAATTGCAAAAAACGAAAACTGAATGCTTCTTCATCACCAAACAATACACGCAGCCACCAGAAAAACCTAACGATTTTATTACTTGTTGTTCATGGCAAATCGATATTAGAAAAGTCTGGAATTCTAATAAACATACGTAGGTGTTTTACCTTTTTTGTCACTCACATAATTTCATCTCGACTTTACTCGAGGTGGGATTTAAAAAATAAATTAACTTCTTACTGTCCTTCCAGGAGAAAAGGGATAGTGAAAACAGTGGAGAAACGTAAGTATCCAAGTTTTATAAGTAGCGCAGTAGTACAGTAATGGATAATAGTTACTTAGTTAATAGAGCCATTTTTGTTTATATTTCTTTCAACATATGAATGTTTGACTTTTGTTACATTTTGAAAACATTGTTTTTTATTTGACTTTCTACAGTGATAATAAAAAATATAAAAATAACTCAACCCGCTTATAATGGACTTGACGATACTGTGACAATTAGTCTATTATAGGCGGATGACCATCTTAAAAGAAACAAAAAAGCAGCAGAAATAACATATTAAAAGCTTAAAATGTGTTTGTTTAACATAAATAAAGATACATACCAAAAAGTTTTACGTAATTTTGAAATTTGCATTCTTACAGAATCTGATACTCATATTACAGACCTATAAACTTTGTAGGTATGTGTAAAAACCGTAAATTATTTGGTAAAAAAGCTAGTAATTTTCATTAGAACAGATTGTTTTTTTGTATAATTATTTAGAACAGCAAGTTGAATTTTATTTAATTTGGTAAGTGTGGCATACTGTCTTCTTCTTGCTGAAAATAACGTTGCAATTTTTTCACGCAGTCTAATGCTTCCTTAGTTGTCACTGGAAGCTCTTCTTCATCGTTCTTTTCCAGTTCGTCTTCCTGTTCGGTATCAACGGATCCTTCATTAACCAAATTGGAGTCTGTGTTGCTATTAAATTATTGTAAACATTTACATACTCGTTAAATTTGTCTATATTCAGTAAACTATCAATTTTCAGTAAACCACTAAATGGAAATTTATCTTCTGGATTAAAATCGTTGACTATTTCAGTTATGTTTTTCACTGAACCAGCATGGCGAGAACAATTACGAATCGTTTCTGGAGCAACCAATTCCCATGTAATAGTAAGCAAATTTATAGCATCTAAAATGGTGACAGCTTTGGTAACGTTGACATCTTCTTGAAGCTCCATAATTTTCATCAACATTTCCCATACATTTGTTTCAGACTCCAAATGAAACCCTGGTCCATTGGTTGCAGAACTGATGTCACATTGGGTGGAAAAAATTGAAATATTTGGAAATAGCGGGGAAGTTATCGACCCAGAGCAAAATTTTAAGATTTCTCTTAACAAGTTCAGCGTCCCACTTTTTTAAATATTCTTCAAAAATTGATCAAGTCATCCAAGCTTTATTATTTGCAACATAATCGACGGGAATCGTTTTAACATTTTTTAAACACCTTGGATTCTTAAATTTCCCTGAAATAAAAAAAACGGTCATAAATTCTTTGCAGCACTGCCATTGAATATAAAAAAAATAGAACATGAATTTCTATTCATTCACTTACCTATTATCAATAGTTTCCGTTTTTCAGTACCAGAAGCATTAGCACAAATCCTAACAATTTATCGCTCTTTTTATAGTTTCCCTCCATTGCAAGTTTCACCGTATAATTTATGGGTTTTATCTGGTAGCATTCTATAAAATATTCCGGTTTTATCTGCATTGAATATGTTATCATCTGAATCACTGGATATTACCGGCCAAACTTGAGAAATCCAGTAATTGATAACGTTCTTGTCAACTGAAGCTGACTCACCACACATTTTCCAAAATAATGTTATGCCTTTTCTTAAACCTGTCCAGCCAACCGGAACTACATTTGAAGTAATCTCCAATCAATTTCCCAAATTCTTCAGCCTCTATTTGTAGCATAGCTCCACTTATTTGAAAATTATTAGCATGCTTATGTTGAAACGATTTAAATAGCATATCATCGACTTGGGGATACAGCGATAGCGGCTTTTTTTTCTTTTTACTATTTGATTTCCACTCATTTTCAATTTTGTCACGGTTTTTCCAAATATTTGACACAGTGGATTTTTTTATAGCCATACGAGCACATATATTTTTCGTGTAAAGTGAATGCACGTTTCGCACTTTTCGACATGTTTATAACAGCTACCACTAATTCATTGTTTTCGTAAACATAGGCCATATTTCACACAAAATAATCAGACAAATAAAAGTATATGCACTGTTAAAAGACTGATACAACTGATCGAACCGAAGACTCGTATTGAAAACCATACAATAACACAAAAAGTTTGTCAAATTTAGATAAAATATAAGCATAGTAAACAAAAAACGCCAAAATTTTACACAGCAGTGGTCGAGAATATAAAAAAAATCCGTGTAATAAGAATCTTATTTTTTTAAATTTTCAATCTTTTACCATTTCTTTCATTATGCAACTTTCAACTCCTTTTGACGAGTGCTGCAAGCACTTAAAATAAATGACTCAACCTTAAAAATACCCTGAATATACTTACGATAACATCGAATTCCTGTCCATTTTCCTCCCATGGTGCAGGTGTTTGATCATCTCTTCTAAGCAGGTAACGCCACACATAAAAGCCAGATAAGCCTTTTACCTTGTAATATTTGACTACCTTGTATATTCCGTCATATCTAATGCCTTCTTTGGGAGCATACTGAAAAAAAATCAAATGTTCGATTGAAGTTTAAAACTCAAGGAGACGACAAATCTAGAACAACCTATGTAAAGCTGATGAAAAAATCCAATTATGTAAAATTTTGAATACTAATATACTATACAGGGTGTTCTACGACAAAACAGACATAGTGGAATGATAGGTAGTATGGACCGAAGCTATCTGATATCGAAAAAAAAAAAAAACATTTTTACGGATATATTATGTAATTTTTAGTACCATATACTTTGTGTACTATAAAACCGATTTAGGCAAAATTTCGCACACAATAGTGACTTTCACAAGTATCCATTATGGTAAAATAACAGCTGATTGAAATGCGACAGACTTTCGCGGCCATCATCCAATATTATTTGGTTGGTTTTTCGGTTTTTGGATACCAGCACCAATAGGTCACAGAACTGCAAATTGTGAACATTTTCTGAAGATGAAAACCACAAGTGTTGGTGAAACGGCAAGGAAAAATGTTTTACGATGGACCAACAACCCAAAAAACAAACAAATAATATACAGCTGATTTTCTAGTAATATACTAAGTGACATATAAATCCGAACACCCAGTTTAAATGGTTTTATTTTAATAAAAGTTGGTGAATGTATTTATCTTACTGTAAATAACAAGTGAAAAAATTTTCAGCCTTATCAGTTGGACATTCCGGTTTTTATACTGCTTTTTTTAATTCACTAACGCTCTAAAAATGAATATTTCAGCCGCAGTAAAGAATCAACGTTGGCAGATTTTGGTTCTTGATATCCTTTACGATCGGTTACGATGCCTAGAGTACGGAGACCTGTACGATTTCGTCAACTTAGTGAGTTTGATAGGGGCCGTATAGTGGGACTTCGGGAAGCTGGACTTTCTTTTCGGGCAATTGCAGTTAGAGTGCAAAGAAGTGTAGACACTGTGGTTAGGTGTTGTCAGGCATGGCTTCGAGAAGGCCGTACGCAAAGAGCAAGGGGCACTGGACGCCGCCGTAGAACAACAGACCGTGAAGATCGCCGCCTAAGATTATTGGCCTTAAGGGACCGTTTCTCCACTACCAGGTCCATTGCAAATGAATGGTTTGCAGAACACGGAAGACCTATTGGCATGCGAAGTGTTTACCGACGAATGAGAAGTTTTGGCTTGTTTTCATACCGGCCACACTGGTTCCTCCCTTTAACTCGAGAACACCGACGTAATCGCCTTGAGTGGTGCAGACAACGGTCACTCTGGGATCAGGAATGGAACAGTATTGTCTTTAGTGACGAGACTCGATTTTTTTTAGGCATGCACGATGGTCGTGCCAGGGTTAGAAGGCGACGTGGTGAAAGGAGGAATCCAGTTTTTTGTTGAAAGACATGTTCATCACACTGTTGGAGTTATGGTTTGGGGTGCTATAGCTTATGGTTCCAGGTCACCTTTACTCTTCATCAGAGGTGACATGAACGCGCAGCGTTATATCCACGAAGTTCTAGAACCCCATCTTTTACCCTATGTTGACACCCTGGCAGATCCAACTTTCCAACAAGATAATGCCCGACCACATATTGCAAGGGTCACAATAGACTTCTTTCAACATAATGATGTCACATTGTTACCATGGCCACCAAGATCTCCCGACTTATCCCCAATTGAGCACGTGTGGGAAAAGATGGGTAGGAGATTGCTCAATTTGCAACGTCCTCCTCAGACTCTAGAAGCACTTCGAGAGGAGTTGGTGGTTGCCTGGAATGAGATACCACAGGAGGACATTGACGACCTGATCAGAAGCATGAATAGGCGCGTTGGAGAATGCGTAGCACATCAGGGTGCATCCACACATTATTAAAGGTCAAAGAGCTTTAAAGCAGTGCAATCATTTTGAAATGTTTATCATTTACTTATTATACTTCATCAAGTACTTATACAAAATTTTATTAAAATAAAACCATTTAAACTAGGTGTTCGGATTTATATGTCACTTAGTATATTTATCTCTTAATTCAATATACAACTACATATTTATAATCATATTTTTGACCCACTATTCAAGTCCGCTGCTATTTCGGGTGCAGCCATGCGTCTATTGCGTTTACTTTTCACTATTATGCTTAAAGCTTCAGAGGGAGTTATGTCTGGGTCTCCCTGAACGACGATTATTGGATGTTGTGCCTTGAGCCTTAAATTTCTTAATAATGTGTGTACAGTGTACACATGGCAGTGGTACCTTCTAAAATTTAGAAATTTCTCGAATACTTTTGCCGGATTTATGAAGACCAATAATAACCCCTTATATTTTCTCGGAATATTTTTCAGTTTTACCCATTTTATCCAGAAAAAAAATAAACAAAAACGCACTTGTTTTAACAATATTGAACTATAAAGTATTGAAGGACGGTTAGTTTATGAAATGAAACAAGATAACTGAAGTAAAACTGTGTAATGGGTTTACGTGCAACACAAATTAAAAGAAATAATCCAAAAACAAATCCTGAGAAAGCATTCCTATACAAAATCATAACAATATTCTAATGGCAAAGAAATTCTTATTATGGCTAATGATCCGAATAATAGTGTGAGCAAAAATTTGATTTTAATATTACCTCTCAGTGATGCTTGATTTCCATGGTGATGGTTTTCAATAAATAAATAAAAATAAATACGTGGTGAATAGTTTTTTGTTTTTTATTTTAAATGGAAATATGCAGGTGTTCAAATACTTTTGAACGGTAGTGTATGTTATATTAAACACTTGGCGTGTTTCGTGTATCCGTTAAAAACTAATTTTGATTTCTTTTAGTTTTCAAGTATGAAAAGGTGTCGGTCCATATCATCCTCCACTTCACTTGCGGAACAGCAGCATGTAATTCGTCAAACCAGATAATATATCAATCATTCAACTAATAATACCATGCTCATGCAAACATATCACCTTTGAATGTTTCTGCAACTTCCAGTTTCTCAACACCCGAACCGGTTTTCCTTTCCTCCAGTCTCTCGCCTCAGCTCCATCTTTGTTGAGGGATGCGTCACAATTGAGCGCTAGGGCCCTAAAACCAACCATATATGTGTGCAGGCCGACAGGCTATAAATTGACCGAGATAATATGATGTACTGCGACTGATACGTTTCTTTTGGTTTTCATCATAATTACTTACTTGTTGGTCCTCGTCAATTCCTGATCTGATGACTGATCGTTAGACCTTTTATTACCGGATAGATCTCTTCCCCCAGACCCGGTATACAGAAATTCTTCACCGTCATCGATATCGTCTTCATATCCTCCGCTAAGGCAAATGCTGTACGCTCCGTCGCCGTCTCTGCCGTGTATACCGGCCACTTGAGGTCGGTGGACGCCCGCTTCCGCGGCCTATTTTCAAAAATACAATGTCAAGAGGAAAATATCATACAGGAATTTTATAATTGAATGTGTCTCGATTCGTATTATGTCGCATAGTGTGGGAAACTGAGTCGATTTCTGCACAAGCGTTGCATCAGAACAACATATAACTCAAACTAGCAACAATGGCGATGATGTAATTAATCATTTTTCTGAATATTTCTCAACGATAAATGCAAATTGTACATACACAGTGGCCCAACGAAACGGTCGCACCCCTATTAGGAGTTTGGTGGTAGGATATAGTACCTAAATCTCGTCTCCTGTAGCATATACAGGGTGGTTCAGTTTATAGTTGCATAACTTTAAGATTCGATAGAACTTTTAAAATTAATGCATAAAGTCTATATAAACATGGGTCGAAAAATGTGTAGCTTCCGAAATACATGGTGTTTAAATTTACTTTCTAAAATAGTTTTTTTTTTAAATATTTCGAACAATATTTGATGTATAACAGTGAAAATTGGTATACAAGGGTTTTTTGGTACGACAAAACGAACCATGGGCATAGTTTTACTGTAGCCGCTAGTGGGCGCTCTCTACTGCACCTGTAGTGTATTAAAATGACCGAAAATGTTTTCTTAGTGCAATTTTTTGCTTTTTGAATAAAAAAACTGATTCTTCGCACTTTTCTGCATAAAAAAGCTCTCCTGTGAGTTTTCGTTATAGTTGGCCGTTTTTGAGATATTTCGATTTTTAAGGTTCGATGCATTTTTAATTATTTATGGGAAAATAATATTTTTTTTACATTTTCGATTTGGGCATTACAAGTAATTAATATGATCGGTTTGATTGTGTTTTTAAACACAGCAATAATTCCTAACTCCAAATAAACACAAAAAAAACAGAATATTAATTTATTCAATTTTCCAATATTATTTTTAACAAATTAAATTAATTATTTACAACTAAAATGCTATTGGATAGTTAGGACAAACATACAAAATCTAAAGTAGTTGCTCGAAATGTAAGCCCAATTGTCCAATACACAATTCACATCTACGAATGATCGAACGTCGTATAGCATTATTCAAATAAGGCCTCACATGCATTCCTGTTTCTGTCTATTAGCATATCTCTTGTGGTTACGGGAATCTGGTACACTTTTTCTTTTAGAAATCCCCACACAATGAAATCCAATGGATTTAGATCAGGGGATCTTGGAGGCCAGGCGACTGGTCCTCCACGGCCGATCCATGTTTCTGGATAATTTTCGTCCAGCCAGTTTCTAACTATTTTCGAATAATGAGCTGGACAACCATCAAGCTGGAACCAGGCCAATCTTCTTAAATCTAACATAACATCATCCCACATATTTGCATGTTCAGCCTTTAAAAATTCCAAGAAGGTCGCAGCATTTAACCTTGCAGGCAAAAGGTAGTGTCCAAATAGTCGATTACGGTAGATACCAATCCACACATTCACACTAAATTCATGCTGAAAATTTCTTTTCCAAACTGCATGCGGATTTTCATGCGACCAAATACGTTGATTATGAAAATTTACCACTCCACGTCTAGTGAAGCATGACTCATCGGTCCATAAAACGTTACTTAAAAACTCCCTATTATTATCAGTTCTATCAAGAATCCACTGACAAAATGTGATTCTTCGTTCTCCGTCCCCTGGCTGTAGTCCTTGCACATGGTGCAAATGGTTAGGACGTCTATGGTCATTTCTAAGAACACGGTGAACATGGCTTGCTGAAATTCCCAAGGCACCAGAAACTCTCCTAACACTTGTGCTCGGATCTCTATCAAACTCACGCAGAATCATACGGGTAAATCTGCGCTGACGAACATTTATGTTTTGATTCCTGTGGAGATTTCCAATACCATTTTCAATTATTTGGCGATGCACTCTTACAAATACTGAGCGAGTTGGATGTCGTCTGTTTGGAAATCTTCGTGCGTATTCTCTGGCTGCTTCTGCTGCCTTTCCATTTACAAAGCCAAACACAAAATGAATATCCGCTAACTGTTGATTGGAGAATAAAAATGGCATTTTTATAAAACTTATAAAAAAAACAGGTAAAAGAAACTAAATTTCGTGCATTCACAATTGCAAAAAAACGTCTCAGGTTTCAGCAGACAACAAAACTAACTGTCAACTAATTGACGTTTAACCTTATTCTGCTTTCAATTTCAAAAATATTTGCAGGCACAGCCTACTTCTAAAAATTATCGAGATACTGACTTTTTAACGTTATTTTATCATAAATAATTAAAAATGCATCGAACCTTAAAAATCGAAATATCTCAAAAACGGCTAACTAATGGGTGGGCCATTTAAAAGTTTCGATTTAAAAATAAAATAAAACAAAAACGGTTTGAGATATTGCCAAATTTATTTTTTTGTTTTGAAGTACAATTGTTCCGCTCAGAAATGAAATATTACTTCATTCAAATGGCTGCCGCGGCTGGCCTCACAGTAGCCCATTCGATCGGACCAATTTTCGAGCACTTTTTCGAGTGTTTGGGGCCGTATCTCGTCAATGGCATCACGAATGTTGGCCTTCAAATGGTCAATTGTCTCTGGATGGTCGACATAACACTTGTCTTTAACAGCGCCCCACAGGAAATAGTCCAATGGTGTCAAATCGCAGCTTCTTGGCGGCCAATTGACATCACCATTTCGACTGATTAAACGGCCATCGAAGGTTTCGCGCAATAAGTTGATTGTGGCATGCGATGTGTGACAAGTTGCACCATCCTGCTGAAACCAAACATTCTCCACATCAATACCATCAAGAGCAGGAACAAAAAAATCAGTTATCATGGTGCGATAGGTGTTTCCATTGACAGAAACGGTTGCGCCGTCCCCGTCTTCAAAGAAATATGGGCCAATGATGCCTCCGCTCCACAATCCACACCAAACAGTCACTCGCAAGGGATGCATTGGCTTCTCTAAGACCTCGTGTGGGTTTTCCGAGCCCCAGATACGGCAATTTTGCTTATTGACGTAGCCACCAATATGAAAATGAGCTTCGTCTGAAAAGATTATTTTTTTCGCAAAATCGACATCATTGATTAGTTGCTCGTTGGCCCATGTAGCGAAGGCAGAACGAAGTGGATTTGTCACGCGGCTTCAACTCTTGAACCAATTGAACTTTGTAAGGCGTCATACCGAGATCTTTCCGCAAAATTCGTCGTAAACTGGTGCGGGAAATGTTCAATTCTTGGGAACGATGACGTGTTGACGTTGATGGATTTTCACGCACACTCGCAGCCACAGCATCGATACCTTCGGGTGTACGCACTGTACGAGCACGCTGACGTGTTGGAGCATCAACAATGAAACCAGTTTCACGCACTTTATTAATAAACTTGCGTATACCGGGCGCTGTTGGTGCTTCGTTGCGACCGAATTTTGAACGGCATTTTCGTGCAATTTCTGCCCAATTGTCTTTGTTTTGGAAATAAATTTCCAATATTACCCAACGTTGCTCAAGCGTAAATCGATTCATTTCGTTCAGCGGAGATAATATACTGAATTTTATGACAAATCAGATTGACATAAGTATTGTCAGCGTCAAATTAACACGTGGTTCAAATCGAAACCGATAGATGGCCCACCCGTTATAACGAAAATTCACAAGAGAGCTTTTTTATGTTGAAAAGTGCGAAGAATCAGTTTTTTAATTCAAAAAGCAAAAAATTGCACTAAGAAAAAATTTTTAGGTCATTTTAATACACTACAGGTACAGTAGAGAACGCCCTCTAGCGGCTACAGTAAAACTATGGTGGTTCGTGGTTCGTTTTGTCGTACCAAAAAACCCTTGTATACTAATTTTCACTGTTATACTTCAAATATTGTTCGAAATATTTAAAAAAAAACTATTTTAGAAAGTAAATTTAAACACCCTGTATTTCGGAATCTACGCATTTTTCGACCCATGTTTATATATACTTTATGCATTAATTTTAAAAGTTCTATCGAATCTTAAAGTTATGCAACAATAAACTGAAACACCTTGTATAACTGTTACAAATAAAAAAGACGTTTATTATTATTTGCGACTCTCCTGGGTGTCCAAAAACTGTCTTACTGGAACCACATAGTGCGGCGGTGCACCATCTTGTTGGAAATGAATCTAATTTTCATTATAATTACCGTCATTTTCTGTTATTTCAGTAATTCGTGTCTCTATTGTATTTTCTAACATGTGCAAGTACGTCTCGCCCGTCAAGTTCCCAGGAATAAAGAAAGGTCCTACAATATCATTTCCGAAAATGCCGACTCACACCTTTATTTTTTCAGGATTTTGCGAGTGTACTTTTCGAAACAAATGTGGATTCGAGTCACTTCAATATGGACAATTACATCTAAATAGAACGTACACTTATCCGAGAAACAAATATTAAATAACAGACTTGCATTGTTAGAAAGTCCAACTTTCTATCAAAATCGTCTTCATTAAAGTCATGGACAAGTTTTATCTTGTACGGGTGAAATTTATTATTTTTCTAAATTCTTTGGACTGTTTAGCGTGTAAATCATGAAGAAGTAGCCCAGTCTACGAGTGCTACATGTCCGACAACTGCTTTTCTGCGGCTTCATTTCGAACTGGTCGATTATCTCGATGGCAATTACGGCGAATATTAGACACAGATCCAGATTCTTCAAATTTTCTTATCAACTTAACCACGCATTTATCGTTAATTTTTTTGTCTAGATAAAAAACCGGGCTCTTTCAATACTCCCGTTTTGGTAATACAGTTTTGTTATTTCTACCCGTTCTTGGAATGAATAAGTTATTGATCAGTATTTATCACAACTTGGTAGATAGGTATCTAACAATTTGAAAAGAAAGAAAAAGTTTTTCTATGACATACGATGACACTGACTGATGCGAAATATCCTTGCTGGTATCCATGATTATTACTTTTTGCCATGCCTTCCATTATTATCCGTGTTAGGTTAGTCGATTTTCATTATAAACTCAATTAGCTTCACAACGTTTGAAGATAGGTATAAACTTTATTATACAAAAGCTGCTACAAACCTAATCATTTATGACAACTTCATAATCACTGCTATTGAAAACAAGCTTCAAGTAGACTCCATCTAGACCATTGATTCCCAAAGTGGTCTATATCGACCCCTAGGGGTCTATGACAACTTGCAAGGAGTCAGCGAAAAAAAATTTGGGGGTCCATGAAATAAATATGGGGGTCCACGATAGTGGATCTCAACACACACACTGATAGTACATATTTACTTACATCATACTATCTTATAATATCAAAACATATACATTATTTATAAAAGTACCTATGAAGTAAAAAATTTATTATATATGTTTATAAAATTGTGTAAGTTGTAGGATGTTGGTATTCGCTTTGTGGTCGCAATACATTTTGAACTTGTAAAAACCTGAAAGTCACAGACTCAGAGCTTCGCTACCTTGCACTGACTTGTTCAATTCGTCACTCTATAAATACGAATGTGGGACAAATACGTTTATTCGTTTCCTGAATCTTGAAAAGGAAAGTGCTAAAAAAATATTTTAAAAAATATAAACAGATAGTATATCACACAAATTATAGTGAGTCAGTATTATTTTGTTTGAGAGTGCTGGAGAAAAGTAAGTACATTATTTTTTATTAAATTTTAGTTTTGTACTCGTACTTATCAAAGATAGATAAATTACCCAATCATGACTTTAGTTATTAGTAGTTAAATATTCAATCATACAAAATTACACGAGTACTCCTCAATAGTTTCTTTTTGAAAGTTTTAGCAATCGGTAATATAATTACAGTGCAATCTCCGTAATTCGAGCTAATTGTCGCAAGAAGATGTTCGAATTATGGAATGTTTTCGGAAAAATCAAAAAATATTTTTAATATACAGCTGCTGGATTTTGTCTTATTTAAATAATTTAATTTTGTCCACAGAAAAAGAAATGTAGACAGTAGTATTGATTATTTGAAATTAGGCTTCTTTCCATCATTGCCGGACAAACAATCGCCTATGTGCCTTTTATGCAACAAAGTTTTAGGCAATGCCGCTATGAAACCATCTAAACTGCAAGATCATCTGAGAAGATGCCACCCTGATAAAACAGAAAGATTTGAAATACTTTCAAACACTCAAAGATAAATTTCAGAAGAGACCTACACTGGACAGAATATTCGCTTCGACGTCACAAAGAAATGATGATGGTTTGCGGGCGTCTTACAATATCTCGTTACTTATAGCAAAAGCCGAAAAACCGCATACTATCGGAGAGAAGTTAATTTTACCAGCCGTTGAAGAGGTTTTAAAAACTGTTTTACACAAACCTGCATCTAATATCATTAAAAGAATTCCCTTAAGCAACAATACTGTTGAAAGACGTATTGATGAAAGCTTCTTATGTAATTATTTGCAAACGATCCATTTCTCTATACAACTGGACGAGTCAACTTTACCTGATAATGCAGCATCATTATTGGCATATGTTCGTTTTATTATGAATCAAGAAATCTACGAAGAACTGCTCTTCGCAAGAACTATGATAACCGACACTAAAGGTGAATCAATATTTCATGGTTTGAAGGATTACTTCATTGAAAAAGCAATTCCTTTATCAAATATAATATCAGTAGCTACAGATGGAGCACCTGCCATTGTTGGACGTTATCGTGGATTTATAAGTTATTTAAAACAAAATGTGTCATCCATCGACAACATTTAGTTGCTAAAAATTTGAGTGTTAGATTGCATGAATCACTTCATTTAATCATTAAACAGTAACAGAAAACCGAATCCGAAGCAACGCGTTGAATACGCGGTTATTTGCGCACTTGTGTGAAGAAAATGACGAACACTTTCATCAATTACTCCTTCACACTGAAGTACGCTGGCTGTCGAAAGGCTTCTGTTTGACCAGATTTTTTGCACTTTTTGAGACTATTTTAGAATTTCTGGATACTAAAGATACAATTTTAAAAGAAAATTTAATGAAGAGGAAAACAGAAATTGCCTATTTAACAGATTTATTTACAAAATTTAATATGGTTAATTTGCAATTACAAGGAGACAGTTTAAATTTGATTAAAACAAAGTCCATCTTATCAGCGTTTCTTGCCAGAGTTAAACTAATGAAGCAAAATATTGGACGGGGCGAATTTTCTCAGTTCCCCAATTTGTCACAGACAAGCTGCCAGGAAGACGACGTCTCAACTTACGTTCAACATTTAAATGCCCTCTATTCAGATTTTGAATCTAGGTTTGAGGATATTTTGACTATGGTAATACCACCGTGGATAATTAATCCATATGGTGACATAGAAGAAACGAATGTCATAATACAAGAGGAACTGACTGAACTAAGTACAAACGAAGAACTTAAGGTTCAGTTTAAAAACGGGTATCAGCAATTCTGGCTGCAAAACAACATACCCGTTACTTATCCCGTATTATGGAATATAGCGAGGAAATTTTTAATTTCCTTTCCATCGTCATACCTAGTGAAAAGGGGGTTCAGCGCTGTTACCAATCTCCTAATGAAAAAAAGAAACAGACTGGACATCATTAGCCGAGGAGATTTAAGATTAACCCTTACAAAATTGACGCCAAATGTTGATAATTTATTATTAAAGCATCAGGTTCATCCTTCTCACTAAAAATATTGACTTATTGCTTATGTTATTTTATTTATAGTTTATTTTATGTTTATCGGTGTCTGACCATTAAATGCCCGCATTGGGAATAAGTGCCTGTATTGATTTTTTTAAAGAACCACCCTTTATAGAAAATATTTTTTTTTTTAAATTATTCTGAAAATTCACACTAAAATTCGTTAATTTTTTGCCTATTTTTAGATAACTTAAACGTATAAGAAGCGGAAATTAATCAAACTAACAGTGAAATTATTGTAGAACATACGTTTGTTATAAATTAATAAACGAACTCGCTTATTGTCCTATTTTAAGCAAAAAACTTTTTTTTTATTATTTTTCACTTTTTTTTAAATTTATCCCTCTTATTTTTTTTCAATGCGGGCACTTATTGGTCAGACACCTGTTTATTTAATGTCACGTATATTTTACATAACAGAGGGGTCTACGACACAAAAAAGTTTGGGGAACTCTGATCTAGACAGATTATACTTCGTGGCCGAACCAAAAGGTCGCATCCCCATTCGTTACTTTCCGGGTATATTTTGATTATACTGATAATAATGGAATACACCGCAAAAAATAATAATCATGGATACTTGCAATAACATTTAGCATCAGTCAGTGTCAATGTATGTTATAGAAAAACTTTGGGTTTCATTTCAAATCGTTAAGTTACCTATCTATGTGATAAATATTGAACAATGACTTATTCAATTCAAGAAAGGGTAGAAATAACAAAACTGTATTACTAAAATGGGAGCCATGCAAGAGCTACTGCCCGGTTATTCAATTTGCGTTCCATCCAACGAATATATTAACGATAAGTATGTGTAAGAAAATTTGAAGAAACTGGATCTGTGTCTAATATTCGCCGAAATCGCCATCGAGAAAATCGACCAGTTAGAAATGAAGCCGCGGAAATAGCAGTTTTGGGACACGTAGCACTTGACAACATCCAAAGCACCCGTGGACTGGCTACTTCTCCATGAGCTTAATGAAAACTGTTTTGCGAATTAATGTCCCAACGTTTAATCAACAATGCAAATCTGTTATTTAATATTTGTTTCTCGAATAAGTGTACTTGGACATGTTAGAAAACACAACAATAGAGCGACGAGTTACCGAAATAATAGAGTATGACGTTAATTATAATGAGATTTAGATTCATCTCCATCAAGACTGTGCACCGCCGCACTATGGGCCTTCAGTACGAGAGTTTTGGACAGCCATTTCCAGAATCAGTGGATCGGCAGACGAAGCCTCATCGAGTTTCTGCCGAGATCTCCGGATCTAAGTCCTTTAGATGACTTTTTTTGGGGGCATTTTAAAAGTAAAGTTTTTAGTACGAAGCCAGATTCCATTCAAGATCTTCGTCAGCGGATTACGGCTGAATGTAGACACATAACTCAAGACATGCTTGCAAATGTGAGGCATACGAGCAAAATCTTTATCATTGCATGGAGGTAAATGGACACCACTTTCAGCCCTCATTACCACATTGACCTACTTGCTGGCTGCTATTGGAATTTTGGTGAGAATATGGAAAAATATATGACAACATAATAGGAAATATAAAAACTTGTTTAGATCTTGCAACTGATAAAAAAGTGATTTGATCGACAAAAAATACACCCTGGTATATCAAGAATATTAAGGCAGCTCAAAATTTGAGAGACACACACAATACAATAAATGTATATTCACAAAATCAAATGATGATTGGGAGGTATATAAAACTCTTAGGAATAAATGTGTATATGTAATTAGAGAAGAAAAAAGGAAATTCTACGACCGAAACAAATTCTTTGGTGATTGCAAACAAACTAAATGAATATTTTGTGGAAAGTATTGTTGATATTGTGGGTACTGCCAATGCTGCACCTGACTATATGAAAATTAGTTTCCAGGGGGAAATGTTGCATACACTTTCAAAATTTCACAGCGTATCATTGAATTATCTAAGAAAACATGTAAACAGTTTAAAATCAAATAACAACTGTTTCGAAATTTTGGGATATCCTGTATTAAATTGGATCAATTGTTCACTGAGAAGCAGTTCTTTCCCTGAAAATTTGAAATGCTCTACAATAACACCAGTTCCCAAAATAAAAAATTCTAAAAGATGCAGCGATATGAGACCAGTAAATGTGTTACCAGACATTGAAAAATTATTAGAGTCCATAGTGCTTGACCAATTAATGCAGTTTATAGAAGAAAACAAAATTTTAGTGGAGGCGCAAGCAGGCTTTCGAAAAAAATATTCCACTGAAACAGCTTTCCAGTTGGTAACTGAGAATTGGAGAAGAGCCATAGACTCAGAAGTTGTCATAGCAGTATTTTTGGATTTGAAGAGGGCATTTGAAACGATTGATAGAGATATTTTGTTAAGTAAATTGAAGGCATATGGTATAACAGGAAGTGTTTTAGATTGGTTTAGAAATTATTTGTCTAAAAGGATGCAAGTTACAAAAGTTAATGACACTATTTCATCAAAAATTGAAAATACGTTGGGTGTTCCACAGGGCAGTATCCTTGGACCACTTCTTTGTATTTTATACATAAATGCCATAGTCAAAAAATGTAAAATTCAGATTTTCGCCGTTGACACTATGATTTATATAAGTACTAAAAATATTCAGTCTGGTATCTCTTATATAAATGAAGACTTGAAGCTTGTCTCGAAATGGTTAGCATCTAACAGACTAAAATTAAATGCAAGTAAAACGAAAGCCTTGTTAATCGGAAAAAAACAATGTACAAATGTTCAACTGAATATTGATGGTGATTGAATTCATAGAAAATTTTAAAAACATGGGGGTTTTTGTTGACTCTCGATTAATTTTCGATATTCATTATGAAAAAGTTATAATAAATAAGATTAGTAGTAAAGTGGGATATTTATCGAGAGTTTCTTGATTTCTGAGTTTATATAGCAGAAAAATTATTTACAATACCATCATTCTTCCAAATTTCTTGTACTGTTCGACTATTCTATATTTAGCAAATAATTCCATTTTTGAAAGACTGCAAATTTTACAAAATAAGTGCATGAGAATAATACTAAATAAAGATAAATATACTCCAATTAGGCAAATGCTTAGCAAATTAAAATGGCTCAATGTAAACATTTTTATCAAATATCTTGTAATGATATTCATTTATAAAGTAAAAAATAATATATTTCCATCAAGTCTAACTAATTTAACATCCTCAAATGTCGACCATCATTTACATAATACCAGAAATAAAGATGACTTCCATTTAATGACCAAAACGTGTAACATATGCTACAAATCTGTATTCCATCAAGGGTTGATTGAATATAATAAATTATACTCGGAGATAAAAGACCAGAAAATTTTGACAAAATTTAAAGTAAAATTGAGAAATCACTTGTTAAATCCACAATTATAGGTTGCCCAGCATTTACATCATACACCATATGGCTTGAATTTACTAGTTCTAAGTTGTTTACAATTGTTCTGTTTATGTAGCCAAATGTGCTAAATAAATCTTTCTACTCTTACGACTATTACTATTTTATAGCAAATTAATTTTTACTTTAACTTTAATGTGCGCGTAAACTCTTATTTTTTTTTTGTTTTTTTGATACTCGGAGACTTGTTTATAGTGTTAAAGTCATGTTACCACGGGAACTATATTGATTGTAATTTTTAAAATACAATCCCTTATTATCACAATTTCTAGAATTTTATTACAAACACAACGATTGAAGATAGGTATAAATAATAAATAATAATATACAAAAGTTAGTAAAAAATTATGTAAAATCTAAAAAGTTTCCATTCAAAAATCGTAATATCTTATTTTTTGGGCCACCCTGTATTATACGGCTACAGATGAAAAGATGTCCCCCTTAAAATTAAAATTGACATGTCCGAGTGTTTTTCCCAAAATATACCAGAAGAGTCACAAGTAGGTGTGGGACCTTTTTTTGGCACTTCCTGTATAAGAGCTTTCGATAGAGTAAATCACGATCTACTTTTGGCTAAATAAGAAAGTTTGGAAGCATCAAGCAGTGTTAACTATCCTAGTTTAGAAGCTACTTATGAAGTCGGGCACAGTGCTTCAAATCGACATTATGTGTGAAGCTGAAAATATACAATTTAAATCAAACCTTTCTGTGCGCCATCTTTTATATCATCAGCGCCATCCCTAAGACCTAACCCTCGCCAATATCGCAGCAGAATACTCTCTGAGATTCGACCATTTTCATATGACACTTTGTCGATGATAGTTATTAGTTTAAGAAGTAAGAAAACTTACCTGAAATCGATACCTCCAGCGAGTGCCAACTTCAATTCCCGGAATTGGGCCGAAATGATTTTTTGGTACGATGGTGCATTCTTTAGATCTACCGACGCAAGCCATCCCTCTGCCCCAATCGCGACCTGACTTGTTTTGTTTGCTGGGCATCTTTTCTTTTTTCTTGCTCTCTTTCAATTTCTCTCCGGGTTTTACTATCTGCGATTCATCGATTTTGCACTCTGGACAATACCTGTCATTAAAACAATCATCGAATCAGCCGTGTTAATATTTTTTATAAAAATATAGCAGTTAAACTGGTAAACAGTTGTTGAGAGATATCAAGTTGCGGTATTCGGGAGGTTCTTGACCAACTCTAGTCTGGTTCGACAGGTATATACTAAGTGACATATAAATCCGAACACCCAGTTTAAATGGTTTTATTTTAATAAAATTTTGTATAAGTACTTAATGAAGTATAATAAGTAAATGATAAAAATTTCAAAATGATTGCACTGCTTTGAAGCCCTTTGACCTTTAATAATGTGTGGATGCACCCTGATGTGGTATGCATTCTCCAACGCGCCTAGGCATGCTTCTGATCAGGTGGTCAATGTCCTCCTGTGGTATCTCATTCCAGGCAACCACCAACTCCTCTCGAAGTGCTTCTACAGTCTGAGGAGGACGTTGCAAATTCAGCAATCTCCTACCCATCATATCCCACACGTGCTCAATTGGGGATAAGTCGGGAGATCTTGGTGGCCATGGTAACAATGTGACATCATTATGTTGAAAGAAGTCTATTGTGACTCTTGCAACATGTGGTCGGGCATTATCTTGTTGGAAAGTTGGATCTGCCAGGGTGTCAAGATAGGGTAAAAGATGGGGTTCTAGAACTTCGTGGATATAACGCTGCGCGTTCATGTTACCTCTGATGAAGATTAAAGGTGACCTGGAACCATAAGCTATAGCACCCCAAACCATAACTCCAACAGTGTGATGAACATGTCTTTCAACAAAAAACTGTGGATTCCTCCTTTCACCACGTCGCCTTCTAACCCTGGCACGACCATCGTGCATGCCTAAACAAAATCGAGACTCGTCACTAAAGACAATACTGTTCCATTCCTGATCCCAGAGTGACCGTTGTCTGCACCACTCAAGGCGATTACGTCGGTGTTCTCGAGTTAAAGGGAGGACCCAGTGCGGCCGGTATGAAAACAAGCCAAAACTTCTCATTCGTCGGTAAACACTTCGCATGCCAATAGGTCTTCCGTTTTCTGCAAACCATTCATTTGCAATGGACCTGGTAGTGGAGAAACAGTCCCTTAAGGCCAATAATCTTAGGCGGCGATCTTCACGGTCTGTTGTTCTACGGCGGCGTCCAGTGCCCCTTGCTCTTTGCGTACGGCCTTCTCGAAGCCATGCCTGACAATACCTAACCACAGTGTCTACACTTCATTGCACTCTAACTGCAATTGCCCGAAAAGAAAGTCCAGCTTCCCGAAGTCCCACTATACGGCCCCTATCAAACTCACTAAGTTGACGAAATCGTACAGGTCTCCGTACTCTAGGCATCGTAACCGATCGTAAAGGATGTCAAGAACCAAAATCCGCCAACGTTGATTCTTTACTGCGGCTGAAATATTCATTTTTAGAGCGTTAGTGAATTAAAAAAAAGCAGTATAAAAACCGGAATGTCCAACTGATAAGGCTGAAAATTTGTTCACTTGTTATTTACAGTAAGATAAATACATTCACCATTTTTATATGTCACTTAGTATATTTCTTTTATCTATCAAATTATTCAGGGTGAGCAAAGGAAGGCAGGTTTTTTTATCAAAGTTTGGGGCTAAGTTAAATTCTCAATCTTTGAGGTTGAAAATTTTGCATCTATTTGATCTTTGGACTATCCTAAAAAAATTGATATCTCAAATTTTTGAAAGTTGGCTATAACTCGAATTATCGAATTTTTAACTTCCCGCAATAAATGTCTTTCGGCTCGACCTCGTATTTTTTTTATTACCATCTCCATGCAAATAGGACGTTTCTGCGGTTTCATCCTAACTACCTACACCTCAAACATGCAATTGTTCAGTAAAAATAATATTGAACGAGAGAATTGTATAAGATTATTGGAAGAGAAGGTCGTTTAGTGAATGTTGTAGCTTTCATTTATGATGCTGATCGGTCCTCAATATACCGTTTAAGGTGTAGTTATTAGGGGGAAACGCCCTACTTGAATGGAGGATATGATCCAAAAAAGACACAAGGTCAGGTCGAAAGTCATTTATTGCAGGAAGTAAAGCGAAACAGGATCCTCGGATGAAAACTTACGGCGGCACAGTGAATAGTAGCATCCAATCGTACTCTACGAAGAACTTTAAATTCTACTTTGTTAAGGTATGTAAATGTTACAAAAAAATTGCTAGGTACTTTTTTGGAGAAGCATTTCTTCGAGAGCAAGACGTCGCGCCAAGTGTACCTGACTCTTGAACAATCACAGAGTCGCCAGGTATCAATGGGCACAGAAGCAGGTGAATTGGCATCAGCAGTGCCAAAACACGCTTCTCCTTGTTTAAACGCAAGCTGGGGAACGAAATGATGAACAAAATATGACTCCAGAAGAGGCGTTTGGTGGAGGCGGCATTAATGTTTGGATTGGGGTTATGTACGATGGTTTTTTTTTTCAAACAGGACAGTCAATGCTGAAGTGTCTAGGAACAGCATTTTAAACAATATTGTTGTACCTTTTGAACAAGATTTTGGGGAGGATTTTGTCTTTATCGATGATAACGCCAGGCCGCAGAGAGCTCCTACGGTTATAAACATTTTGGCAAAAAATAATGTGACATTATTGCCTCTGCCATCAGTCTCCAGACCTTGAAATAATTGAGTATGTGCGGGGTGGCCCTACAAGGTACTAACAATATTGTTTAAAATAACTGTTGCTATTTTGTAAAAACTACGTTTTTGTCATAAATAAATAATTTAGATATTTAACTGGTCTTCAAATTTTTGTTTTCTAAAATGTTACATATTGTTAATGTTAATGAATAAATTCTTTAATGTCGTTTGAAAATTTAATAGGATCTATTACCTATTGGAAAACATCTGCAATGAAGACGTGTACGCCAATGCTAAGTGAGAAAGAAAAAGAATTCCAGATAAAAGATGAATAGCAGTGTTGGCCAGCATCATGGCATTTTGAGAAATATTTTATGTTAAATTATTAGCAATTAGCACTTTTTACCAATCAAAAAAATGCATTTGGTGTTACGCCACTAGAATACACCCCTGTATTAAGAGTAGTAACTTGGAGTAGAACCCTGTACGCGATCTCAAAGGGTTGGTCAAGAACCTGCTGAATACCGCAACTCCATATCTCTTTCCGTTCGGGAAGTATCGAATTTGGGTAAAATTTTTCATGTTGCAAAGCAACTATCCACCAGTTTATTTAAAATATTCACTTTATTTATTCTTATGCAGGGTGAGTCAAAAAACAGTGACATTGTGTCTAGGGTACAAAGTAGATCAAAAAATATATGAAAAGTTGTGTCCAGACTTGCCCTTTTACCGAGATACAGAGCGCTGAAGTTATAATTTCAAAACCGAAAAAATATACCTTCCGAATGGGTTATACTCGTATTTCTACATGTATGTTTAATTAATATTATCTCCTTGACAGACTGCATAATGCGAAACGCTCACCAGACAACTTTTCCTGGATGATAGCTCTAATTGAAGTGTAGATATTATTACTAATGCGACAAAAACGAAAATGATCGTTATACCTCCATCAGGTTTTTTTCTTTTACTGCAGAATACGTTTGGTTTAGAAGTAACATTGCCAGAAAAGAAATAACTACAAAAAATGGTGAGTGGGGCAATCATCAGGACAAAACAACTTTTTGATGAAGTGCACCAGGACAAATTTTCTCAGTCAAATCCTGAAAATCCTCAATGCTGTACACAAAAAAATGCTAAATACTCTAAGCCACGGTGTAGAACTTTATTTAAAATAAGCAACCTACCAATATTCTTCATCCGGCACACTTTCCAAAGGAGGATTTAGGCACGATAAGTGATAACCGAAATTACATTCATCACAAAGAATAATATTCGCCCAATCTTCCTTTCCTGCACAGATACGACACCCGCATTCCCTACACTTCCTCTCTTGGTTGTCGTGACATTTCGTGCAGTTGGCTGGATATTTTCCTGTAACAATACAAACGACTCTGTAATAACAGCCAACCGCAGACAGCGCTGTCTGCGATGATTAATTTCTGTTTCCACCGCAATCTTAATAATACATACTTGGAATATACGTAACGTGCTCCTTGCTGCGATCAACTGCAAGCACTGGTTTTTCAATCCTCATTATTTCATCTTTCAGCTTGATGCAGCATTTCTCGATTGGCGCTTTATCTCTTCCTAACAGAATTACACCGTTGATCTTTGTACGTGAGAGATCTTGAATTCTAAAATCGTACCTACAAATAAAGGTGAGGTTGAACAGCCTGGAAGGCAAAAAATACAAACTTAATGTACGCCCCATAAATGCAAAATAATAAACCATTAGATCCGCCTCAGGAAACACCTGGCATGTAAGTGCAAATAAACAATTAAATATTTGTGTTTTTTATCAACCCAGCTATACTCACCAAAGGCCTAAAGAATTCGGTTGTTCCAAATTATAGTTGGCCAGTACTACCATATCTTTTTTTAATTCTGAATATGTATAAGTATGATACGACCTGGGTCTAATATCATCAAAAGTAACGTCAACTTCAAACTCAATCACGTGCGGTGCACTAAAAATAAAAAATAAAACGCTTAAAATACATAGTTTTATTTGTGTAACTTGTTTTTGTTGAAATCAACCGTTCAATAGAAGTGAAACGTAGTCGAATTAATTTTCTCCATAATATTCGTTTATATATACAGGGTGTTCGAAAAATAGGCGGAGATATATTGTAAAAAAAATATGAAAAAAAGATTCTATAAACGTGGGTCCGGAAAAGCAGATTTTACAAAATACAGGGTAAAAAAAATACAGGTGCCTCGCTGCCTAACAGTTACTATAAGCACATGCATGCATTACATACATGTCTGCCATTTCTTCAAAAGTGTAATTTATCGACCGAGATAAACACTTATTACAGAAATTTCGCAATGAAAATTACGTAACTAATTATTTTCTAGAAGAACTGACGCGCAACTGTCATACCTCCATGCAGAAATGATTTTTTGTTTTCCAATGCACTGTTTTTTTAGCAAAAATTAATAAACCAATTTTGTCCAGTGATATGCAATAAAATGATTTTTATTTTTTTTTTTCTCGAAAACGATGTGAGATACGAAAAAATACAAGAGGCAAAGTAGTTGTATTTTCAGATGCTTAATCAAACAACAAATATTAAAGTTATAATAAAAGGCAGTGGCGTACATTTTTTGCAATAATATTCGATAAGGTGCCCCCGGGACGCCACGAGACCTAATAAGTTTAATCTATTCAGGGCTAAATTAGTCTCTTAATAAAACAAATAATATTGTCAATTTTCAACAGAATCGAGTAAATATTTTTTTTAAATATTTATAAAGAAAAATTATTTATCAGCCTGTATCTTGAAAACTCTGCATTTCCGGACCCATATTTATAGAGGCTTTTTTCATATTTTTTAGCAAGGAATCACCCTTTAGAACATCTCCGTCTATTTTTCGAACACCCTGTATAATCTACTCGCTGAAACACGTAAATACGTCTTGGAACCAGGTAGTTAAGCTTGATCTCCTACACCTCCAAATTTCGTATGCCCTTTTAGGCTCAAATAGCTTTTGACCAACGCTTTATAGTTCGGCGCGTTTCAATAGCAGAGTAATATTACTATTTTTTACACCACATAATAATGGTTTAAAATAATATTTTTAGAAAGGCGCATCAGCCGAAAAAAATAATATGTTTCTCTTCGGCAAAATTTACCGCTTTTGTTTTTTTCGTTTATGATACTGATTCCGATATAGTGATTTAGCCATATTCTTCCTCTTCTTCAATTTAGTAATACATTCGTAATCAGCGACTCAAAAAACTCCCAGAGATAAATTTACAGACTGCTAGACTAAGTTTAGGACTTTTGCTCAACTTTTTTGGGATTGTTTGCAGTGATAATCGATAAGAGCATCAAGAGCGTTTTTATCAAGAACGGGTATTACGTATCTTGAAAAGTGACGTTATATCGATTTTTTAACATTATACTGATTTTCTTTGACATGTAAATGTGAACTTAGCACTTAGTTGCACGTATTGCCTAAGCATCATGAGGCTTCAGTTATCAATCTTTGGCTCTGATGTGATGTAAACTCTGCTTCAGAGATGGCGTTACTGGAGGTCTAAAAGTTGTATGTGTTGATGTTAATTCCACTGGATTATTGTCTCAAATACACTTAATTGAGATTCAAAGCTAAAAATTAGTTGCGCATCCACTTTTTCTTATCCATTCTGGGAATTACATATGCAAATTTGCTGGATTTCTAAAATGAGACAGATAAATAATTATATTCACATTAAACTGTAGAATGACAAGCCATATACATGCTGGAAGTAATTACACACCACGCGGGCGTGGTGATGATTTTTCGTAATTCTCCTAAAAGTTGTTCGCAATTTATTACTTTGAACATAACCTCTTCAGAAAGGACAACATATAAATAACCCGTCGGGCACAGCTAATATATATACTTCCTTGGCAGCATATTCAGTAATGATTTTCTCACACAGCAAATATCACTGATTTTATACACATGCAGACCAATACACACAATAATCCAGATTCGATCTTACTAGTCAATCAACTTCTCAGAGATAAAAACTACAGACCACTCGGCCTCACAAAACATATGCAACCAACAATATGTGTAGTTTAGTTGAGTGATTCCTCCATAGATGGACGTTCACAATGATCCTAGTGAGCAATGACATTTTGCGCCCTAAAAACTAGTCTGCAAGATGACATCTTATAGGGTTTTTTTGATGTTTTTCAGATTTTCTACGTAATACCCGCACTCACAAAAATGTTTTTGAATCTGTACAAAACCAATAATACTGATCCTTCGATTTGGCGAAGACAACTAAAAAAGTTACATATGACAACAATGAATATAGAAAAAGCGAATTCCGATGGCGCCGTAGGGCACGTATCTCCGAAACGAAGGGTATTATGAAAATCGTTAGAGAACAAAACAGTCTTAGATTGGTCCACAGAATCAGACCTTGAATTTTTGTTCCATGGTTGGAAAATAGCCGTTCACTTCCTATAAAGTATAAAGAACTTACCTTTTTACTGTAAATATTAAATTATTATCACTGGAATCTTTCTCACTGCATTTCTTTGTGATCGTCACTATTTCGGCTTCATACCATGCACCACTATCAACCAATTGTACATCAACATAATCGCCAACTTTGTAAAAATCACTGGCAGATAAACTTCTTTTCTCGTCATCTTCAGTTCCTTTATCATCTGCATTATCTTTGCTACTATGGGCTGCCGTATTATCGCTTGCATCTGAAGATTTGGGTGACGTATCACTTTCATGTGCAAGCTTTTGTTGCCTAACAATCATTTGAATAGTATAACCATTTTGTATACCATAGTCAGTTATCAAATGCTCATCGACTAGCTGAAATTTGAATTTGTATAAGTAGAAAATTAATTTGTATAAGCACAAAAAAAGTGTTACATTTTCAAGTTTTTAAGTAGCTGTATGGATTTGTTTCAAAATAAACGCAACACTCAAAATTTTGGTCCAAGGACCCGGCAACACGCCTATGGGAAAAGTGGTTTCGGTTAATTTCGCTGAATTTTTGATATGTTATGCGCCTTGGCATCCTGAACAAATGTTTCAATAGCCACAGGCCCCCAACCACAACGGAATCCAAGATATAGGCCGTCCAAGTCGGCATAATGGAGTATCGGCCCTACTCAATATCTGCTTTAAGTGGAAGAGTGGTTTCGGCCAATTTCGCTGACTTACTCATATGTTATGTATCTTCGCGTTCTGAATAAATGCCTTAATGAGCACATACCGCAAGACAGAACCGGTCCCAAGATATAGGCCTTCTGAGTCAGTATAATGGAATAATCAGTCCTACTCGAATATCTGCTTCAAGTGAAAGAGTGGTTTCAGTTAATTTCGCTAAGTTTTTTAATATGTAAAGTGTCTCTGCATCATGAACAAATAATAATAATAATAATAATAATAATAATAATAATATTTATTCACTCAATGTACAAAGATAACAAACAATATGAGTAAATAAATATAAAATCAAAACAGGCCCAATAGAAGGCATCGCCTGTACATGGACCAATAAATTTAAGTTGAAACTGTAGAATGCAAATGACAAAAAAGGACAAAAATTAGCTACAGTAGATTATGTATTTAGTTGATGTTTGTATTTATGAGTTTATGAATTTCAGTCCTAGATATAGAATGTAGCCACTTTTTTAAATTTCTTTTGAAACAATTTCCGAAACGTAAATCTTTTAAGTCTTTAGGTATAATTTCATAAAATTTAGGCGCTAAATAGAGATATGATCGCTGCATTATAGATTTATGCGGTTGAGGAACTACTGTGCCACGAATTTTGTACCTGGTATAATGATTATGTTTAATTTTTTGGTCGGTGTTTACAAATTTATGGTAGTGAGTGATACTGTGTAAGAAGTAAAGCTGTCTTATATCATATATTCGAACATCTGCGTATAATTTTTCAGTTGGATAAAGTTTCGGTTTTTTAAATATCATTTTTAGAATACTTTTTTGAAAAACATCTAAATTATAGATATGTGAGGAACATGCAGCTCCCCATGCTAATATACCATATGTGAGATGAGGCTCAATCAGTGCATGGTATAATGTTCGAAGATATTTTTCTGTCAATATATTCCCAAGGTATTTAATTTTGTAGGATACAAATCTAACTTTCTTTAAAATATAATTGACATGGATGTCCCATCGTAAGTGAGGATCCAAGACCACTCCAAGGTATTTTATGTTGGGCTCTCTATTAATTTGCATTTTTTGATCATTAATATTGAAGGAGAAATTTGTGTAATTTGGCAGATGTCTAGCATAAGATCCAAATGGTAAAAAATGTGTTTTAGAGTAGTTAATGCTTAATTTTCTACTGTTAAACCACCGAATAATTTTGATAAAATCATTTTCAATTACATTTTTCAGATCAGACCAGTCAGTCCCTTCATATAATATTGCAGTATCATCTGCAAAACTAGTTATTTTGCCAACACAATTAATTTGGAAAATATCATTTAAATATATATTGAATAACAGCGGACCTAAGACAGTTCCTTGTGGGACACCACACTTAATATGCATTTCTTTACTAAATGATCCTGATATCTGCACAGATTGTGGGCGATTTGACAAATAACTTTCGATCAGTGAGTACGCGTTTCCTCTGAAACCAATTCTCTCCAATGCTTCTAATAATAATTTGTGATTAACTGTCTCGAAAGCTTTCTTTAAATCAACAAAAATGCAGATTGAAGGGATTCTGTTATCAATATTTTGATGTATTTTATTTACAATTTTAGTTATTATTATATTATTAAATGCCTTAATGGACACAGGCAAGCCAACGGGTTCCATGATATAGAGCGTCCAAGTCGGTATAATCTATTGGTTATACTGGATGGAATATATGCTTCAAGTGAAAGAGTCGTTTCGTTTAATTTCACTGAATTTTTTATATGTTATATATCTCGGCATCCTGAACAAATGCTTTGATGGTCACAGGCCCCAAAACTCAGTGCCCCAAGATGTAGGCAGACCAAGTCGGTATAATGGGATGTCGGATTTACTCAGCTATCTGCTCTATCTAGAAGAGTGGTTTCAGTTAATATAATATGAGTAATTTTCCAAATCACATGTATTGCGTCATCCTGAACAAATGTCTCAAAGATCACATCCCTTTTCCATTGGGGTTGGAAGAATTGGACTCAATTAAGTGTAGTAGCAGGTAGGCCAACAAATCTGTTAACCGGCTATGACTCAACAAGAGCGATGACAGTGACAGCTCATTGTTTTTTTTTTCTATGTAAGGGAGACTGCTACATGTGCATTAATCGAATACGTTGTTGTAAGAGGACATTTTTAGGTTACTGAGTACTGTGCAAGCATTTTCTGTTTAGTTTTCCATTGCATTATATAATTTTTGTTGCTCATGGGCGTGTTGCCGGGTCCTTTGTAACGTCATAACATTCTATTTTTTACCAGATTCCATTGATTACTCTGACAGATGGTACACGCTTTGTAAATATAAGTTTTTAATTGTAGTCACAGTTTGACTTATTGTACAGGGTAAATCAAAATGATGTTTCATTACCCCAACTTTGAGTCACTATGCGTGTGACTTTAGTTGCCAATAAGACTGCATGAACTGTGGACTATACTTGAAACATTGAAGTTCAAATGTATATAAAACTTCTGTTGCCTTTGCAAGCACCCCTCATTGGATCAATTTTCAGAGTACCCCAGGAAGTCATCAGACTGGTTACCTGCTTACCTGTTTTCCCATGAATACGAGCATTTGTTGTTCAGGAGCAACATTCATTTTATTATGGATCAACTTTCGTAATTCCATGATAGTATTAGCCTTGGATATGGGAATAAGTACATTCTCGTACTGTGACCCGGATAATTTTCTTATTACCACATGCATGGTTACGCTAAAAAGTAGATAATGTCTACACTTCCAAGAAAATTCTGTAATACAACAGTTTGTTATGATTTTACTCATGTCATCAATTTAAATAAAGAGATACGGTGGATTTATGGTTCGAGCTGGGCAACTGTTAATAAACTGTTGTATTCAGTATCAGTATATGTAAATCTATAAAAAAAGTGAAATTGCAATACTTTCAGTAACAATTTTACTTAGGAAAGTTAGAGAAGAACTATAATTTAGTTATTTCAGAATGTAAGGTTTTGTTTACATAAAACATGAGAAAAGTTGTACCTTCATATAATCCGTCCACTGCCAAACATTAACACTACTGGTATAAGTGTAACAACTGGATTCTGTGACTGGACCCTATAAGCTTCATATAATAACCAAAACAAAACAACGTTCACAACAACCTCACTCCAAGTTTCTCTCTTTTTGCTACCTTGCGAAAAGAAAACATCACAACAAAACTAACATCTTTGCTTCCTTGTCGAGTCCTACAGACATTTCCCGCCAAATATCATCACCACAAATAAAAGTCACAAAACAATAAAAAAACTTTCAGTTGGGTCGGTCTGTCAAATATGACCAGTAGCGTCCAGTAGCCAGTAGGTCAATGATGTTTAACGCTATTGCTGGTATTCTGTAATATTGATGCTGCTGAAAGTGTACTAGTACGCCCTTGCCGTAGTTGCAGCAATACTTTTTAATCATATTAAGCCTTTTCAGTTAAGAGTAGCGAGTCAAGAATGTTTGTCCTTGAAGTGCTCGCCGGCGAAACAGCAATATTGGCATCTAAGCCATACTTCAATGGACGGCAACATCGCAAGTGGCTTTTGGTCTGTCCTCCAGTGACAGTGGTCCTTAAAATCCAGAACCGCCCACCCTTTTCATTACGTGGTCATCATCGACAGCACAAAACATATACACGGTTACACAGCAAGAACGACACATAAGTCAACGGTCCGCGACAGGAATCAAATTCAAGCGGATAACCAAATGGAAATGGTATTTACCATTTTGGGTTGGTATTTACCAATCCGTTCAAGCGAGTGTAGTTATCAGTTTGGTTTTAAGATCCGTGACGTCACGAATCAGCTGTTATATGTCATAGTTATCACCGCAAAATTGTGGTATTTACCCAACTCAAGAGTAGTTTTATATTTCTGGTTATTATTTGAAATGTGACAAGTTAGAATTTTGTGGGGTATTGGATATTGTTATTGTACTTCAGCTTCAATTTTGAGAAAAATGATACAGGCTGACTTCAGTTTTACCATAAAGTGGAGCACCTTATTAGTTATACTCATTACGGTTGTTGAGGACACTTTAAATGTAGTTCCTATGCTTAACAAAGTATCCTGTGTAGCCATATACCACAAGAATATTAAAATATGGTCATATAAACTCACTAGATGATATCCACCTGTACACGGTTTTGCTAATATCTTTTTTCATCATTTCTGCTGAATCAATAAATGTTTTCTTTGACATGCGGAAAAATTTAGAGAATTGAAAGTTATCATAGCTACAAAGCCATGGTTCCATCATTAAAAAAAAAATCTGAAAAAACATGTCTCCCATGAATATTATGAAAGGTTTCTTATTTAAACTTTCCATATACAGTTGTAGACGAAAAAGCACCGATTATTAAGTGATAATAAAAATAATCAGAGATTATATACGCGCTTTTTTAAAATAAACAACTTGCAACAAAACCGCGGTTAAAACCAACGCGTTCAAGCGATTCGTGTAACTGACGTCATCAACCCGTGTGTCATCTTGAACCATATTATAACCGCGGCACATAACAGAAATTTTGGTTATTCGCTTGGATTTGATTAGGTTGTGAATATTTGACAATTGACATTTCAGCTCTTGGCAACGTTGTCGCTTATTATTTATGGAATAATCGCCGAATAATTTCACATATTGAGGATTATTAAAAAAAGCCAACAATAATATATTGCAGTCATGCAATCTAAAGAAAAAAACGAGCAAAGGGATAATTCAGATATTATTCTACCTTACCTGATGTTGGTTAACGTCATTAGCATGTGAGTTGTGTGAAACATGTAGAGCAACATTTTCACAACCTCATGGACCAAAATTTAAGGCAAACATATTTACGAAGATGAGATATTTTTGTATTGTTTCAGAGTACTAGGCAATGGAATGCATATACCTGTTGAATTCTGGAGAGAAAGAACTAACGTGCTCAATACCAGGGATTTTATACAGATCTATCTATATTTTCATATAATACAATAAATTGTTATATAATTTTGCACAGTGCATAATGTGCATTAAAAATAAATGTATTTCTAACAATCATACTACACATACTACTTTAAGCCGATACATATGATTTTACGCAAAGACATACCTATAACATAAGTAATGATTATTATTTCATCTGTGAACGTTTTCTCCAATACATATTAGACGTGTAAATACACATTAAAGTAGTAGAATTTCAATAGATGTCCCTTTCAATATCGTCAATCGTTTTGTTAATTTTCTGTGGTAATCTCCGATTTTCGTTGGATAACTGATAAATCAATATGTATATCCTTTTCAATGCCGATTGTGTCATACAGTTCTAGTTTTTCATCTTTCTGCAATAATTCTTGTTTAAAATGACTTATGCCTTTTTTCAGATCGATTTTGTATTGTTGGTGTTTGACAAGCCGTACTTGGCTTTTAATTCACTTCTTCGGTCACCGAAGCCTCTTTATTCTTTTACGTATATAATTGACGTAGTCCACTCTTGTCAACATGCTGCCAAAGTTCAAAATGACCAAAAATGTCTGTTATCTTCAACAGCGGCTCGTCTTCTTCCACTCAACTCCAGGCCTAGGTAAACAACAAAGCTAACAAGCAGCAGAACAATAATTTCTTCAGATACTCAAATAAACTAACAAACAGGAGGAGATAAGGTAGGGACTAGTTTCTAGTACGCTTATATCAAATGTAATATAAAAGTATTGCAATTTCAGACGTATGTGTGGAGCTCGCAATGTTGCTTCTCATTTATGTACAATCTGGCAACCATGTTACTTCATAAAAAAATGGCTGTTTGACAATAACATAAGTCAATCGTGTTGCTCTATGGTTAATATGGAATTCTACCTAATTCGGTGTGTATGTTTTGTGGTATATGTCTGTATATGTATTATGTTTTGTGGTCTATTTGTCTATTATTTTTTCTATAACCTCACTTTAAGTAAGAAAAATGAAAAGTCTCGGTAATTTTCATTATTTTCATTGCAGAGAGTTTTCCGATAATGTTGTAATCATAACATGTAACCACTCCACTGACTGATTATAGTGGATTTCCAAATTCTACAAGACAATTTTTAACAGAGACTTCGCCGTGGTGCAATTATTCCAATTCGTAGCTTCAAATGGATTTTTCTATTAGGACTGTATTACTTTTCCTACTCTCAGAGGCGACTGTACGCTCAACTGCTTTACCCGATGTTGGTAAATGGGATGACAATTTAACAGCTGTGAGTGCAATTTTTTCCTATGGGAAACTTGTGTTTATATGCCTTTTACGTTTTAGGGATTCAACAGCATATATTTGTCAAAGAGTTTGTACAAGGGCTCCAAAGTATTTATCAGGAGTAAGTATATAACATTATTGATATATTGCCTACAGCCAGTTAGAAGAATGAGAGGTTGCGAGGCATTTGGGGCTGGTAATAAGTAAAAAAGATACCTGCTTTGGGACAGTTGCAGAGACAGGAAACTAAGGTCGTTCTAGATACTATATGTTCAAATCAATGCAAAATCTGCAGAAAATTCAATTTTGTTTATACCAACTAAATGAACAAAGATATAGTAACACCAAACAGATTCAATGAGGTTTTGGAGTTCCTAGCAATTTGAATACTTTTATGGAACTAGCTGGGTTATTAAGGAAAAAGAACTAGAACTGAGCTGAGAAGTTGCGTCAGTGGTCTTTAAACACAAAAGTTATGGCCTTCTGGAATTATGTAACTATGCATTTTAGCCTGACTGTAATTTTTAGCAGGATCTTGAAGATTCTGATCCCCATAATTTGGCAGTGTTCTAAAGTGATCCTAACCCACTAAAGCGTCTGCAGTTTTATAGTTCTAAGGTCCAATTTCACTAACAGGAGATCAAAATTTCTGGTCTCGAACATAATGGACCAATGAGAAGGCATCTTTCTAGTCATAGGTTTGATGACTATAGTCAATTTTTTTCTAAAATATCACTCAAACTTGCAGAAAAATATATGATTTTTGTAAGAAGGAAATGATATTGAATTAAGTAATTCTTTATAAATTATCTGGTTTAGCTAGAAAAACATATTTTTTCAATTGATCTGAAGATTAAAACCTATTATTCGGATCAACAATGAGAGGAGCTTTAATCCCTTGCCCAAATTGTGGATCAAATCAGATATAATGCCTAGATTGATATGAAATCAGTTACTGAGCACTTGAAAAGAACACTGTACTTACCTGAGAGAAATAATTATTAACATGCTTGTATTAGCTTGGTCTGTATGTATGTAACCAAACTAAAAGGTAGAAAATAATTTTTAATTACAAAGAGTTTATATTGTAGATGGTCGAACAACACTGGACAACAAATTTTAGTTTTTTAATTGTATCTTGTGGGAAAAGTGCACTTCTTTGTTAATTTTGGGGCGCTGAATCCAAAAATGACAATGAAATAAAAAAACTAGTTGCGGTTTAGAAAAAAACTTTTTATTTTTAAGGATATATTATAAAAAGTAACAAGATTCATATACTTATAAGAATCACTATATGCGCTGTCTTTTTGCTGTTCTTTTATGGATGGTTTCTGGAGCATCTCTACCAAGAGTCCAACAGTAGTCTGCAAGCATGGAAGGATTCCACTTTCCCTGGTACCCTTTTTCCATTGTTGAAATATCCTGATGAAAACGTTCTCCGTGCTCATCACTTACGGCTCCGCAATTGTCAGGAAAAAAGTCCAGGTGTGAGTGTAGGAAATGTATCTTAAGAGACATATTACAGCCCATCTTTTGATAAGATGACTGCATATTATTGACAAGGGTTTTATAGTTGTCAGCTTTTCTATTTCCCAAGAAATTAGTGACCACCAGACGGAAATCATTCCAAGCAGTTTTTTCAATACCTGTTAAAGTGTTTTCAAACTGTATATCTTTCAAAATATTTCGAATCTGTGGCCCAACAAAAATACCTTCTTTAACCTTTAGTCTTGGAAATTTCTGACGCAGGTATTGAAAATCTGATCCATCTCTATCTAATGCCTTGACAAAGTTTTTCATTAGGCCCAACTTGATATGCAGTGGTGGTAATAAATTTTTTTTCGAATCTACTAATGGCATACGCTGTACATTTTTTTGACCTGGCTCTAGGAATTGACAAACAGGCCAGTTTTGTCTGCCTTTGCCCGACTGTCCCATTCACACAAAAAACAGCAAAACTTTGTGTAGCCTAGCTGCAGCCCAAGTAAAAGTGCAACAACTTTCAAATCGCCACAAATATGCCATTGGTGCTCATCGTATTTTATGCATGTCAATAGGTACTTCATATTGTCATATGATTCTTTCATGTGAACTGCATACCCTACAGGAAGAGATGGTAAAATATTTCCAATATGCAATAACACTGCCTTTAAACTCAATGTTGAACTGTCTATAAACAATCTCCATTCTTCTGGGTTATAGTTTATATTTAAAGCCGCCAGTAAGCCGTTAATGTTACTGCAGAAAACCAAGTTATTCTCCATATTGAAAAATGGTTCTAAGTCTTTGTGGCGTTTACGAAAAACACATACCGAAACATCGTCTTCTAACAAGTTCCACTGCTGCAGTCTTGATCCAAGTAACTCTGCCTTACATTTTGGAAGTTCTAAATCTCTTAAAAGATCATTTAATTCTGACTGTGTTATTTTGTGCGGTTGGTGGCATGACGTGCTCGGTATAAAATCAGGATCTCTTGACGTTGATGGCATATCTTCTTCCTGACGAATCACTCGATCGCCATGATGTGATTCGTTTTCTGATTCGCAAGTGTAGGATTCTGGGGGTTTTGGAATAGGATTTTCGTCACTGTGAGCCACAGGTCTCATCGCAGATGGTATGTTTGGGTACTTAATAACCGATTTTTTTTCTTGGACATACCTGTGGCTTGTCCAACACAAGGTACCATGCAAAAGTAACAATCATTAATATGATTTGTAGGCTCTCTCCAAACCATTGGGACAGCAAAGCGCATAGACCGTTTTTTGCCATTTAACCAGCTCCTCAGACTTGAAGCACATGTATTGCAGCAGATGTGGGGTGCCCACTGTTTGTCTTGATCACCTAGTTTACAACCGAAATAAAGCTGATATGCCTTTGTTATTAGTGGAGTAATAGACCGTCTCTGAGACGCAAAAATCACATCACCACACACGTAACAAAACTGATCTGGATTGTTTACACACTTTCGAGACATCTCTCTCAAAATCTTTCCTTGCCGAATATAAAAATGTAGCACGTGCATTCTTGTGAATTACAGTATATTAACACTGTCACAGCAGGAACACATATAATTACCGTATCTCTAAAACTTGAACTAATATTGAAAAATAAGTTTCATTCCGGTTTTAGCACATTAAAAATAGTAATATTTTGTTGATTTTATTTAGGATATTTTTTGGCTGTTGATCAGTGCAATCAATCATAATTAATGACCTCAAAATAAAATTTAAGTTATTAGAATAATTCAATTCAGAGTTAAAAGCATGGGGTGCTTGATATATTAAATGTTACAATCATCGTATTGGCAACTGCATATCTATGAGAGTAGAGTTATGAAAATCTAGTAAAGTGCACCCCACACTTTCTACTCTTAATGGAATGATTCTGTTAATAACTTAAATTTTATTATAATTTTATTTTGAGATCATTAATTATGACTGATTGTTCGACCATCTACTACTAATTGTAATTATAAACTCTTTTCTTCTCTTTTTTTTTAAATATTATTTATTTCAGAAAAAACATGTATTTTTAAAATGAATCAACGTTTCAATTATCGGTCAAATTGCCGTCTAATATTGTAATTTGTTGACATATGAACCAGTGTTTGGCACACACACATCCTCTGTGTGTGCTTGATATTTATGCAAAGTATTGGAAATAGTATTTCAGTATGCATATAATTAACGTATGTATGTATGTTTTTTGTGGAAAATTCTAGTCACAGAAGTGTCTATTGCTCAGCGAAAAGTCGTGAGGCTGAAATCGCGGTAAATCAACCAAATAAAGGTATTACACTCCATTTTGGCTAATTTAATTGGATTGAAAAATAAATGCTATTAGGTTCAACTACTCTGTGTTTAGGTAATAAACATTTGTGTGCTAATATGTATTATTCATATTTAGTGTTATTTGCATGTCAAATGTATCAACTGACAATAGTATTTTTTCATATGAACGCTGTCTTGGAATTGGGTACCTTTAAATACTACTATGAATAGTATTATCTCAATTAAATTTGTGTCGTTCATCGTGACATAAATAAATGAACTATAGTCATAACAAAATGCAAAATCAAAAATTGTGTTTGATTTCTCAAAAGTTCAATAGGGAATCCATAAGTTGAGGATGAAAATCTTAAGCAGAAATGTCTAATTGAGAATTTGGCTACGCCCTCTTTTAGAGGAGAAACAGTGGCAATGGTAATATGCATTTTATTTTAAAACCCCATTTCAAATGAATCCAGGAAATAACACTTCAATAAATCCGGTACACGAAACAAATTACTATCTGATACTTTCAAGGTCTACCTAGAAAATTCTTTTTTTTTAGTTAAGTCAGGTTTGGAAATGTCCATGTATGACATTATATACAGGGTGTCCGCAAAGTTGAGGTTTTCCTTTTCAGAAACAACTACCCTTGAAATAAGAAAGGTAATGTGTAGTGAAACGAGGGCGACCAAGTAAAAAAAAATAAAGGAAAAAGTACTCACTCTCCAGTTGACGAGAAGGGCTAAGTACGTCTCTGCCCGAAATCACACCGCTCCAACAGAAAATGTAATCGGCTAATGCGCTACCGAGCAGACGTGAACAGTCTAGGTATTGCATCCCGTCCAATCGATTTGGGAGAATAAATGGTCCAATGAGCCTACCGTTCACCATGCCAGCCCAAACATTCACCGAAAATGTTTGTTGAAAATGAGTGTTGCGAAAGTTATTCACCCCATTACGCGTGAACGTAGATTCGTTTGTCACCAATATGCACTTCAAAAAGTCCGGATTATTGTCATGTTGATGCAACAACCACTCACAAAACCGCACTCTTGCTGTAAAATCGTCAGGTTGAAGGGCTTGTACACGTTGGACGTGAAACGGATACAGCCCCTCTTCACGCAGCGTTTGTCACACTTTAGTTTTTGATACTTGCACTTCTCTAGCCACGTCTCTAGTGCTTGTTGTTTTTTGAAACGCAATCGATTATACGAGTTCGTTTACCTCTACACGCGTGACCGTAACCATCGGTTGAAGGTTGCATACTGACCTGACACACTGACCCCGACCCCCGACCCAGTTCTGTCGTCGGGTTCAGCTAGTAGTCGGTACCAGATGGGGATATCGCGAGTCGCGGCTACAGGACGGTATTCAGATATTTTTGATGTTGCAGAGCCCTTTATCTCGGTTCCCTTAAGACATTGGTGTATATGGTACTAAGAAAAGTTGCTTATGTTTTCAAGATCTACACGTCGTGTAAAGGAAAACCCCAACTTTGCGGATACCATGTATATTTGGAATCATAATTAAAAACTCTATTCATCTATGCAAAAGTCCAATACGTATGTTAGAAAAAGTAAAGTTGATGCTGGAGGGCATAAGACGAAACGTAATATTGAAATTCTAATTGTACCATCTTGTAGAGGAGAAAAAGTGACATTAACTTATTTCAAAATGAGGTCAGGAAAAAATTAAAACGATTTTGGGAAAATTCGGTTTTGTCATCTCTCTTCGGAAGTACTGTCAAAATGCAAACTTTCTAAGCTTCAATTAAAAGTAACCGAAATACGCAACGTTGCCCTCACTTAAACCACTTGGTATGTCTTAAGGGCCTTTTATACGATCAGTTCAGTTCTCATTTCAGTCCGCAAAGACCTACATTTGTACACGATCCTTTTTAATCGTCTCAGTTGTCTATTCAGTTCCGAGTTCGTGAAACTGAAACTGAAGTGAGAACTGAACTGATCCTTTAAAAGGCCCATAATCGTTCCCGAGATTGCGATGGTGAGGGTCGAATTTGAAACACTCCAAATACTTATAGTAGCTGAAACTACCATTAGTTTGCAGTATCTTCAACTGTCCAGGCAAAAACGTTATGACCCCGATCTACAAAGGATTTGCACGCTCCGGCGACGATGATCATGTTCTTCCAATTTGGGGTGTGTAAAAATATATGCTAGAATGGCATTTCAGTTAATTGTGAATTCTTATACATTTAATACATATAATAATATAATGCTTTAATATCATGAAATCAAGATTAAGTGTTAAGTAATGTCGCAAATTATGGCGCCTAGAATCTCGTGAAAATGTTCGTATCCTTTGTTTTTGGACACCTAGTGACCCTCTTACTTCCTTATTATGCCCTTCCAGATGAAAAAGTTTTATATAAAAGGTATAGGTTCTAATATGAAGTTCTTCGTGTAATATTTATTTTGTATACTAGTATACAGTATAGGGTGTCTCATAAAACTGCTATCGAATAAAGTTGTATTTTTTTTAAATTCAGGGAAAATGATAGTCCTTTTTTTCTGATTCAAAACATATATATTTTTTATCATACTTATTTGCCGTACCTACAAGTCTCACTTAATTCCGTAACACAACGCAAATAACGACACTTGTAATTACAAGTGCAAGAAAGGACTGATCCATTACAATTGTAGCTACAGATGTACGCCTTGTATTAAACAGTTTCAGCATGTTTTGGATATATTTTGTGATTTAGGTCCGTACTGTGAAGGCGACATCTTCGGTATACGAGGATGTACCCAAAAATAACCGGATAGCATTGCAGTGGGCGGAGCTTGTGTAGTACACATTTCTGCCCTTGGAGACGTACAGCGCAACTCATTACCAGTTCATGCCACCTGAACTGTCGATCTGGCTTGTTTCGTTCCTCTGTAGTCATTATTTTTACTAGAGCTGTTTTGTGCTTGCTTCGTTTTTTACGATGGCAAGCCTCAGTGAGCAACGTGCAGCTGTGAAATTTAGCTTTCTAATTGGTAAAGATGCTACTGAAACTGTTTTAATGTTGAAAATAGCTTACGAAGATGATGGTATGGGAAAAACTCAGGTGTATGAGTGGTTTGCTCGATTTAAAATTGACGAAATGTCGATTGATGGCAAACCTCGCGACATCGCTGTCACTATTATAATGCCATTACCAATTCCTACCTAGAGATATAAATATTAATAATTATAGAAAATCCTATAACTCTATTCTACAAGTGTCGATATATTGATACACAATACATCTACAATTGTAGTTTTTCTTCTGTAATTACTGGCGCGGCACATGTAGCTACATGTGATGTTGTGATACGAAATAATTACAAATGTAAAGCGATTTTTTACAATTGTACAACTTGTTGCATTTGTGTTACAGGGCTCTGCTATACATATGATTGAATGACGCAAACTTCAAGTTTCTGACTAAAATAATAAAAATAAGTTTGACAAACTATATATATATATATGTATTTGGAATCAAAAAAAAGGAAGTATACTCACTGATAATATACAGAGTGTTCCAGTTAAAAACTACAACTTTATTCGATAGCACTTTTCTGCAGCATCTGATATACAAAATATTACATGAAAAAATCGGTCGATTCGTTTTTAAGAAAATTAGAAAAATCTTTGTGTTCAAAATGTTGCCCGTTATTGATCAAACAATTATATAGACGATGTTCAAATTCCTAACGGACATTTTCAAAAATATGTTGTTGGATATCATGGCAGCTTTCGATGATGCGTTGACAAAGTTGATCCAAACTTTCAGGTTGGGGAGTAAACACAATAGATTTCAAATGGCCCCATAGAAAAAAGTCTAATGGCGTGATTCTATAGGCTCTCTTCGCCCTATCCATTTATCTGGAAACTCTTCAACTAGCCATTGCCGAACCGGAAGAACATAGTGTGGAGGAGCGCCATCTTGCTGGAAATATATTTCGACCTCATCAAGTATAGGGTTTCCATCCTTTTTGATTTGGTTTTCAATGGTGTCGGTGATAAGCGGATTGATGGTATTTTCCAACATACCCAAATGAATGTCGTCATTCAAATTTCCATTAATAAACAATGGCCCAATCACTTTGTTTCCTAAAATGCCTGCCCATACATTAATTTTTTGGGGGTACTGGCTATGCCCTTTTACAAAAGCATGAGGACTTTCATTGCTTCAATAACTGCAGTTATGCTTATTAAGAAATCCATTTAGATAAAATGTGCATTAATCACTGAAGCAGGTATTCGGCTTCATCAAAAACTCTCCGATGATAACTTTTTTTATCTGTTGCAAGATCCAGTTTGAGTAAATTTAGTAAAAAGGTCCAAAACAGACCTATGCGAAATTATCAGCATAAATTAGAATCATTTCCACTCTTTCGGCTAGTGTGTAAACCATTTTGGAAGTAAAATCTGAATCAATAAATTTTCACTATCCCAAGATTAATTTTCTCGAAAACGAATCGACTGATTTAAAAAAATCAAACGTCAAAATGGACTTCGAAAGACCTTTCAAACAAGGTATTACTCGATACCCCTTGTTACTTAACATTTTTAAGGGAATGACCCTGGGGACCGAAGGTAACAGGGGTGGAGTAGTTTTTGGTTAACAAATCTTGACGTGTCTCGGAGTTTTTTTTTGATCAGTGGTTTTCAATAAATCCGTGGTGGCTGGGAAGTTTCCAAATGAACACCCTGTATATTGTTTTGATTTATTTTACAGTAAATTGTGCTTCTAAGTTACCAGACTCAAAAGTAGAAGTAAATCTAGTCATTCTTCAATCTATGTGCTGGGATATTATGGATGCTCTAGATGAAGTTAAACGTGTAAGTATGATGTTATTGAAAAATTACAATACTTTCTGAAATGTAAGTCTGCTAGTTATGATAAGACGCTGATATTCCAAATTTTCTTTCAGAAATAGCGATTTAGATATTTCGGGCGTTAAGTGGGTGTGACTTGTTTCTTATTCTATTTTAAATTATGACGTATCCTGTCGTTGCAGTTGATAGATATTTCAGATTTGATTATCTCGTATTTTTATTATGCGTAATAAAAAATATTACGAAAAATCAACAACTCGTCATGTTAGTAATACTAGGAGAGGGAAATATTTGAACTGTGGAGGTGACTATACAGGGTGGCCGATATGTAACCGACTGGTTTGTATCTTGAATATTTATGAAATGAAGTAAAATACGTCATTTTTTTTCATCTTAATCTTTTATTGAAACTTAGAAATTATGTATGAAAAATAATATCAGACAAATGTCTGCTTATAGAAATCGCACAAACCTGAGCTCCCTCGATTATAATTTCCATCACTTTTTGGTAGGTTTCGGGAGGAATATTTTTAATCGCTTCCGTAATATTGTTCTTTAGCTGCTCTACAGTATTTGGTTTGTTAGCATAAACCCTATTTTTGGGCGCGCAATTTAAATCAGTTAGTTATGTATTGGCCATCCTAGATAACCCAGGTTGACAAAATGGTGGTGTTTGCTGGAGGGTACCACTATATTTTCTTATGATTTTTTCTCCCAATGAACACGAATCTGAAGAAATAAAATTAAAGACGATAAAAATCATAATATATAATAACGTGGGATTATAGGAGGATGCAGGAAAAAGGGGGGACGTCAGACGGACTGTAGCGAGGGAGCATACACATTTTATCCGATATCCATAGCGAAGAGAAAAATTATACTGGGACGGGATTCGAACCCGATTTACCAATAGTCCATGCGCCATTCGAATTCGTTTCTACTCTTTGCACCGAAGAAAAGAGCTTTTTAAATCAAGAATTGTAAACTTTTCAAGTGGGAGACGTACTTTTATTAAATTGCCTTCTCCTCTGGGTGGAAATCGTTAGCAGCTTTCCAAGGAATTAGCCAACGAATTTCGTTTAATTACCAAGACAAGATAGGTAGTGGCTAATGATTAATTAAGTCATGTAGCTTGACATTTTTAGAAACTGCTTGACTTGATTTTTCTGTTATTCTACTTGCCTTGATTGCAAGTATACTAAGTGACATATAAATCCGAACACCCAGTTTAAATGGTTTTATTTTAATAAAATTTTGTATAATTACTTAATGAAGTATAATAAATAAATGATACAAATTTTAAAATGATTGCACTGCTTTAAAGCCCTTTGACTTTTAATAATGTGTGGATGCACCCTGATGTGCTACGCAGGTGGTCAATGTCCTGCTGTGGTATCTCATTCCAGGCAACCACCAACTCCTCTCGAAGTGCTTCTAGAGTCTGAGGAGGACGTTGCAAATTGAGCAATCTCCTACCCATCATAACCCACACGTGCTCAATTGGGGATAAGTCGGGAGATCTTGGTGGCCATGGTAACAATGTGACATCATTATGTTGAAAGAAGTCTATTGTGACTCTTGCAACATGTGGTCGGGCATTATCTTGTTGGAAAGTTGGATCTGCCAGGGTGTCAAGATAGGGTAAAAGATGGGGTTCTAGAATTTCGTGGATATAACGCTGCGCGTTCATGTTACCTCTGATGAAGATTAAAGATGACCTGGAACCATAAGCTATAGCACCCCAAACCATAACTCCAACAGTGTGATGAACATGTCTTTCAACAAAAAACTGTGGATTCCTCCTTTCACCACGTCGCCTTCTAACCCTGGCACGACGATCGTGCATGCCTAAACAAAATCGAGACTCGTCACTAAAGACAATACTGTTCCATTCTCGATCCCAGAGTGACCGTTGTCTGCACCACTCAAGGCGATTACGTCGGTGTTCTAGAGTTAAAGGGAGGTCCCAGTGTGGCCGGTATGAAAACAAGCCAAAACTTCTCATTCGTCGGTAAACACTTCGCATGCCAATAGGTCTTCCGTGTTCTGCAAACCATTCATTTGCAATGGACCTGGTAGTGGAGAAACGGTCCCTTAAGGCCAATAATCTTAGGCGACGATCTTCACGGTCTGTTGTTCTACGGCGGCGTCCAGTGCCCCTTGCTCTTTGCGTACGGCCTTCTCGAAGCCATGCCTGACAATACCTAACCACAGTGTCTACACTTCTTTGCACTCTAACTGCAATTGCCCGAAAAGAAAGTCCAGCTTCCCGAAGTCCCACTATACGGCCCCTATCAAACTCACTAAGTTGACGAAATCGTACAGGTCTCCGTACTCTAGGCATCGTAACCGATCCTAAAGGATGTCAAGAACCAAAATCCGCCAACGTTGATTCTTTACTGCGGCTGAAATATTCATTTTTAGAGCGTTAGTGAATTAAAAAAAAGCAGTATAAAAACCGGAATGTCCAACTGATAAGGCTGAACATTTTTTCACTTGTTATTTACAGTAAGAAATACATTCACCAACTTTTATTAAAATAAAACCATTTAAACTGGGTGTACGGATTTATATGTCACTTAGTATATTTTAAAACTACTTATTTGTCCAATCGACGAACTGTATTTTGTATTTTAACGCAGATAATCACGCGTGGTGGAAAAGGCATGAAAATGTATTCCCCTGTTTTATATATACTCAGTGACATTAGAAGTATGACACCCAGAAAAAATTAATTCAACTTGAATTTTTGGCAACGAGGTAGTCTTACATGAAGAATGAAATTTTATTGACAAGTAATCAGAAAAAAATAATAATAATGAGATACCTCTAGGCATCGTCATAATAAGATGATCTATGTCTAGTTGTGGCTCCTCATTCCAAGCAACTCGAACTTCGTGATTAGCTGTGGCGGATTGTGCAAAGTGGTTAGTCTCCTCCTCATCATATTCCACGCATGTTCGATGGGATTTAAATCCGGTGAACGGGATGGCCACGGCAATACAATCACGCCTGCTTCTTGAAGAAAGCCCGTAGTATGACGAGCAATATGGAGACGTACGTCGTCTTGCTGAAAAAGGACGTGTGGACGGCCCTCTAGATACGGCAGTAAAGTGGTTTGTAGGACATCATCAACATAACGCGCAGTAGTCCTGTTGCCTTGAACAAAGAGAAGGGCTGATCGGCTACCATAGGCAATAACCCCCCAAACCATTACTCCAACAGTCTTGTGTACATGGCTCTCAACAGCAAATCCAATATTACGTCGTTCTCCACGGCGGCGTCTTACCCTTCTGCGACCATCGTGCGTACCTAGACAGAATCGCGATTCGTAGCTGAAGATGACATTATACCATTCTGCGTTCCATTGTTGCCGTTCTCTGCTCCAGTTCAAACGTTGACGACCCTGGTCCGCAGCCAGACGAAGCACTAACCGTGGACGGTATGAAAAAAGTCCAGAGGCTCGAATGCGGAGATAGAGTGTACGCACAGTAACAGGTTTACCTTCTTCTCCAAACCATTGGTCATCGATCTGACGCGTAGTAGCAAAACGGTCTATCTACACACGACACACACATTACCGTCATTGCAGTACAATTAACACGGCACCCAATTTCGCGATAGGACAAACCAACATCTCGATAGGCAATAATTCTACCTCTGTCTAAGTCGCTAGCATGGTGATAATTTGGACGTTTTCGAACTCGAGGCATTTTGTTATGCTTAACACCTTTTAATGAAAGGGCAATTACTGAAGATACGTGTACTACTCAGCTCTTAGAAACTGTTTTCTTCACAAAAACTAAGAGATAACAGTTTAACAAGGGTAAACAAAAACAAGGATAAAACGTTGACAGTGTTGGCACAGCATGCTTTAAATATAGTTATTACGTTGTCAAAAACAAGTTGAAGAAATTATTTTTCTGTGTGTAACACTTCTGTTAGTGAGAGTATAGATTGATATGTAGAGGTCAAATATTCATCGTACCCAAGTAAACCTACCACGATTCGATTTCGCTTTTTGAAACGGCTTGTCTGATCCCTTTTCTTTGAAACCTAGAACGAAGGCGTAGGAAGTGTAGAGTCAATCCATTTCTTCATTCGATCTTCTTTTTCGAGATTCTCACCATATATATATTTTTCTAGGAAATATCATCCGCCAATCCAGTCTTAAAAAACTCATCGAAGGTGTATCACGATTACCAGATATACGAGTGCAATGACCACTTTTTCTTCAGAGAAGTAGGCGTCGCAGTAGATAACTCTCGACAAAGAATCGACGTTTCTAATCCAGTGCATATTATTAATCGTGACGGAGTTTATGTTCTGGCACTCAAGATTAATACCAACACTACAGAGTACAATGTAGGCGTGCATATCGAGATGAAAAGTGACTATGGCTATTTATCTGCGGCCGATTCGCCGCTGCTGCCATTCTATGGTTTCATGTGTATCTACTATGTCATTTTGGGAGTGATATGGCTCGTCTTGTCCTTCATGCAATGGCGAGATTTACTGAGGGTGCAGTTTTGGATTGGTGGAGTCATATTGTTGGGTATGCTGGAAAAGGCAACGTTTTATGCCGAATATCAAAGTATCAACAATATTGGAACTAGGTGAGTATGAGCCATTTTCAAAATGTTTCAAATATACCAAGTGACATATAAAATGCAACATCCAGAATTATTTATTGAATTTACATTTTTCGACTCGATCGTTATTCGTGCTCGTACCTCGTTGGTTCGTACTCGCTCGTAGAGCGTAGAGTTTTTAGTTTCAGAAACGGTTTCACTTTCTACTTAAACGTAACGGCAACTTGAAAAAAATAAAAACGAATAACCGCACCGACGAAGGGAGGTGAAAAAACAAAAAAGATAACCGCTTAATATTACTGATTTCCAGGATGCAAGGCGCAATGTTGTTTGCTGAATGGGTATCGTGCGCTAAACGTACGCTGGCGCGCATGCTTGTGGTGATAGTCAGCCTGGGATTTGGCATCGTGAAGCCACGTCTCGGTGCTACGTTGCACCGCATCGTCGGCGTAGGCCTGCTATATTTTATCCTAGCAGCCTCCGAGGGGTACCTTCGCATCACGAAGGCTAAAAATGATCCGAGCAAGGATATTCTCGTGGCTTCTGTACCATTGGCGGTACTTGACTCTGCGATATGCTGGTGGATCTTCTCGGCATTGGTCAACACGACCAGGACGTTAAGGTTAGTATACATAGGGTTGATTAAAAGTTTGGAAGCGGTCGAATATCTTGGAAAGTAGTGTGGACCTATATTTATCTGTGTTTAGTTTATCATATTCAGTCAACCCTTGACGGAATATACAGGACGTTCGAAAATGCCCATTATTTTCCTATTTTTTTGTTATATACCTTTCCCCGCACGATTATTTTCTATATATATATATATATATATATCTACTAGCACTACAGGCCTAGTAAGCCCAACGCTTGATTGACGATCCTTCGCCATACTTCTCTATTCATTGCTCTTCTTTCGCAATCACTTAAGCTTAATTTTCTCAGGTCATCTTTCACCTGTTTTCCACCTCGTCCTAGGTCTGCCTCTCCTTTTCTTCCCTCCTATTGAATGGGTAAGCAATGCCTTTGGTACTCTATGTTCTGCCATTCTTTGCACGTGTCCCAACTATCTCAACCTCTGAGCTGTTATGACCGCCGTTATGTTGGGCTCTTTAAACAGTTCTTTCAACTCATCATTTGTTCTTCGGGTCCACGCGCCATCATATAACATTTTACAACCAAAAATATTCCTTAACACCTTCCGTTCCTGTATCTCCAGCTTTGCTTGTTCTGCCTTTGTTATCGTCCATGTTACACATGCATACGTGACTAGTGGCCTTATTAGCATTTTGTAGATCCTGATTTAAGTCCGCTTGCTTTTCATTAGTCCTTTTATCGCATATATGGCACGATTTCATGCCATCATTCTTTTGTATATTTCCTCTCTGTTGCCCGGCTTTGATGTAAATACTGTGCTCAAGTAGTCAAACTTATTGATTTCTCCTTTTGTTGTGGTCATTATTAAGTGCTGTCTTTTGTCAAGTTCTTTATCTGCCCATTCCATGTAATTTGTCTTTTCTACAAATGCTTTGCTTCGTGCTTTTTCTTCTAGTCTCTTTATGGTGTCTATAAGTTTGACTTTACTTCTGGCCAGAATGACCAGGTCGTCAGCAAATGCTAGGCATTGATGATTTCTGTAATATACTAAACCAGCCCTGATTATGTTTGCTTCTTGTATAGTTGTTCGAGCACAATATTAAATAGCAGCGATGACAGTGGATCTCCCTAACGGATTCCTTCTTTGACTTCAAACTTTTCTGTAAATCTGGTGTTTGTCTTGACCCTGTTTTCTGTTTTTTCCAGCGGTATTTTAATCATATTAATCTATTTCGCATTTCCAATCCTTCTCTGCATTGATCATCAAACCAAGGTTGCTGTTTCTCTGTAGTGCCCTTGTTAGCACCCTTAGCTGCGCGTATCATAGCTGTTTTGACAGCGTTCCGTGCCTGATCTACGTTTTCGTTCTGCGTAATGCTATTCAATTCTTTGGTAATGCTATCTTCATATTCTTTCCGTTCTTCTTCAGTTTTTAGTCTGTTTGGTCTGAATTTCTTGTTGTTTTGATTCCTACGTATTGATATCATCTCTCTCAACATTGTTCCAACGATGAAGTGGTCCGCATCGGGTCCTCTGTAGGTTCTTACGTTCGTAATACATTTTTCTGCTTGTATTTCCACCAAAAAAAATGTCTTCTAGAAACCGCATCAATTGGTCATGTACTATGATAATAACCAATAATTTTTCAATATCTTATAACACATGTACTGATCTTCTCATATCGCTGCATTTTCTAGAATATTCATTTTGGGAACTGGCTCTTTGTTTAGCATTTCAAAATTTCAGGCAAAGAATTCCTTCTCAATGAAAAATTGGTCCAATTTAATACAGGATATCCCAAAATTTCGAAACAGGACGCGTTGTTAGATTTTAAACTGTACATTTTTTTTTTTGGAAACAGATTTTCATATAGTCCGGTGCAGCAATGACAGTACTCACAATATCAACAACATTTTCCACAAAATATTCATTTAGTTTATTTGCCATCACCAAGGTATTTGTTTCGGTTCAGTTTTCGAATTGAATTTGATTTATACAGGGTTATCCAAATTAAGTGTCCACCATTAGTAACTTTGTTATTAGTGAAAATACAAAGTTGTTTGAATTAGCAAACTAGTAGCATTTTTAACGCTGGTAAAAATGAGAAATAAAAAAAAAACAATTGAGAGTCGTTATTTTGATTTTTTTCAGTAAAATAACATTTTTTTAAATGGAAACCCCTGTATATTATATTTTTTTCTGTTAAAGCATCAAATTTTAAACAAAAAAGTTCATAATGACTTTTCCGCTAAAGTCAAAAATAAAGTCAAAATAACGATAAATATTTTTAATTATTTGCAGTATTATAATATTAAGACGGCTATGAAAACAACATGGCGTTCGCGATTTGACAGCATTAAGATAAGCGACAAATTGTTAAACTGGACATACTCGCAACTAGAAGGCTTTGGAAAACAATGATAAAATCAAATAATGTCAAACATTAGTGTAAATACTTGTTTATAAGCTTTATTGTGTCATTAATTTAAAGAAAAATGTTCTCCCATGAAGAAAAGTGTGATATGTTAGAATGCTATTTAGTGTGCAGAAAATCCTCCTTGAGAGCAAGAGAATACTACAGTGAATTATATCCCGCTCGCATTCAACCGTATGAACGATATTTTCTGAGACTTTATCGAAAATTTAGGGGCAACGAAAATGTTTTTGCTAAAACAAGGGCAAAAAAAGAATTCATAATAAGCGAGGCCACGGAAATTGCAGTTATTGGATATTTTGAAGCTTATCGTGAGAATTCAATAGCAGATATTCTCAAGGACTCTAATTTCAGTTATGGTACTGTTCAAAGGATTTTAAAAAAATACAAATTTATTCCGTATAAGTACCGACCAGTTCAAACGCTTTTGGCAGGGGATCCAGAGAGAAGACTTGTTTTTTGCCATTGGGATCTTAGCTTCTGTCGCCAAAATGTAAATAACTTTCGTTACCTTTTATGGACAGATGAATCAAATTTTGGAATGTTTAATAGAAAAAAACCACCATTATTGGTCAAGAGAAAATCTTTTGTTAGTACATCCAAGAGGCCCACGAGTCCGTTTCAGTTTCAACGTTTGGTGCGGTATAATTGGTTCAAAAATTGTTGGCCCGTTCTTTTATGAGGGAACCCTAACTGGTGAAAGATATGTGGAATTTATGTCAGAAATTCTGACTAATTTCTTAGACGAATTGGATCTTATAAGTAGACATCATCTGCATTTTCAGCAAGATGGCGCACCTGCCCACAACTCCAGAGGTACTTATCATTTTCTAAGTACTACTTTTAATGATCAGTGGATAGGAACAAATGGCCCAATACAGTGGCCTCCCAGATCACCAGATCTAAACCCACTTGATTACTTCTTGTGGGGTTACTTAAAGAACCAAATTTACAAGCGAAGGTACGATAACCTTGACGCGTTAAAGACTGCAGTTAGGGAAAAGATAACCCAGATAGATGGTAGGACCATACTTAAGACAGTTCGAGCAGTTGAAAAACGTGCCCAAAAATGTATTGAAGAACAAGGTGGTGTTTTCGAGCATCTTCTTTAAAAAAAATTGTTATTGTATTTTGTAAGATTATGAGTTGATGTTGAAAATAAAGTTTGTCGATACAATTTAATTGTTTCAGATTGGAGGCCATAACTTCAACAATTTGTAACCTAGGAGAAAAGTTATTGTAAGATTTTTTGTTTAAAAGTTGATGCTTTAACAGAAAAAAATATAATATACAGGGGTTTCCATTTAAAAAAATGTTATTTTACTGAAAAAAAATTAAAATAACGACTCTCAATTGTTTTTTTTTATTTCTCATTTTTACCAGCGTTAAAAATGCTACTAGTTTGCTAATTCAAACAACTTTGTATTTTCACTAATAACAAAGTTACTAATGGTGGACACTTAATTTGGATAACCCTGTATAATGATGCGTCTTCGAATCAATCACTCTTTTTAAAGTTTTCCACATCTTCACACTGTCACACTTGTTATTGACGATCTTTGTATCGTAACATATCATTTTTTCTTCTTTAATTACATACAAACATGTTTTCCGAAGAGTTTTATATACCTACCAATCGTTGTTTTTATTTGTAAATATACATTTTTGATATCGTTTATCTCTCAACTTTTGTGCTGCCTGAACATTTTTCTTATACCAGGGTGTATTTTCTGTAGAGTAAGTCACCTTTTCATCAGTTGCAAGATCTATACAAGTTTTTATATTACCTATTGTTATATATTTTTCCACATTCTTGCCAAAATTCCAATAGCAGACAGCAAGTTCTCGTTCAAGTTTTCCTTAGTACTCACGATTTTCTTAATTCTTGTATCATAAAAATGTTCTACCAGGAGCAGCATTGTCCACCTGTAAACACTAACTTGAGGTGTATGTACAACTTTAATCCCTTCACATTTGAAATGTACAATGACAATATCCAACAAAGTCTCTTATGATGATGCTATTCTTGTACTTGTTTATTTTTTTGCTTGAGACTATAGTTATTTATAGTTTTTTCAATTTTCTTGTTTTTATCCTTGTGGTATAATAATTTAAATCAAAATGACCTATAAGTATTATACTGTTGCTAATTCCACATTTCTTCGCATTTCTCTTCAAAATACATTAAAATTTTATCTGTATCACTGTTATGTGAACGGTAAAAGGTCATAAAGTTTACCAAATAATTTAAACTGAATGTGTGCATACTAGTTACATATTCTAAAGCAGCAAGATCACATAACTTTATGTGTAATTTGTGGTGATAATAATAATATAATCGGTACCGAGTAACGATAAGGATCGTCACTCGTTATGATTACATTAGCAATAGCAATAACGATTGTTATTGTATGGGGTTGTCCAAAACGGACGCAGGAAAGTAAACGCATATTAAAACAAGAAAGATTGATATTCAAATCAAGTTGGGTACTTTATTTTGAAGGTTCATTGATACCATTTATGTATGAAAAATAATATCGCTCAAATGCTCACCACGACTGGATTTACAGACGTCCACGCGATGGTCGAAATTTTCAATGACATTTTGCAACGTGGTTGGTTCTATGGCATTTATCTCGGCAATGATGTTGTTTTTGAGTTCTTGGAGGGTGGCTGGTTTGTTGACGTAGACTTTGCTTTTCAAATATCTCCATAAAAAGAAGTCCAAGGGAGTCAAATCGCACGATCTTGGTGGCCATGGCACATTTCCTCTGCGCGAAATCACGCGATCACCGAAGAAGGACTGCAATCGATGGATATTGACGTTGGTTGTGTGGCATGTTGCACCGTCTTGTTGGAAATAAATATCGTCCATATCCATTCCTTCAAGTTGCGGCAAAAAATAGTCCTCTATCATCACGTGATATCGCTCAGAATTGACGGTAACAGTGCCCCCGGCCGCATTTTCGAAAAAGTAAGGTCCGATGATGCCTTTTGACCACAATGCACACCACACAGTCAGTTTTTGAGGATGCATCGGCTGCTCTTGATACTCACGGGGATTTTCGTTCGCCCAGATGCGGCAGTTTTGCTTGTTTACCGTCCAATTCAAAGTGAAATACGCTTCGTCGCTGAACATGATTTTTGATGAAAAATTGGCATCAATTTGGCGGTGTTCAAGGAGCCAATCTGAGAACGTTCGGCGCGAAAAATGGTCGGCCCGACGCAGCTCTTGCGTCAATTGGATCTTGTAGGCGTGTACATTCAAATCCTTGTGGAGAATGCGGAGCAAACTGGTTCTCGAAATGCCCAATTCTTGAGATCGACGCGTTCTTGATTGTTTCGGATCGTGTCTCACACTCTCCTTCACAACAGCAATATTTTCCGGTGTGCGAACGCTCCTTGGCCGGCCAGAGCCTGGCAGATTTGCCACAGAACCTGTTGCCTCGAATTTACGCACCAGACGACCGATGGTTGTTTCGTTTGTACGGTTGTTGCGACCGAAATGTTCACGAAGCGCGCGAAACGTGTTTTTTATTTTTGCACCATTTTTGTAGTGCTCTTGAATAACTTTAATGCGGTCTTCAATCGAATACGACTCCATAGCGATCAATGGTAAACATTCAACTAACAAAATGACATGTCGGTGACAGAAAACAAAGATGGCGTCTATGTCAAATTGACGTTTACTTTCCTGCGTCCCTATTGGACAACCCTATACTTAAACCTCAAAATGCTTTCTCTAGTGCCGGAATGAAAAATAAATATTTCGATATGCAAAAGTATCATTAACCATGAAATACTAAACACCGTTCAATCAAAGTTTGCCGTTCGTTCCTGTTCAGTCTATACTGAATGTTTGTGCTGAATTCCTGAGAGCCCTTTGTTGCGCATATTCGTAGTTCTCCTCCAATCTAGAGAGAGAACGAATTTCGCATAATCACAAGATATTTGCATAAACTGCAACCCGCTATAGCCCGCAGCGATCTTCTTGCAACCCCCACGAGGTTTTTTCCTAGTTTTCCTAGAGTGCCACCTTTCGATATACGCTTTAAGTGCCGCCCTATTTGAATTTAGAGCCCGTAAGTGAGAGAAAAGCTGGCGCCAGGAGAAACGGAGCACAAGAAGACCTCCGCTATCAGAGGTAAGGCATTAGCAATTTTTTAATCGGGACATCAGAGGGTTCAGCCAAACCAGCCTTTTTTCGCTCGCCATTGCCGGAACCGCCCCGCTAAACGCCACAGATTCATAGTTATTTTTTTGTGCTATATCGCTAAATAGACAGTTTGAAAATAATAATTTCTTATCTGCTGCAGGTTGCGTCGTAACGAAACAAAATTAAACCTCTACAGGCATTTCACCAACACTTTAGTATTTGCAGTTGTTGCATCGGTATTTTTCATGCTGTATTGCATCAAAGTGAGTACATAGTAATAAAGCATTTTTCAAAATCACTATAAGCTATAAGCGGAGTAGAATAAGTAGCTTCCAGAAAGTCGGAAAAGGGACGACGACCCAGCACTGACGTAGTATTAGGTTCTTCGGAATGTTCTTGCTGTTTTTAACCTTCAAATTCAAAGGAGCATATCCCAGCTTTAACTAAACTTTATTGATCAAAATAAAAAGCATTAGAATCAGTACACTTTTGCCAACGAGACACAAGTTTATTCATGCTGCTAACTTAGAAATCCGGAGTTCTGGAGGCGATGAACTGATTTAAGGCATTTTGGCATCGTCATGGTTAGTGAAGCATTTCTCGCGAAGGAAGTTGTCAAGGTGTTTGAAAAAGTGGTTGTCGGTGTGCGAGGTCCGGCGAATATGGTGGATGAGGCAGAATTTCATAGCCCAATTCGTTCAGCTTTTGGTTGTGCGTCGTGAGGCCAGGCATTGTCGTGGAGGAGAATTGCCCCCTTCATATTGATTAATCTAGAGCACATAAGTCTTCTGATGCATTTCGTCGATTTGCTGACGGTACTTCTCCGCCGTCATCGTTTCGGCCGGATTTAGAAAGCTTCTTTGGATGGAGTTTCGGATTTGGGAAGTGTCTGGAACCTCGTCGCTGTCCAACCATTGCGCAGAACGTCGTCTATTGTCGTAGAGAATCCACTTTTCATCTCATGCCACAATCCTCTCGAGAAGTGGGTCGTTTCTGTTGCGTAGAAGAAGGGCAGACGCCGCTTCAAAACTATGATTTTTCTGATCTTCGCTAAATTTGTGCAGCATCCATTTATCGAGATTTGTTTACTTTCCGATCCGTTTCAAGCTTCTCCGCAAGCTCACGAACAGTTGCGCGCGGGTTCGCTTCAACAAGGGCCTTTAAGTCGTCGTCGTCGACATCATGAGCTCTTCATCTTCTAAGATCTCGTGACCGCTGTGGAATTTCTTGAACCATCATTGTGCCGTACATTCGTTAGTGGTTCCTGTCTCGGCAGCTTTTCGGCCTAATTTGAACTGGAATAAGAATGAATTTGCCTCTTGTCCAGTCCTGAAGAAAAAAAAATTATCGTCAAACAATACATAAACTAAATAGAGCGATAAATGCGCTTTAAAATGATTCATAAAGTCAAAGTATTATAAATAAATTTTAGTGTAAAACACATCATTCGAAAATATAAATAACAAAAACCGCAAGAACTTTCCGAACAACCTAATAGTACTTGCGTTTCGAATGAAACTATATTTGAGAGTGAAATTCCGGTTTGTGTAAAAAAAATTAGCTTCTGTCGGTCACTGCTAAAATACATTAATTAATTGTCGAATTAAATATTCAGGTACATCATTTTGTGAGCTGCCTTACTGTATGGAAAGATATATGGCTAGAAGAAGCTTACTGGCATATCCTTTTCTCGTGTCTGCTTCTGGTCATCATGATCCTATGGCGGCCTACCAATAACAACCAACGGTATGCGTTCGTGCCTCTACTGGATCAAGGGGATGATGCAGACGAGGAAGAGCATCTTGTTAATGATGCGTTTGGAGTAAAGGTAACCATTTATGGCTATTATTTTCAAGAACGGTCACAGCCGAATAGTTCACGAGCTAGTGATTGTAGTTATGTTCCTGTCATTTTCACCAGTATCGATTACGGTTGATTATCTAGTAATATTTCAAAACTCCGCATATCGACAAGCGACACAATTATGACGGATCCGTCAACGCCAGGTAGACGCAGTCGTATTTTGTTGTGTTTTTTTTTGTACGCTACAGATTCATTTTATACTTGCTAACAACCCTTTTATTTAGAAAAGTTTCTTTTGCTTGCAAAAAATCGCTACAAGCAAAATTGTTGTTAATGATCATGACTGCATTTCGAGTCACAATTTTTGACTTTGTTAATAATCTCAACTTCATAGGATTGAAACGCCATATAATTTTAAAGGGCAGTGCAACAGCCGTATATGATACGTTACACTGATGATAGACAGTTAACCAGAAACACGTACCTATATCATTTTTACATGTTAACTTGCATCGACTGGAAAGGACAACACAGTCTGTTCTATCGATTCACAATAAATAAATTTGTTAAACGGTGTATCGGTTTTTAGAGGAATTATGTCAGAAGCTACAATTTTGCTGGTAGACTTGGATATACAGCATGTTTCAGGAAGACGGGCCAATATTTCTAATTTTACATCCAAAACTACCAGAAAAAAGTTTCTATGATTATAAAATGCCATTCAATTTTCCACAAATTTTGTCTCTTAAGGAATTTTTGTCAGATCACTCGCCTTGGAGATATTCAGGTTTGAATATTTGAGGTAAGATTCTAAAATATTGTTATGAAAAGAAATTTAACTACCCCTATTCTGAAAACAACATGAAGCTTGATATTGGGAAACTATAAGACTAATGAATAAAGCTACGACATTTATTGAATAATATGCCCTTATCCTCAATCAGTAGAATGGAGGCTTACCATTCATTAAACCTTTTCTGTTCACGCCACTGGTTTTGCCGGCATATTCATTTTTGTTTATATATTTTAAAACAAAGGAAACATTTATTCCGAAAGTAAATAAGTTAAAATCGAAAACAGTAAAAATTACATTTGATGCCACTTATGTGGTTATTTATAAATGTATGAGGACATAACATTGGGAACAAATAATAAATCTGAATAAGTGCTATAACATCCAACCTAAAGGAGGTGTTGAAACTGACCATCTCTGCATTGAGCAGAATCCCGTACGTCCTAAAAGTTTTAGCACAAAATTCATTGGCTTTAATACAGCAGACGCTCGATAATGTAAACTAATTTAATCCAAGTGTGGTTCACATTATCGAAATGTTTACATTAGCGAACGTGATTTATATAATATTTGATTTATTAAAAGAAACTTTTAATACATACTATTTATAACAAAATAAACATATATTCTAACAGCGATAAGTATTTTTTTAATTAGAAGAAAAATAATTAACAATTTTTGTCTGCGTAAATTTGCGCTTAGCATTGTCTTCCAATGCCTGCGCCCGTAATTTACGAACAACTAAAATATCCGTGTATGAAACTTCTTTTCTTTCAGCCCAATCTACAGCTTGGTTAAAAACTTGAATAGCTTGCGCGTCAGTCACTACACTTCTGACTTCAATGGGATCGTTCTCATCATCCTCACTGTCCATATCCTCCTCCTGATCAGCATCATTCGTCTGCTTATCTTCGTTCCATGAATTAATATCAGCAGGAGTATACACAATGTTGGGATTTACTGTTTTCAATAAATCAACAACATCCAATGACACACTAATAACATTATCAATATTGGATCGCAAACGTTCTCTAATTACGCTTAAGGGGACATCGTCTTCTTCATCATCTTCATTATTGGTACAAAAGAGATTGTTCCAACATTTTTGAATAGTTTGCTGGTTAATTTCATTCCAGGCCATATGTAAATCTAAAACAGCTTCTCGTAATGTTACTTTTTTTAAAGCCTCAGATAAGTTTTCAAGATTCTTTGATAAAACAGACGAAAGTAGAAACTTCCTATAGTATAGTTTGGTGAGTCTTATTATATTCTGGTCCATCGGTTGAATTAACGGTGTTACGTTGGGCGGCATGTACATGACGAAAATTGACCCATCCCTGCTCCTCAGTTGTTGCTCGGGAGGATGTGTGAACCATTAGCATTAGTGCAGGCTAGAAACGTTATTCGTTGTTTCTCCGGCTTTCTTCCCGGGGCAGATTTTTCAAATGATGCAGCATAGGTTTTCTCTGGTAACATTTTCCAATAAAGGCCACTTTCATCTGCGTTGTAAATTGGTTCCATTCTTAAATCTAGCTCGGTAATTGTTTTCATCAATTTTTCTTTGAATGGTTGCACTAATTGTGGTTGTGCTGATAATTTTTCACCACATATAGACAGCAGTCGAATTCCATATCTTGTTTTGAATCGTTGTAGCCAGCCATCACTAGCTACGAAATTTTCAGTTTCTTTCAGTTTTTCATTTAACAGTCTCGCTCTCTGTTTAAGTACTTCGCCACTAACTGGGACATGATTTTCCCGTTGTTTTAAAAACCACTTATACAGGGAATTTTCCATTTTAGGTGCCTTCGCATTTTTTAAAGTTTTTCTTTTTCCCGAACCTCCAAATGTATTGCACGTTCTTTGTAAAATTTGAGTTTTCATACGCTTAATTTTACAGATTGTTGCTTTCGATACTCGATATTTTTTTGCTAACTGTGTCACTCCCGCATCTAGTGCAACTTCGTCTATGATTTTCACTTTCTCACTCAACTTTAAACACTTTCTTTTATAGGATGTGGATGCCATAGTCGTAAAATATATTAACGCGTGCGATGTATTCATTTAAGTTCAAAAATGAAATACATACGTACGTATAAACGTATCCTAAACGATCATACGACTGACCGAGTTTGTCGTATTTTATCGCAGAGGTGAATCCCCTACACTCTACATCATAAATCGGGGACTCCCCGACGCCCGACATAAATCATCGAGGCTTCAGCATTTTACCGTCGCGCTGTTTCCGTGCGCCGAGAGTTGTTTACGTTATCGAGCGTACACATTGTTTACGTTATCGCGCGTTCCGTTTGATCCTATAGAACGAAGTTTGTGTTTACATTAGCGCAAGTTTTCATTATCCCGTGTTTACGTTATCGAGCGTCTGCTGTATTAACAAACACAAAATAATATCAAATTACCTTTGGAAACAAAAGGTTTTTTACTTGCTTTACTGTCATTTGACATTTATTCATTTTGAAGTTTCTTTAAGATATAGTATAAATTAGAAATAAGAAAAAGTATCTACAAGTTGGTTGGGCGGGTACCCAAAAAACCATTTATCGAACAATTGCGGAGTGCGAGCAGGAAATACATGTCTGCATCTCTCAAAAAGTGGATTTACTGCACAGAGGTCAGAGAGATTGGTGAGAAGTACGATATCGTTGAAATGTGTCCCAAATAATCTCAAGCGCAACTCCTTTGTATACCGAGATGATGACGTCAACTTAGGCGGTTACACTTTTCCGATGGAAAAATCTTCATTTTAGATGACGAAAAGTATTCCATTTTGAGTAATTCTGAAATGAAGGGAAACGGCTGATTTTATACGAACAACGTAGTGGAATGCCCTGACAATGTTAGATACAAACATATAGTGCTATATAGTGTTTTCTATATCTAGCTTCACGATGTTTTCAGTATAGAGAATACTAAACCTTTTCATAAGAATATTTTAGGATTTTGCCTCAAATATCAAAACCCGAACATCTCGAACAATCTGACAAAAATTCCTTAACAGGCAAAATTTATGGAAAATTGAATGGTATTTTGTCATATGCAATTCTTTTTTCCGAAAAGGCGTGTCGTAGAAAATATTTCCTATTAGGGATCCAGGTACCCCAGTTTGTACGTTTCTGGTTTGATTTGAGCCGGGAAACTGTGTGTTTATTGCTGAACGTTTAAAATCTCAAGTCAGTGTCTTTACCCGCTCCGTAAATATATACACATTTTTTCAATTTCGTAAATAAAACTTGATCACTTTGTATTTTGGTAAGCGTGCATTTTTTGGCACATATCTATAGGAAGCTTTTTTTGTTATTTTTGGATGTACTTTCGGTACGTCTTTCTATTTGAGAATCTGTCACATTTTGATCCTTTTATGCTTCGAAAAGCAATCCTAGTGATGGTCGATGAACTTGATATCAGTGAACATTATCATATCCTTATTAGTAATAGCCTATTCTCAATGTCAGCATAGATATGAACAGAGATGTTTCTCGGATACGAACCCTTTGCGGAATAGTCCTGTTATCGCTTCCAAAAATATTTCGTAGCTCTTGCGAACAATCCCATATATAGAAGATTTGCTTCGTCGTTTTAATCAATTTCTGCGCTATCTTTTGTCCATATTTCAAACATTCCAATATTTTGACACAGTAGTTTGAGACGCACCACCGTCGAGTGATCAAAATCAAAGTACATTTCAGGTTAAAAAATCAACCTAAGTAGCTCAGCTCATCGGTCTAAGTTCCAGTCAAGTTTGCAATTTATAATGATCAGTTGTTATTTGTTGTATTGTTTTGACGAGTTGAAGTATCGTGGAAAATAGTGTACTTAAGGCAGTATCGTCAGTCGTTCCTACAATTGTAGGACGCCTTTATGCTCTCCTTGATTTCCATATTTTTTTTGTCCTTCAGAAAGGCGCTCTATTTTGAGGTTATGTTACTAATATCTATTTCCATCAAATTTTTCATGATTTTGATTTATATCATCTTATCAGCCTGAAATTTCCTCCAATTCAAAAAGAAAACATAACTAGGAGACCGGTGACGCTGACACGGAACAGTAGAAATTTACAAATACCCCAGCGTTTCTGAAGAAAAGACTATGAAAATCAAGGAGGCCATTAAGGCGTGCTACAATTTTTGTAGCAACGACTGACGATACGGCCCTAGCATTCAGTTTGTTTTGCAGGTTAGGGTGCACCAACCGAAAAATTCCACCGTTCAGAACAATTCCGTTGAAGATGATATCAAGTGGCTGGAGGAAAATGTGAAAAATGATCCCACCCTTCCTATCTTAGACTCCGACGAAGAGTTGGTCAACACAAGGTTCGAAGTATCTAAAATGCAGTGAAATTTCAAAGATACTGTTCAAATGGTGTTCGTCGTCGAACGCAAGAGCGTAGTTATAAACTGAACATATTATTAACTTATTTAATTTTTAATTGTAATATAGATATAGATAATTAAGTGCGAATACCTGCTATGTACTGATTAATCCTGGATATCGAACAGGACAAAAAAATAAAGTTATTAAAAAAAAAAGATAACAGATGCTGTTAGTTACACAGGCTGAAATAAATAAAAATTAACTTCCTCTTACACAACATCCATTGAGACTTATGAAGAAATTAAAACAATACAAAAATGAACATGTAAATTAACTACAAGTAGGTGGTTATGCAATGGTTTACCGTCTAAGGATAACCATCGACAAAAAATAAACAACTGTGTGGGTTATAATCGCAATTTATTATCAACAAATGCGTAGAAATTCTTAAAATATACAAATATATAAACATGTAGTGCTTAATCTAGGTATACCTCATACATTCAGTAATATCACGTTACGTATCAGAAGTGGGGCGTTATTGGGCGAGCACTTTCTCGTGCCTCATTTGTTTTACTCGAAGTAACTCTGTACTGCTCACCACCTATTAATACCGTTCCACTGCTCTAGAGTGTCATGCACCTAAGCTACTCATTTTTGAAATATCCTGCCCCCTCACTCACTAGCTGTTTATTCCGTGTTATGCGCTCCAAAATAGTGGCGGTAACGACAATAACAATACCAGATAATCGGGGATGGTAAAAAACTGATAACATATGACCCAGTGTCACAACATACATTTTGAGATGTTCCTGAATAATGAAGATCACATGAGAATGCAAGAAGGCAAGTTCGTAGCGGCTTGTATTTGGCTTCAAAATAATTGTCTACCTACACTAAAAATTATGAATTCGACACATTTACTCAGAACAAAACAATAAAAATGCAGACCTCTGACGTATTGTGCCATCATTCTAAAAGCATCTTCAGGCATCAATTGGATAATCTGACCATGCTTCTGAAAATGAAGGCAAAATGTGATTCACATTTTCATTGTTAGTTTGGCAGTGTGATCACACAGCTGTCAATTTCATGCAAAGGATAAAATGAAGAAGGTTAGGTTTTTATCGTTGCGTTCCCGTGCACATTTTAAGAGTAATTTGGGAACGTCACACTCCGGGTATACTTTATCTGAAGTCACTTGAAACACTGTGAAATAACGGGTGCATTTTATATATCTATATTTAACACGCTCTGTTGCTGCAAAAATCGCCAAATTTCGCAGCAAATATCCCCCGTATAAGATCAAAGGCAGTTTCACCGGTCCACGTGGAGTAAAGCACGCCTATGCGTGGACATAGCCAATGAGAAAGCGTGTATTTCAGAGCTCCGAACAAGTGCAGGTGGCTACTGAAAATTGAAACAGTTTAGCCAGTGCCGTGTAGCGGTGAATAAACGTGTTTTCTTTAGTCTGTCCGTGTTTTTTCATAGATTTTATTAGTTTGTGTGTTTTTGACTTTTGAATACTCTGTTTACTTGTTGATTTAATTGTTGTGTTGATTGTTCTTGTGTGTCCTAAATATGGCTCTTTGGAGACCTTGGGAAAATGCTCCAAGCCACGAGGAGATGGTTGATGAACCTGTGCAGGCAGAATTCTTTCATGAAGATTTAGAGGAACAGACCCAAAGAGTAATCCTAAATATGTATGATTGTCTGAAAAACGAAAATCCAGATTCCTCGCAAAATCAAATTTTAAACAGAATTTGTATCCTGACAAAAATCAGTCGGTCTACCATTTATCGGGTTATAAAAAGGGGAGATGTAGTCAACCATTCCTTCCACAGAAAGCGTATAGGGCAAAAATTAAAAAGAATAGACGTGGGTTTTCAGGAAGATATTCGTCGTATAATATACGGATTTTATAAATAAAATTTGGTGCCCACGTTGGAAATGATACGGGATAAATTAAAAGATTATCCTGAAGATTTTTATAATTACAAATGCTTAGACTCACTGCACTGTATTGTAAAACTGTGTGGTTTTCAATACAAAAAATTAGATAAAAGAATGATGATTATGGAGTCGTCTCGAATCGTTGAATTGCACAAAGTTAAAATCTCTAGAAAGCAGAAAAGAAATCTGATTTACCTGGATGAAACGTGGTATGATACCCATGATGTTGTGTAGTACGGCTGGGTTGACGACAGCAACAAGTGCATTTTAAATGCACCATGCAACCGTGGAAAACGAATCATTATTCTCCATGCTGGCAGTGAAAATGGATTTATACCTAATGCCTTGCTGTTATCTGCCAAAAATATCAAAGAATTATGTGCCGACTATCATGAGGACATGACCTCCGACTTATTTGAAAAGTGGATAGAGCAGCAGTTAATACCAAACATTTCCCCAAATTCAGTGATTATTATGGACAATGCGCCATACCATTCCCGACAGAAAAACAAAATTCCGAATACAGGCACAAAAAAACAAGACATTATTGATTTTATGAAGGATAAGGGAATGGAAATACCACAAAAATCAACCAAAGCCATATTATTGGATCTTATTAAAAGACAAAAATTTGAAAAAGAGTATGTTGTTGACAATCTGCTTCAGCAAAATGGCCATGAAGTATTACGTCTACCTCCCTATTACTGCATTTTTAACCCGATTGAGTTGGTCTGGGCTGCTTTAAAAAAAAAAGTAAGAAAACATAATCAGACCCCTCAATTAAGTGAATCGCTATTCGCCACAATAAGAGATGCAGTATCTCATATTGCTGCCACAGACCTATGGAAGCAGTGTTCTAGGCATATTATTGAAAAAGAAAATGAATATTGTGTTTTGCCTCCTGTAAATCCCGTTGTAATTCCTCTACAAGATGACTCTAGCGACAGCTCCGTAGGCGATGATGATATATAAATACCTATAATGTAAGTATTTATATACCTTTTTATATACCTACCTGCTATGTAAATATTTGCCTATGTCAAACGTTGGAATTCTGTAATTTTTCCATTTCTTAACTTTCAGTCAACATAAATTAAACTCCCAATATAAGTATTTTTTTATCCCAAATCAAAAAGATAAGAAGATAGTAAAATCCATTTATTGTGATATAAAAACATTATTATTATCGTTCTAAATAAATGACCGCACGCCTATAATACGTCATGAAGTTACAAAGGACGCGCCGACCAAAGGTTTTTATGCTATTTCAAGTGACTTCAGATAAAGTATACATACAACTCTCGATTCAAAAGCACTGGAAACATTTTCTGTATAACGAATTATCTGCGATTTTCGACTTGAACAACTCTGTTCTGACTGGGCTTGGAGCCGTGCATGCTAACCCTATGGCTCACGGCCACAAATATCTGACCACCCCCCCAATTTTCAACTTTCCCCAATGGAAAAATAGGACACCTGATTTCGCTCTGCTCTGGGGCCCCTCCAGCCGCAGGCCCAGAACTTACTGTGGGTTCAGAGACCCCTGAATAGCTGGATCTGCTTGCATGTCAAAATGTTGTCTAGAAACCCTATTTTAATGTTGATAACTACGCTTTAAACAATTTTAGAATGCTCTCTCGTGTGTCTATCAATATAATCCTTTTAAACTGATTTATAACAGCAGGACGTACTCTAACAATGTGATCATGCAATGATCTTCTCTTAAGCTCGAAGGATGCATCACAATTCAACTTTGGCATAATCAAAGTCTTGGAATGTATTAACGCGGCTCCGACGATCACGAGGACCATCTCCTGAAGTAACGGGGGGATGAAAAGGAATCGTCAGTGGGCTGGTCTTAGACGGTCGTCGGCGCTAGTTTAAAAAAGGAAAGGAAGACTGCGGGCGCGTACCTGGGAAATTATTCTTCGCTGTTGTCCCACATGATTATTAAACACTATTACATGCTGGCCAGCACAAAAAATTCAAAGGTAAGCAAAACGTAAACAATGTCGGGTTCCCATTATCTGCTCCTCGGACGGATCACTGCATTTATTTGTGCAGGCCAGTTCATGAATTATCACTTTCTTCTCGTTCTAACTTGTGGAAGGTACCAAAAATCAAACGAAAGCGTATAATATCGTCATCTGACTCGGATAGTGAGTGCGAAAAGAAGCAGGAGGGTCGCAAAATACGAAAAACTCCTAAAAAAGATTCGCGAAATTCAATAAGAAGTGCGTATCGCTAGTGTAATGGCGGATGATTCAGACAAAGGTAGGAATCTTTTCAAATATTCTTAAAGCGGATTACTCAATAATCAACAAGTGTCTTATTGTGTAATATTACATTACAATAATAATAAAATGACAATATGTGTATCTCCGGATTATTTCTACCTAGAATATTGAATAATTATGCACACACAATACAACCCATGAGTTATATCAGCCGTTCCTGCTCATATGCCAGGAATACTGCCGACGATGCTACTAATTTCCTAGAAGACGTAGAGTTTACTTTATTGTTCTCAACACATTTTACAGTCAGTACAGTTTTGAGTTTTTGTATTTTCGAAAATAAACTTTTTAAAAGGCGATCTGGAGGCATCGATCTTATAACTGGCGCAGTCATCCAGTATAATCAGGAATACGCGACCCGGGAAAGTCTTGCAAACCGTCGCGACGGGACTTTTCGGGACTCTATCCGGCCTTTTGGACTTGGTAACGTTCGTGTAGTGGCAGTGAGCACTGGAGTGGATTCATATTTTTGGATACCCAATCCATCGAGGAACCGGCGTGAACAGCTACATACGAAGGGCATCGGAATTTGGGACCACATTGCCCAAGTTCGCAAGGATTCCAGCCTGGGGAAGACAACTTTGCAGAACCAGCTAGGATCTTTATAGGAGTAAGAGGTGCTAAAGATCGCTTTCTTAGTGTTGTAAGCGCAGTTTATTTTTTTCCATTTATCGCTTCAAATTTCAATGAGTATTGATATATTGGACCTTAATACTGACTCTCCAAATACTCGACGGTACTCTAATATATTACCTGAGCCCATACTTTCACAAGTTTCTGTACGTTCAATACCTACAAGTATTACTACCACTATGGCTACTTTTAGGCCCGAATACTTAAGTGGTGTGCCAGAATTTGACGGCAACAGTAACGATCCCAATCGATTTTTGCGTGTAAGCAAATCCTTGATTGACAATTTTTATCATCATTCCAATCCAAGCAATTTTCAAAATACATTTTTATTGAACATTCATTCAGTGAACACCTGGAGTGAACTCGAAATTTTATTAATTACCAGTTTTTCTGACCAACGTGATGAAGTGTGCTTACATAGAGACCTTTGCTTACTAAAGCAATATCAAAATGAGAGGCCTCAAAAATTTCACGAAAGATGTTTGCATATTTTAAACAATCTGTGTAGCTACGTCAATATCC